TTTTTATAAAGATAAGAATTAAACTTTTTATATTTTTATTAAAAAAAATAATTAAATTTTTTTTATTTTTTTTTATAATTATATTAAAATATATTAATATAATTAATATATTTATTAATATTAAACTTTAATTAAAATTTAAAAAAAATAAAAAATACTTTTAAAAATTAATAAATATTTTTAAAAAATTTAAGCTTTTTTAAATAAAATTATTTTAAAAAACTTTTTAATTTTTTTATTTTAAATTATATATTATTTTAATATTATTAAAAATAAAATAAATATAAAAATATTTTTTTAATTATTTAAATATTAAATTTATATTTAAAAACAATATTTTTAAAAAAATATAATATAAAATATTAAAAGCTTTATTATTAATAATAAAAAATATAATTTTAATTTTATTTAAATTAATATAAATTTATTTTTTTATAATTTTAATTAAAAATAAAAAACTTTTATTATATATTATTAAATTTATATTATTAAATAAAATATATAATAATTTATTATATTTATAATATAATAAAAATAAAAAATTCATTTTAATTTTAATATTTAAAAAAAATAAATATAAAAATAATTATTTATTTTTATTTAAATTATTAAATAAATTAAATTAAAATATTTTTAATTTATTATATTTATAATAAATATAATAATAAAATTAATTTAATATTAAATAATTTATAATAAATTAATTAAAATATTAATTTTAATATTATTTATTAAAAATATAATTATATTAATTTTAAAAAATAAATTTTTAATATAATTTTTAAAATATATTAATTTAAAAAGTATTTTTAATAAAATATATATTTTAAATTATATTATTAATAAATATTTAATTAAAATTAAATTAATATTATTAAATATTAAAATATTTATAATATTTATTTTAATAATTATAATTAAAATTATTTAAATTATTTTTTTTAAATAATAAAAATTATTAAATATATTTTTTTAATTTTAAATTTATTATATTAATTAAGCTTATTTTTATTATAAAGAATTTAATATTTATTTTTTAAATTTAATTTTCCTTAATAAATAAGTTTTTTTTTTTTTTTTTTTTTTTTTATTTATAATTTATTATTAATAATTTAAATAATTTATTTTTTTTTTTTTTTTAAAATTTTAAAATTAAATTTCCTTTATTTTTTATAATTTTTATAACTTTATTTTAATTTTTAATTTTTTAATTATATATTTTTTTTATTAATAATATATTTCTTTAAAAAAGTTTTATTATTATTTAAAATTATAAGTTTTTTTTTCCTCTCCCTTTATATAATTTATAAAATTTATAAATATTATAATTAAATTAATTTTTTTTTTTAATTATTAAGCTTTTAAATTATTTTTAAAATATTTAATAAAGTTTTTTTTTTAAATAAAAAATTTATTTTAATAAGCTTATAATATTTAATTATATAAAATAAATTAAATTTTTTTTTAAAATAAAAACTTTAATTAATTATAAATATTTTTTTTAAATTATAATTATTTTAATTATAATATAATTAAATATAAATAAGATTTAAATATTTTAAAAAATTCCCTTAAATATTTTTCCCTAAATTAAAAAATATTAATAATTTTTTTTATTTAAAATTTATTAATAAGTTATTTAAAAAAAATTATTTAAATTTATTATATTAATATATATTATAATTTCCCCCCTCTATAATTATAATAAATTTTAATCCTAATTTTTTTTTAAAAAAAAAATATTAAAATTATAATCCTTATATTTTATTATTATTTTTTTATTTTAATTCTTATTATTAAAATTATTAAATAAAATTTTAATTTTTTCCTTTCCTTATTTTTAAAATTATTTTATTTTTTATTATAAAAAAAGCTTTCCTATTTTATTAAAATAATTTAAATTTATTTTTAAATTTTCCTTAAATTAAATTTTAATTTTATAAACTTTTTAATCCCTTTATTTATATTTTATAAATTTTAATTATATTTTTTAATAATATTAATATAATTAAATTTAAATAAAAATTATTAAGTTTATAAGTTTTTTTTTTAAAAAATTTAAAAAATTAAAATTATTTTAACTTTTTTAAAGAAAATTTACCTTTTTTATATTAAATAAATTTTAATTAAAATTATTTTATATAAATAAATATTTATTTTATTTAAAATATTTAAATTTTTAATTAATAATTTTTAATAAAATATATTTAAAAATTTAATTAAAAAATATTTTTATTCCTTTATTAATCCCTTTTTTTTTTATTCCTTATTTTTTTAAATATAATAAAAATATTTTATAAAAAAATTAAATTATAAAAAAAAATATTATTTATATTCTAAATTCTTCCTTTATTTTTTAATTTCTTTTTTTTATATTTTTAAATTATTATCTCCCCTTATTATAAATCCTATTTTTAATAATTATAATTAAGTTTATATAATAAATTTAATTATTAAATTTATAAAAAAAAAAAAAGTTTTTTTTTTTTCCTTTTTTTTAAAATATATTATTTAATAATCCTATTTTTCCTTTTTTTATTAAATTTAAAATAATATCCTATTATTTAAATAATTTTAAAATTTCCTTATTTAAATAAAAAACTTAATAAATAATAATTTTAAATTATTTCCCCTTTTTAATAATATTAATTTATTAAATTTTTAAAATATTTAAATTATCCCTTATCCCTAAATTATTTATAATAAAATTATTATATTAATAAAAAATAAATTTTTTAAAATATTAATTTAAATTTTTCCTTTATTATTAATAATCCCTTATAAAATTTAATTAAAATAAAATTAATATTTTCTTCCTCCTCCCTAAAATTAAATTTCTTTTTTTTTAATAAATCTTTAAAATTTATTTTTTAATTTTCCCTCCCCCCCCTAAATCCTTTTTAAAATTTAAAAATATTTTTAAAATAAAAATAAATTAAAAAAACATTTTAAACTTAAAAATATAATATATATATTATAATAATTTTTTCTTTATAATAATCCTAAAATAAAAAAACTTAAAAATAATAATATTTTTCCTTAAAATAATTATTTTTAAAAAATTTATTTTTAATATAATTATAAAATATTTAAATTAAAATTTAAAAAATAAAGATTTTTTAAATATAATAAATAAAATAAATTTAATAAAAAATATTTTATTAAGAAATAAATATTATAAAATTATAATAAAAAAAACTTTTAAATTTATATTTAATATTTTATTTATTAATATTATATTAAATTTTTAATAAAGTAAATTTAAATTTAATTAAAGCTTAAATAAAGTTATATTTTAAATTTAAGCTTTTTATATAATTTAATTAATATAAAAATATATAATATAATATTATTTATTAAATTTATAAATAAATAAAATAAATATTTTAATTTTATATTATAATTTTCTTTATTTTAAATTTAAAGTTATAATAATAATAATAAATATTAATTAAAAATTAAAATATTTTTAATTAATATTAAGTAATATTTATAAAGTTTAAATTTATTATTTTAATTTTAAGTTTATATTATTATTATATTTAAATATAATTTTTAATAAAAAATTTAAAATAAATTTAAAGCTTAATAATATATAAATATAAAATTAAAATAATATTTTATTTAAACTTTAAAAGTATAAAAAGTATTTTAAAATTAAAAAATAATTTTAAAATATTTATAATATTATTATAAATTTAATTATATTTAATTTTTTTTTATAATAAAATAAAAATAAATATAAGCTTTAATTAAAGCTTTAAAATAAAATATAAAATAATTTAATAATATTTAATATAAAAATAAAAATAAAATAAAATTAATAAATAATTAATTTATAATTATTTTTTTATTTTTTTATTATTAATTAAAAATATATAAAATTAAAATTAAGCTTAAGTTAAATTATTAATAAAAATAAATTACTTAAATAAATAAAAAATAAATTTTATTAAATCCTTTTAAAAATAATTTAAGAAAAAGCTTTAATATAATAATAAAAAAAAATAAAAATAAAACAAAGTTAAAAAAAGAAAAAAAGTAAATATTTAAAAATTCTTAAAAATAAGAAAGGCTTAATTAAAGTATTAAATATATAAGAAAAGAAAAAAGTTAATTTCTTAAAAGAATATTTAAAATAAGCATAAAAGCTAGCTTTTATAGCTAGCTAAAATTTAATATAATATTATTCCTTATATATTTCCCTACCTTTATTAATAATATTAATATTTATAATATTTAATATTAATTTTATAATATTTTATATAAATACTTTTTTAAAAGACATAATTATATATTTATAATTTCTTTTTAAATTATTAATTTATTTAATAAATAAAATATATATAAATTTAATATTTTAATAATAAATATATTATATATTAAATTAATATTTTATAAGCAATAAAAACTTTATTTAATTTCTTTTAAGAAATATTAATAATATTATATATTTAATAATATTATTAATATTATAATGAGTATTATTAACATTCCTTAATATTTTAAATATATATAAATTTAAACCCTTTTTTAAAAAATATTAAAGCTTATATAAGATTTTTTAAATATTTTATCCTTAGTTTATATATAAAATAATATATATTTCTTAGTTTTATTTATTTTTAAACTTAATTTAGATTTAATATGGGGACTTTAAAAGTGGGCGCCTTTAGGTGCATTTGCTAGGAAATTGGCTGGCCCAGATGGGGGGGGGGTGGCCCAAACCGGGGCCGGGGACGTTATTCTCCGCCAGCGAAGTGGGGTCTCGGCATGGATCAGGCATAAATTGTATACATAATCGCTTCGTAGGCTGAGACGGGATAACGCCAGGGCTTTCTGCGACTGGTGTAGTGCTTCAACTCCATTTGGTTCTTGGACGACGGTGTATCTCTCTGGATTAAAAGACCCAAGTGTCTCAAATTCCGATGTTGGTGAATGCCGGTCCAACTCTTCTTGAAATACATCCCCAAGAGCCATACGAGTTGGATATTGCCGTCTCATCTGGTGCTTAGGCAGGCCTTCTCCGAGTGTGAGCCCAACATGATGTAATTGATGTGGTAGACTTCCGGGTACTGAGTAAAGAAGACGAAGAGTCAACAATTGGGACTCACATGCGACGCTTTGACAAGACTTACATTCGGTGATTGTCGTGCTCAACTCGGCCAAAAATGCTTTCATGCATGCGGCCGCGGCTGTCGCCGCGTATTTCTGCCATCTCTTGTTCTTATGGCTATCTGCATAGTCGCAGTCTCCCTTAATGATAAACATGTCCCACACCCCAGCGCCTTCCATCTCGAAAGCGATAGTGCCAGCCTTCCGGCTTATCTCGTCTCGGAGTTCCCCTGACTTCATGACGCTATTTCCAGACGCTACCAAGCCGAAGTGGATGGCGGGGATCACTCTGGGACTCCCATCGCTCTGCTCTGGTCTAGAGCGAGCTTCCTCCAACCTAGGTCGAGAGACAAGCCTGGCTTCATCAAATCCAAGTTCCTGGCAGCTGGTGTTCAATGCAACATCGCATACCGAGTCTGCTCTCAAAGAGCAAACAGCGCAACACGATGACTCCCGGTGCTTGTGGTGGTAGGCTGCCTCGAAAGGCTTGTCTTCTTCCACCCCGGGATAACAAGCGGCGTCATCCATGTGCCGACCTAAAGTGCTCAAGTGCTCGATCAAACCTTCAACAAGCTTCCTCCTCCCCACACGACCTTTCAACTTCGCCAGTATCGCTCTAATCTCGAACTGGGGCCTCCCAAGAATGTCCACAACAGTGTCTTTTCTCCGAAAATGGCCGAGCACTTGACGTCCGAAGTCGTACTGGACGATACCATCGCTAAGCACAACATCACCTAGCAGCATATCGGAGCCAGGCATGCCACCACATATGCCAACGACTAGGGCAAGTTGGATGTCTGGGAAACTTCGTCTCAAGTGGGTGGCCGCAATAGCCCTGTTCCACTCCATTGTTAATTGCAAAATTATGTGCCGGAGAATGTGCGCCATTCGGCAGCAATAGGGGCCTCAGAAACCACTAAGCTTTGGGAGGGGTTCAAAGGGAGTTTATTGAAGTACGAACGCAGAATTGTTCCCCATCCCTGGAAGGTGGGCCAAGACAGCATTGTGTCGGCCTACAAAGCCGACAGAATAGGCGTTAGGGTCTCCTGGGGCTTTCACCGAATCATCCAAACGGCAGTCGAAGAGGGCTTCTACGGCATCGGCCTCGATGGGCAAGGCGCAGATAATGGCAACCTTGACAGCGTAGCGATTTCCCACGGCTCGTTCCGGCGATGCGATGACTGGCCTCTTGCTATGGAGGGTGGTCCGCGCAAAGATGCTGGATTCCCAGTACTGTTAGCAATGTAGTAGCCACTCAGAAGACATGGGCGAGGCTTTACTTTTCAATAGTTGTAGGGTTTTGGAGCAGGCTGTCGCCTGATATCTCTTGGAAATATTTCAGTCGTTGCATTCTGGCCGACCAAGCTAGGCGTCATACATGGATACAGATGTTTCCGATGGCAGCCTGCTACGTTGAATCGATGTTGCCATCGAAGGGACTCGCATGTGTAAATGTGTCCCAAATTCCGCGCGTCAGCTTCCATCAGCTGGCACGGACAAAAGGATGATGGCTCGAATCAGACCCACACAAGCCACGGGAAATCGGGAAAGAAAATGCAGCACAGCGTAGGAGAGGGGTCTTGTCCCACCCTCCATCGTTAAGGGGTTGTACCAAAATAGGTAGATGCATCAATGTTGTGCCACGTCACCAGGCAGCTGGAGTCTCCACCAGAATATAGCAGCACTGGGATTACGTACGCCCAAAAATGCTGCGAGCTCCAAATATTTTGTTTCGGTTTACTCATTGCAACAATAAATGGTTTCGACTCCTATCGAAAAGACTGTTCAAGTTTTGCACACGAGTTTGTGAACTCCAGGTACTTCCCCCATGAGGCAGAAGTCTGAAGTCAACCGCGCCTCCATTGGCATCCACAAGCGACTTCTATTCCCATTCACGAGCGACTTCCAACTGAAACAGGCAATATATGGAGGCTCAAATTGTCACTTTCCGTTGAACCATCCATACTTGGCTCTGAGATCAGACCTGAGGCACGCGGCCAAAGCAATAGTCGAGAACCACGGATGCCAATCAAACAATTTACTGATATCAAACTTGGAGGCTGTCTTGAGATTCTGTATCATGTCAATCTGCAACCAAGACAGAAACGAAAATGAGCCCAGCGACCAGAGTGTCAAGGATACCGAAGATCCACAGGCTACTATTGTCGGCGGTGATGAATCAATGGCTATTCGAAGCAACCAGCGGTGGGGACGAATGTTTCGGGGATGTTCTTGCCGCCCTTCCCTATATTGTTTATCGCCCCTGACTGTCAGCTATATCCCGCCCAATGTGACGAGGCCTTGGGGAGTATACAAGAAACAAGACAGTGGGTCACGAGAAAGTGCACCAAAGGCCTGGCCCCAACGGCTTCTACACGTCCAGAGCATGACATCTTTTGGGCATTGCGAAGGGGACTGCTATGGTGGGCACACGAGACCCTCATACAACGCTCTTTCCTACTCTTGGGGTCAGTATCGCGTCTTGCCAGGAAGAAGGCGGGGGAAAAGATCATCTAAAGTGTTCTAAATTAATGGCTTACTACTAGGATGGTTAAGCACTCCTGTCCTCTTATCGCATTACACCCCAGAAGATCTTGACAAAGTAGTGAGACTCTGCGTTGGCCAACCTCCATCGGCGCTGGTGGGTGCGGGACACAAGCAAGGATTTCTCTGGCTCGATCAAGCCGGGGTTGACCAGCGCGACGTGTCGCCCCGCAACACCGAGCTGCGGCGGCAGGGCCTCATCTTTCAGAACGCAAAGCATTCTTTCGTCTGGTTCACGAGGCTCAACAGGAATTCCCTGGCCGCAATCTGCAACGGGCTCATTGCAGCGTCGCAGGAGGCACAAGAAGTGCGTCTCGAGCGCACAACCACAGACAAGACTCCGATGTCGTGGGTCTCAACAACTACGTCTCTCGTCCTTGATCTGGTAAAGGACCCGTGGTTTCGAGGTTTGTGGACTCTCCAGGAGGCCTTTTTCTCGGCGGATGCCTTCCTGGTCTCAAAAGAAGCCCAACTCATCGAAATTTCCCGTGATGATGGTCAGCAAGCCGCGACCCTTCGCACCCTGACCGACGCATGCCGCACCATTCTGCGTTGTTGTCAAGACGATCTTCACCCAAACAAATCGCAACCCACACATATCTTCGAAGCAGTCAGAATATGTGTGCAGATTCTAAAGATTTCGGGGCTTGCCACACTGGCATTCCCACATCCCATCAACTTCTACTCTGCCGCGCGCTACCGTCTAACAACTGCGGGCGACTTGGATTATTTGGAAGCAATCACGCAGATCTTTGGCGTTGAGCTGGATTTGTATGGCGAAGACCGCGCTTCGAATCCCGTGTGTGCAGGGGAAATGGAGGTTCGCATCGGCGCTCTGATGTTTGAGAATGACCCTGTGAGAAGCCAGGTGCACTGTTTTACCAGCCCCGTGGCTCTTGGGTCTAGATGGCGCTTCAACGGATCTTCTCTGGTACCTATCTTCCCAGGAGGACTAAGGCACATAATGGAAAGCTCCGTGGAAACCTTCTGTAGCTTCAGTGTCAAAGTTGTCCAAGGTCAGTATTGGGGAGGCCTCAGTGGAATGGCCTGTAGGGCATCTGGTCTCAATGGTTATTTAACCAGGGTATTGGATCAGCATTTTCCTCCAGCTCTTCTGCTGGCTTTGGACGCCCAAGAAATCGGGAAAGGGCCGCCTTACCGTAAAGATTTACCTTGTTTCTTCACCTTTGACGAGTTGTTTCATTTCCATACGAGCTCTAACATCAGTCATCTGTCACATGAGATGATTGTGTTTCACCTTGGCAGAATCACCTACAATGCTGCAGATCAATTTGATATGGGCCCCTAGAAAAGGCTCATGGAGGCTGGCCTGCTGTTGGTTCCACTGAGACTTGGAGGACATGCTGCACAATGCTGGCGTCGAGTAGGCTGCTGTTTATGGAATGTTTCGGAAGATACAACTCACAAATATGGAGGACTATGGGAAACATTGTCAGGGATTTTTGGATAGCAAATAAAGGCCATTCAGCCCAGTGATGTTGAGCTATAAGTAGATCATACATGGCATGAGAATTAAGGAATGTAATCATAGCCACTTCATGTAGTTTCAAGAATTTTACGAAGTCTGGCAGCGAGTTTGACTCTTCTTCTGAGCCTTGGAAGCAAGCGAAGCGATCGGACAGAACCCACTTTCTTTCGAGTCTTTGAATCCGTCTGAGGGCGTGTGGAAGGTGACGGAGGGGTATGGCGTCCTTTTTGAGCAGATACGAGCGAATGCACGGACAGGATTCCCATATCCCATATCGCTCGAATAACCCAGACCTGGGCTAAACATCCCAGACGCAGTCTATTACAGCCATTTTAGTCAACTAAGCGAGAGAAGCATAAGACAGGTATGGAGCTTTGGATTCTGAGACCGATTGCACACAACTGGAAAGACGACACAAATTAACGAGTCAGGTCAGATGGTCATTCTTTGAAAGAGAATCATATCAAGATACTGTGGACTGATCTCTCCTATGGCATGAATATCAACTGGCGCTGAAGATCAGACGTCAGGCCGCTTCGGTGCCGGCATAGAACGGCATAACTATCACGCAAGCGCGTTAGTGAGTCAGCCGGCGAAATGAATCACGACGACTGTCTCTAGATTCAAATCACCCGTCTAAAATACCTCACTCTCGACATTCGCAATGAAACCAACAGTTCTTCACCGCCCCCCACCAACAATGACAAACACCACAACCTCCCCCTCGAGAGCCTGGCTGCGCCACCTCCCCAAAGCAGAGCTGCACCTCCACCTCGAGGGCACCGTGACGCCGGAGACGCTGGTCGTGCTCTCGCAGCGGCACGACGCCAACCCGCTGACGCTGGAGCAGGCCCGCGACCTGTACACGTACAAGGACTTCCGCCACTTCCTGCAGACCTTCAGGCTCGTCTGCGACAGGCTGCAGACGCCCGAGGACTATGCCCTCGTCGCGGCGGAGATGATGCGCGACCTGCGCGCCCAGGGCGTGGTCCACGCCGAGGTCTTCATCGCGTGGGGCAACATCCTGCGCTGGAAGCCGGACCTGCGCGTCGAGGACGTCATGGTCGCCGTGGAGGGGGCCCGCGCCGCCGCTGAGGCGGAGGCGGGAGGGGACTTCTCGCTGCTCTGGATCGTGGACGCGGTGAGGCAGTGGGGCCCGGAGCACGTCGGCGAGGTGTTCCGGCTTGCGGCAGGGCTGAGGACCCGGTTTCCTAGCATCGTTGGCGTTGGCATCGGGGGCGATGAGGTCGCCGGGCCGGCGGGTGAGTTCCGCGAGGCATATGCGGAGGCCAGACGGGCGGGACTGCGGCTCACTTGCCATGCTGGCGAGGCGAGCGGGCCTGTGAAGGGCCCCGTGGAGATCCGGGCCGCGCTGGGTATCGGTGCTGAGAGGATCGGGCATGGCCTTGACGCGCAACACGACGAGAGTCTTTTGGCAGAGTTGGCGGAGAGCCAGACGCCTATCGAGATCAACGTCACATCCAACATTCTGACTGGCGGCTGTAACTCGGTGAAAGAGCACCCCCTGCCGAGGTATCTGAATAAGGAGATGATGTGTATGCTGAATTCGGATGACCCTGCCATGTTTGGGTCATGGTGTCTGGATGAATATGTTCTGGTTCATGAGCAGATTGGTTTGGACCTGGAGAGCATGAGACGGCTGGCGAGGAATTCCATCTTGTCGAGTTTCCTGGAAGATGAGAGGAAGCAGGAATTGTGTGAGAAAATCAAGCACTATCCTCTCCCATAAAAGTGTTATTGACAACCAACAAGCGGAAGATGGGACTGGGCGGCGTTTTTCAACATGGTATAGAAGAATGTATCAACTACAGCCGGAGTTCTGGATATATCTAATAGATTCGCACGCAATGGGTACGCAATCTCCAAAATTCATCTTCTACACCATCAGGACTGCACACGGGAATGTACTGGAGCGCGTCACATCAAGACCACGTTGCCCATACATGCTGAGACCAAGATACATGCTTCAACCGCGGGACACTAGAGGATAGATCTGAGACAGATCACCTCCACGCGACTGACAGCGTAGATAGGTGCTACTTGTTCTCGCCGGAATTGCGGTGAGCAGAGAAAAGGGTGTGGGGGCCATAAAATGCTCGCTTTCCACACAGCAGGGAGGAGAGGTGTCTCCCGGCAGCTTCGGCCGCCGTCCGGACCGAGAAACCGGGGGGTAGAATAGTGGTGCATCGAGCTGGCCCCTCCGGAGCATTCCGCCGTTACGAGAAAGGAAAGGATACTATTCACAGTCTCGCCAACAGTCTGTGCAGCGGTCTTCGAAAATCAAAAACACGCACAATACTCCAGGAGACAGTCATTACTCGCTTCGTATACATCATATATCGCAATGCAGAGTAGCAAAGAAATGACAAGGCACGCGCCATGTTCCCTCCCATGACGGAGTCGACCCCCGGGACCGTTCCCGTCCACTCAAAACTAGTCATCGACACATATGCACGAACCTAGTAGTGAGGCAGGACAAAGACCCAGATATTCCCACCGCCACATGGGGACCGTGATCGTCCCACCCTACAATCTGAGCCCCGAAAACCCAAGACTAGGAAAAAAGCCTATTTCGACAGAAGAATAAGAGACACGCGCACGCCATGCGAGATGGAGAAATAAACATTTCTCCCGCCCCACGGGCAGCTCCATTTTCCACACGCAGAGAGTGAGAGGGAGTCCCACCACCCACCACGCCAAAGCACACACAAACAAAGATACCCCCCTCCGACTAGCAGCAGCGTTGTGTGTGTGTGTGTGTGTGTGCGTGGTGGCCCGGCGCTTAGCGGCGCGGCCAATCGCATGAGAGCAACTACTGCACGACATGGGGAAGCTGGGCGCTTAACGAGGGGGGTGTGGTTGTGGTTGAGAATGTTTCGCTGCACTCTCTCGGTCGGGGTGGGTAAGGCAGGCTGCACGTTCTAGACCCCTGATCCATGTCGGGCCCGTTGGCACGAGGTTTTTCTTTGGTGGACAGAGGAAAACAACTGAGGGGCGGTACGCGATGTACCCTAGTGGTATCTACGTTGCATACGTTCAAGGCACAAATTATGTATCCGTGTATAATTAGGACGATGAGGGTGTTTCACTGTGGCATGGTATTTTGTTTTTTCTACTTGCGATGTTATTATTATCGCCATTGCATCTGTATGTCTCAGATCATGCAGGCTCTCTTGCCTGCCTAGTTGACGGGACACCAGAAATGAGCACTAGTTGCCCGAACAAGCCCGCCGCATACAAAGACAGCACCAACACCACCACCAAAGCGTCGTCCTACGTCCGGCGGTGTCATAAAAGTACAGGGACGCACAAAGTACATAGGCTACTGTCCGTCCGCATCTTTTCCTGCGCCCCATCCCATCCACAGAAAAGCATACATCATCCCCACGCTGAAGCTACCCTTCTCCAGTCGTACCCAGAAGCACATCCATGTACATACATACAGACCTTAGTGTATAGTGTACATCCCATCCCACCGTCACACTCCCTTATCACAATGTCACTATGTCACTCACTCACCTCCCCTTGCCCCCCAGTCCAGCCCACATCGGTCCAACACCCATATCCCCAGCATCCCGGCCCATAAGTCGGCGGTGTGCAAGATGTGCAGGCCGAGCGGCGGAAAACCCCCTAAACACTTTCTCTGTGCTCAGAACTCAGCTGGGAAGGAGAAATTCGTGGGCTGCTGTGAATCCGATCAGATCAAGGATAATCAACACCAATTGTTGCCTACATGGTGCATCCATCGTGTTTCGATCACCCAGTGTTTCGAACCGGCATTTCACACCCATGTCCTTATTTTTCTTCTTCTCCCTCATCCGGCTCTTAGATCTTGGCGTTTGTCGATCACGGCTTTTGCCGTGGGTTTCAGATGTTTCACGTGGACTCATCCATACGATGTTGCTTTTCCCGCAGGGTTGCGGACGGCATGGTTGTAAATGAAAATGTACGGCCTTGATTAGATCGGATTTACTACTTCGGCTCTGCCCTCCTGGGTTCGCTGGCGACAAGTAACAGCTCGCAAGCACATCAGAAACCCGAATGAGCTTCTCACTGCTGAGACATAGTTAGCAAAGTAAACAGCTATGCCCAGAATATGCACCTGCCCCGTCAGCCCAGCTGGCCAACAGGTTCCGGCTAGGTAAATTCCATCTCGTGAATGCGCCGCCGGCCTCCCGCCGGCCGGAGCGGCCATTACGGGAGCAAGCTTTACACGGAGAGGCCGCGATAGGCGGCCGCACCCTCCTGGCTGCAGGAAAACATGGGCCGCCAGAACGGGCCGCGGTTTATTCGCGTGGCTGGGGGACACGCGAATAACAAACAACAGGGGGGAGGGTCACCAGGCTGTTGGGGCGCCACGAGGAAGGCCTGAAGGTATGCGCATCATCTTCACTGTCCTCGCACTCAGGTTTGAAGTTGTTACACAAGATCGAATTTCGCCTGTAAACTGCACGCCAGTTCCGACTTCCATCCGGGCCCATCCCTCCCAAAGACATCCGTCCCTAGAGGCTCCTCCAAAAACATGAAAAGATTCGATCGCTGGTCCACCGAGAATGCCCCTTCCCTCCCTTCAGTGGTATATCCAATCCAAGCTTTGATACAGTACTGTCAGGACGCCGCCAGCAACGCCAATTGCCGGGTGTTTGTGTGTTGTGTGCATGTGTGCATGTGTGGTGCATTCCCAAAATGACTCAATCCCTCCCGTCCATTTCCGTGTCTCCTCAAAAAACTCCGATTGCTGGCTTTTTGTGATCGTAAACGGCGATGCAGTTCATGTTCATCATTATTAGGTTTGTGCGGGTTGGTGAAGTGGATGAGGCACCCTAGGTAGGTAGGATTTGGTGCGTGCGGGGGCCACATGACGACTGTTGGCGACTCCAAGTTCGCAGATGTGGATGCGGTCGCTTTGACGACGACCAATGACCCACCCGCCATGGCGTGAGACGGCGGCGTTGATACCGTGGCTGTTTGTGTGCCAACAAAAGGAAAAATGGTCGAGCAGTGATGGCGTGTGTGGTGCATGTCGACTGAAGTAGTCGCACAGTGCGCTATTGATGCTCCTTGAACTCCTCGCTCGTGAAATATTCCGTCCTGCGCCACAACCCCTCATTCGACTTTCCGTCTTTTCCCCTTGGGCGCCGGATCCATCCTCGGCGTGTATGTGACGGTTCTTGTGACCACCTCCCTGATGTGCCTCACGCTCTTGCCCTTCTCGCACCGGCCCGAGTGTACTCCTCCAGTGCCCACAGCAGAGGTCGGGGGCTTCACATCTGCGTACCTCTTCGCTTTGAGGGCCGCGTCCCAGTCGAACGGGCTCTTAATGCTCCGTGCGCTGTATGGCGATCGCACAGGGCTGTCGACGGCCGGGCTTGGCGGTATGCGGAGGCTTGGAAAGGTGGCCGGCCCACTTGCAGGCGCCGAGAGGGGCATCGTCACCATCGGCGAAGCGGGCTGAGCAACCGAGATTGGCGCTGGCTTTGACGACTTGTGCACAAGCTCGCATGAGCAGCTGCAGTCTGTGGAGTCGCTGCTTGCTGTCGTGGGAGCGCTGTCCAGGTCAACCTCCCCAGCGCTCTCCGTTGCTGAATCTTCTGACTTGCACGTGACGGTGCTGGCCGTGCTCCCGCCCGTCGAAGTCCGGTTAAGTGGCGTCTTTCCCATCAGGGGCGCTGTTAGTGGCGGGCTTGCCACAGAGGGAGACGCGGCGCTGATCGTCTTGAGGAAGTCCATGTAGGCCAGCGGTGGGGTGATGGGAGTTGCCTCTGGCTTGTCCTCCTGCTTCCCTGACAACATGCTCGGCGTTGGCGGATACTCGAAAGGTGCTGAAGGTAGGCCTGCCGAAGGAAGGCCTGCAGAGTAGAGCCCTGCAGACTGCAAGCCCTTGATAGATGCCGAGTGCGGAGTCCGTACTGACGACGCAGACAGAAGCGCATCCGAGGGGAAGTTGCCGGAGGTAGGCGTGGCCAGGGCGGCCAGCTTAGGTCGTTTCGCAGGAGGCATTGTGACCGAGTGTGTGGTGAACGAATATGTGAGATGCGAAGCTACTACCCAAAGATTGTGTATGTATGCGAGAGCGTATGTGTGTGGGAGACGGGTTGGGCCGACGGCGGTGTGTGAGTGACGTGCGTCAGTCGGGTCCGAAGAGGTTTGTCAAGTCAAGCGAATGACTCGGGAGGTTCACCCGTTGAGCTGCGCTGACAGGAGATCAACTTGCCTAGGACAGGCAGGAAGAGTCGAGTCCGGCAGTTGGGAAAAGGGGGAAAAGAGAGAAAGAGTGGGTGATAGTAGGGCCCAGGTCGTTATATGATTTCCAACGAGTAGGCGCGGGCGGGTCAGAGACGGCGGCAAAGGGTTGCAGGGTGAAGGAGAAGGATGGAGTGGGATGGGATAGATACCACAGGATTGCGGCGGGATGTAAGGAAGGGCGGTTAGGGTGTGAGCGCAGAGAAACAAAGACGAAAGCTAAGCCGCTGGCGGGCTAGGTCCCCGCGTCTCGACGTCGACGGCGTGTAGGATGGTTGGATGGGTACCAATTCCACCGGGACAAGAAAAAAAAAGACACTTTGGGGGTGGGCCAGGGATCGCTTGGGCCTCGTGGCTTTCTGTCGACTAATAACAGCCAGTGTTATTGCCGTGGGCGGGCTGGCGCCTGTGTGGGCGTGAGAGCGAGCCTTGAGGGTGCGAGTGTGGGCGAAGGAGAGTGATGTGCTCCAAGGGTGGTCGCGGCTTTGGAGGCCAGGCCGGGGTACCGACGTCTTCCAATGGCCTGCCAGGGACGGAGAGACAAGCAGACGGCAGCGGCAGAGACACGCAGGCTGACAGGCAGAGTCGAGCGCTTCGGGCTCGCAGTGGGTGGTGGACACGGCTCCGGGGGGTGCTCGACTTGGTGGAATAGACGCCGGGTGGACGAGCGTGGCTCCAGAGCAGAGCAAGAGGCGGTAGACCAAGGTGGGCCGGCAGAGGACAAGCGTCTGCAGATCGAAGACAAGGCCCACGATCTGGAGGGGCTAAGGCCGGGGCAGGGAACAGGACCCCTCGCGCAGATGGGTCTCGACAGGTGGAAGAGGTGCGATTGGCCGGGGCGACTATGCGTGTGCTAGAAGCTGCCTTAGTGTAAGCTCGAAGTGCAGCCCACGACTGAGCAGACAAGAGAGGCGCAACGCAAGTGGATAAAGGCGCACGGGAGCGAGTGACACGACTGGAGGTGGGCGGGTCAGTGGGCAAGTGGATGAGTGGGCGACCAGAGTGGGATGGGGTTTTGTCGAGATGCATGTACCATGGGTGGATGGATATGGGGGCATGGGTATTGGGGGACATGGACATGGGAGGGGCATGGGAGAGAGGTACATGCTTATGTATGGATGTGGGTGCACAGACGCATGTATACATACTCCGTGGTATATGTATGCAGCACAGGAAGAGGAAAAGTGTCTGGCTGCTGATGCAGGACGACTGACACATGGACACATGGGAACTGACTTACAGCAAGTACTGTTGCAGCAGGATAGAGTGCGGCAAGCTGTGTGTGTCAGAAAGAGAATGTGTGTGTTTGAGTAAGCGCCAGGGGCCGGGTTGAGAGGCAGAGCAGAGGCAGAGCGAGATGGAGATCTGTCGAAAATCTCCGAGCCTTCCTTCCCTGACCCCAAGATCAAGATATTGGAAGGATTTGGCCCTGCCTGTGGTGGGCTGCGCGCTCGGCCTGGCCTGCCGTGCCGGAGCCGTTGCTCTGGGTTTCGCAGCCCTTCCAAGGAAGACGTGAACAAGTGACTTGACTGTGAGGTGACAGGCTGATGTTCCTTGGCGTGCCTGGGCAGCCTTTTGACTGGACCGCGACGGCTGTTGACTGCCGGCTTCCCTGCTGATGATTGCTGTCCTTTGCCCTGCCGGGCTTGGTCTCGTTTCTGTCTGTGCGCTTGGATGTACTGCAGGTCCTGTACAGGCGTGTCCCTTGTCCAGCTGATGGAGCTGGTTCTCGCGCAGTGAGTGGGGAGACGGGCGAGGACGGATGCAGCGGGAGAAGGGGCAGAGAAGAGCAAGAGAACAAAAACGCGATGGATGTGATGTGATTTGATCCGCTTAGGCTGCTGGCCAGGGAAACACCGGACGACGGACGCGGACGAGACGGGCGACGGGCAACAGGCGTCAGGCGAACGGCACTTCAGATTTCGTCAGCTGGGAAGGCCCCTGTCGTGACTTCCTGTAGCCGCTGTGATGGGCACCTGGGTCGACTTGGGCGGGCAGGAGCACCGTCTGATTGGGCAGGTGGGGATGCACGCTCTAATGACCCTGCACACAGCGCGCTTGCCTTTTTTAGCAACACTCCCATCTCAACTCCCTCATTGGACGGGGGCTGCTTACTCATCCACCTGGGGTTCGTCCAACCACGTCCCGTTCGCAAGCTCGCAACCTTCTTTCGGATGGGAAGTTGCGATCACGAACCCACGACTTCGCCCCAGCAAGGGACGGATCTTGCACTCCAGCTGAAGCTCGGGAGGCGAGAAAAGAAACGAAATCAGGGAAAAGTTCGACTGGAGATTATCGTGCAACCTGAAGATTTCTCCTGTGGCAAAATCAGGAGTAAGGCCGACAGTACTGCCGCACACAAGAGAGAGGGGTGAGAATATCAAGCCGGTTGCCTCAACTGGCTGATGAGATGGCGATGACAAGAAAAAAAATTGGAACGGTATGAGAAATGACCAAGCTCGATGACCTCGTCGTCCTCGAAAACCTGGCGTCCGATGCCAACATATTTGTACGCTTGCATGTTGGCAGCTTCCAACCGTCAGTCCAGTCTCGAGCGCGTTCCCTACGGCTTGGAATGCCTCATCCAAGCGCCCACCAACACGGCGCCAACTCGTCCATCCATGTCCATCAGAGTATTCAAGAACACGATGTCCAGCCACCTAGTATTTCGTGCTTCTTCTCTGCTTCATCCAGCGCGCGGGTACACTCGAGCCAGGGCATCATCGACGCGTCCCCCCCCCCCCCCCCCCCACAGCCTCGACCAGCCAAGTGGCTGTTTCCTACTTTCAAGGCATTATCCTTCTTCTCAGGCCTGGCGGCTCGCGACGTCTTGAAGGATTGTTGCCAGCTCAACATTCTGCCAGACCAGATCTCAAGGCCACGTTGCCAGGCCGGATTTCTAGGCCGTGGAAAGGGGCTTCTGAGCGCGCGCCACGTGCAACACGGCCACCCGGCCACTGAGCCAGTCGATTGTGCCTATGCAACTTCGGATGAAGACTCACTCGTCTGGTCATGCGCGTAATTCCTTGCCCGTATTCTACGCCGATGTTTACGCTCGTCATCCACACACAATTCAAGGAGGCAGGCGTGCGAGCGATGAGGTGTGGCCCGAGATCTGGTCCGCCCGTCGGCCTCAAGGCCCCACGTCATCCTTCGGCACAAGATCCAATGCATGGAAGCCACGAACATCTCGCCCGTCCGCCCGCACCCTCTCTTTGTCACACTACAGAAGTGCCTTGGGTTGCTCAGTGGCCGGACCTGCTAGACCGACCGAGTGGCTGAATCCTTCCGGGTCGCGTGTAGAGGATTAAAATGCCGGCCAAGGACGACCTCTTGCCTTCGGCCATGTGGTATCAAGGCGCCTCAGACGCGTTGGCTCGACTCAAACCCCAGACCAACAGCCATGCCAATGGCACTTGACGCCTTTGCCGCCCTACTACTCCATACTGAGCCACAGCCGCCGGGCAGGCGACGCGTCTATGGACCGCCTCACGATCCTTCTTCACATCTGCAAGCGCGAGGGATCAGTGTTGGCCAGATGTCGCACCAGGGCCGGCCACGTTGTCGATCGGGGCATCTGGATCTGACCGGGGGCTTCGTTTTTGTGGGGGGACGTCTCCCATTGACCGGATTACACGCCACCTGCCGCCATCTCCGCTCAATAGTTGCTACCTTGGCGGCCAATGATTGTTCGGACCGAACCTCCATCGCCGTATAGTGAGAACCGGTCTGGCCAATATCGAATCACCAATTCCACAATGTCGTCTGAGTTGACAGATCATGGCAATGTACTTGTGACCTGGCTGGGTTGAGCAAGGTGTTTGTATGTGTATTATCGGATCTGTGATGAGCGACTACATGCACTGGGGACGCCACACCGAAGCATGTAGAAAACAACGTTTGCATGGATTTCAAAACTCACAGCTCGAGACTAATGAATGTTCTCTGCCTCACAAACTCCGTGCAGTTCATTCATGGTGTCAAAAACCTCCCGCCTCCAAAACCCTCGGACACAAGCTGCCCCCCAAAAATGAACGCCCAAAACCCCAAAGCCGCACAAGTCATCATCCCCAGCACATCGGCCCAGTCTGCAGCTGTCAGAATCTCTGGTCACATTTGACTGACCGTCAGTCGGCATCACGGGGAGCCCTCGGCTCCACCGCCGTGAGCCGCCGCCTCCTCTCGCCGATCCTCATCGGTCCTCCTCAGAAGCTGCCACTTGAACGGCACGTCAGACACCCGCTCCGCCTGTCCGTCGTCGTGCAGCACGAGATTGAGGTTGCCGGTCGCGCTCAACTCTGGGAACTGGTCGAGGGCCGGGCCATTCTCCAGCAAGAGATTCAGGATATCGACGACAAGGTCGGCAGTGAATCTGTTTTGGCTCAGGAACCGTCAGCTGGATGACACGTGACACACTGGTGAGTTGGGTGGTAGTAGATTGGGTTGGCAGTCTTGGCCTAGTGGAATGAACTTGCATCATGGTGTTCTTCGAATCGTGAGCGATCACCAGCTTGAGCGATCTGAAGCTCAAGATCTTTTGTTCTCCTCCCTTGAGAAACCAGGACCCCGTGACGTGGGGCATCTCCTTCTCCAGCAGATCGGGCAACGTCGGCGCGATCGATTCCAGGGCGTACGAGGCTAAAGGTCGGCCCGCGAGTGCCATCGCCGTAGTCAGTCTCCTCAAGCACATCTTTATCCACGTTCTCGGGCGACTCGTCGTAGTTGTCCTTGTTGTGAAGACCGTAGAAAGGTTGACGAGGGACGAGAGCCAGCGGCTCTGTCGAGGGGCGTCGTGGATCCACGAGCTCATGAGACGGCTGTCCCATAGCTTCGCTCTCGACAGGGTCTTTGACCTTGTTCATGATGGTCTTGTGCAAAGATGGATAGGTTGCTTGCGATGTGAAAGGATCAAGGTCGCAGTTGATTTAGGCCTCTGTTCCTTAGGGAGGTTGTAGTTAGGAAGAAGTAGAGGGAGGGAAAGTGGCAGCTTGTTTATACCATGGATTCTGGATTGAAAATAATATCAAATTGGTCTTCAATGAACACTGCAAGCATATCCCAGTGAGGACTGAGTGAGCAGCTCAGAAACTATGCTGATAGATGGATCATTAGCTCCATTACTGATTCGATGGACGGATACCTTCAAATGGTCGCTCAATGTGAATAATTCCTGTGCATGAGGCATGTTTCCATGTCTGTGTCCGTATGAGAAAGCACTGGTGCGAAATTGACAGGTCTGTGGCAGTCAGTCTTGGTTATTCACTTCTTGCAAGACCTGTCACTGAGTTCAGTTACCTAATGCTTGACACATTTATGCCTGCTCCTTAAACACCACGAATGACTTGGGCACAGCCTTGATTCAATACTCTCTATGATAGTATGGGGTCGCCCACATACAAAACATGGTTCAACCCCTTTCCATGGGAACACTCTTCGAGGGAAAATAATTATTTTCTGCCTCAATCTCAACAACTCCAAGGATCAATCGTAAGTCGTCAAACACCCACCTCAGTCCCATACATCAGCTACTGGTGCATACCATCACAATGGCTGCATTTCTCCATCAGCTTCTCATGGTTTGCTGCATGTTCCTGATTGTCCACCCCGTGGTGACAATCAACCTGTCGGCCGAGTTCACAGAGTTCTATGAAGGTGCTGTTCTCAGGTCATACAACCACTACGCGGACGACCTGGCAGATCAAGTTGCCAGCTTCGACGGTTTCGGAAGCATGACCCCATGGAGCGTTCTCAATGGCCCTACCCACAAAGTCAAACGCTTGGATAGCGCCAGTCGATGTGGAGCAGAGTACGACTTGTCGGCCCAGGATGGGTCTTCGATCTCCAGCATCTACGGCTCCTGGGTTGTTCCCGAGTTGATACAGCGCAGTGACGGTATTCCCGACAACCCACCCCTGAACTGGCAGTGGATCGTTGAATGGGTGGGAGTCGACAATATCGGTGCCGATGGCCAGCCCAGCCAGGATTGCAGTCTCCTCGAGGTCGGAGTCTTGTCGTTGGTAAGTCGTGATGGAATCCTGGACCGGATCAGTGCCGACAGGAATGATATAAGTGACTAATTATGCAATTTCGCAGATTTACGGTAATCATGAATCCAGCCGGCAAAAGAACACCGCTTTTTGGGCAATGTTCCCTCAGCAACAGGTTCCTATCAACATGGAGAGTAAGTGGTATCAGGCGCGGCCGATTAGCATGCTCCATTGGAAAATATCCCCTAATGAAATTGGACTAGTTCGAAATGACGACTCTGTGGACGTCAACGTTACTGTGGTATCCGAAAAGAAAGCCGCAATGTAAGTCTCACCAACGCCAAGGCCACCAAGATGCGTCCTCACTGATATGCTCCAAAGAGCCATCGACAACCTTTCAACCAGGTACAGGATTGAAGGAGAACTCACCATCGGTCCGGAAGAGCGCGCAAAGTGGTGTGGACGTAACGCGGCCTGGATTGTCGAGGACACATGGGCACCAGCGGTCAACGTACAGGTCCCTGGACCGGTTCCTCCCTTTGCCAGTTGGATCCTGTTCAACTTCACGGATGTGCACGCAACCACTAGCAGCGGCAAGAAACTTGACCTCAATGAGGCGACTCTTCTTGACACAAAGCAGTCTGACCCAGACGGGCATAATATGTTGACTCTATGCACACCAGTGCAGATGGATAGCACTACACTGGAGTTTTATCCCTACTAAGATTAGTAGGGATTTGGAGAAGATTTGCGACGGCTGATTGCGATTCAAGATAGTGATTTTGGGGGAGACAATGGACCAAGGTCCTGTCGAGGACACCAATAAATCGATCTATTACTCTGACGGCCACTGATTGAATCGTCTCCGGTAAATGGATCCAAATGCCGTCGCTGATCAGGTTTTGACGTGGCATCAGGGGTAGTTACGACGCTGCATGCCTACACTGCGTGAAGGAGACCTCAAGTGCTCTGGAACCACAAGTTGACTGGCCCCGAGTTGTCACAATCCCAGAAGACCGGTCACAGGATGAGATTCAGAGAGACAGAGCGGAGCACTTTAGTCTGATGAACAAAGCTTCTGCTAGATAGACATTACAGGACCATAACCATCAGAGGGCACTTAAATACGGGCAACCATCTTTTTGCCACTAATCTTCCACTTTCGTAGGTCGTCCATCACTTCTAGTATCTTTTCCATGCCGTGTACAATCTCCGTTGGCGGTGGTCGTATCTTTCCGATCTTGAAAAGGTGCTCAGATAGCCGCAAGAAATCCTGATTGGCCCTGAACAGCTCCTCATCACCAGGGATGAATTCCCCTCGAACCTGGCGAGCCTCGCCGAGAACGGCCTCGCCTGGGGTAAATATCGACCTCACATCATCCCTAGGGAACGGTGTGAGGGACAAGGAGTCGTACAGGCAGCCCTCGCCATCGGAAGCCATTGCATCTGCGCATATCTGGGGCGAGTCAAACGCCCCCACGCAGTCGAACACCAATCTCAGCTGACCACCCGTGACTTTCCTGATTCCTTCGACGCAGCCCTTAGTGTCGTGGTAGTCGAAAGCATGGTCGGCCCCTCTTTCCTTTACTAGCACAAAGTTGGCCGCTGAGCATGTGGTGATGACCAACATGCCACTCAACTTGGCCAACTGAATGGCCATGAGCCCGGTCGTCGTGCTTCCACCATAGATCAAAATGGTTCTCTCAGGAGTTTCCGTAGCCTTATTCCCTACGTGTAATAGGTCCAGCCCTGACTCCACCGTTGGAAATGGCAGCCCCATCAGATGGTAGAATGCACAATACACGGTAGCCAATGCAACATTCACACCCGCAGCCTCAGCCTCACCGACAACTCCACCCATCTCGCCCAGCCGCAGCACCGCATCTCCCTTGACAAGGATATACTCAGCGAAAGTCCCGGCGTTCGGCATGGGCCCAGCGCTGGGTATCGCGAGGCCGGCGATCTTGTCCCCTTTTTTGAGACCGCTGGTCACCGCGGACCCGATCTCGATGACCTCGCCGGCGTACTCGCAGCCCAGGGTGATGCCGGGCGCGAACATGCCCTCGTAGTCGGCGAAGAGGTAGTCACAGGGGTTGATGCCGGCGTACCACGGCTTGACAAGGACGTAGGCCGGGTGCTGAGCTAGGGCGGTGAGGGGCGAGGGGATGGGTACGTCTTCTACCTCGGCGTGCCCGGGGGTTGTCCCTGTTCGGATGGCGCGCATGGTGGTTTTCGTCTCCATGCTGAGCCTGGTCGCATCAGAGGAGCGAGGATGTCAGAGTTATGGGCTTGTCAAAGTAAAAGTTTCTTCCCATTCACTCTGTGAGACCATATCAGCCCGGGGATGAGACGTCCAATTGCGGGGTTCATATAGATCGAGTGATTCAAAGAGGTGGTCGAGACTAAAAAGAGGAGGATTCATCAGCATCCCTCGGTCGGCTCAAAGCTAATGCGGTCAGCAGGCCTGGATCAAGTGAAGATTGCAATTTGAAAAGATTTTAGCGTTGTTTTCATATTTGAATCGACAAAACCCAGACTTTTAGGATGAGCCTCCCGGAGATCATGAGGACGAGTGAGGCTGGCTTGTGATCGAAGCCAGCAAACTGCTCAAAGGACTTCAAGAACCGCCAGAGCTATCTCAACTGAAAAGTTCCAAAAGTGTAATTGAATGCTATCCGCTTTTCTTCTAATATATCCAAGCAACCCCAAACAAATCGATGACTACAGTCAGAAAATGACGAACTTGAAACGTTGTTTCTCTGCTTGTTATCCTCTACTAATACGACCGAAACCATCGCATTGGATTGAGTCTAATTCAAAACGGCTTTACTCCTCGAGAAACTCATCCTAAGAAGGAGGAAGGACTGATAATGTGGAAACTGGGCCAACACCACTCTCATCCAAGCTATCGAGTTCCTTTCAACTACTCTGAAAATTTAAGTTACGGGCAACACCAATCCGATCCTCCCCGAATGGTCTCCCTAGTCCTTGAAATACCCCTTCTTCACAATATCGGCCCACCAGTCCCAAAGGCTCCTCCTCGCCATCTCGATCCCAAAGTTCGTAAGGCCCTCGACATCAACAAATCGCTGACCAGGTGGCCGAACCGGTCGATCCTCGGGGATCGGCGCCTTCATCGTCGGCACGATTGTGACGAATCTCTGCTTGTAATTTGTCATGCCTCGGACATCCTTCTCGAAGCGCTGCAGTGCCACCTTGTCCCCCGACTCCGCGTAGACGAGGCCGCTGCTCGTGGTGGGTCCGCGGCTTGTCTTGGAGACCATGGACGGGATCTTGTGTCGTTTCGCGAGTTTCTTGATTTCCCTCAGCGTCGTGCCTCGCGAAACGCTGACTGCCAGTGGCGGCGTCTTCAAGAGCAGGTGACAGAGGGGTGCGATGTGTGTCGTCATGGCGAACAGTTTCGGCCTGTGTGGGATCGGGATGGACCGTGTAGGTTACTCAAGTTCAGGTAACACGAGTGCAGAATCTGTTCACTTCGTGGCCCCCGGCATGACCAAACTTGGCTTCTGTTACTTCTAGTGAGTCGGGTGGGATGAAATATTAATGATTATCTTCGCGGCAGGAGTCGATTTTCTCTGTCCCAGTCTCCTGCGCGAGCCATTTCCCTGTGAAACACAAAACAGGCTGCCAACCGTCCGTCCCGTCCCGACCTGCAGCAACCCCTCATCTCCTCACGTCGGTGTGCGTTAACAAGCGCCAACCGCTTGGCCAAGTGGCGCTCACTCTGGCCCGATGCGAGATTAATGTTGCTTCTTGGATTTGAGCATGGTGTTTTGGGTTCTTCAGAAGTAAGTATGGCAATTGTCGACCTGTACTGTCGCCATCCGATTCGAGACTTCAGCTCCACGGAGTTGGATAGCAAAGGGAAGTGGACGGCATACCACTCCACGAAAAATGTTTACGACAAATCGATGCCGACACAGGTTAAAAGGATCTGCTCCGCTATCGACCAACTGCTGTCGAAGCCGGGTTTTGATGTCCCCGCGCTCTCGGAGTCGATCGGCGCGCGGTTAACAATCAACTTAAGAACTGGTACGGACAAGGGCAATTTGACTGCCTAATTAAAATATAGTCTTTCCAGCAGCTATTCTACTGCACGGCTTCTTGGAATATTAGCGCCGGTCTTGAATAGGGAAGCGACAGCCACTTCCAGAAATCCACCCTTGACAGCTCATTACCAACAGAAGATTCGATGGAACTACACATTCCGGCTAGAATCTTGCCAGGGCTGGTGTGTGTTCGCGAACGAAGAATCGTCCCGCGATTCCTCGGTAACAATGCTAATGGACTGGGTCTTTAGTATGTGCTGGCGGCCACTGTCGTCGGAAATGCGGTCGCCCATGACGGTCTGTTCGAGGACGCTGTCCCCTTGATGTCTATCCTTTTTGACCCCACTGCGCTGGCTGGAATTCCAATGTTTGTTGTCGCGATTTTCGAGTCGATAAGATGGCGCAAACTGGTTGCTCTTATAACTCGAATCTCCTTTGCTTGACAACAGCACACCGATTCTGGAAAGCAGAGGCCGGAGTCCCGTCAATGACCCGGCCACCAAGCCAAGGTTGTACTCGATGGCCATCCAATACAAGGATTCCGCACCCGCGTCTACAGAACAGCTTTGTTAGCTACTGGTTGAATTTGACCGGAAATAAAATGGCTCCCAACTTACAAGTTGTGTCTGGGGATCCAGACTTGTAGAACTGTATGCTTTCAAATCTGACGGCGGGCGCAATGCAGGCTACGGCGCCGCTGCCGAAGACCAACAGAAGCGCCGTCTTCTTGGCAGAGCCCATGTTGAGTTGTATCAACGCAGGGAATGGCAGAAGGAAGATGATGATGTCGCAAACAAAGAGCAGGACGGCTTGGTACATAAAGATTCCATAGGCAACATCTGACGAGTAGCAGTATTTCGACCTGTCAGGCGACATGAGGAACTCTAGTTCAAACGCATATTTGGGCGGATTGCACTGGAATGCGGCAACTAGTGTGCCCGATATCGTAAAGAGCACAAGGAATATGAGCAGGCCCATTGTCGTGTACTGAATATACGCTAGAAAGAGCAGACTAGGTTAGATGGATATGGGAAGAGAGGTGGCAATAGAGTGCAGAACCTACGGGTTGGAAACACTCGTCGCAATAACAAAAGGATGCTGGACTTGACGGCTAGAGAAATGAACAAGTATATGCATATACAGATGTAGTATAACTAAATTCAGTATTAGCAGCAGCCCTGGTCGAAAATTCAAGAAGTGGAGAATGTACCAAGAACCACATCGCCAAATGCTCTTGTGAAACATTTTGGATATGTTTCCCGACGCCGTAGTATACGACACTCAGCCCAATGCCATTGAATGCAGTTACAGAGATCTAGCCCTGCCATTAGTACTGGCAGTCTTGAGGGACGGCAGTCGTGTTGCATAACTCACCAAACCAAAGAGACAAGCCCAGTCATCGAGTCCAAACGACTTGATCAAGAACTTACGAACCCAAAGCTTTCATTGCCTCATCTGTCAGCAGTTTTCATGATTCCTAGCCAGCTTTCGAATACGTACCCTCGTGCTGCAAACCAAGATTGCCAAAACACCTGTAGATATGATGGTCCCGTACGACACGGCGATCTGATACTTCTCATCAGCGCCAAGCACTGGAGCTTCAGTACTAGACATCTCTATGACATGGGAATCGATGTTCGAGATGGACCAGCTGGGGATAGTGTGTTCAGTCGAAGAGAAGCAAGTGTCAGGAAGGATTCGAAAACGCGATACCTTCACAGCTTCGGGCCTTCGGTTAACTCCGAGGTCCGTCTACATATACTAGGAGGATGGCGACAATGCTCGCAAGGACTCAGGAGTGCTCCTACTTCAAGGGCTCCATCGTCTGCAAATGCCGAACGTGGAGCAGCTTCCTGGGGCCCCTGTAACAAATTAGCCCGACGATCGATCGCGGGGAGAGGAAATTGTCGCTGCCCGCGATGAAATTGTTGGTCCAGCCCTGGAGACTGACGGGACCGCCGGTATCTTACCTGACTCGCCTCTACTGCATCCAGAAGAATCTGGCAGGATTGGCTTACCACTAATGTGCGCAAGAGGGGTGCCATGCGTCTCGGTTACACTCCTTGCCTTCGGTTACGAAGAAATCATGTCTCCGGAAACGCCTTCCGGCCTGATCCTTGGCAGCAGAGACCTCAGCAACGGCTACCGCAACGAAGGATCCCAAAGCGCTTCAACGGTCGTACCGATGCGCCCAATGGGGCTAGTGGGGACTCATCCAGCGCTGCATCAGGGTTTTTGGACTCGTGGGGAAAGGCCTCATTGGCCGGCCCCGACCTGTCAACGCATTGCCTGCCTAAATCAGACCATGACAGTTTTAACTCGCAGATTTGCTATCAGCACTAAGCCTTATCACCCCTAGTGTCAGGGTCCCAAGGCGTGAGCGTCGACGACGCACGGGCGAGTCTCACAATTGAGGTAATTTGCGCCCCAGATAGCTTTTTCCCGGGTTCATGAGTCCCCATGGCGTGAGCCAACGCCCGACATAGCGACTCCACTGCGGCCCCTGACACACCACGTGTCGATCTCTTCCTTGTGTTGATGCGCCACACCGGAGCTTTTCTGTCTGGGTAGACCGAGCAGCTAGAGCAGATACAGAACCTTCTTCCGTCCTAACGCCTGTTGGTCAGGCGGCGTGTACCGCCTACTAGTAAGTACGTACCTCACTAGGGCTAAAAGTCTGCAGCAGTACATATAAGTGTGTTAAACTATAGCTCAAGAAAACACCATGAATGTCTCTCATAAACCATTTACCGACACCATGGCACAATCAGCACAGACGTTTCAGGTTATCATTGCTGGTGGTAGCCTGGTAGGCCTGACGACAGCACTGGCTTTGGAGAAGGCTGGAGTCGATTATGTCCTGTTGGAGAAGCGTGAGATCGCCCCACATATGGGGGCATCCATCTCCATTCACCCTCACACCCAGCGGGTGATGGAACAGCTGGGGGTGTGGCCTGAGATCAGGGCAGGCGTGCTCCCACTCGAGGACAGGCAACACTATGATGAGAACGGTACCTTGTTTGAGGACTCTGCGATACTTCGGGAGATATCCAAACTGTAAGTAACTCAAACTCAGTTACGATTAGGGTTACGTGGCTGAAGCAGACCAATCACAGGTGTCACAACCGGCACACTGCATTTATGGAACGCAAGTTCTGGTTGAGTTGCCTCTATAATACCATCGAGGACAAGTCTCGCATTCGCGCCAACACTGGAGTGGCCTCGTTCGTCGAGTCCTCAGAAGGCGTAGAAGTGACGACGGAGAGCGGTGAGGTGCTCAAGGGGGACATCCTGATAGGCGCCGACGGCGTCCACAGCCACATCCGAAATCTCTTAGCAGACAAGATCGACGCCACGGATGCCGCTGCCGCGCAAAAGATGCGGGAATGCTATGTAAGCACCTACCACGCCATCTTTGCCACCTCGAGGAATCTCAACACAAAGGGAGAGCTGTTCCTTCCGGAGCGCATGGTGCACAACGTCTACTACCAAGGCGCATCTGGCGTTGCTGCCGCCGGTGTCACCGGTCTTGTCTTTTGGTTTCTATTCGTCAAAAGTGACCAGGTGACCAAGACCCCCAACACACCCCGCTTCACCGAAGAGCAGACACTAGCCACAATCGCCAAATATGGAGACCACGCCCTCGGCCCTGGATACACCTGCAAGGACCTATGGGACAGCCGAGTCAAAGCAAACATGGTGCCACTCGAAGAGGGGGTGCTTCAGACGAAATGGAACTCCGGCGGCAGGGTCGTCCTGATGGGAGACGCCGTGCACAAGGCGACGGTCAACCCGGGGCTGGGGGGCAACCTCGCAGTGGAGGGCGTCGTGCACTTGATGAACGAGCTCGTGCCCCTCCTGCGCAGGTGCGGGGAGGACGGCGCGCGGAAACCGACGGGCACTGAGCTGGCGGCCGCGTTCGACGAGTACGAGAGGAAACAGCGGCCGCATGCCGGTATGATCGTGAATGCGTCTGGCTACATCACGCGCTACGAGGCTATGGAGACGTGGTGGCTCAGGGTGGCCCGTCGTGTCTCCCCTTGGCTTAGTGACTTCACCAAGGCGAGTGGTTTTGCTCGGTACATAAATGAGGGGCCGTGGTTGAATTTCTTGCCTAACCCAGATGAGGAGGTGAAAGCTGGTGAGGAGGGTCTGTGAGTTGTGAGTTACGGAGGATGTAATTAGGGAGGCTTAGGATTTGGCGGAGGATCACTGGCATGCTTGGCGTTGTCGAGATGGTTGAAGTTTAATTGGTATCAAACTTTTGTTGAGTCCATAGACGGGTTCCCTTTAATAAGCGTGAAATTGAATTTCATTTCACGATTGATCCTTCGCGCCTGTCGCAGTATGCTGTGGTATCACCAATCGAGAACTTGTATTTTGAAGTGGACCCTCGCTGGAGAGAAACCAAGAGCAGCACCAACGACGTTGACAGCTTCTCACTTCTGGGAATCATCACCAAACAGTCAATCTCGTCTACCGTAGTACGTTCGCGTGCTGAGTCGAGACCATTGAAATGCCCGTCACCCCGTAGATTCCCATCTTGCCTCCTGATGAACTCGCAAGCAGAGTGCATGGACCACTGGTGGGACTTTTCGCTATGGTGCCATTGTGGGTAATAGGGCCGCTCCGCTGAGCTGAATCGCCCGCGGGTCCAGCCACAGGCTGCTGATCAGGGTTTTGCTGATCAACGTCGTGCGACCCAGTGCCGCGGGTTTCCACGGAGCCTCGCCGCGGTGTTGAGGAAACCGCCTCTTGATCGATTCGGCTACGAGGATACACAGGTCACGAGTAATGATACAGGTCGCGAGCAATGAGATAGAATGAAGTCGACGACAGGATCTCTACTGCTAGCCAAGCTGAGTTTAGCTGGGGACGGCCCGCTACACGCGACGTCAGAAACCTTGTCTGACAGCCTGGGGGTGCCCAGCTTGCACGGAACCGAAATTGGTCCGCGACTCATACCCTGCTGAACCCCTAGCCTGATTAGGTTTAGCGTAACGTTCAGCAGCACCTGCCGATATACAGAGCGGCCGGCCCGACCCAGCTCGCTCCCGACCAATTACCAGCCGGGAATACTGAATCATCAACAGACTTCATGGCCAGATTTTACCGCCGGACATTTTTTTGATCTCCAGATTGCACTAACAACAGCTACTATATTATTTATTTTAGCGAAACGGCTAACTAGTATGAGAAGCAATCGGCTATTTGTCCTTGCTAGCGCTGGTGGCCGCACTTTAGAGCTTGCTGTTGAGGAGAAGCCGTGTCCGCTTGCAACCACAAGAAATCCAGCCACGCGTCAGGTCAACTAATTTGTAGCCACCGGTAAAGGGGTTGGTATGCACATCGCAATTATCAGCACAACTATTACACTGTATTTGTCAGGCTACAGTTCGCACTGCCCGAAGCAGTGGCAAGTGAATACCCTCTTGGCAGGAATCTTGCGTGTTTATATACTATATGCTTCCAGCTATACCCTGCTGTAACGGCATCAATTCGCAACATCTTGCATTGTCACTCCTTGTCGCCTTATTATCCCTCTTAATAGTCACTCGTTTTGCTCCTAAAATCCGGAAAACAATGAAGACCCCAGCTGCTGCCAGCCTTCTACTCGGTTCCCTGACTCTCGTCAGTGGAAAACAGGGACATGGTCGGCCTAGACGGACCCCAGGACTCACTGAATATGCCTCTATCTCGCTTCTCGACACGGCCTGTGAGACCGAGTTCCACCCTGACCAGCTCGACGTTGCCTGGGTTGAACTCATTGCGTCAAACACGATCCTGCGGGTGAACCTGACGAGCGGCGAGCAAACAAGGTTCCCGCTCAACAACCCCGTGGGGCTCCCCAGCGGCATGGAGTTCCTGCCGGACGGCAACCTGTGGTTCTCCGAAGTGGTCGGCAACAGCATGGTGAAGCTGGATCCCAAGGATGGCAGCATGACCGAGTATCCATTCCCCTGGACCAACATCTCACTCCTCGACAATCTTCCCGCCGGCATCCGCGTCAACATCGACGTCGCCGGCGGCCGCGACCGCGGAGCGTGGTTCACGTCCGTCGGCCTCAACGCCATTGGCCGGTTCGACATTGACACCCACGAGTACGACCTTTACCCGCTGCCAAACCCGCTGTCGGCCCCTCTCATCATGCAGGCTGGCCCGGGCAACACCATGGTCTTCTCGGAGATCCTGGGCAACAGGGTCGGCACCATCGATGTCACCACCAAAGAGATCAAGGAGTACGAGATCCCAACACCGCTGTCCCTGGTTCAGGGTGTCGCGATCGACCCCGAGGGTCTCATCTGGTGGACCGGCACCGGCGGTGGCAACTTTGGCACCATCAACGTGACCACGGGCGAGGTGACCGAGATGTTCATCGCCGACATCCGCGCCGCGGGCAACTCCACCGTGGTCGATGAGGGTCTTGTCAGCATTGGTTCCTCCGGCGCACTGGCTCTCCCCGGCCCCATCCGTGTCGGCCACGATGGCAAGGTCTACTTTGTGGAGGGCAACCTGGTCTTCCTCGGAAACCGCGTTGCGCAGTACGACCCCAAGACGCAGCAGCTCGTGGAGTATGTCACCCCTACCAGCCTCAGCGCCCCGTGCGATCTCAACAACCAGCAGCCGGACGCCATCTTCTTTGCTGAGTTTACGGGTGCCCATCTCGGTCGCCTGGATTACTAAGGGCGGCAGCTAAACAAGCCAAGCAAGGCGCCACCAGCTAAGAGTAACGGATTTAGAGAGCTAAAATTTAGTTTAACTGGGAAAAGCCCCATCTTTATACTTCATGTAAATAGTAATTATTATTATAGCACCTACCTCTAGAGCATTCTAGATTATGTCTTGCTGATGTGGCGATGGTCCCTAACGTTGTCCCTGACGTGACTGTGTGTGTTGGTAAAGGCGCCACTCCGGAACCGCTCAAATATGTTCACGGCTCCGTAGTGTTCAACCCAACTGACGAACTGCAGACGACCATTCATAATAGAAAAGTCTTTCACAAACTCAATAAGAGGTGGCTACCTAGGAGGACTGAATATCGTCACATGAGTGACCATGGCGATTATGGCAGTCACTGGGGGGTCAGTGAATGGGGAGTCACGTAAGTAAGGGGGTCCATACGTCTTTAAAAGGGGTGCCCTCTGCCCATTCTGCACTCAGAACTTCGCCATTACGCCCCCTTCGAATACACTGCAAACAATCGCATTTTTGCCAGACCCGGTCTTTCCTGCCACACCGAATGCTTCCTCGAGCTCGAGCTCCAGCCTGTTAAGGGCTGTCCACACTTCAAACTCTCAAACAAGAGACAGCTCGGCCTATCGATTATTGAGGTGGACAGCCACACTGGCGCCTCCCAGCATTAAGGCGCCTTCACGCTTCGGGCTATCTTGGTACCTGGATGAAGATGGAAGACGAACGTCAGTGTCGGCAAGCCACGCTAAGCAATGTTGGGTGCACTGGTACGCTGCCTGTCGTCCGATGCCTCCCCTTTAGGCTTTTCGGATCGCCCTCGAGCCATTGGTGAAGCTCCAACACATAACCGTCCTGCCTGTAGATGCTCCCGCCTTCGATTTCTTCCAAAATCCTGATGGCCACCGTGTCTTCGAAGCGCTCTTACTCGATCGATAAGCCCCGGCATGTCTGGAAAACAGATTTTGGCCCGAACGAGCCTGCACGCCATTCCATGAATATTCAGAAAGCCGCCTTTGGAATACTTGCTCTCTATCCACTCAAACACCGCTCACAAGACGATTGCCGGCTGTCCAGACCAGGAGAGCTTGGGTCTAAGCATGAAGGCAGCCAGCGTCTCCATGTTCTTGAATGGTGCATAGCTCATGCTAGAATCTCCATCACAAGCGTGTAGTCAACTCATCTCGGGCAGCTTGTTTGCTGTCGGTGAGGCCAGAAGCGGGTCAGTCATCAGACCAGCCTCCTTGAGCTTGTCCAGCATAGAGCACCAGCTAATATTGTACTCAACCTTGACACGATGGCTCCCTTGAGGTATGGCAAGAATCACATATATGTAGTCATGCTGTACTGCTCTGAACCCATTACTCGTCATCGCGAATGCTTCTTCATCGTGAAAGCTTCGTCATCGCGAAAGTCTTTGTAAATGCCTCGTCATCATAAATGCCTCGTCAAGATACAACAAAACCCCACCAGTCATTGATTATAGCACCATGCATAGTTGCTCATATCTGGAAGGTGTCCTTGTGATGGTGAGTCGTCGCCTCCTGTCCCTCATCATGAATTGTGGGGAGCAACAGGCAATGTAGCACTTGCATTGCAATGATAAGAGCCATAGCCGCCTATCCATTCAGTGTCTTAGTCGGGCGCATATATATCAGGAAAGGTCGCAACGTATTCTGCTAGCTCCGAGATATAATCATCGTCTATGAGTTGATGCTCAATAGCGTAGACTAACTTGGGGAGCACCAAAGTAAGAGGCAGGGTACATATGCTCTAATGATATCCTAGTTCTAGGTGGCTCGCTTAGAGCAAAGGTTCCAATCTATTCCTATTTGGTCTCCATGCAGGTGGGCTGTACCACTTTGGTTTGCAGCCACGGCACTGCCATCATCCAATTACGGTCATTGGACTACCGACTACATGTAAAAACGGCATCGATGAGTTGAACATACCAGAGTCAAGTTTGCGTCAATTTCAACGCCGCCGTCGTCCATGCTTGCCAATCAAATGCATCCAACAAAGGGTCTGGACAGGCCCTATAAGTATGAACCACTGCCGGAACCGACATGCAGGTATCTAACTGCGTTCGAGCCCGGGGGGCTAGGGACAAGAGAGATCGAGGTGCCTCACACGACATACATCAGGCTCGCCACTCTAGAGCCCGCCACCCAGCCGCAGGACGATCTCGTGATCCGCCTTGACACCGTTCCCTTCAATGCCCCTTTCAGCGACTCCGATTACGACGACCCAACCCTGACGGTCTGGCATGACGTCCGCGCCATCCGCGGAGAGGACCAGCCGCCGCCTGAGTACGAGGCTCTGAGCTACGCCTGGGGCTCCGAGGCGGATCCCGCCCGTGTGCGAGTCCGGAGCCGAAGCCACAAACCTGGCTCCGACAGCTACTACCTGTCCATAACGCGCAATTTAGACGACGCCTTGCGCGCATTGCGGAATTATCATCTCGCTGCCGAGGACCCCGAGAGCGCTGTTGCATCCAATTTATCACGCGTCCTATGGATTGACGCCATCTGCATCGACCAGGCCAATGCTGCAGAGAAGGGCCCTCAGGTCGCGATGATGGGGAGTATCTACCAGTCCGCCAGCCGGGTTGTTGCGTGGCTGGGTCCCGCGGACGAGACCTCACACCGCGCCATGCGCTTTATGTGCTCCGTCGGCCTGCAGGTCAACGTGTCGTTCCGCGGGTCAGAGCTCTCGCCCGCCCCAGGCGCCGCCCATCCGGCCCTGGGGGACATCCAGGCGCCGCTTTTTGAGACCCATGACCACGACATGATCCCGTGCCTGACTGCCTTGTTCGAGCGTGCGTGGTTTTGCCGCCTTTGGGTGGTGCAAGAAATCCTCCTCGGAAATCCCTTGCGAACGATCGTGCTGTGTGGGCCTCATGACGCTGTGCCGTGGTCCTTATTTCGCAAGGCCATCGCTGTGGTAAGCTGGAAGGGGCTACGCTTGTCCACGCCTCAGCATAGCCATGCTGTGATCTCGCGGCTGTGTACATTTGTAACGGTGCAGGATAACACGGCATATCTGTCGCGTCTGCGCTACGACTTTGGCGGGCTCGCATGTAAGGACCCTCGCGACAGGATCTACGCCGTGATGAATTTGCTGGGGCCTCTCGAGCGGCGACATCTGTGTATCCGCCCAGACTACGCAAAGCCCGTCGCGAAGGTGTATAGGGAACTGGTGAGACGGGCGATCGGCGTTCTGGGTGATTTATCGATCCTGGAGGAGTGCGAGGCGAGTGCGGAGGGCGACAGGTCATTGCCAAGCTGGGTACCAAACTGGGCTTGCCAGCCTGCATCTCGCGGGCCAAAACAGGGAGTACCATTCGCCTCGGCACAGCTTGGGGGCTGGACCGCAAGCAAGGACAGTATTTTGGACGACAGCAGCGACATTCTGACTCTGGCCGGAGTCAGCGTCTCGACGATCCAGCATATTGGAACATGTTACCCTGATGATATCGACATCAGTGACGAGATTCGCGTCGCCCAGATGCTTTTCCAGGAAGGGCTGTGGGAGCACGACCCGCTGGGGGAGCACGACCGGCTGTGGGGCGTTCCTCTGTGCGAATGGGTGCGCACCTTGTTGACCGGGGAGGTCGCCGAGGCCTTGTCTCCTCCACCGCAATGGGCTCCCACGATGAAAGAGGGTATAGAGACACTCCGGGTCATGCTCGCTGCAGGAACCAAAACACCATCTGGATGTACTTTCGATAAAGCCAATTGGGCATCCAGGAGGAGTGTCAGGTTCCTCAAGAATGCTGGAAATCGAGCTGCTGGGCGGCGCATATGCAAAGACTCACGGGGATCACTCGTCTTGGCCCCACGACTGGTACGCCGTGGTGATTTGGTTTGTGTTCTTTTGGGGAGTGGAAATCATGTGCTCCTGCGACCGACCTCGCCAACAGGCAAGCAGTTCCGCTTGGTCGGAACGTGTTTTGCCCATTGCGCTCTGTGTAAGCCAGTACCCTCCTTGCTAATTTTAAATGTTGCGTTAAAGTCTTTTCTTGTGAGTCGTTTGTTCTAACTCACCTCCATCTTGCTCATGTAGATGGAACTGCATTTCTGGGTCCCGTGCCCCCTGGAATTCGAATCGTCCTCGACCCTCGAACATCCAAAATGACCTTTATATCCAGCAAAACGGGGCAAAGATCCTTTGTTGACCCGCGGCTGTCATACCTTTTCAGTGAACAAAGGCTTGCCGAGTTTGAAAGGTCACTATCTGACAATAACGACTCGCCGGTGAGCTTGCACGAGCAGATTGATCCTGATGTTTTATCCAAGTGTGGGAGAGGGTTAGACGGCAGGAAAGGGGTTGGCATACGGAAATTCGAGATCATATGAATATACGTAGCTTTGAGATATTATCTGCACACATTGTGTTGAGATCCATCATGATCAAACTCTTACAATGGGAGTCATCAAAGTTACCGTGTCTTGTCTGGGCTTCAAGGAGATACCGGGGCCTTGTCCTCATGATACGCTTGTTCGCCCAAACATCCTGGCAACAACCACCGGGCCTACAGCCGTATGTGCCAAGGTAATCGTCACTTCCAATCCTGGATTTGTTTCGTGCATTCAATCTGGACACAAGAATAACCCCCCAGCATGGTTCCATCCCATCTTCAGCGGGAAAGCCTCTTGTGGCAAAGAAGCAGAACTTCAGCCGCCACCAGCACGGTCTAAGATCGCACAAGTTCTGTCTGATCCGCCGTGTATGGCATTACACCCATCTCGATCGAACTTGACGCACGAGATCCAGATGTAGACTCAATCCGTTTTGCCATTCATAATCGTGTTACGCTTTTCGAGAATCCGACTTTCTGCACGCTTTGCCATATGGGTATGCAATCGAAGCCCCTGGGGGCGTGCTGCTGTTATTTGTGGCTGTCGCGCCTTCAACCACTATGTGAACCATCCAATCTACCATCATGCAATTCCTTCCGTTGGGTTAGTGCGTAAAGATCATCAACTGGTTGCCCACATCTCTTTTCACGTTGAGTAATTCATGGCTTGTTCTCGTAAAGCATAATCGAATTCCGAATTTTGGATTGATACCAGTCAATCAAATGTCCGATGCTCTTTGTGAACTGTAATAGTTATGGTGTATCGCACTGGGATGTATGCCTCGTATCTAAGCGTAGCCAGCTGTTCACCACGCTGCTTCCTCATCCTGGCCAACTGAAGGCCTCTTGCTGTGTATACTATTGGTGATCCCATACACCGAGTCTTGTGTAAGTGCCGTCCTGGAGCCCGCATTCCGTACGGGTCCCATCGCGTAGCTGTTGTTGCCACTGGATCTGCTCGGGTACTCTTTGCGATGGCATATAGGCCGAAGCATCGGGAGGCAAGCGCCAAGAATACCAAATGTGATCTCGATGGGGTACAATACTTCGAAAGCGTCTCTCCGAATGTAGGTGTCTGTGGGAGCCTGCCCAATGAAACCCGGCAGCTTCCAGGCCAGAATTCGCAGCAGGGACAGCACGCAGGCACTACACATAACCGTCAGTATTTGCGTAGCAGTTCAAGTAATGAGCGGGGTGTGACCAACATAAAGCCAACTGTAAAAGTAAATAACAGTCGTATCTTGCGTTTACGATTTCGCATTTGCAGTCCCCACAACGACTTCAAGGGGAGGGCAAAGACGACAATATCGCAAACACAGCTTAGAACATCGGGCAGGACACCATACACTACCCACTTCGGCCCCTCTTCCACCGCATCTGGGCCTTGATCGGCCATAACAAAGAGTACGTCTTGGATGCCGACGCCGAGCTGAACACCCATGGAGACCACGCCGCATATGATCACCCAGGCCCCTACAGCCATGATGATGTGGCTCATCCAGGGAATCTGCCGTAGAAGTTCATAGTATATGCAGAGGATTGAAACTCTGCACAGATAGCTTGACAGAAGGTAGAATGTCGAGGCAATGACGAGGCACTGCGTTAAGCTGGGTCAGGCCTTATTGTTCTCCCGTCGCAAGCCCATTCGGTCCTGCTTGTTGAAACGCCCGGGCTATGTGTGGACTTACCTCGACTCTCATTATCCAGAACCCTATACCTCTGTCTTTCAACTCCCAATTGGCGCCGCCTCCGCCTGCAAATACTGACAAACGCTAGATGTTAGTACTCTGCGGTGACTGCGATAGGACCTGAAAGTCTTCCCACATACAAAGAATTATTGGGAGCCAGACTCCCAACAGAGTTATCTGCCATCAGTCAGTTTTTATGCTGCAAAATGTACGACCAATGACCTATACATACGCAGGATAAAATGATCAAGTAATCGCCCCATTTCAGGCGGGAGCGGAGTATGGATTTTGACCATAGTCGCAGACCAACCAGCACAGGCGCTATCGGAGCGAGAACAGCGCATAGAACGACGATCCCCACCTGGAATGAGGAGTTGATGTGTGGTTCCCACGCCATTTTGGGACAGAAAACGGTCGTGTCATCTCAACGAGCGTGAGAAAACGAAAGACAATCAGCACGATGCAAGGAAAGCGAAACGGGGCAGGTGCGTTGGCCGAAGGTCATAGACAAATATCAGGACTAACTAAAGTCTTACGTGCCTGCGTATAGTCCCGAACCCAGGCAGCTAGAAAAGAAGAGTCATGCCACTGCGACGAGCATGTGGGCCGGGGGGGGGGTGTACATCGTGTACATCCCGACAAAAAGACTTCGGCCGCTCCAGCCCCGGAGCTGCAAACGTAACCCTGTGGGCGGGGTACGGGCTCAGCCCTATCGAACACGGTCCATTCACGACCGGCGGAGTGAGCTGACAAGCGAGAGGTTTCTGCGCATCGTGTGCCTACCAGCCCGGGCCTAACACAAGCCCGGCAGTTGGGAACCAACCGGAGGCCGTGGGGCTTCGTCTTACGTGCGTCTCTTGGCGAGGGCCCAGTAAGCCGGAGAGCACTCTGAGGCCACCCAAGAGCTGAACACGTCGCCCGCACCGCTCATTTGTGCAACTCCTGCGTTGATCATGCTTAGGTTCTGTCAGCGTCGCACTTGGCGGATGTCCCCAAATGAACGGGTGTGTGCCTTCCCGGTTCACCTGGGCTGTGTTGGTGCCACACCGAAGTGCTCACCGCCTTGGGGTGTAATGCGCCTCTTAAGAGTACACTTATACCCGTTGCAACAATGGAACTCGAACTTTAAAATCGACTTCTTAAAATATTCTCCGGCGATGGGACGAGCAAAGTTCAATTAAAAGGACAAAAAGACCATTGAATTGGTAATTCTCCCGTGTCAGAACCCTGTGCATGAAGTGTCAATGTCTCTTGGTCACTTCAGCTCTTTCATCCAGTCACTCACACTGCTGAGTCGAGGGAACAGTATGAGTACTAGCGATGTCCCACGAAGACGGGGCGATGAGAAGTTCTCCCAAGGTGATGTGGTCCAGGCCGTGACTCACCGCGGTTGGTGAGTTGGTTGCGCCAAAGGAAAAAGACACCCAAGGCCTGATGGAGAAATGTGAGTATTTGGTGTCAGTGAGGATACTGCAAATGGATTTGACTGCGATGAACGATGTCAATAAGCATTAGCCGGAACACTGGAACAATCGACCATAACTGCGGGCCAACTGGTGCCCTTCAGGTTTATCCTTTTCCTTTTTCCATTTTCGAAGCGGCTGGGAGTGGTCTTCGTTTGTTCTTCAATCAAGGATGCAATTCGATAAAAACCCAGCCAGAAACGGCAGTAATATATAATATATCACTGAGAATTGCGTTTCTCAGTGCGATTAGTGATCGTGATTTGTTCTGGAGAGTTGAAATAATGGGTTTCGTAGGGGCATTTCTCTGATGACAGGCTCTCATGTAATCCAATAGACCTGTCCGGAGAACCGTAACCAGCCTTGGAAGTTGTCGTATGTAAATTGCTTGTTGCCTCTCCATGTACTGGAAGGCCTCTGTGAGCATCTCTAATGTTGTGCTCTCGGTCATGCAATGCGTTGCATTGGAATAAGTGCTGCATCGACCACTCATAGGCTTGTATCCTACGCCTCGAAATGTTGATAGTGGCACCCGGTCATCGGATGTGGAAATTTTACTACATGAGATCGCATCTTTCATCGCTGCCCTGCTTCATGGCTTGGTACTGTCACCGTGTTGCCGAAGCCCCTTGTCACTTGAGACGTTTGATTTGTGTAGAACGAATCCATCTGGCATACATTGAATGAGGATACACCTTAGGCCCTTTGAATTCCCACACCCACACTGAGCTCTTGAGTGGCATGTGATTGAAAGGCGGTGGCTTCTCGAACTAAAGCTTATAGGCCGTCGTAATGGTGAAGAATCTGTCGCGTCAAGCATTCTTGCGGAACTCACACGTACACCTCAAGCTTTGACCCTTGAGCCTTTGAGTTAATGATTAAGATATTTCAATGGCTACTGGAGACACCGGAATCCCTCGAGTGCGTTTGTGCCAAAGCCTTGCATTTTCCAGGGCATGTCGACAAACTTCAATGCACACTCCAAACCTGGACGATGTTCGCCGCAAGACTTAGACTGGCTATTTTGACCACTGTGTGATTCAAATTTCTCATGACAAGGAAAAAGAGTCTACGAAAGACAGAAATTACTTAGCAATGGAGAAGTTGAATGTTCTGAACTACGTCTGACAGTGTATATGCCGGGATGGGGTGGGACGAGGCCGAGGAGGAGTTGTAAGGTATGTCCCTTGTGCAACCAGAACCAGTGAAACATTGACTGTTGGAGGTTGACACAACACCCACGCGATGCCTGGGGATCTCCCGAAGTCCCCAGCACTTGTATAGAGTGTCTCTCTATAAGACTGTCCACATCCCGGTTTGGATTTCTTCAGAGCAGTAAAGCTATGATGAAACCCGTATCGCGGAGATTAGCCATTACCGCCTTGATAAGAGCAACTTAGGAATATGTGGCAAAGAAGTATAGGGTACTTAGGAAGTGATTAAAGAGTTTAGGACCATTACAAAAGAATAATGACCCAGACACCAGTCAGTCTAGTTGAACTAGAATCGTCCTATTCGTCTACATACCATATACTTACACTAAATTACTGCAAATTGATTGCTCGTCGCTCTGACATTAACATTCGATGTAATTATTTCCTTCCAATAAGATATGGCGGAATGCGAATCTGGATACAACGAAAATTCCAGGTGCATGGTAGTCAAGCTGGTCCATACATCCCAATGATGAGTGTGGAAAGTTTCATGAATGACGTTGGTGTTTATGGATAGATAAATGTTCGTTTGATGATGATGTATGTACATGTGGAAAAATGAAGAATTCATTACTAGTAGTGTCTGTGAACATCATGACTGTGGCATGAGCTTTTTGAAGTTAACGGATAAATGTTTGCCTAGGAAAAAGATAGAAGTTGGATCGACTTCTTGATTTTATTTTCCGTTGGAAGTTTGAAAAGTGAAAAAGACATTGTTGTGGGACAATTTGACTGTCGTGCCCATTTGTAGAAACAGTCCCTCTCTTTGACGGAGGCGCGCACAGTGACTGGCATGATTGAGTTTGTCACTGACAATGCCTCTTCAGAGGGCTGGTGGGGGCATACAAGGATATTTCGACCTGTGTCCCTGGCATTCCTGAATGGCACCTTTCGGCCACGCTCTGTTCACATGAAAACGAGCTCGAGGAACTTTGGAAGATGGTGCAGGCTGCTCACAGAACCACAGACCAATCTCACCAAGCAAGACGTGGGCATGATGAAAATGACCACAAATTTACAAATGAGCAGAATTTCAAGAATCTTTGACATAAATGAGGTAGCATATGCCCCCCCCAAGGTTTGATTTGGGCATATTTGACATGGTAACGTGGTGGGAAAGAGGAAAGCAGATGCATGAGGATCATGGGCCCAAAATTTGATTGCAACTCAATCAATGCTAGACTATGGCCTCCCCACCCAAAATTCCATATTAAACCCAAGGCAACGCCTGAATGGTGCCATCTATGATTCCACCGACAAAAATTGACTATCCCCCACGTCCCTACACCAGGATTCATGCACATTCCAGAATCATTCATATTTATGGGACCACCGGCTCCAAGGCCCTTATCGACGGGGCGGCTTTTGTTGCACGTTTCCCGGAGCATGCGTGCCATTATTTGATGTTGGGTACTGTGACCCGTTAACTGAAGGTTGAGGTACAAGGGGAGCGAATTGTGGAGCCACATCCGGATTTTGGGGACCGTATGAACCCGGGGGAACAAGGTCTGGAGGAGCGCCTCCGCGCCGCTGGCGCTGCATGTCAATGGCTGCGGCTCGCGAATACGCATCAGCTGGCATCTTGTTCTTCGGCTGCTTGTGGCCTGAGGACGGAGGCCGCGCGTGGTCAGCCTTCGCATTTGAGCCTTAGGGCAGAGGTAGCTGACCTCTATCGTGCATGTTCGAGACTGTGCGCTGGACAGGCTGCCCTCCATGACGGTGTTGCACGACATCAAGCATCTCGTGCTCCTCGTGATTCAACTTATAGACCTTGCAACCTATGAACAGCACGAAGCCCCACTGGGCGGAAGCGAAGCCACCCAGCATCGCACTAGCTGCGATACCGATAGTGCATCCAGGTCTTCTGTTGTCTAAGCACTGGGCCTTGCGCAGCAAAACTGACCAGCCCTTTATCTGTTAGGTACTGATGGAAGTTTTGAGGCTAATGGAGAAGCTTACTGCGAGAATGCCGGTGGAAAACAGAGCGTGGGCCAGCTCCCAAACAAACAGGCGTTGCCTCGACCTGTACATGTGTGAATCCTTGGACCGGGTGAAGAAGTCGTACCGTTCCTGCATTATGGAGATGACGAAGTTCCAGAGCAGAAGTACAGTTGCCGTCCAGCCCACGGTCATCATTGGAGAGTTGAAGAGCGCGTCTTTGTCGACGCCCCAGTGGAACACGAGCGATGCCATGAGCATAGCACATATGAAAATTGCGACGGCCTGAGGTTCATCAGTCATAATCGTCCGTAGCATCGGTGGCAGTGCCGCAGCAATTCACCTGGCTGATAGTCGCGCCCGTTCTAAAACGCCAGTCGTATGGATGTTGGACAAGCCCGCCACAGATTCTCCGGCGGGACTCGTCAGGCCGATCGTTTTGGAGCGTGGAAGCCTGACCGTTCGACAGCATGCTGAACTGATCGTTCGCCGGCATGGTACCTTGTCTGCTGTATACGGACATGGCGGTAATGCGAGGCTGTTCTGTGGTAAGTCGCGTTACAAGCGATGTCGAAGTAGATGCCGAACTGGAGTTTTGAAAGCCCCGGCAGCGTCCTCAAAGGAGACTTTTGAGGCTTTCCGTTGTCGATCGTGTCACTGATGCCGATAATGTTGATAGCGCCCGTCCCTGTCGATGATGTCGATGGTGTATGGCTAGAAGGTGGACCAAAACGTACCCAGGCGATGCGTAGACGAGGCGCAGCTTTTGTGTTGGAAAGTGGAAGAGAGTGGGAGCTTGGGAAAGGAGGCGAGCTTTTATAATTTTGTCGCCAGGTGTAGGAAGTGACTCGCACGCCACAACCTCCGGAGGGCTCATGTGAGTCTGTGACTGGATTTTATCTGCGCTAGAGGATGTCGCTATGTACATGAGGGGCAGACAAGGAGGGGCAGTCAAATAGCCCCGGGATAAACATTGGACTGAAGACTGGTGATAAGAGACTGAAGAACTTTATGCCGACGCTTAGGCCAATGCCTGGACGTCGCTCAGGCTGCTCGCACCATCGGATGCTCTCGTCGAGATGCCACCCTGAGCCAGAGAGATCTCTTTCTTCGCATCATCCAAGACAACGACAGCAGCCGAAAAGAACGGAGCCCCGAGAGTGCAGCTCGACTCGCCGAGGAACGCACTCAGAACACAATACCCAGGCTCGACACCGTCGAGGTAGCCACGCACCAGGTTCCTGTACGGCAGGGAGATAGTGACGTTCTTGAAATCAAAGTTAAGCGTTGCCGAGGCCGGGATCGACTCGCAGGAGCCTTCGTACGCTAAGACGGATGTGAAAGGGACAACGGTGAGTCCGGTGATGTTTGCGATCTCTGTGCTGATGGGCAGCTCTAGGTTAGGGCTACCGCTGTCTAAGAGGCAGGTCGCAGGGGTAAACTCTAGGGGAATGACGGTCGTGGCGCCGGTGTTGTTTAGGGGTGCTGTCTTAAACCCTGGTGTCGTCGCGTAGTAGCTGCCTTCGGTCCAGTCCGACCCGACTGTGACGAGGCTGCCGCTGTACTTTGAGCTGGGCGGCAGGGCACCGATGAGTGCCGTGCCACTGTAGGTGCCCTTGAGGTCATCTGGTGCCTGGTCGAACCATGTGCTCAGGGTGTTTGATGATACCAGACCGTCGTCCAAGAGGTCCCTGCGGAGATCGGAGCCGGGACCCATGCCGAGGATGCTGTGGTCGGTGCTATATCCGGCGCACGTTGTGTCGTCCCATGTTGCGAGCAAGGTCTCGTTGGACACCGAGACCCTTCGGTTTGGCAGCTTGGGGTAAGTGGTCTGGGCGAAACCGATGGTGTCGTTCATGGTGTAGAAGGTCTCGACAATGTGCGCGTTTCCGGCGTAGGAATATGAGACGATAGAGTCTACTGCCGGAGTGTGTGTCGTTGAGACCGTCCAGTCATAGAACGGTGTGAGGGTCTCGTTGCACGGGCCCCTGCTGCCCTTGTATCGGGAGCCGTAAAAGGCGAGGTTGTCGGGCCCTGCGACCCAGAAACCATCACTGCCGGTGTCGAAAACGGTCTCCACTGAAGAGTTCTGCCCTGGTGTTCCCCAGACGATGTCTGCCGTGATCTTGGGCAGGCCTCCATACTTCCAAGTGAGTGGTATCGCAGCGTATCCATTCGAGGACCGCGGACTTGGCGCCGCTGTCGAGACAGCGACCACCGCTGCAGCCGACAAGAGTTGTGGGAACATGACGTCGGGCAATGTGTGCTAAGTCCAGGCACTCTCCTTCTCCTGGAGAAAGTAAATGATGATGCTGAGCTTTGGGCAGAGTGGACGTTTTGGTCGCGATGGATGGATGCCTGACCAACCGAGTCCAGCTTCCTGCGAGCCAAGCAGTATAAGACTTCGGCACATCGGCGATTTAAGCTTTAACAAGATTACACCCACATCTGCTGCACGGCCGGATACCACGATAGGCCAACGATCATGCATGGATGGTTCGTGGGGGTTCGGTTGAGAGTGGAGACCGATGGTGGGAAACAATGCGAAGCTTTCTGCCAAGCTTATTTTTAGAACCACTCGGGTTCTATTCACCATCCGTGGCAACGACGTGCGCACACGGACTTTGTCCGTCCCTCCTCTCTCATCGTTAGTTCAACGGTTGACAAGGGCAGTCAGTATTCGCACCACGAGTCGGCCTCTTTCAGAATCAAGAACCGATTAAGTTTCCCATGAAGCAGCAAGGTTAGAAAATGTGGTCCGACACGAGAGTGTTGTGCCATCGCGTGCAAGAAGAGGCAGCGATTCTCCTCCGAGCTATGCTGTTTGAGGCATGTGCTGGATGGAGACCTCGTATTGCTTCACATGTCCTAACATCCCCTCCAGAACGCGGCTAGGATTGCCCAGAGAACCCGTTCCAGGGGTACATTCGCCTGCCATTCTAGCTCCCGACGGAAATTACCTGCCATTATGCCGTATATGCACACCATCAGATCCACAAACAGGCGAAATCCCGATCCTGCTTGGCTACATCACTCATGATCCGACAAGAACTTCGTGGATCCATTACATAACAAAGTATCTAGTCATCACCCGACGCCTTACGGTCGGATCACGTCGACATCGTCTACCACGCATGAGTTTCGAGCACTCAAGCAGCAGATTGGCCGGGAATGAGAACCAGAACCAGAACTATTACCGGAGAAGCCGGATAAGAGCACCGAAACTTCTTTTCCTGAATCCATCCCGACACTTTGGGCAAGGCAAGAAGTTGCTCGCCTTCACAATGGTCAGCAGAACAGCACTTTGTCTTGTGGCAACGTTAAGCGCAAGCTTACAACCTGCCGACGCTTCAATTACCGGAAACTGCATTTCTGTTCCATTCGAAAGAATCTCGGGGCCGCCGTCTGGTTGGCAATACCACTCAACGCCTGAGAATACTACCAAAATACCTTTCAGAATCGCCTTGAGATACCCTCATCATGGCTATCTCCGAATCGCTCACGAGGTCAGCGATCCGGATTCCGCGCAATATGGCGTGCATTTGAGCAAGGAACACCTCCTCCAGGCTATGCCAGACGTCGAGTCCAGCGCCACAACTGTCCAGAGCTGGCTTCGTTCACAAGGCATCAGATCGACATATTCAGAGGCTGGAGGCTGGGTGACATTCGACACGTCAATAGCAGACGCAGAAGTTCTATTCGATGCGGAGTACGCGTTTTATAGCCACAACGGCTCAGCACCTGTACTGCGGACCTTGTCCTACAGCATCCCCGAATGCATAGCCGGAGACGTCGACTTTGTCTGGCCAACAACACAATTCCTGGTGTCCAGCCTTGCGGCCAAGAAGGAGCAGCGAGGCCTGAACTCTCGGCGGGTTGGCCCTCGAGACATCGTGGACTGCTCCTCGAACACTTGCCCCTCATACCTGCAGAAGCGATACAATGTCACATACTCTCCCCCGGATAAGACATCCGGGAGCAAACTCGCCCTTGCCGGCTTTCTTGGCGACCATCCCGATACCCAAGACCTCAAGTCATTCCTCAAATCCTACGGCCTCCGCAACGACTCGGACTACCAGAGCTACAACTTCGCAGTCGAAGCAGTCAGCGGTGGGAGCATCGATGACACTCCGTCCTCAGCTTCGGTTGAGGCGATGCTTGACACGGAGTATTCTTCCACCTTCATCAACCCCTTGGACACCATCTATTTCGCTACAGGCGGTCGCCCACCGACCTGGTCCCAGCCCGGAAACGTCACCGTCCCCGATTCTCAATCCGAGAACGAGCCGTACCTAGACCTCATCAACCACCTCCTCCAGCTCGACGACCCACCACAAGTCCTCTCCATGTCCTACGCAGACGACGAGCAGTCCGTTCCCCCAAGCTACGCAGAGCGGGTCTGCAACGGCTTCGGCGCCCTCGCTGCCCGGGGCATCACAGTCATCGCCTCGAGCGGCGACGGCGGCGGGGCGGGGACGTCATTCGGGACCTGCGTCGGCCCCAGCGGCGAAGAGCGCTTCATCCCGACCTTCCCCGCCTCCTGCCCATGGGTCACGTCCGTCGGCGCCCTCGCGGCGTGGGGCGGCTCCGCGACGTACTCGAGCGGGGGCTTCTCGAACTACTTCGCCGCGCCGGCGTGGCAGGCCGACAGCACGGCTGCCTACGTGGAGGGCGTGCTCGCCAACAGCAGCAAGATCCCGGCGGGGTTCTATAATGCCTCCGGGAGGGGGATCCCCGACGTCGCGCTGCTTGGGGACCGGTACCCTGTCATCACCAACGGGGAGACGAGCTTGCAGAAGGGGACGTCGGCCTCGGCGCCGTTCTTTGCGGCTTTGATTGTGTTGATTAATGATATTCGCCTTCGGCAGGGGAAGTCTGTTGTGGGGTTCATCAACCAGCTGCTTTATTCTGAACAGGGTCGTGCCTCGATCCGGGATGTTGCGGATGACACAAGTTCCATCGAGGGGTGTGAGCAGGGGGAAGTGTTTGTCAATGGCTACCAGGCTGCTCCGGGGTGGGATCCTGCTTCGGGGCTGGGCGAGCCTGGATTTGAAAGCTTGAGAGCGCTCTTCGTGTAGACTCTATCCTCAGTGACATTATTCAGGAGGTAATGGACGTTCTCGGGGGTAAATCAAGATCGTGGCAAATATTTTAGATGCCGGTAGGGAAACAAGACAGCAGCAAGTGGTCTACGCTTTTCTTGTTCCTGGAGACCAGGCGCTGTTTTCCTTCGTGTATGCTGTCAATTTGGCCAATGAGTCACGTCACAGGTCGAGAGAGGTTCATTCAATGGATGCCAGTGCGAAATGGGACACAGGGTCATTCATCAAAATCCATTTGATCATTGCTCCCTTCTGTATGTAGCTTCTTCCTTCCCAAATATCCTGAAATGATTCCACCTGGTGGCAAAGATATTCCTCGCTGTGAGCAGGAATGACTTCATAAGTGTAGCCACACCAGAAGGCCCCAAGAGTCTGAAATGTTCTGAACTATAGAAATGTTCAAGATTCCAAAATTAACAGGAAAAGAAAAATACCTGGGCCCGAAATCACCGGTACAGGCATCAGCAGCGATGTACTCGTGCGCACCTAGAAAGACTCTTTTCATTTCCTTTCCCTCGTCCTCATTGACCAGTCCCGCACATCCTCACCTGTCCCATGTGGAGGCTAGGGACGGTAAAACCTGGCTCTGAGTTCCGGAAAACTTGCGACATAATCTTCGTCCTAGTTAACCCTAGGTCCATGCCCGTCAGCCCAGAAGGCTGTATGAAAAGTGTTCTGAGATGTCAAGGATTCTCTGTCACTCTGATGCGCCGAATTACCATGATACTCCGTCCGATAAATGTTCGATCTGTGGTCAGAACCACAAGGCGTTATTGTGATATCAGGAACTCCCCGTTCCACCGGATGCTCGTGGCTACGGCGTCTGCTCCTTTGTGAGCTTGCACCAGTTGCGTGACGATAGATACTGGGCGCCGAGGATCCGCCTGGACGAGATAATATGCTTCCCCGTTCAGATCTTAGGAACGAAGCGGAGTTGACCAGTACTCTCTTCGGGCGCCTGATTTCTACCCGTCTCCTTTGGCTCGTGCCATTCATTCCTCGGCGAGACACTGTACTGTGCCCACTGAGGTCGCTGTCAGTTGAGCTTGGGCTGGCCCGCCCACTGCTTGAAAACATGGTTTCGATTTCCCGTTCCGCTTGTCCATTTCTCGCCTGATGATGTTGGGAACCAGGTCCTGCAGCCCCATGTGGTTGCTCATATTGCATACCCGCATTCGCTGTATGATACAACGCGTGTTGACCTCGAGACCGTGGTTCTTGGGTGACCTGATGATCATTATATTAGCGTTGAACCACCAGAATGAGATGGCCAAGTGGATATCCTCCGGCCTGTTCACGCTTGCTCTTCTTCATCCAAGGTCTTTCATGACATCCAGATTGCGTGATGTACTCACCTGCCTCTGTCGGCCTGATCTTGCGTCTTCCGCGGGCCTTGTTGGACATGCCTTTCTGACTTCAGATCTCCATCGGCTGACACCATTTCCTCCGTGGCGGTCGCTGGGCCCATGTCGTTGCTCCATATTCCTCCTTCCACCGTCGGGGTATCCTCGGGTTTGTGCCGCCTTCCTGCGGTCTTTGTCTTCCCTCTCCCAAGCTTCGGCTTGCTCGCGCTCCTTCTTGACCCTTTTCTTCTCCTGCTCCTCCTTCTGTTCCTGATCAAAGGCGTATCCGGGCATGAGTTCCATTTCCCACCTCGTACGCTCCAGCCCCTCTTTCAAATTATCACGGGCATGTCTCAGCCGTTGCATTGTCCGACTGTACGACCGAACCATTGAATAGATCTGAAAAACTTGCATCAAGACAGCCAGGCCAACAAAAGCGTCCATACCAAGAATTGCGAAGCACCCCTCGTTGCTAAGGGGGTTGCACGGCGCGCCCTTTCTTAAGAAGGCCACCGCGTAAGCCTTAAGATCATGTGAGTACAAGATCAGCATTTGGATTCGTAAAGGGGCAGTTGGGGTGCGATGAGGATCGATAGCTTACACAACCAATCCCAAAAGAAAAGACCAAGACAAGAACCTCCATCACGATGTAGGCAACGTAGCGGCCGTAGACCTGGCGGACCTTGCGATCCCCCCAAGATGTCCACAAGAAAAAATGCCAACAGCAGAGGATGCAACAAAACACAACCCCCAAAACTAAAAGCCAAGCAAATTTCGTGCGCACGTCCTTCACCACGGAGATGCCAGGGGTCGAGGGTATGTACAGGGATGCGGCAAGTGCGGCAGATGCCGCAGTGCATAGAAACTGCGATAGAGAGCGAGTCGTTATTTGATGTTATACATACATCGTCATCGTCCTGACGGTGGGGTTTGCATAACTTACTTGAAATCCTCTGGTCCATATTATCCACTCGTCCTTCCTTCTAGTCTTCTTCTCGAAACTCCGTTTTCGGTGACGGTATCTGAAGATAGTGTGGATCAGTTGAGTAATTTCGATGACTACCCAGAGGAGCAGAGCAGCAGTGATGGCCATCACATTGGAGCAGCCCGGCGTGGTTGTGACCTGGCAGCCCGCAGGGGTATTGAGAACGGAAGTGATGTATGCCTTTCACATTCACCGTCAGTCGAGGTGCAGTTCCTTGAGCTCGAATCGAGAATACTCACAATGCCGAAGACGCCGTTCGCCAGGATCATCAAAACACCGCTGACGAGGAAGTAGAAGCGGAACAAGATCGGTCGGCGTTCGAGCTTTGTAAGTATCCGCAACTTGAATATAGACAAAAAGCCCCAGATAAAGGACATTAGGTTTAATATCAGGAATAAAGTGATCCAATTGGCATTACTGGTTAAATCGGGCCCAGACAATGCCACTGGTCCCGCTGGTCTTAAGGTACCAGCCGACAACGCGACACCGATGATGGAACATACCACCTATGAGAATCGTTAGCTGATACTCCACAGGTTGGGAGCTACCAGTGTCCGTGCCTGGAATATCGCACCGCAGCGCACCAAAGAGCGGAACCAGTGGCAAACATCATCACGTCGGCGGTGGCGGTGGCGGTAGGTACTGCGGCGCGAGTACTCTGACGGAGTGAGAGGTGGTAGGGAGTGTCCCACAGACGAGCGCGATGATTGGAACGACTCTGAGCGAGAGGCCGAACGCTGGAGAGACTCCGAGGGATAGCGGGAACTCATGTTGACAACTTCTGGAAAAGCCTTTCCCGCCAAATGAGTCAAAACAAAACCAAAAAAGAAATGTGTGAAAAACAAAACGCGACAAACTGTCTTGGTTATGTTCATGCGCCCATATCTTGGACGTTCTGAGCATCTCAGAAAATTGCCGGGGCGAGGAAAGCCAAGTAGGTTTTATAGTTCCAGGTTCCAGCACGGACAGCCACTGACAAAATGCCGTAACTCACTCACAGCCACGAGAGAGTCAAATTGGCTACTGACTAGCATTTCCGTAGAATGGATGGCAGAACGGCGGGGCCTGGAAACCCCGCCGCCCTGTCATATGACTATCTGGGTTTCGTAGAGAGGGATTCAGTCTCCCGCTGCTGAAATCAGAAGAAGGGGAGACATCTCAGTTTTGGTCGGGAAGCCATACATTTAATTACGTCTTGAGGCGAGGAAACCAGTGTGCTCCTGCTTCGCACCCATGCCATCATCAACACTCAAAAGTAGTTACCATGGATGCTGACGTCTCGGCTCAATGATATCTCACAGTGGCGTCGAGTGCAAGAGTCTTATTGACGATATCCTGCCATACTTATCGATTTAGGATAAAAATGTTTACGAAAGATATCATTCTGGCACTTTACATGTATCGCTCCGTGGCCAAAGGGCCCGAATCAGGCTTTGCTCAATCCGAAAGAGCCAGAAATCCAGGCCGAGGCCGAAGACTGGGTCAAGGAAACGAGTGAAGTAGTTGGATTGCATAAGGATTTTAAGCTTGAAAAGAACTGGGTATCAATGCCAACATGCCTCGTTGGACCCAGGCAGATCCTGCTCAGTCTTGAAACCCCTTGGTCTTCCCAATCCAGCCCCACACCTTTGAATCGGTGTCGTTCTCATATGGAGGAGGAAAGGCTTCCTCAGTCAGACGAACATCTGGTAAAGGATGCTCTTCGTTGTCGTCCGTGGGATCAGGTGTGTTGGTTTTGCGAGCTCGTGATCCAGCTGCTTCAGTGTTGTCAGCATCGCCAGGGCCATACAGGCGATCATACTCCGCTTTCAAACTTTCCCGAGGTGATGTTGTCTCCCCGGACGAGTATGACGGAGGACGATCATTGTTCGCTTGTGAAGCTATTGAGTTGCGGCCCGAACTGCAAGGCGTGACTTTAACAGCAGGAAGCGGCGGATGATCCGACGAACAAATCGATGGTTCGGCCAACGCGCGCTGATGCGGGGTGAGGCGACTCAGGTCCTCATAGGAACTCATCGGAGACACCTCTGGAATGTGGTGCTCCTCGAGACGACGCCTGCTCCTGTGCGAACTGGTAACAGTTACGGTTCGCTGTATGCTGGGTGCCACGGTTGCGCGTGGGTGAGATGATGGGCTTCTATGCTGAGATCTTGGGAGCCAGGGGGGACTGCGATGGCCCAGGATCGTGTTGTTTTCCGGGTATGGTGTTGTTCTTGCCGCTGTTCTCGTTCCCGTCGTATCTCCGACGATTTGCTTCTTTCGACTCGCATTGCTTGGCGATCGGTGGTACTGCGTTCTGGGCGCACTCGGAGGGGTAAATGCTGGCCCTGGCAGGTGTCGAGCAGTGCTCATAAAAACGGTTCCTTGTACTGGCTGCCCATTCCTCTCTTGAAGCCATGAAGCATATCTATCATTGCTTCGCTTTCTTCGACTGCTGGTCTGGTGGCTGACCGTTGTGGACGTCCCTGTCTTCGACGCCCGACCATGGTGTCTTGCGGGGTGTTGTAGATCGGCGTGTGGATGTCGTTGATCCCAGCTCTCCATACGAGCCATTTCAATATCATATGATTGAGGGATGTGGGCCTTCTCTGGTTCCGCAAGATGCGGCAAATGCCGACGGGCTCGCCTCTTGGTCTCTCTCTTAGACATTGCTTCCTCCTGAGCCTTTTTCTGACGTCTCTTTGGATTCTTTTGATTTTTCTCTTTCGCCTTTCTCCGATGCTCTTCCCTGAGGGGTGGCATGATGTACCCGTATGAACACCAAATAACCCAAAGCTGATAGACCTGTAAAACACCGAGAAGAAGGGCGAAGCCGTCCGTGACGGCAATCAAATAGCACCACTGATTGCTAATTGGATAGCAAGGAGCGTCTTTGATAAGATATGCCGCAAAAAAGCCCTTTGGGATTGTGTAAGCCAAACCTCGGGTGCAGACTGGAGGGCGTGCCATGAGGAGGGGGCAGCGTGTTGATTGTGGACGATTTTGAGACTCACGAAACAGATTCCAACGGGTGCCAACAGCGCAAGCCACTCCACCACAATGAAAAGAACATACGAGCCGTAAGACTTCTCAAATGGCGACCACGGCCATATGTTTATGAAATGCCAGCCACAGATTAAAGCACAAACCCCGCCTCCGCCGACCAACAACCCGCCATGGAACCCTGTGCGCATGCCTTCTGCCACATGTATTCCTGCGGGAATGAACGAAAATATTGCGACCACGGCAGATGCCCCAGCAAAGAAAATCTGCCGCATAAAATGTGAGCGATTGACAAATGAAAACGAAAACCATACTTGTGCGGGTATGTGCCAAATACCTGGTATCCCCTGATCCACGATTCGCTTCCGCTTTTTTCATCGTCCTGCATGCCTCTATATTTCAAAAGAGTGACAATGAATGCAAAAGTCTCCATGGCAGACCACGAGCACTCGAAGACAATCATTGAAGTAGCCGTACTGCAACCTTGCTTACTTGCCCGGCAGCCATTACTGCTCAACATAACCACCAAGACATATCCCTACCATTGTCAATACTGCAAGCCACGGTGGAATGGTCGATGATGAGTAAGGGTACACACAATGATAGTAGTGATCATGGCGAGAAGAATTATAGAATTTGTAAGGAGCCAGAAGCGAAACAGGGTCGGGTGACGTGGGAGCTTCTGCAGCAGGCCTTTCCTGACTACACCAGCCACGGACCAGACCAGGCAGACGGAATTCGCAAAGATGAATGTCAAGAGCCATATCTGGTTGTCGGCTGCAGGGAGTGGTGGTAATTTGATCGGGCCGCGCGGTCTCCAAATTCCAAGCGACAACGACAAGGCAATAAGAGAGAGAGTAAACTGCGCACGCCGTTAGTCGAATAGGAACCTGTGATTTTGATGGTGGCGGGATATCCTTGCCTGTATTATCCCGAATGAGCGCCACCACGTGCACCATCCGAATAGCTCACCGAAGTGGATGCAACCGCCTCCGCTTACGCTGTGGAGAGAAGCTGTGGACATTGAGGCGAAGCTCGTTGGACGGATTTCAGTGTCAGGTGACAGACAAACAAAGACTTATGTATCTGATGATGAAGGATCTCGTTGCGGCTGTTTTTTGTGTGCCGTGTGTTCATATGGATGTCGAAGTCGCTCGCGGACGAGGCGGGTCAAGAAGGTTTTATACCTGGGCAAGGAATCACTGACACACTCATATGCAGGATGCCACCAGTCATAACCAGCCACGAGAGAGCCAGAGTCACTACTAGCTGGCACGTTTGCAGATCCAGATGGCAGAGGTAAAAGGCTGGCAATTTCGGCGGGCCGGACCCCGCCATTAAGGCTCTTCGATCCTGGACACGGAAGATAATAGGGTGAGAGGGGATTGACCACTCAACAGTGGTAAGTACTGGAAGCCATACCATAACCGAGTGCTTGATGGGGAGTTCCAGGCAGCCATCCATCGGAGGGGCCATGTAAAAAAGGGAATCCCAGCATCCACGCTGATCTCAAATTTGCTTGTGGCCCATACTTTACTTCGCTAACAGTTCTGTCTTCCAAATCATAACAGGCTTTGCAAGGGCCGTGAAGGCCAGGGAAATGGCGAGCCATGGACAAGTGTTTTGAAAGATAGATGTTCTGGCAGCCGGATAAAGATGGCTTCGCGACAAATGAGCCTGCCCCACCGAGGACCATCACACGCTCGTCCAATTGTTGATGGTGGCTTGATCAAGTCACTCACCTCCAGGCTTGTATACAACAGGGGTCCAACAAGACTCGTCCATGAGGTAGCCAAGCTTTGCCCTTTCCTCCTTTTCAACACGAGAAAACTTCCACAGAACAAAGTTTCATTGCTTAGCTCACCATGAAATTCTTCACGAAGACCTTCACGGTCCTCGCCGTGATCATGGCATATGCGCACAACGTGTTGGTAGCGTCGGACGACGAGATGGCAACACTCTGTTTTGACCAGTTGACGTGGTTGCCGTACATCAACGCCTGCTTCTTCAAGCCTGAGAAGAGCGACGCCGGTCAATGCAGTATGAACTCCATCTAGTGTGGCATTTGAAATGTCGTTCTGACTTGGCTCAAGAACCCTTGGATCACCTCTTCGACGGTATCGACTGCACCGGTCCTCCCGACGTCAAGTTCGAACCGACCAAGATTCTGGTGGGCGAACCTTACACCTGCTACCTTTTCAAGTAATTCAGCGGGTTCGATGCCACCCGCCTCACACTGTTGGATATTTCCGTATCACGCATTTCACGGGTTGGTTGAGTGTTGACATGGCACCCTTCTGCAGGTCAGCGGATTGCTCAGGTGATTACGAGCAGTTCAAGGGCCGATCCGACATATACGAAGTCACCTCTGACTACTGGGGACTTCGCTGCGATCAATCTTCCTAGCCGAAATTTCAGAAGCATTGGAGATTTCAAAGGCATTATCATGGCTGTAGGAAATCTGGCAACGAGCACACCGAGGGTTGGGCTCGGACGCGTTGGCAGTGAGATCCAGCATACAGCTTTGCCCACATCCATAGGCGGCGAATGGGACCACCCCACGGTAGTTTTGGAAGCGATCAATTGGAAGGCTATGATTTCCTGAACAAATAATGCCGATACATGACACGTTATTGTGTGTCCCGTGGGGCACGGCGTGACCAACAGCGGCCTGGCCGTCTCCAGCGTCGAATGACACCCTGGTCTTGCATAATGGATTCGGAAAGTGCCCTTAGTCCGCGAGAGATGCGGTGCTCGCATGTCTTCGAGCCTGTTGATTCTACCACTCGAGTTAACCGTCCTCTTGACAGCACCAGCAACTCTACACACGTTACCATACTTTGAAGCAACAGATGCGGAGTCTCAGGTATATGGCACAAGCATTCATGGATTGACAACTTTCTAGGCACAGAGTAAGAAGAATTTGGGATAGAGGTTGAACAGGTGGGGTCGATGAAAGTTAAAATTGGCTCCTCTAGCAACAGGTCTTGGCCTGATCCCAAGCTCGGTTATCTCATTCTGCACCAGTTTTCCCTTCCATGCTGAAGAACTATGAATCTATTTATAACAGATGTTGCAAAGGATACACCACCCTTGCATCACCCCTCACGGCATGTCTACCGACTCATCGCTCAGGCTAATAGCCGCATGGATCGAGCATGGTTGATCCCCTCATCAAACTCAATCCCACCGCGATCGCCACGGAACATCTAGAACATAGGCTTAAGCTAAACAAAGTTTCCAAACCCACTGGCACAAACCGGAAAAGCTAATGCCAAGGCGTTTTCGACGACTCGGGCCCGCGGGCCAGCGTCGTTTGTCGAATCAACGGCACTTCCTTGGCAAAGAGAGGAGCCTCACGAAGCGGAGTCCGGAATCTGAATAGCTTCGCCCCTTGTGTACTTATACTCACTGCATCGCCATGAAGACAATTCTGCCATTTCTCAATCCCACCCTGCCCAGTTGATCTTGTCTCAAGTGATTCATTAATCTGAAACCTCTCCCGCCCAGTCACTCTTTTTGGTCCCGCCTTTCTGAGCCCCTTCCACCATGTGGAGAGTCCTAGGGTCGACGGCTGCACTCGCTGGGGCAGCTGCCGCGATTCGCAGTGCTTCGTTAACAACTGCGGCGCCCAAGTGCCGCGTCCCTTACTCGTTGACCCGCAACGACTCCGACCCCATCGGGGCATGCTCCAGCGACCTACAGGTCATCGGGGGTGTGCCAGAGGTTATCCATGAGAGTGCCATAACTCCCACTGGCATCGCGGTGGACCCCGAGCACAACATCTTCATTACGTACGCCCGCAACATGGACATGAAGAATGACACCATGACGAAGGCCACGTCTTTCACAGAAGAGATCCCATGGCCCTCTGAGCAGTGGCAGAACTGTGCAGAGGGCCAGAACGCCTCCACCTGTTTTATCAATGTGCAGAACGTCGTGCTTGACTCCGTTGGTGGCTGGTGGGTGATCGATTCTGGTGTTCCAAACGGCGCGTGAGTATTGTTCCCCTTCCACTTGTAGCCAGGGAATATCTCCGGCGGCACCTTATAATACTGACGCGTTTGCATAGTGCAGTGCCAGTACCCGACGGGCCGAAAGTCATCAACTTCAACTACACCACCGGCGAGGTCATCCGGACCTACATCTACCCGGTGGACCAGTGGTTCGCCAAGCTGCAGCTGAACGACATGAGGGTCAACAACACCCTCGGACCCAGTGGCTACGCCTTCATCACAGAGGATACCCAGTACGGTTCCATCAGCACCCTGGACCTGGGAACAGGCGAGTTTATCCGCCACCTTTACAACACGACATTCACCCGCCCCGACGAGAGGTTCACCTCCATGTACAACGGCGAGCCGATCCGCAACTGGAACGGCACCAAGCCGTCGTACATGAACTCTGGTACGAACGGTATCGCCCTGGCCTCCGGAAACGCCTACTGGGGGGTCAAGTCCTCCCACCGCTGGTACTTCGTCTCCCAGGAGGCACTGATCAGCGGCCTCACCGACGAGGAGCTGGCCGCGAGGGTCCAAGTCCCCGGCAACATACCCTCGGAGCAGGCGGGCTTCACCGCCGACGACAGGGGCCGTGTCTACACCATGGCATCCGAGGTCAGTGCTTGCTTCCATTCAACCAAAAGTCCTGCATGATCGAGAAACAACTCTAACGCCACCTTTGATAGCAAAACGCCATCCTGTACGTCGACACCCTCGAGTCCGAGGTCACAGACCCGGCCACCGCCGTCCCCGCCGACGGCTCCGGCGTCGTGCCCGCGGAGAACCTCGCCCACAAGACTCTCATCCGCAGCGGGCTGGTTCAGGCCGCAGACACGGCATGTATCCTTGACGGGTGGCTGTACTTCAGCACCAACCAGCAGGGCCTGGCCCCGATGAGGCAGTACAACAACGTCGACCGACGGAGGGGGCCGTTCAGGAGCTACCGGTACTGGATCGGCAGGGGTCCGGCTGTTTAGAGCTTGTACCCACCCTTGTTCGAGAATGTCTTTATATACTTCTAAGCGCATGTAACACAAAGTCACTGCAGGATAACGCCTACGGTTCAGCTATTGGCAGTGTGAAAAACGGCCGAATCAGCCGGATATGTGTCTCTTGCGCGCCAGCAAGCAGCTTTGTGGTTTCGAGCAGCTGCAGAAGAGCCACTCGTATCAGCAGCTCCGCCACCGCCCGCTTCGTGTATGCGCGTGACCTGGACTTGCATAATGGTGGTTCATGTCGCCATATCATTGGTCGTATTCACGTGAAACGTTGTAGTTGCCGCCGAATACGTATTGAAGCGAAGACTTGACAAAATAAGGCTCTTGCGCAAGTCCACATTCACGACCCCCTCCCCTTCCGTCGACAACTCATTTTTCGGCCTCTGCTGCGCGTTCACTTTGTTAAAGAATCTGAAATTGGACGTCCCTGTTTCCTTTGCCTATCAGCCAAGATGGCGGAAGTTCTGGGTCTCGTCGCCTCCGGCCTCAGCGTTGCGCAGATCGCAGGATCCATCGTGATCACCAGCCTCAAAGTCAAAGCCCTGCTGGACGAGGTCAAGGATGCACCGGAAGGCTTGAGGAACATGCTTGACCACATCGAGCTCCTCGCTCCTATCCTCTGCGAAGCGACCGCAGGGGGTGACGAGGGCGCAGGCACGAACCTGGCGCTGTTACCTGCGACCTCACACCTGCAGCAAGCAATGCAGAGAGCACTCGCGGCATGCCAGGCAGCGGGCGAGCAGCTCGAGCTTTTGGCTAGAAGCCTCATGTCTCAGATCGAGGCGGCTCGTGGCGGTGTGAGGCGAAAGCGTGCCGCGGTCAAGATCGTGCTCAAGAGGGGCACGCTGGCGCAATACGAGACACGCCTTCAGAGGACCGTCCAGCTTTTGAGCTTGGCCCAGAGCACCTACATGATGTAAGAACGAGCCTACGAGTTGCCCGTTTCGTTATGTATCCACGACGAACACTCATACTGACATGATTTACCTCTTATCCTCAGCGCGTTGCAACAATCACAGCCCGAGACCATCGTTTCCCAGCTCATGTCCGCACTTGCTCTTTCACGTCGAAGCGCTCACGACCCCACGATGATACCCCACGACGGGAGCCCGACCCAGATCAACCGTCCTCTTACGGTGACAGAACGCCGAACATCGACTCACCAAAATGCCAGCGCCTTTCACGAGTGTTGGCAGCTGGGCCTCGCCAAGGTGACAGGACTCGTCCGGATCCATACACCGCCAAGAGACAAGGATTGTCAGACAACCAGCTCAGCACAGGACCGAGTTCTGCGGATCCAGGTGCAGATGCCTACATGGCTTTGTGCCTCCGTTTTCGACGTGGTGTTCTCTCGAAGTTATGCTGGCTGGGACTGTTCCTTGAACGTGTACGGCCGTCTGAGGGAGGGTTCAATGGAGTTTGATCACGTTACGGATGCTATAATTGATGACGACGTCGAGGCAATCCACCATCTATTTCAGGAGAGACGGTGTGGCCCACGCGACCTTTTGGTGTGGCACGAAGACGGTGAAGAGAGTCTGCTTTCGGTAAGTGATCTAGGACCGTCGCGTGTGCACATGGCCATTCCCTGCGATCCTGCAGTAGCCGCGGCTTTTCGCTGATGAGAATGCAGTATGCAGTGGGAGCTGGGGCGTGGCAAGCATCCGTGTACCTGCTCAACTACGGTGCATCCCAGCCCGACAACTTTAATGAGTGCCTTGGTTGGTGGACGCGTCACAGCGAAAAAGGTGCATCTTACGTCGCAGCCTTGCTCGAACACGATCTAAACGATGCGGTGCGAGTGAATTGCTTGGTTCCTTGTTGGAATGATTTGGATTCTTTCACCGATCTGGTCGGTCGACTCTGGCCCAACAACGAGTTCTACACTGAAGATTTTGAGATAACACGATTGCGTCTAGCGGTGTACAGCGAAACAAGAATAGGGGGAATCTGGTGTTCACCTTCTCCTGCAATTTTTCAACATCTTTGCGGATCGCCATCTCCCACACAAGCAGGGATCATCACAACTATGAGAGTTCTATCTTGCATCACTTGGGCACTAGGTCATATAGTGTGGTGTGATTCAGATGTTGCAAACGAGTGGTATAGCGCCATCCGGGATACTGCACTTCGACTCGACAAATCCCTCGTGATGCCAAAACGACAGATCCTAGGGTATGGAATGGTTCGAATGGATTATATACAGCTCTTTCCAACGTACACGCCGTTCACGGATATGTTCCTGATCTCTATGATTGCCCTCCCGGGTTGGAACAGGCATCCGAAGTGCGCTAGACAGCACAGGATAAGGCAGCGGCTTGCTAGCTGTGAAAGGGCGGTCCAAATGTGGCTGAATATACTTCGAGAGTGTGGAATCGACCTGCTAGAGTATGGCAGACAGGAAAGGCAAAGACTGAAGGATGAAGAAAAAGGCTATGAATTTAAAATATTTCGGGATGTGTGGCATGAACCGTCGTTGAGTTGGAAGGATCTCGACAACGGTCAGTTCGAGGTAAGGTTGATCGGCTTCGAATACGGCAGTGAGACAGGAGACTGGAAGCTGTGGTGGTCGGAGCCAACAGACGGTCTGGTTGGTGACTTTTGGAGGGAAGTTGAGCCGGAGCCACTCTGCATTCCAGGAAGCTGGGGCGAAGACTTCTAGTTAAATATGGGGAACGACGCTCTCTTTGGCCCTCGGCCCCGCTGACTGATGAGCACCATGGCAAAGTCCCGTTGAATACATTTCTTGTCACAATGGCAGGCCACAGATTTATGCTTATGGACCTAGGAAGTCATTTGCTGACGCATCGGTATCCAATTTCATTAATAGATATTCAGCCTCCTTGCCAAATCAACTCTTCTTGATCCCATTATTACAAGGAGTTACACAGCAAACAACACTCATGAAAACTGTCAGAGAACGTACTTGGCCACAAATACGAACACATGCCAGCGCCGTGTCCAGGTCCATCACGACATTGCGAGGTTCGCAGAGTGGAAAGCATAGAGATTCATGGGGAAAAAAGGTTCAAATATTGTCAGCGACAGTATAGAATCTACAGCTCGAATGGTATCTCTCAAGTCCCCCTCCCCTCCCTCCTCTCCCATCGCCCTCGAAGAGCTCCTTTTTGAATTCGCTATTCACATACACACGAACAAATAGCCGTCCTGGATCCGCAAACCAGCCCACGCAATGACACCGTCCAAGAAAGCAGAGAGGAGAATCGACCCAGTCGTTCATACCCTCTCCCCAATCCGTCCAGCGCACCGCGGCAGCACCAGCCGCTCTCATCACTTCGTCCCATCGGTCCAGTCCCGTGACAGGGGTGTACAGTTTTGTGCCAAGCATCAACCAAGATCGGTCTTCATATATCAAGTGTGACCCGCGACACGACTCAGGCAAGCTGCTCAAGCAACAAACTCCCGCCTCGAACTCCCAGCCTTGGCTGCCTTGGCCGCTTTGCCTGTTCCGGCAGCACCGGTGGCTTGGGCCGCAGCAGCACCGGCGGCCGGGGCAGCTGCAGCAGGAGCAGCAGCAGGCGCAGCGGGAGCAGCGCCCGCCATCTGGATAGGGACGACACCACCGAAGGGGCCGGCACCGTTCTTGTTCGCAATCTTGACAAGGCAGACATTAGACTGGTCGCCAACGGTACCGCTGCAGGTCGTGCCGGCGGGGACAGTGAACGTCATGGGGAAGTCCTCATTGATGTTGGTGGCGCGCTTCTCAATGACGCCGACGCTCTCCGCGAACCGCCGCAGCACAGACTTCTTGTACTTGTTGTTCCCCCTGGGCGGGTTGCCGTTGTTGCCGGGGACGTCGAGCGTCGTGGTCAGCGGGACGCCGTTGGCGAAGTTGCCCGTGGCCGTGGGGTCCAGGACGGCAAAGACCTGGCCGAAGCCGTCGGACGTCACGACGTGCCAGGTGCCACTGAGCGACGAGTTGACCTGCGGGAGGGTCGTGCCCGCCTGCGCGGTCGCCTGGGTCATGAGCTGGTTCACGTCCGCGGCCTGGATCTTGCCCGTGTCGGTGGTCTTGCCCAGGCCGTCGCTGGCCGGGTTGCGCTGGTTGAAGACGGTGGTGTCTACCTCGGTCTGGGTGGTGGCGAAGATGGTCAGCTTGGTGCTTCTTATGTGTAGTGTAGGACTGTGTACTTACGACTTTGTTCTTGCCAGTGAGGGGCACAACGCCACCCTGGATGGCGAGGGCAGTGCCGTTGCCGCCCGCATCGCCAGTAACGACATCAACTCGGCCGTGGGCGGCGACGAGGGGAGAGGCGGCAAGGGCGAGGACGAGGACCTTGGAAAACATTGTGGCTGGTGTGATGTATTGACGGGTATGTGTGTATGAATCCTGTTCAAGCAGAAGCGAAGTATAGACAGTGGTGATTAGAAGCGAAGAAGGCCCTGCCTTGAGATGAACAAAAGAGCTGATTAGAGAAGAGGAGGATGGAGATGAGGATGATGATGATGAGAACGATATGATCGACAGAGGTGGGCAAGGCAGCTCATATTAATACTCGACTGCGTCAGGAGGTGACCGTCCAAATGTAGTGAGCCCAAATGCCGTGCGTCGGCGGGTAAGGCCGCAGGGGATACTAACACAAGCATCACCAAGCCTCGTTTGGTCCAAACACCAGGCCTCGATCAAGGGTCGCGCGCGGTAGCGCCGTCTGACTGGCTCGCGAGGACCATGGCGAGGAGGCATCGCGGCAAATGCCCGCTAGAGGCAAGATCATGAGGGGCACGAAACACTCGAATCATCGCTACCCTGTCGTGATGGCCCCGTTCCAACAGGTGGAGGAGGCCATCGACGCCCACGCCGACGTAAGTTTTCAGTGAAGGCATACGACCCGGGGTCAACCATTGGATCAATGTTCGTGATGTTGGGCCTGCGCCTGAGACGGCTTGGCAAAGAACGTCCAAGCCATGTCAGAAGGCTGCCACCTCAAGTCGCTGGCTTGGGGAATCATGCGACGAGGTAGAGACCAGACGAAACCCATAGCGAGGTGGAGACTAGTGAGGATTGATCACGAACACGTGCCCCAGGTGCGATGTGGCATTTCCGCCGACGACGATGGGGGAGATGGGATGAGACCTGGCGTGAAACTGGTGCCAGCCCAATACGGGCAGGATATGTGAGAAAGAGAAGTCATGACGCCTCGCGGTTGAGTCGACGACATGACACGCGAGGCGGGAAAACACAAGGGGGAGAAGGGGATGGGAGTGTGACGAGAGCTGCATGTGTTCGGAAGGTCCCAGTGAATCCCTGCTTTGATCCCCCGGGTTTCTTCGTTTTGAGGATCATGAAAATCATCGTTGATCTCCCAAGGCTTGGTTTCTTGTTCCCCAGGATGTTGCACAGCCTCGGTAGTTCCACCCGAACTTTCACCGCAGGTACGAGACGACACGTACCGTGCGTTCACCACACATTGAACGTCCGACATCTGACATCTGCCATCTCAGGTCTGCCAAGATAGACTGCTTGATCGAGCCTAGATGTCGAATATTCCCAGATATCAGAATCATAACATGGACTGATCATCGGACGTCCGGGAAGAGCTGCAGTGCTGTGCACGAAATAAAGTGTGGCCCAAGTTTTGAGGCTCCGAATGCTTAACCAGTTCGGCAATCAATGATGTGCACAAGCCTTTTGAGCCTCTTCGATGGGGCCTGGCACCCATTCGGTAAGAACCCGAGACGATCTCATTAGCGCCTCGACGCCTTGATCGACGTGCCCTGCTGTCAGGCACAGTCGCGCCGTCGAAGGGGGCGCAGTGTCAGCCCCTGTTTGCGAACAGGGGTGTGCTGGCATGCAGCGAGTCGGTCTCTTTTGGCGTGGAGATTGTTAAAGTGCCGAAGCCATCAGCCGCTGCAGTAGACGAAGGAGTCTGTAAGAGCAGTCTCTGATTTTTCAGTGAGCAAAGACCCCATGTTTGCTGAGTCAACGCCGTCTGAAAGGCCAGCCATGGTGGCGTTCGCTGTCAAGGTGAGGTCTGAAGTGAAGAAAAAAAGCTTAAACTACATGGTAGTTCTGAGGCTCTGCGCGACACCTTTGAGACGTCTCAGGGGTCCCGTGGTGGGGGAGCACAGGGGCGTGCCATTGGACAAGCAGCCACCGTCTCGGACTTTCTACTCTTCCAAAGTTGCCTAGCGCTCGTTCCTTGCTGTCTCTGATGGTGACTAGCATTGATTGTTGCGAGCCAGGCTGCGTGCTATTTGTCCCAACATCAAGGGGCCTAGGTTTGGCCTGATGAGTTCGCAATGCTACCGGACGGAGAAGCGTTCGAATGAAGTGACCGTCCATCCAGCCAGCCAGCCAGCCGCCAGCGACGGGTGGCCCCGACCACGATGTCTCTGGATTAGCTCGCGACGAATCTGCACGGTTGTCTTCTTTCTGGCTCTTCAATCAGGAGTATAATGCATGCCACCCACTGACAAGGGCATGTCTCATCGACCGCTCGCATCAGCTTTAGATTGGGTAGCAATGACGAGGGCCATCTGGAGGCGTCAGAATGTGTGGGCGGGAATCGAAAATCAACTCGTCTTGGTGGCTTGGTGGCTTGGTGGCTGCCGCCTTGGCCGCATGGCCCGCAAAAACGCCCAGAAAGCTTGTCAGTGCAGCCGCTGGTGATGGCCCTGGGCACGCTAACAGTCGCGCGCCAAGCCACCAAGGTCCAGACGACGAGGTCCGCCGGTTCGAACGTGCTTGGGAGCTTGGGGGCGTTCGGAAAGGGGAGTCTCGCCTACCCCATCGTCTTGTGCTGTGTTCGCGGCATTCATGCCTCTATTCCTCATCCTCAGGACGAATGCATCTTGAACATTCCAAAAACCGCTCTTCCAAAGCCACGCTTGGAAAGCCACGACAATTGTCCTGACAGCGCCTGAATACACCGACCACCGTCTCCATACCCAAGTACCATCCATTCTACGCCAGCGTCGAAATGCAGAAGACGAGCCATCCAAAAAGAAGTGAAACTAGATACAAGTCAAAGAGAGAAAGACATGAAGAGGTATATGCGTTCCCATACGAGATCGTCAGTTCACCTGCCAGATTTCGCTGCGCTCGCACGAAGGTCATTGCCGTACAGGAATGGTATCATCTCCCAGCCACACGTCTATATACCGCAAAACAAGGCAAGCCCCTTTAGTAAACTATATATACGCGAATGGCGCGTGTGGCCCCCCTATCTATATCACTGGAGGTGTCATGTCTCCATGGCCTCAAATGCAGACTCCTATATGTCCGCAAAGCGAGCACGTTTGACAGGACGGGCCGGAAGCGGAGACTGAGAGTCATCACGAACGTCCCCGGCAGGTCGTGACGAGGAGCTTCCCGCCAACTGGTCGCCGACTGTAGCGATTGACGGCTGGATGCTCTTCGACCTGTCCAGTGAAGTCTCCGTGCCCGGCTCTTCTCTGGCGTTGGCAGTGCCGCCGGGTAAGGCTGCATCAGTGTCTTCTGCATCAGCGAAACGAGCCCGCTTGACAGGTCGGAATCGAATACGCAGCTTCTTCTTTGAGCTGTTCGACCTCGCCACCGGCTCATCAAGGCCAGGCTCGGCATCCTCTGCCGGCCTCTTGCCCTTCGCCTTTTCTGACATCGCACCAGCGTGGGTCGGATCTTCCATCAGAATGTCCTCATCAGGGTCAACCACCTCGCGGCCAAACTCGCGGCCAAATATGTACTGCGGGACGGCCAGCGGCGCCATCTGTGCTGGGCCATCCTCGTTGTCGACATCCGGCAGAGGTATTATCTTCGCATTCAGGATCCAGTCGTAGATCGGGCGGTCGTCGAGTATGGTCTTGCACCTGCGGTGCTCCGCCTGCGTCATCTTCGTCTTGCGCTCCACGATGAGCTCCTCTATGCTGTCCTTGAGCACCAGCGTCTCGACCGTGACCCTCTTCTGCTGACTGATTCGCCTTACTCGCCCAATTGCCTGCGCCTCGACTTGCGGGTCCAACACAGGGCCGATAAAGTATATACGCGATGCTGATTTCATGTCCAGGCCGAAGGCGGCCTCGGCGATGTCCATGAGCAGGACGCGGAACTTGCTGCTGTGCGTGAAGGTGGAGACGTACTGGGCGCGACGGGCCACGGAGATGCCCTTGGCATAGATCAGGTGGTGGATCTGCAGCATCTCTAGAATGCCGGCCAGGTACCAGGCAATGTTGTCGTTGTCGTAGAACACAATTATTTGTTCCTCCTTCTGGTGCATGGCTATTGCGTCGATGAGATAGGATAGCTTCGCGGAGACCGTCGATATCAACTGGGTTTCTGCCAGTGGTGCTGCAATTTCAATGCCCTCTTCAGGTGTTTGCGGTGGAGTTGGAATTCCCGTGTCGTTCAGTCTAATGGCCGCCAAATGGCCTCGTCGTGGGTTGACATGGTCTTCACCCAGTTTCGTGTTGCCGGCTAGAGTCTTCTCGGCGTTTCGGGCAGTAGTGGAGGTCTGTGGTGGTTGGGCGTCATGAATAGCACGGCTTTGCTCTGATGTGCCCGTCGTAAGGAACCACCCACTGTTCAAGTACGTGTTCAGACCTTCGGTCGAGCCCAAGAAAGGACGCAGGGCCCTTTGGGCTGCGATCATCAACTTCCAGTTGGTGCACATCAGGCCAGTGCTGGTCATATAATCCACTGACCAAGCCTTGAGACATCCAGCTGGAAAGTGGTCGATGTAAATCGGCATTTCATGGAAGACATTCGCTGCACGCTTGACTCTGTTGCCCACGGCGATCTTTCCGAGATTTATTGCGGCATTGAGAAGCGACTGGTCAGCGTCGTTGATAGAAACATCCTTTTGCTCCAAAAAGCTCTCCGCTGTTTCAACCGACTTTTGAATCTCAGATGCAGAGAAGAATGAGCCACCGAAGAAAATTGCTTGTCTCAGGTTGTGGACCAACTCAACCATGGACTTGCGATTCTTTTGATGAAAGAAGTAGTCCTGGTCGGTCCGCTGAGATTGAACAGCATTGAAGATGATCATCATAGAGAAGAGATTCATGGAGAGCTTGTCCTGGTAGGATCCCTCAAGCTTGACCACCTTGGAGTCGACCGCTGGCAGCATGTGACTGATCTCTGAAAGTCGATGTCGGATGATCAAGGAGTTGAGTGTGGAAGTAAGGCATTCTTTGCGGCCTTGAATCACGTAGGTCTTCCAATCGCCAAGGGTATCGCGGTGGCTGTGGGTTGTGTTTGACCAAGGACGAGCCTTGAGATAGAAAGTTGCGATAGATCCAATGCGCTTAAGGTCCTCAATCTCCTGCATAGCGGATGACTGTGCCATGGAAGTGTTGGAATTGCTATTCTTCTCCATTCCGAATAGTCCCTTCGCTGGTGTTCCTGTCATGATCCAACGGGCGTTGATGTGAAGAGCTTCCAGAGCCTGTAGCAAATCCGTCTTGATGCTGCTGAGTTTGATGTGGCCAAGTTTGTGACCCTCGTCAACAATGCAACGCTTGAACTGGACTTTTCCAAGTGAGCAATTGAGTGAGTATGATCCATCGGCCTCGGATCGCTTGTAACGTGACCATATCTTCTCCAGCCGCGTCACGGTACAAATGACAACGTCGCAGTGCACCAGATCATCTATTGATGGGATCTCGTTGGAGGCTGCACCCCTGCTCTTCTTGGCTGCGATCTCAAGCACCCTGAGGCCCTGCATGTGTTTGGAGATTTCCTGTGTCCACTGCCTCAGGAGGTTGGGAGGAACTATTATCAGAGTCGTATGGCTGACATAGACCTTAGTCGGAGGAAGATTTGTATCGGCTTCAGACCGTCGAGAAGCCCTTGCACCAGTTGGCCTCGGCAGATAGTACCACGCGGGGTTCTCGATGGCCCGGATGCAATTCCCGTACCGTGAGTCGATGTAGCGCTTCCAAGATACGCCATTCTTTGTGGCAACCGCAGCTGCCATATCCATCAGAGATCCAACTGTGGGACGGATGTTAAGGTTGTCAGAGCGGTAGAGCTCCGGTATGACAGCTGGTTGGTCTTTCGTCGCGGCGATGAGGGCGAGAGCGATCAATGTCTTGCCCGAGCCCATTTCCTCGGCCAGGATTCCGCCGCAAATTCGGTCGTAGTGACGAGGCTCAATGCGAGCTTCACCAGTGTTTGGGTCGTAGTACCAAGGCTTTCCATGTTGATCCATAACGTGTGCAAGACGAGGATCGAGGACGTCACCAGGTTCCTCCTCCCTCTGGAGCATCAGGGCGGCTGAGCGACACTGGTAGGGGTAAAGCTCGGTTTTCAAGCCTTCGACTGTGCTAGACAAAAGGTTGGCCATAGCCTCTCGGGATTCAAAGTGCCGGAGCAGCTTGATGTCAGGTTTTGGCGATGGAATAGTGTTGAACATGTCGAGTAGTGACATGTCCTTGTCGGAGCCACCACCTTGGGATGACAACGGAGGGAAGTCCTGGGATGCGCCGTGCTTGGTCAATCCTCGCCATGTGGAGGGCGAGTAATCGAGAGATGCTAGAAGGGCTTTCTTCTTGCCACGAAGTACAGGATCATCCCGAAGAATGAGGCTGTTGAAGGAGTCGTCGGGAAGTACATGAACTCGAACGACTGCAACACTCCCGTCGTCGTGGCCGGTAGTAGTCTCGAAACGGACCCATTTGCGGTCCAGAAGCTTCGAGTAGGGGCGGATGGTGTCGTTCACATGTTTGCAAACGAGACATCCAGCAGCGATATAACGGTTGCTGTCTGGCTCAAAGCCGTGACTCGTTGACGTGTTTGAAGCCATGCTCCATCGACGGCCTCGAGATGACGCCCGATGGTGGGGGCAGAGATGACTGCGTCGTGCTCGGATACGGGAACCCGGAACAAGCGGACAGCTCTGAAGCTTACTTGAAGTGCGACATGAAGACTTGGAAGATGGCCAAAGTGATGGCTTCGACGCACACGAGATTGGACATGCAAGTGAAGGCGGACGTTGATCTGGTTGATGTTTCGAATCCAAATCGAAGCAGGTGGATGCCTGCCTGCTAGCTTGAGGCTCAGGACAGGTGGGGGTGGAGTGAGTACCTGGCTAGGTACTTGGGTACCTTGATCGACGTACCCCAATACCAGGTAGGGCTAGTCTCCGCCCCACTCCCACTGTACCCATTTCCCCAAGAAGTGGAGGACCCTTACAGGCCCACATAGGGAACGACAGAGCCATATGTGCAATGCACTTCATCTCACGGCCACCCCACAAAACTCTCGACGAAAGCCCGAAATCTTCTGCCACAAGACATCACCGCAAGCACCTCAAAAAACTGCCGTGTCAAATTCAGCGTCCGTGACACTCGAGTCTCGAGTCTGGTTGACATTACGTCGAGCAGTCCGGTATCCGACAATTACTTCCAGAAGGACAGTGATTCCATAATTCAAAATGACAATAGCTACATTCCGACCACACACATGCCTCATGAAGTCCCATTCCCATCTAGCAGGCAATGGCAATGAGAATGGCACTTGGCGACTCTTCACATTATGCAAAGAAATTCTTGATCGATTTGTGACCTGAGAGCTCAACAGGTACGCAATCTTCGGATGGCACTCATCAACGCTGGTGTCTGTCTATCCACATCGTTTGTCTTCCAACAAAACGGCTCTCTCCAGGCTGCACGCACAGCTGAGCCGATGCATCCGAGTCAGTCTTGGAAGCAATGCAAGCCCAGTGGTGCATCCATGGAGGCCAATTCGCCGTCTTCAATGACGATACTCCGTCCAGACAGCCATTCTATGCCTCTACTCTACAGCCTGATACGGAGCGGCCCCTGCCAGTGCACAAATGTGGCCCTTCAGGGGCATCTTCATGATTCTGCAGTCACAGCATGCAAACGAAGACTTCTCCACAATAGCACTGACCCATCTCTACTGCATCACTCAAGTCTGCAACAAGACACCCAGCCACTGGTCTCACTGCCAGCTAGAGCAAGGCTGTCCTTTCCCACCACGGTGCTTTGGCAAGACCTCGGAGACTCTCTAGCTCCATCACGTCACTGTTTTCCAAATTTGATATTGATATGCGAAATTGGTGCTGGTTTCCGCTCGCCTGCCAACACATGCATCCGTCGGCGTTTGCCGTGGGAGCAACATCAAATTGTGCTGGTTTGTTTGCCGTTGGGTACACCTGCGTGCGAACGTTTGTGTGCTTCAGGCGAGATGATGAAGCACACATCTGCACACATCAAGAGTTATTTCGCGCAAACGGTACGATTAGCGGTGTGTCAACCACACGATCGACCACAATCAACACGGGAGCCAGCCTGTCTGGTCTGGTCAAACCCCGAAAAGTGATGTTTTCATGTTGCTTGCTACACCGAGCTAATGTGCTTCTGCTTGCCAACCTCGTAGTTTGTGGCTGTTGACCGCACACGTCGGGATTGACGCACTGTATTGCATCTAGATTTCTTCTGTGGATTTTCTTCACAAGCAAACTGCCTCTGTCGGCTGTCTCCGATCATGACGGTCGGAATCGTCCGCTTCAGACACTCATCCCACGAGCAAGGATCAAGCATATACAGACACATCTCGCCATGGACTGAAGTTGTGAAGATCATTCCTCTGCATCATTCTACTTTATATATGACACACTTTTTCCAGAAACCACATCCATCATGTAGGCAACCCAATCCACTTACCACAGATGCCAAGTCCCTCATCCCGAGCCATTTGATCCCATGACCTCTTTCGACATGGACATCTAGACCCAGCAAATATCCTGGGGCAGCATCATCACAAAGTCATACCGGCGCAAGTATTTGACACACAAGAGCTGTTGAGGTGTCCCCCAACTCTTCGCGTTGGCCCGCGATGAGGTGGAGTATGGTATCCTCAGGTGCAACCGAACCGCACAGAAAGCAGGGCTGGGGGAGCCTGACCTGGAGGTGAAGGAGAACTGGACGCGAGTGATCTTTCCCATCTTCCTCGAGAGCCTGGCAAACCTCAAACGTGTCAAGGAGGCCAGTTCTGGTGCGTATGGACTCACTCTGGTATCCCCCCCCCCTTCTAACGGCTAACTTCAACGAGCACAGACCCAACCCGTCCTCTGGCGACAGCTCGTCGGCAGGATTGCATCAATGCGTACCATGAATCCTACCTTGTCGGGTCAGCACTCACAGGAGAATACCCCTTACCGAACGAGACATGTGTTTCGCCTTTTCTCCAAGGTTCACACAAGCATACCACCGGCAAGATATCACATTGTTCCACGTTTTTTCGAAGTTCTTGTTGGCTAACGAAAGATCCATTGCGACAGAAACTCCATGAATTCCCTCGAGACGAGACGAGGGACAGCCGGACGACACCCACTTGTCGTTCTCCAGCTACGCTGTGAACCGAACCGAGGACAGGGAACATCCGTCCCTCTTCCCGGTCAACAAGGCACGCCTCCTCGGTGCTATCACTCGCGGGCCCTTGTGTGCGCTCGATCCTCCAAATCCCATGCAACAAGCAACATGGGTTCTTCGGATGACCTCCCGGTAGTTAGGTTCGAACCCTTCTCTCTTTCGTCCACATACTGCGTGTTGATATCAACGATTGACGGCCCAGCACGGAGCCCCAACGCAACCAGTGCTGTCTGCGATAGCCACCGCGTATTGCCAAGCCTGCTCCTTGGCCCTCGATTTCATCCTGGGCGACTTGGAGACTGGTTGAAGTCAGCTGAACAAGCTCCCAGAAAAGAAGACCAACTGCGAGGGACGCTTGAACACAATACAAAAGTCTTTGAGAGAGACCCATCATCTGTCTCCCGGCCCCACGAGACAGTCATGTGGTCTCTGTCCTCAGTCTTGTCGATGGTCCTAAAATCTGGTACAACGTCAATATGGCTGACAACGACGACCTCATCAACCAGCTGGCCCCCGGTAACCCAGTGAACCCAGCCACTCTCTGGACAGGTCCTATGCGCTGGCCAATTTATCCTCTGCGCAACTACTTCAGTGGTACCTGCCAGCCTTCAACATCCAGCACTCCAGGGCAACTCTGGGCTGTCTGTTGGCTGAGGCCACTCATTTATTTGCTCGGCGTATTTGGGTACCCATCGTCTTGTTCAGGATTGCCGAGCTTGAGGACTGACGAATTTTCTAGCTTGTTGTCCACCACAACGACACATGCAACGACATCTGCTACGACCCGAGCACACCATTTTACTTCAGTCATTCTTGTCTCGACTTCCACTTATTTCATCATTTTTCATTCCGCGATTCATCTATTCACTCCACTTGTGAGTTCAATTTCTATATATATTGAAACGATCATTTCAAAAGGGCTCCGCCACCTCTGCCCAAACTGTGGACGCCTCCATGACGCGAACGATGAGCTACGCACGTGGGCCGTCGCTACAGATCTCCCGTCGCCACTCTACCCCGGAATTTCCGGACAAGCTAGACAACATTGACGTTTGGGTCGTCTCGACCACCTCCCACCGGCACGTGCGAGATCCGCTCCTTGACAGTTCACGCTCGACTTCCACTCTGCTGAAGACGATGCGGCCGCCCCTCACCCATCACGGGCCTAGGCCAGAGGTGCAACCGAGCTCCTCCGCGTGAGGGTGATGTTTTCCAACCACGGAGACTGACCGACAGCAACACTTTCCGCTTCCCGGTGCCCTCGTCTGGATCAGTGGCCGCGGACAACATCGTGCGCCAGGCCTCGCCCCCACCCCCTCCAGGGGTCAGTCCCCTCGCAAAGCCCTTTCGCAACACCCCGAGGTGCGGTTGAAATGTGCACACCAAGCAACATGGAGAAAATTACCGATCTCCCCGGCGACATCATCGAGGTGGACCTGAGTACCTAGTAAGAAGGGGAAAATGAAGCTGTGGGCCAGACTTCGCCGACTCGTACAGCTGCCTCCGCATGGTTGCCACCCGCTACCAACCACCAGACGACTGCAACCCGTCAAACGACCAACGACAAGGCGGCAGCTGACGAGGCCTCGAACCCTACCACCGTCGGCCTGGACAAGTCTTGCTGATGCCATGTGCGGGAGTGTGTGTCCCCATCTGATATCTCGCCCTTTATCGCAGCCAACCAGGAACCCGGCCAGCCGGCGGGCGCAGAGATCGAAGCTGAAGGCTGTCCACGCCGCCGGAGCAGACCGAGAGGAGGAACAGCGGACCCATGCCGCCGGCGAGCAACGGCGTCCCCGGGCGATCGAGCTCTTCCACCTGCCAACTACCTGCGGGCACAAAGACGACGAAATGGAGAGCCAAAACCACGTGCCTCCCTCATCTCACCACATTGTGTCGACTGTGCTCGGACCCAGTCCTTCTGCTAGTAGGGCGAATTTGTACCGCTTGCTTTCATGGTCTTGGACGGCGAGATGGTGTGCTGGTATTTAGAGTCGGGTTCCATCCTGCCGCACTCTACCCACGGAAGGACAAAGACCACATGATAATGCTGAATTCATGACATTGATCAGCAGTTGGGAAGTTTCTCGAGAACACAACCATTCGACACTGCGATGGGAAAGCTGCACCCGCTCGCCGTCGACATCCTGGTCCGTCCAACATCCGACGGCAAGTCGAGACACTCCTCCACGCAGCCGGGTGGAGGAGATCCGACATATGGCGTCTGAACTCGATCCCACGTTATCGGAAGACTTGATTGCTGCCAAGACCCGCTCTGGTCCATTCCCGAATCGGTGCAGATGAAGTCCAAGATGCCGCACCCACCTAGTCCGTCGCGAAGCTCGTCAAGAAAGTCGGACGCAGGACCAAGGGCAAGGACAAGGGCGAGGCCAAGCCACAATCGATCGCGAGCATATCACGCATCGACAAATACCCACCTCTGCTATTGACTACGGCTGACGGCGTGCTTCAATACCGCTCCACTGCAAACACGGCAATCATGTTCAACTTTCTGAGTTATTCCAATGGAAGGACATCATTCTTGATCGATCTTGGGGCTACTAAAGCCATGCAGAAGCATATTGTTCGACAGCAACAAGTCCTTCTTCAGTCCATCAAGTGGCTGTAACAACACCATTTTGCCTCACCAAGACCTCGCAGCAGCGACCCTTTGGCTCCTGACGACTCCATGATCTGGACATCCCATCAGAATAACGGGAAAAGGAGCTCCTCTTCACGCTCAACTGTCTGGACAACCTCGCAGCAGCTCAGACCGTGGACCCATGCCACAGCAGCGACCATAGTGCCCGGCGCCATGTCGTCCACACACCCGGACACCTAGGCATCATCTCGAAGCTTGCCGACCGGCATGTCTCGCCCTTGAGCACCTCCATGCTGAACACGAAGGCCAACACCGCAGCCATGCCACGGCTTTCATCAGACCAGAATCGTTTCATCCGGCTCTCTCACCAAGCCCACACTGCATCCGGGCGCAACATTTATTTCGGTTGTTCTTGTTTCATATTCTACTTATTCATTTTCAATTTGCCATTGCACTCTGAATTCCCTTCGAGGCTTCATCTCATATATATATATATATTTGAAACACGAATATGAAAAAGGTCCCCGCGCCATCCCTTCAGCAGGCCAGACACCAGCCACAGCAACCCGTCACCCCGAGGACTGGGCCCAGCAATATAGCAGTCGCCTGTCCGCCATGGGCGCCCCAGGATCACCACGGCACAGAGCCGTATCATCAGGGCGGGGAGAAGTCGCAGGAAGATATCACGGACTTCTACAGCGCCGGGGGCGGTGACAAAAAGAACACCACGAGCAAGACAAATGTCGGCGGCCCCGTGATACCAAACACACAAAGCATCCGGGCGCGGCGCAAAGCCGGAGGAATGGGAGAAACTGGACAAAGAGGACCTTGAGATGCTCCTTGAGACGGCGCTCACAGGATGGAACACTCGCCTCCTACAGGAAAAGATCAGCAAGGCCAAGCAGGATGGCAGGCAGATTCTTCCATTGGTTGTTAAAAACGACAGGACTCAGATCAAGGTTCAGTCCAGCGACACGAAGCGAATCCAAGGAAACTGCCTGGATATCGCCAATGTGTGCATCGTTCCTTTCTTCGACGGTAGTAAGCCGCAAGCCAGCACGAGATCCGTATCTCCAAGGTTGCTGAGAGCCTTGAGAGTCAATCCAAAGGACACGAGACCCCAAAGGGAGACATGCTGAAGACCCGGTTCGACGCCTTTACAGGCTTCCTCAGCCAGATGTCCAGCAGGCCGCTCGGCCCATCTGCAGAGGCGATCGCTCCTGTTGCCTACTTCCTCGGCCTGCTCACTTACCACGCCGCAGCCGCGATGGTCATCATGTCCCTGGAGAATGGCACTGCAAAGCTTGTAGCTTCAGGACTGGTGACCAGGACAAGTGGACTAAAATCCAAGGCTTTTGTAACCACACGAACCGCGATTTTCGTCTTTGGCTGGACGATTCGCTCTTCGAAACCGTCACGGAAGAAAGCGCCTCTCACCAGAAGTCTGCCTCTCCGTGCAACCCTATTGGAAGAGATCTTGGAAAGGATCCTCGAGCGCTGCTGGCGACTTCTCCAGCCTGACTTTGTTCGACCCCGGCTGATCGACCGCCGCTTCGATTACGACTGGAGACAACGTCGATTCCATGTCGCGCTGTTCATCCACAACCGACACCATTTTGCCGTACGACCAGTCTGGTTCTCTCTCACCTCAAATTGATTGTTTATATCTCACCACCACTGCTCCATCCAGTGCTGATACACGACCGAGTCTGCGCGACAGAAAGGAGCAGGAGGCTGGTCCAGAGACCAGGTCCTCAGTCTTCGTCCTCGTACGTTCCTCATCCCTCCTTTGTATTAATTCTAACTCTGACATAGAGACGAAACAATGGACTGCTTCACATCAAGGCGATTGACCTATTCCAAAAGGAATCAAGGGAGCAAGTTCGAGATGGACGTCGCTGGCCAACAGCGGACCAGTCACCCACAGTAAGTGATGCCCATTGCTGTCGGAGACTACATACCGTACGATCACTTACGCAAGCTCCATCCAAAGAGGCCGAAGAGCCACGCTGGTGATCCGCTGGTACCAGAAGGTAGCCAAGCTGAGACAAGGCTATACCGGGCACGGCGAACACCAGCAGCAGAACCTCTATGCGTCCTGCCGACTACTCCTCTATATATATTCATCTTTCAAACATACGCAACCAAAACCAACCGCGAGACTGCTACCGCCGCAATGAACACCTTATGACAGACAGGAATGTCCTATGGACGTCTCGGGTCTGTCTGCCGAAGAGGAGGACCCGGAGCTCCCAGAGCTGGGCATCCTCTATGCCCTCCCCGAGAGACCGGAACTGAAGCTTGAGGACCTTCCGATGGTGGTCCAGGCAGGGTGTGGACTACACGTACGCCATGGGGACATTGGTATTGAGCGCAGAACCCAAAGGGCGCTGGACACCGGCATTAACCCTCAGGAGCCTTCCCTGAGGCACGTCATTGTCCACAGCGGGCTGTACATGATGAACATCCGCCCGGGAGGCGAGGTGCACGCGGAGCTCTCTCCACGCCTGGTGTCTGCTCTTGAGAAGGCGGACGAGAAGGACGGAACCCTCCAGGACAAGAACAAGGCCCTTGTGTTCCTCAAGGTCCCCACCGAGCACACCGCACACTGGAACCAGATGTCCTCGTCACATGGCCCAAAGTGACGAACGGCTGCAGCTTGCGAAACACAGAGGTTTCGGGATAACCTTCCAAGACCACTCAACCAAGCCGGTGCCAACCGATGAGCTTTTCCGTCTGTCACATTTTCCGGGGCGAAAGTTGAAACCGCCGACGAGCCGCAGTCCAACATCAGAGAAGCTGCCTCCGTCATGGGCGTCACCCGCTCCCGTCCGCCTGCGGTTGCACAGACGACATTGGGAAGTCGGTACCCGCGAGCCTCCTCCGCCTCGCCGCTCTGTATCAACTGTGCTCAAAAGGCCCCGTGTCAGAATGGCTGTCTTGACACAGACGGCAAGGCCAAGCCAGCCCAGGGCGTGAGCCTCTGTTGGGATTGTCTTCTGGAGCTGCCTTGTGCTAACGATGCAAACTGCGAAGGGGTACAGAAGAATGACTTGGTTGGGTCCGCGTGTCTCACTCGCCTCACCATACTGCACCAACTGTACCTCAACAGAGTCCCTGTGTCGGAAAGGCTGTCGTGATACAGACAACGAGGCCATACCAGCCCTGTCCAAGGGGCTCTGCAGGAAGTGTCTTGAAGACTTGCCTTGTGCTAACGGCGCAGACTGCGAAGGGGTGCAGAAGAATGGATCGGTCGGTTTGCGCTCGAGGTTTAATCTTGCCGAATGCGATGGTTGTCTTCTAAAGAAACCCTGCACGAGAAACAGAGTCACTGTGTCGGAAAGGCTGTCGTGACGCAGACAACAAGCGAATAGTAACCTTGTACATCGGGCCCTGCGAGGAGTGTCTTCTCGAGTTGAATCCCTCCGCGGCCCGACAGGCGGACCAAGACTGCACCAAGTGCATTCCTTGGCCAGCTTACCGTCGACGACGAGAGAAGGCCCAGGCTGGATTACGACCCGCTCGAGGGCGCCAGAGCGACATTCGCCGGAGCGCTGAAGAAGCCGCTGGACCTCCTCGACAAGACATGACGCCGCTCCTCGTCGAGCTTGAACAGATCTGCTTGGAGAAGGCCACCACGTGGCCTTATTTCGCATAATCAGATGCATACTATCGCGTTCGCTTGCTACGGCGGCAACCTGGGACGCTGCTGCCACAGTTACACTGACCAAATCTTCACGATCCTCCAGTTAACTGGTTGAAAGGCAGCAAGCTCACGCACTCGGACCTTGCTGCATAGTAAAAAGAACACAGGAACAGCATCTGCCGCCAGCTCGGTGGAGCTGGGACATCCCGCAGGATAACGGCAGCCGACCTGACCGTTTCGCGGGGTGTGCACGATTCGGGCACAGGAATATCCTGGAGGAGAGACCGCTCACCCCCTTCGAGATGATCACCGTCTCCAAGGGCAGGTCCCTCGCCAATCTCCGGCGCATCTTGAGCGGGTCATGCTGGAGGGTGGCGAGGGCCTCATCATCAAGAACCCGTACTGCCAGCACTGCAGCCAGAACAGAAAAAGAAGACAGCCAGTCATCGACTAACACAAATCCATACCGGATGCAATTGCACGGTGCGACGACGATTTATGTATACTTAACTTCGAACAGCGACACGAAGATCTTCAGGACGCACGTCGCTGGTCCCATCTTCAACAAGCGGGCTCTTCCCTTGGGTACGCGCCAGTTGATGACAGACATGGCCAGCTTGTGAAGAGGGTTGCACTATTTACACGAAGGGCTTTTTTTTTTTTTTTTTTTTTTTTTTGGGGAGGGGTTTCTTTTTTTTAAAAAAAAACAAGAGCCCTGGTGAAGGCGTCGCGGTGCTCAGCTGGGCCCAGCAACATCTTGCCAGGGGGGAGACGGGCGACGCCCTCTTTTACTACGACGCCGCTGTAGCCAGAGACCCCAGCGACTACCTGGTCCCACTTCAAACGCGCGACCACCCAGCTCTCCCTCGGCCGCACCTCGCAGGCCGCCGACGACTTCCAGGAGTGCCTCCAGCCCGGCGATAAATCTACAGCACGCTGGCGAGCTCTCCTGGAGGGCAATGCTACCCAGTCGGTGACAATCTACTCATCGGCACGTCTGATCCAGAGGAGGCAAGAGCCTTTCGACACAGCATGTCCGAAAAGTTCCAGATGGTTGATGAGGGTCCTTGCACTTTCTACCTTGGGATGAACATGGAACAGACTGATGACGGAATCGTACAGCGGCTCCATGACTTCGGACGCAGCCGGTGTCGTCTTCCACCTTTTTCGGCCTGGCTATACTGGTGTCTACTTCCCATTTCATACCAGCGCACACAATCACTTGAAAAAAGTGAGCGAAGAGATCCTCGATCAACAATCCCGCACCTTTAAGCGATTATTCCTGATGCAAGAATCAATGGTACCGCCCAACTTCATGGTCGAGCCGAGTAGAGACAGTCGACCTTGCCGACTTGTACCCGCCACGACCAAACAACCTTTCTAATGGGACCTTGTTCCCTACTAAATGCACCTACCTAGGTATATATAGTTAAACCCTACCTATTCGAGTTTTACACATGCTCCGTCAAGAGACGTTGAGGCTCTTTTGACACACCGGCAGCAGCTGACACAGTCAACACTGAAGTATCTGGACAACCTCGCAGCAATTCGATCTGTGGAACTCAGTTTCGACACAAGGCCTCTCCTCGAGCATCACTTTGAGAAAAAGTGGCGAGAAGCCTGGTGTTTTGAGCAGAGGTCTGGACCAAGACTTCAACCCACACCTAGGTTCCAAATCTGAGTGTGGGCTCGCAGGAGAGTGATGCAGGCGTCGGCGGCTCCTTTGACACCTCTGCGATTTGCGTCGCCATGTCGCGCGATGTGAACGTCGAGACGCCTCCTCAGGCACAAGGTGGTCCTATCGGTATGTTTCCTCTGCATCTTTCCAGCCCCGTTACACCGACTTACGGTTGCTAGACGACGATGCCGCAGAGACCGCCTCGTCCTACACTTTTGACATCACACAGCCTGTCCGCCGCATGAACGTAAACCCAAGTCTTGACCACCAGCGGATGCAGCGATCCCAGAGACTGGGCGCCAGCACCAGGCCGCATCGTGGATGTCGCCCGCAGACACGTCAAGGAGCTCATCCGTGACGGCAAGATCGGCTGCTTGACCTCATTTGCCGTTTTGCAATCGAGAGCAAGACTGAAGGCTGCTGCACTCGGACTCAGCGTTGGCAAATCTTGCCCAGAACGACTTGTTCGACCAACGGACGTTCTTCATTGGACCCGACTGTGATGCCCCAGCCTTGTCCAATATCGAGACGGTGGTCCTTGTCAAGAAGAAAGGCGGCAAGATCATCTACGATATCATTTGCGAGAGCCACCATCTATATATCGCAATTTGTCATCTGCTCTTCATCGAGAGAAACACCATGCCTGTCTTCGTTCCGGCAGCTAGAGGCGCCAACCTTGGCACCCTGTCTGGCCCTTTTACCCCCGAAGACAAGGAATGTCTTGCAATTTTCTTGCAGATATTCCAAGTCGACATCACCGACCCTAACGTTCATGATATGCTGATATGCACGAGGCTCGATTTTACCTTCAGCCGCTATCTCATTAGCACCCACAACAACTCTGTGCTACTCTGAGACGAACCAGAGTGGGAAAGACATACGTCGCCTAGTAGGACGATCTCGTCAGATTTCAGAGTGCTGTCATACAGGTGCCAGACACGAACACATTTCCATCGGGGTCTACCACAACAAACTCATCAACACCATCAGCACTATCATCTCAACACCGAACACACACACCCGCTCCTTCTCGACATGGGTAGTCTTTCACTTGAGGTCTTGGGACGGATCCTTGAGCACTGCGTATCAGGCACTTTCCCGTCTGGGTATCGACGAGCCAGAGTGGAAAATACGTGCCCTCCAGCAGGACTATCTCGTCAGACTCCAGAGCGCTGTCAAACGGGTGCCGCGAGTTTGAAGGCCGCGTGCGATGCTGAGGACACTCAGGGCAACATCCAGGCTCAAGATGATGATGAGGTGCGCCGCAGAGGAAAAGCAGAACAAGACAGACAACAGCGGTACAGCTGCAAAATCAAGATTGCGATATCATTGCTAGCCAGGCGTGCTGGCAACCCCGTCAACATGGATGCTGCGCAGGATGCTCGAGGACTCCCGCTTCCACAAGCAGTGCAACAAGACGGACTTAGGTCTCGGTATCCACGAGGTCGACATCGACCACCACTGGGATCGGCTTCTAACTATGCCCAATTGTTCATGAGCTGTGCCAGCGGGTCAATACAGCCATCTCGGAGGTCAGGCGCCGGCGACCAGGCCTGCAACCGGGAGATCGATTGACCTGGCGCCCACTGATAGCCACAGGTGGGCCTGTGTTGTTTTAATTACCACATGTCGATTCTATATATATCCACACCTTTCGGAATCCGTGTGCCCACGGGGCACACTACCAACACAACTTGCTCAATAGCATACCGGCAACATGACCAGGCCAACCTCAACCATCTGTTGAGGGCCTACCTAACAAGACACCCTCGGCATTTCTCTTCACTCCTCAAGGATGTGTATTGTTGTCGATAACCATGACAAGCAACGAAGACACTCTTAGAGACGTCGCCGCTGGGTCTCGAGAGGGAGCTCGGCAGTGACAAAACTCAGCCGTCACACGCCAGCCAACGTGTTCCCGATAACCCAGTTCATAAACTGGCTGAACGGCTCCGAATTCTCCTGCGCGGAGCTTGCAGCAGCGGCCCTTCTCGACCGCACGCTCAGTGAGCATGATACTGAGTTTGAGGAGCGGAGGCCGCTGATCAATTTCGCACTCAACGTTTTGGACAACATCGCAGCAGCTGCAGCATGAAGTCCTGCCTTCGACTGATGCACCCACCGCTTTCATGACTACGCTACATCTTCGATGTCGATGACATGCTGTCCATCGCAATCATGGTATGCTACTTCTCGCCACACCCCGGATACAATGTTAACTTTTACCAGACGAAGCTCACCAAGCAAGGGCGTCGAGATTACACCCACGCGACGGTCGAAAAGGGCAAGGCCTTACTCGAGGAGGAGGCCTATTTACCTACCCAAAACTCACCTAAGGGCCCTAGCAGACTTCCTAAGACAAAGAATGCTCAGGAAACTTCCAAACGAATCTCTTAAAAGCGAATGGGTCGCCAGAAGATGCCAAACAAAACGGCACGGGAGGGTATATTTCAACCGCGCAAGGCATCCGAGTCAAGCTTGGGAATCTCAACCCCAGATCTAGGCTCATCCCCGATGGGCTGGAGTCCCCCAGCTCGTCTGGAAATATTACGCCAGCCAATGGTGGGTCTTGGTTGAGCTCAAAAGTTCCAACATGGTCCTGGAATATCTCCTCTTTTGGCCACTTCTGGGGCAAGAATAGGAGCCGCCACGCCTTCTCGACTAAAAAACTGCATTATTTTCCTACTTCCTACTAATTTCACCACTCTCTTGGTGTTCTTTCTAAGTCTCATCACAACCAACGAGCGCGCCTATATATACCACCAATCATTGAAATATTTGTCATTATGGGCATCAACGCGCTCTCACCACGCTTGTCAAATCGACGGCTATGTCATCCGCACAGCACAAGAATGGCATGAGATACTTTCTCAGGCACAGATCCAAAGGCGGAGGCCCATCGCATCGAAACGAGGGCAAGGAGGACAACAAGGGCGAGGACGGCAGCGATGCTGACCCACATCACATTCTTAGCGTTCCTTTTCTTGGATGAGAGCTGGTAGCAGGAGTTTCGCACCAGTACACCAAGGCAGGCCCTGCCAGGAAACCCATAGCATGCCCAAGACCGTTTGAACACAACATGCAAACCGCGCGTGAAAAGATCCACAAGAGATGGGCACAGCCAGCCCTCCCGGCAACAAATCCCGGAAAACCACCCCGGGCAGCCGACAACGACAACTTCATCGATGAAGACGGAGGCGTCCCGGGGCCATCCACCTCACGAGGCAGGACCAAGCGGCAGTGCGAGGACGACACGGAGCCCACGGAGCGCCCCACAAGTCGACGGCGCGTGGGCAGGCATATCGGGTCACGACCATGGATCTTGACAGCGACAGCGGCGAGACCGATCCTCAGCTGAAGAAGAAACCCTGCACCACCTGCGGGAAGAAGACGCGCTATAGAACCCACTGTAGCGATTGCTTAGTCTTCTTGGAGAAGAAACCAATGGAGATTGGGGAGGATTGTGTGGGTTTTGACCAACAGACCGGCCATTCCCACCCTGGAGAAGATGGCAGATCCTGGTCGCGCCTGGAGGGTCTTGACGCGCAACAAGGGAGTCTCCGTATCCTCGTCGCATATGAAAGGGAGTCCTCTTTTCCCAAGACATGAAATGAGAGAGAAGTATCCCAGAATGCCAGCGACACAGTCGGCGGAAGAAAAATCCGCCTTCGAACGGCGAGAGAGTGACGACGCAGAAGACAAGCCAGTCGGAGACGCAGCAGGGGATGAGCAATCGATTGGGCTCGACATGGTGGGCATGGGATGCGCGAGGCGTATAAAAGATAGAGAGGTAGTTCAGCGTGTCAGGTCAGCCTCAAAACCAAGAGGTCAGCGATCAGTTGACGGAATGGCACGACACACACCTGTCCACCCTGCCGCTTGGATCCAGCCGCCAGCGCTGGAGCTCCCTGGCCGGCCGGATAGCCTTCCAGCAGCAAGCACATGCTCGCCGGCGCGAGCACTGCCTCCGCTTATAGACCCGAGCCAGATAGGAGCCTTGGCGTACCGCACGGCTTACCCGTGGGACTCGTCGAGTGGACGACCTCGCCATGATCCAACCCAGTCGCAACATTCAGGTCGACATTCGTCAGCCCAACACACCCTGCATTCTTCCCCTCTACACCCTAGTGCGAATAACCACCACAACACCCATTGCGTCTTCGAATACTTGACCCAGCCAACAGTTCCGTGAATATATTTCCTAACGTGCCTTGCGGAAAGAATTCATGGGTATGACTGGATACACAGGAACAAATGTTTTTCAGCAGCTGAACGCCGTTGGCCCAGCTAATGGAAACCCGCATTCGTCGGGCTGAGACAAAGTATCTGGACATGATGGGTTGGGCAGGAGAACCGCTGCCACTATTGAGTCTCCAATTTCATCCTGTGCCTGAGTTCAAAACACCATTCAACTCGTGTCTAAATATGAGTCTTCATTACTCTTGAATTAAACGTGATCTAGCCACAGTGAAATATTTTCCGCCGCTGCGTTTCGATTTCCAAACAGCTACCCAGGTATCAACGTCCACCTAGGTAGTGTGCTGCAGTTATCGTAAGATTTTCAATAACCCACGTTTACCAATGGCAACCTAGTACAGCTATGAAAGGCTCTCGGCTTTCCGGTCCGCTGACCTTACCACATCATCTGCGTGTTGTACACCCACTGGGGGCCTGGGGATGTAGCCAAGAATATGCATGACCCTTGCAAGCAATTGCAAGAGTACAAGCACCGCAGGAAGTTTCAGCAACTCTGCTGAATCCAGACCATCATGCCTGATACCATCGCGGCCAGATACATCCTGTCCGCGTGACGTAGGCTCCGCCCGGTCCCGTACTTGTCGGCCAGTCGGATTTGCCGGTTCTTGTGGCTGCTTCTCGTCCGGACGATCTGGTTCCCCCACCTCTGTTGACTTTTCATCCGCGTCGACCAAGGTTCGCCCGGTGCTTGTTGTTGCCACAGATTCAAGTCCCGGGATGCGAGTGCCTTGTACCTCCCGCTGTGCTGACAAACCCTCTATGATTTCTCTGAACTCCTCGATGGTTGGCAGGCCCGATACATCGGGCACCGCCCCTGCCCCAGGGACCAACAAACCTTGTTCTGCACCATCCTGGGCTGGGTTTTCAAGTAGTTGTCTGCTTCCAGGGCTCTGCACAGTCTGTAAAGCTTCAGCCGCGCTTGTTGATGCACCATCAGGCGCGTCAGATGTTGGCGCTGGGTAGAATCTGGTCCCTGGAATTTCGTCAGGTATTTGCACAGGTATTTCCTGCATGTTTTCCATTTCCATTGCCCTCGCTAACACCGTTGCTGCCTTGTAGAGGTTCTTGGTGTAGAGTTTGTAGTCTTTGAAATCAAGGAGTGTTACAACGCTGTGCTCTCTGTCCCTGCTGCTGCCGAATTTTAACTTGGACTTTACGCGGTCGTTCCAACTTTCCAACTTCCCATCTATCTGGACCCTCATCAGGAAAGGCTGTCCGGAATGTTCGAAGGCGAATGCGGTTCGGAATGTGCTACTATGGAAGGCCTGCCGCTCAAGTTTGTTCTCGTTCAAATCCCACCGTAGCGTTTTGTAGGCCCAGGTGTCCTTGCCAGGGAGGATCTGGCTGTTGAACGACCAGCAGGCTTCGCGCTTGGACAGCTTTTTGGACTCATAGCCGAGTCCGCCAGCGCTGTTTCCAAGTGCGTTCACTTCTGGTACGAACTTCTTGGTGGCCTCCACATGGGCTGTCTTGATCTGACCTTTCAGCTCCTTTGGGCCATACCAAGCCGTGACTTGCACAGGACATCCAGAAGGATGCAATTTCCTAGTCGTCTTGTGCCTCTCCAACGCAGGGTCGTTCTCATCCAAGGTAATGCTTATCGTGGCGCTTTTCACTCGGCACCCCTGGGGAGGCCCAAAGTTTAAATTCAAGTAGATGATACCGGCGGGAAACTGCTTGTTTCCCAGAACACCCCACCGTGACTTTTCAAAGAGAAACTCGCAGTCGATGGTTATTTTCCCAAGGTTCTTGGATCCCACGCTGGCATGGCCCGACGACTGGGTCGCAAAGTCACTGAAGTCGCCGTATCTTCCATAATGCTTAGTTGAGGCACTGAGAAGCCGAGGCACTGGATTACTCGAGGTGGACATCATGGGGCCGGTGGGCAGAACAGGGAGTTCTAGCAGTTGCGAGAGGAGTGTCCGAGGGAATGTAAAGATGACGGCCTTCTTATCTCTCTAATGACGTATAGACTAATAATCAATGCGAAGTCTCCGTTTTAGTGTGCAGGCTATACGATTCGGGGGACCGAATCTTAACCGAATGTTTGCCGATATTCGTCTATGTAGAGGGCCCTTCTCGCCTGCCCTCGAATAGCCAGAATTGACCTTTGTTATCACCCTGAATTCTTACAGGGAGCAACCCACGAGTGGGTGGGACATGACTCAACGTAGATGTATTTGAGGCTTAGCAACTGCTCCGCACGTATTCGGGTGCAAGTCCTTTACGGCTGTCTCAAGCTTCAATAGCACGGATTGGACTTTTGTGTGGTTTCGCGAAGCCTCATGCGGTGATTACTTGAGGGATATTCCGATTTGCCAAGTTACTCAGCACTGCTACATTGCATGCTGAATCTAATACGGGGCTTACCGGTACTGTTCCGCAAGAAACAATAACATAATTTCAGATGGCCACCCCGTCAGTACCTAGCCCAATCCGTCGGTTACCTTACCACAACAGGCTAGGAAGCTAGCTGCGCTGCTAATTATGCCACAGTAATATTGCATGTGTTTCCGCTCAGGTGCAGTTACGTATGTAACCGCGTCGCCGGGCATCCTTTGTTGAGATAAGTACATGAGTAGTTCACCCTCTTCTGACATAATTGGCAGCACTGCTTCAACTGTTCTGTTCTCAATCTCGAGGTGCCATCCACATACAGTGTCCGTGGAATCAAACTCACAGTAGTCCTTCCAAAATGGCATACCATTCCGACGCAGTAGACTACATTGAGTCTCGTATGTCACCAGATATCATCGTTGACACAAGACCCCGCGGCCAAGTCTCACGCACGGATACCAGAACAAGATCACCTCCTCTCAGGACGATTCCTCGAGTCTCGCGCAGGTTTTGGGAACAGGGCTCAATGGACAACAAAGGAAAAACAATCGTCAGACATCCATCGTCTAGAATATACGAGCCAGTAACTTCGGCGGAACATGACAATGCCCCTAGTGGGGTTGCACTTGATGAACAAGAACGCCCGGCCGATAAAATACCTAGGTATCGTCTATCGCCGTACAAGGAGCCTTGCAGGCCACAAGCGGGCATAGAGTCAGGCAACTCTGGAGATGCCAAGCTTCAGTCCAGTCCAGTTCTTGGTGGAGACGAATTCGATTTTACGTACACGTCAGCCGATATTGAGACAACAGATCGCGTCATGGCCAGCCTCAAATACACGCTTGTGGAAGACCTCGACGACGAGCTCGAAGAACTTGGGCGGCTAACGAGAGCGGGAGATTTCCGTGCCGCCAAGGCGTTCTTCTTGCAACATCTGAAGCAGCACATTGAGAATCCGCTCGTGTTCACCCTCTACGCCGAATTACTGTTGGAGATTGGCGACTACCAGTCTGTTATCCAGCTTGAGGATATTGCACATACGGCAGTCCCGCAGCACTGGCGCTCTTCGAGTGCTCTGCTGGAAGACGACGACAACACCGCTAGCTCTCCATACACTAATTTGTATGTGAATTGGAAGCTGATTCATCTGATGGCGCGTAGTCGCAACACGCAAGATATGAGCAGATTCTATGTCGATCTCGATGAGTCTTGGCTGCGTTCTGAGACCTTTGATAGCACGCAGGTAATAATACGTCATGCACCATCAACCGCTACTGATCAACATATTTTTACATTGTTCCTTTATTCCTCTATCCCCCAGCCCCATTCGCGATCACCATTTGTCATGCATGCCAGTGTTCCCGGTTCTGATGCTAGTCTAGGTACGAATATTTTTTCTACTCGCGAGATTATGGAATATCATGCGATTTGGTGCCCAAGACTTGAAATACGACCTATTGTCCGGTCGTGACTGGAAAGCTACGTACTCATTATTGGTTGATGAGCAGAGAGCTTGGGACTTTCGGGACATGTTCCTGGCTTTCATCAATCTCATTAACCCCGACGTTCTGTTCAAAATGAACTTCTTCTTCGACAGCGAGACACCAAAGGACTTCTACGATCGTCTTAAAGAAGACTGGTTAACCGGAAACCCTGACGTTTCAGTGTACTTGGCTTTGATAGACCTATTGTCGTCGATGGTGATGACGATGGTTTCTTACGAGACGGCTGGGAAATTGGCCAGAGAAGCGCTTGAGTTCGCAGACGAGCTCGGGGAAAAGTTGATGGCGTGCTGGCCAGAGCATACTGGTACACGCCCGTATCTTATATGGCCAGTCGCGAAGGCGGCTACAGGCGTGTTCCAGAAAGGAAGCACCTCTGATGGTAACTACAAAGGAGCTCCGTGTTCTGCTTCGGAGCCGGGTCTGGTGGTTCTCCCCATATCGAACACCATAATTCCCGCTCTTCCTTTTTACATTCCCATCAAAGCAGAGAATCCGGGATGGAGCGTCCCTGCAATGATACCTTCCACGAAAAGAGCGCTTCGTGTTGTTTGCGGAATAGCAAAAGGGCTTGAGAACTACGCATTACAAGCGGCATGCATCTGTGAGCTCGCAATACGATCAGATGAGCCAATCACTCTGATGAATGAGCTTGCAGAAGTTCAGAGGGATCAAGGTGACCTCTACGGGAGACTGGAGACATGCCTCGCGAAGTATTTGGTCTGCCAAAGTGAAGAATCTAAACAGGCTCTACGTCACGAACTTGCCAGCTTTGGGTACTGGGAGGATATGACAAATCTTTCAGAATTCCAGGCTATGCTGGTGGCCACCCGAGATGTGCAACTCCGTGCACTCTCTCCCACCGACATGATGGCCTTCAAGTCGTCTATTTCCGCCGCACTTCCTTACTACTCTCGTCTTCCTCTCGGTCTTCAGCAAGACCTCAACCATGATTCTTATGCGGGAGATCCGCGAGAGCAGCGCCTGCCCACAAGCCCCCCAGCACGGCCACACGGAGAACCTCACAACGTCGAAACTACCCGCAGAGCGGTGCAAAGACGAGGAAGTTTGAGAATGCGCCATACGCCAAAGGAGAAAGATGGATTGCAAAAGGAATCGTCCCGGAGTAGGCTTGCATATTTTAGATCTCCCCCTTAAATTCGCCTCAAGTTCATAGGCAGTGCTAATTTCCCATTGCATTCAGGCCCCACACGCCATGAAAAAAGCATACCACGGCCGCAAGGCCAGGTCACAGAACACCAAGACATCAGAATCGTGGACGTCCCATACGAGTATACGTCCACGGGAACGCCGATACCCGTTGAACATCCAGAGCAGAGTGAGAGACGACGACCAGCCACCTTCGCCACGGTCCAGTCTGTGAATTCCAGCTCGTCGTCATCATCATTCAATCACGGCCCAGAAGTCACGGAATGGGTGGAGGGTCGGAGCAGCGACTCAGCCAAAGGGAAACATACTAGCGAACAGGAGGAGCTTTTCCCTCGGGAAGACTCCAGAATTGCCGACCATGTTGGACATGAACGAGGCCCAGGAAGGGAATTCCCAAGCGTGGCAAGCCGCCCTAAACGTTCAACCAGTGTCGACTTGGGAGAGTTCAGTCGACGGTCACAAAGTGAGCTAGGAGAGATTGCTGAAAAGAATGTGTGGGAACAATTCTTCGGACATGGGTCATACAATGTTGATTGAAATGATTATCCGTTTTTATAATATAAATAAAAGAGTTATATTTTGACGTTATCAAGTAAAATAAGGGAAACTTGTATTTGCTAGGGTAAGATAAAGTGTGTATATGAGTTCCTTAGTAGGGATCTTAACACTCTTGAAATGTAATTGTGACGTTTTAATACATTTGACTGGTTTTGAAACAATTTTAATTGAAACAGCAGGAACAATAAAGGCTGGTAGGGGGGGAGTGTGTGAAGCAACGATATTCAGCTATCATAATACTCATCAGCGGTAGACTTTCACGTTTGAGGCACACAAATTTGTGGTCCTCATGCATATTGAAGTCTAATATCTTGCCATGAGATTTAGAATCACTCTTTGCCTTCAAGCTACACCAGCTCGAACATCTGTGTCTCGCAGTGTCCTTCCTGAAGGAGCGTCTTCGCCTCCCCGTCCATAAGACCCAGTCCCCAATTGAAAAGCACCGTCATGGTAGGGTCCTTCATGGAACCGCACAGCCTCGTCTCGTTGTCCACGCCGCCTTGAAGGCGCTGCCTGTCCTCACGGAGACACTCCCACAAGCCTGGAAACCGCTGCACATTCGGAACCTACCCAAGATTGTGCTCTCCAGTCATAGCACCTTTGCGGAAATAGACCAGAAACGGACTCGTATCCGCGTCGCCGTTCGTCTTGCAAAGCACGGTCGGCCGGAGGGCACGCGGCGTCGAGCACCCGGTGTGGTAAGCTGCGCGGCCGCCACTGGCGAACTCTTCGAGGGGATCGCACAGCGACTTCCCTTCGGCGCGCCAGGGCATATTGTTATCCGGGATCTCGACGACGCGCTTGATTCGTTGGATCCTGGAGCCTCCTGCGGAGAGGCTGCGCCCGTGTGCTTCCGGCTCTGGGAAGTCATACCCGTGGAACACGCCGCGCGTGGCGTGGCACGGGCGGTCTGCGCGGCAGTGGTCATAGCTGAACCGAGATGGTGTCCAAGATGGTAGATCTAGGTTGTCTGTGTCACTGTGCGGGGCCTGGGGTGCGGTGTCGAGGAAGCACAGCTCAGAATCGGTCCCGCGGTTGGAACTGATTATAGCCCGCACGTAGTCGAGAAGCACTTGTCGTGTTGTCTTGGAATAGTCGGGAATGATGTTCAAGCCAGTCAAGCTCAGAAGTCCATAAACATGATCTCTTGCATCAGTGGCGTCGTGCTGGAACCCTTTCAGGGATAGTAATGCCGAATAGTAGTTGGAGTGGCCGGAAGAGTCGGCCTCGGGAGAGGACAAACTCTCGAACTGTTTATCTAGTATCCTGTCGAAATTCGGCTTCTGAGGCAGGTACTTGTATTGTCCCATGTAGAACAAAGCGTCCAATAACTCTGACTTCTTGGCGTCCTCGTTAGGCTTCTTTGTCGCGAGTCCTTTGCCCCAGCTTTTGCTCGACAAGTGGAGCAGATATCGAAGACCTCGCTCGAACGTTGGGCGATGTATACTCGCGGACGGTGTGGTATAGATGAGATCCCGCGATAGAGCTACCTCCTGGATGATCCACATCCTTTGCCAGTAGGGAAGCCGAAGTAAACCGCATATAGCTGTAGCGAGGGGTCCCCTGCTCTCTCCTTCGGGTCTCTCTGAAATTGAACCAGGCGGAACAAGTCATTATCGTGATCTTCCATCCACGTGACACCATGCAAGGCATCAACATGCCCGGCATTCACGAGCTTCACCTCCCGGCAGAGAGTTTCAAGAGCGGAAAACACCAGCGGTAACCCTTTGTCCTCATTGCTCAGCCAGGCGACCACTAGTGAGGCCGAAGAGTAAATGCGGCCCATCATGCCCACCTGGTGGCTTTTTTCCTCAACATTCTCCTGGTTGATGCAAATAGCGTCTGCCCACAAGCCAGAAGGCTGGCCGCTTGCAGTTCTCGTCTCCTCTTTGATTCATGTGAGGAACTGCGTGTTTTGCGACATGCCTCAGAGCTTCGGAGAGGCTTTTTGTCACCTTGCGCGGGGACCCGTTGACGATGATCTCTGCCGTCTCCGTCGGGTCGCCCCAGACATAAGACAGAGCTGCAAATGGGGGCCTATCTTGCAGGGAAACTGTGTGCATTTTGACCACCACCGGGCCATCCTCGTTGTCGTCGTCAGGTTCCGCAATCTCCAGGAGCCAGAATTGTAGGCGGAACTCGTCGAGCGGCTCATAGACTGTTCTGGCAATGCGGCAGTTCATATTCAGCAGCGTGAGGTCACAAGTACGTAAGAATGTGAGAGACCTGTTTTCAAACCAGATGAGAAATCAAGGACCTAGGTAGGCATGAAGGTATTGGATTCACACCATGGCGAGGTCGGTGGGTGGGCACCTCGTTAAGTAGGGGGAGCCTCTACTTATTTAAAAAAATTATGCCATGCCGCTGGTCTCTGCCGCTCGAGCAAGCAGACATCAACTCTCACAGGCCAAAGCGCAGACGTGTTACACGTCTGAATCGAACCTCGGCTCTCGCAGAGGCCGTGGTTCTCACCTCGGGTCGGATTGTTTGATTGTCCATTCAAGGTTCGCCAGGGTGCCATGGGTGAAGATCTCATCCTCCTAACCCGATGGCACTGCCCTCCCCGGCGGACCCGAACTGCCAGTTTGAGAACGTGACCCTACCTGTACCTACCTGAGTGGTCTCGTTTTTAATCTGTATACATATGCTTCTTAAGAAATATGCATCCAGTCCCTTTATATAGTAACAAATGCTTAAACACTTAGCATTAAAAAGATTTAATATTAAAAATTCATAAGTTTTAAATATAATTATCTATAGCTAATAGCCAACAAACTAATAATAGCCTTATAATAACTATATAAATAAAGCTAATAAGAATTGCTTTTAATGACGCTATAAATTAAAATTATTAATATAAGTAGCTTAAGATTAATAATTAAGCAATTAATTATATAGCGAAAATTAACATAATATTTATAAAATGTAATAATCTTATAAATATAATCTTAATTTAAAACTTAATTTCGTTTTACTTATATTAATAAATATCTTTTAAGGGAACTTTAAAGAAATTATAAGATTATATAACCTTTTAAGAAAACCTTTATTAAATAAGTAATTATTATAATTAATATTTAACCTTAAAGCTGCTAACTTTAATAAAAATTAAATTAAAGAAATGCTTTACTTTAAAATGCTTAAGTATTTTTCATATTTATATTATAAAACTTTTTAAGAAAAAGAAAAAGAATATTTATAATAAAATAAATAATAATATAAAATATAATAATATTATATTTTATTAAATTTATTATTTTATTATTAATAATTAAATCACCTTTAAAAGGATTAAAAGGAAGTTAAAAACTAAGAATACAAAGAAGTATTATAATGTTCCTTTAAAGGAGGGAAATAAAGGCATATATTAAGTTGTTTGCAACTTTATATATAAGCTTAGGGCCAAGGGATAATTGAAAAGCTAAGCAAACAGCAGACAAACCAATGGATAGTTGATTTAAAAAATATAGTGTGGCCGAAGCCGTACCTACCTGAGTAATCACAAAAAGACCCCACGGCTGAACTTTTTGGGGCGAATGTCTGTGGCCATTGACAGAGATCAGCGCACCCAATCGCCGTTACGGCACACAGCATGCAAGTGGGGGCGGGAATGCTCATGGAGGGTTACACTGAGAAGGATCACACCGACAAGAACGAGACCTTTTTCTAAGGCGTCATCGACATCGACTAAACAGAAGAAGACTTCAGGTGGATATTGACGTAGTGGAAAGGTGTTGTTAGGGGAGATACGGAGCTTAAATGATTTATATAATGTTTGACTACGGGACCTGGAAAGAATTTCGCTGAGAACAGAATTACAAGTCACGAAGGGAACTGATAACAGGAACAAATAAAACGGCAAGTGGATATAGGAGCTTATATGTCCAAGTCATCTTGCAAGACAAGAAACTTCTTCTCCTTGCGAAGCTCTTCTCTCCTCTCCTCTCCTCTCCTCGTTTGCCCCAGATGTTAATTTCAATGACCTCCTTGAACGCCTGAATGTGTGCCTGAACCATGAAGTTTAGAAGTTGTCACCAGGGAAAAAGCTGATCTTGAGATACTTTCGAACCCCGTCAACACAAAGCGATTGACTGACGTGGCCATGACTCTTGCCAATTTCTAGGAGCAGAAATATCAGCCACGCCCACCCGTTCATAGGCTTCGCCCGTAGCATTGGGAGGCCTCCGGATGACCAAGCATAAAAGGCGAGGCCTATCGCTATGGCCGGTTCCTGTCTCCATTATGGCCATTAGAAGATAATCCCCTGGCACCCAGTCCTCGATCCTATTCACGACGATGGTGTGGGTTTCTGGTTGCCCCTCATTTATGAATACCGCGCGCAAAATCTGCGTTGACTCCTCAAAGATATCGAAGTCAAGACACCATATATCTCCGCTTCGAAGATCCCATGGATCTGCGTTTTGAAGACATCTCGTTGGTCGCGACGGGTAAGAAGAGACAATTTGAAGCCTTTTCGTCCAGACTTTCAGGTCGAGCTGCGCCGATTGTATTGCACCATAGGGGTTGGTGCTGTCAACCAGATTTATCTTCCATGATGCGCACAAGGGCAAGGCGGTGTAGAGATAGACGCTGTCAGATGGTGTGAACGAGACGAGATGGTTTGATCTGGCCCACGACCAGCTGGGCGCTTGATAGCGAGTCGGCAAAGGCTGATGTCGTGTGTGACACCAAGCCAGACCTCGATTCAGGTCTGCAGTCCAAATTCCGGCGATATAGTCGGCCCCAATCGCAGAATGAGCGCTTTGAGCTATCGCCGGGAAAGCAGGAAGTCTGTCAGAGCTTTTTGTCAGCTCTCGAGTCACATACAACTCGACCAAATCATAGTAGTCTTTCCGGAGTTCTTGGCCTCTCGGTTTCAATCGCAGAGAGTGAGGATGAACTTGCGACCTAAGACTGCTGAATTTGAAGCCTGAGTACCGGGTACCCTTCAATGTGAAACCATCCATTGTTTGTGTTCCGCGTAAACACTCCCAATGTACTCTGCTCTTGCCGAATACGAGCCGTCTTGGCGCAAGTACATATTCTTGGAGTGTCCAGCCTCGGCTTGCCAAGATGCTATCCGTAGCCAGACTGACAGAGTCCTCTGTCGTGTCATCTTCAGCATAGACCAATTCCAGCTGGGCTTCGGAATCGGTGGACGCTCTTGCTTTGTAAGCAGTTACGCATACAGGCCGGGCCAAGGGAATTTCTTCGATAGTGGAGGAGTTTTTTCGTGTCAAGATCCCTTCTCGACTTGTCGCAGATTCCATTGCGTAGTAGATAGTCAAGGTTGCGTGTGAATATACACTCGCCATTTTCTTGGACTGTTTCAGCCAATCTGTGGTCGAATCCTGGATGATACACAGGCAATCTATCCACAGGTATCGAATTCCGAGCCCGCGCGTAATTTGGATGGCGTGTTGAAAGTTTTCGGCCAGTTTCGAGATGGCGAGACCGTCGCGAAACTCGTCAATGGTGTTCTCCTCCAGCTTGAAGTCGACCTGGCCGCCCCAGCAATGACTGAGAGCTACGTACTGGGCTCTTATTCCCTCGGGATGGATCAAGCGACACGTTTCAATATTTTGAACATCGATTACTCGGTCGGGAAGGGCGGGTATGTCGTGCTAGTGGCAGTCCTCGTGTGATGCCAGGCATTCTTCCAGCCGCATGCTTGCTAGATTGTGATTGCGTGGCTCAGCAGCTTCTCGAAATTGGCCTACTCGAGCATCCCCAATCTTGAAAAGTTCTTCTATCAAGTCGTCAGCTACTACATCTTAATTTGCTCAATTAGCGACTAGGAGATGCGATGGCACACGTCGAGAGGTGGCTAGCCGGAATTTGAGGTCTACAAAGTCAAGTATGCCTTTCAATCGCAATTCCTCGAAGAGCGGATGTGATCCGAATCCGCCCCGGAACTCAAGACGAAGTTCGAAACGCGCATGTTGAAATGTGGGAAACTGTTCCTGTCGCAGTAAATACGAGTAGAGACAAGATGGTCCGTAGTGTTTCTCATCATCGAGAAGCCGTTGTTTCTTGAGGCTGGCAACCATCAATCGACACAGCTCGCATCCTGACGTGGCGCTCTCACAGAGATGGCTTATCTTCTTATAGTGAGGGTAGGAGTGGTAACAGGAGGGCTCTGTGCTGTAGTGTCTCGGGAGCTCAAGAACGAGCTCAACGCTGAACGCTGCGCAATGCTGACAGCGGCTGGCCATGTTGAGAGCATGTCAGAATTGTGTGTCCTTGGAAAATATTATTGGAAAATTCGGGGAGTCATCTGGAGCGTAGAAGACATTATTAATTTTCTATCCACTCCAAGACGCTATCTCAGCCGTTTCCTGGCAAATTGGCCACGTGGTTGCCTAACTCAGCCATGCTCGGCTGCGAGTTGGCCCACTTCAACTTGGCCAGCAGTTATCATGCATTGTCCCTCCCATGATTAGGTAAACATCATTCCTCATCGAAGTTCATGCTGCGTCATGCTATGGGGTATTGACTGGTTAGAGAATGATTGGCTATAGCCACCACACAGATAGTTTCCCATTAACTTGTGCCTACGTAGGTATGTCATCGTACGAGTGCTTACTCTTGCCGTGTTGCATGTGTGCCGAGCGCCTTTGATTTCCGTAACAAGATTTTTTGAGGCTTATCGCATGCATATCGGGTTATACAACAGAATGCCGAGAACACTGCCATGTTCTAGTGGTTGTGAGCCTGCACCTGCACCCTAGTTCTTTTCGAAGCATCCCAACCTCCTTGGTCGATTTCCCCTCTCACTTCACTTCGTCCTCTCCATATGTATCCGGCACATTTTCGAATCGCATGTTCTTTTGCAAACAACAGAATAGTCAACGAGACTCACGAACCCGTCTTTTTGAACTTCACTTTTTCTGGTACGCCGCACACGGAACGTACAACTCGGTTGAACAGCTCCAACCTTCTCCGTTCCACCATAAGCCGCACAGGCAGCTGTTCAGATTGAGACACAGACAACACCTACAGGTGTATTGTACAACGTAATTTCATCATTTATGCGACTACATCGTTTCTGAACGCAAGCTAATGTATCAAGAATGCACACAGGTCCCGAGAAGCCTCATGATGGTCAAGCCAGTTCGAACGAAACGCATAAGATACCGGATGCTCAATTTAAAGCCCAACCTCGGCAAGCTCAAAGATGAACACTCTTCCATGCGGGTGGCTACTCCGCAGCTACTCCCCGATGACAGTATCTGCGCCAAGTGTGCCGATCTTGACCTTCGAGGAGCCCTCCAAGAGGCTGTTCGGATTCGAGAGCGCAGCAACGATATATTCGGTACTGCGCTCTGGCACGGACTTCGTATCGCCAATGTCGGCCGTGAGTTTCGAAAGCTGCAGTCGACGGATTGTCCACTGTGCCCCATCCTATTTACTTCCCGCATCGGTTCAGAGCAAGGCCTCGTCGACAGCGACAATGGTGACGAAATACGACTGTTTGGCTTTCTAGACAATTCCGATTCGGTCCGATCTACGACAAGCTTTCATAATTATGACTCTGCACTCCTTGCTGTTGTGCCCGAACACTTCGGATCTAAAAAGGGAGGCCAGGGTGATTTGCGCATACTCAAGAATCATATTCAAAACCAAGGGGCTGCAGTACTTCTCCAGGATGGGACTCACCCGGAAATCTTTTCTGCGCGTGAAGTTCCAGCCTTCTTCGACGTCGATAGAGCCCTTCGTTGGCTGGAGTACTGCAGATGCAACCACTCGAGTCCGTGTGGCGACTCAACAAATTCCTTGGTTCCTGGTCTCCGCCTCATCGATTGTTGGACAATGACCATCAAAGAGGCTGGTAAAAGCAGTCCTTATGCAGCATTGAGCTATGTATGGGGCGACCCGGCCATCGTCGACAGCAGTTTGCGACGAACAGGCAACAGACTTCTACTACCGGCAAGGCTATCCCCGGTCATCTCCGACGCAATCAGTGTTACAAGAGATCTAGGGTTTCAGTACCTCTGGGTCGATAAATTTTGCATTGATCAGGGCGATGCGGGCGCAAAACACAAACAGATCGAGCAGATGAATACCATCTATGAGAAAGCTGTTCTGACTATCATAGCTGCGGCTGGCGAAGACGAGACCTACGGACTACCAGGAGTTGGCCAAAGGCTGCGAGAACCTCAGAATATTGCTAGTTTCAGTGGACTGAGAGTCATATCGACGATGAAACACCCCCATTCTTCAATCCGATCCTCACGCTGGGCTTCCCGAGGTTGGACCTACCAAGAAGCGGCACTCAGTCGTCGACGTTTGGTCTTTACGGACCAGCAAACGTACTTCGAGTGTGACTCTATGAACTGTTTCGAGAGTGTGTACAGCCCAATGGACAATCTTCATCCAAGAGTCAGTTCAGAGTCGCTCTTAGATTCCAATAATCTAAGAGCCGGGATGTTTGGCAGAGATACAACTCGAAAATTTGGGACATCCCAGTTTGACAGATCCTTCTTCAGTGTGTTCCAAGAGTATCTATCGGCCGTACAGGACTACTCGGCGAGAGATTTGAGCTACGATGCGGACTCTCTGAACGCATTCCGAGGCATTATTCAACGGTATTCGAATCTCGAAGAGCCTGTTCTTTCAATCTGGGGCCTGCCTTATCCCGCTCGGGGAGACAAGTATCGATATTTCTATTTGGGTCTGACATGGGCCCACACCGAAAACAATTGGGAGAATTCAAGACGACCAAAGCGCCGACAAGAATTTCCCTCCTGGACGTGGGCCGGTTGGTCCGGTACAGTCCGGTTCGGGAAGATAGGAAGCTTTCGCAAGATTAGGAGTTCCATGCGAACAGTACAGTTCGGAGATCAAAGAGACGACACTATGAGCCTGTACTCGTTAAGCTTCAAGACTCCAGAGACCATGTGCCGCGTGCTCCGAATACTCGCCCCGACCCTACCTCTGAGCCTGTTCTCCTGCCAGTCCGCAGGTGACGGCAAGATGCGCTGGGCTTTCGCTGAATACGAGGCAAAATTCTTGCCGTCTCAGGAATACATGCTCCAAGCACAATTTGTCCAAGAAATGATGGATCCCACACGGTGGCGGTGTATCTGGGTATGCTCTGTGGATAGGGAAAGTTCCGTGTTGCTGCTGGAACTGAACCAACAAACTGATACATGGACACGGGCCGGAATATTTCGTATCGAGTGTTCTGACACACACATGAAGCTGGTGCTGAAGGTTCTAGATGAGAGATTGTTGAGGATAGAGTAAGCAAGACAAGATTGAGAACCCACGCTAGGCACTGAGGGCGACAGCAGTATCCCCTAATGTGAGCCCCCAACACTACTTGCAGAATTTACTGCAGCCAAAACTTGTCCAAACTGCATCCTTTTGAGTAAATCTCCAATATTAGATAGGCACCAACGCTCCACGAGGCAGTTGGGCAGGCAGATTCTGCTATAATAGCGAGGCTTAGACTTCATCCTCTTGCCGCTGTCTTTCTTTCTCTTCCTTCTTCTCAGCGGAGGCATGCGCCGCCTCCCCGCCGGCCCCATGACCCCTCGCCAAGCCATCTGATCCCTTTTACATTTCAGTCAGAGGTCCTGGGTGGGGACTATGTGTTCAGGCCTGACAAACTTACCGGAGCCCCTGCTGAGACTTGAACAAAAAAAGCGAACCTCTGTAGACGCTACAATGAGTATTGACAAAAGGTGCGGGCGCCTGTGCCGGGACTCCAGAGATGACCATATTCCGCTAGATTTGATGGTGAGAGTTCGCACACCTCCTGTAGCTATAACATGACACAGCCAAGAAGTTCGGACGCTATCTAGCACCATTTACTTTGCATCTGGCCACCATTCATGGAGGCCACGGTGCGCAACGTCTCCAACATTGAACCAATTTATTGATTGCGGTTACATTAGAATAGCCCCCACCCTTGCTATTCCCAGGTCAGCTTACTGTGGTATTGAAATCTAGTAACGCAAGGCTGAATAGTTTATCAGTTAGCCTTGGCACTTCTTGTCTTGCTCCTACTCTAGTCTTTTCCTATCCTAGGAAGCCATTTAGCTTCAGTTTTGTCTTCTGTTATAGGATCCGTGAATAAAATGTATAGCACATGCATGTTACTTAAAAGTCAGCCCTAGTCGCAACTATTACCTACCTACATAGTAGTTGGACCTTGGAAGCCTTGCTGTACATCACTCAGCCTATATCCTATATGATGACCTCCTGTAGGATTTTCTTAGAGATGCACTGTCTTCGAGAAATCTAACCTCTTTGAGCATTGCGAAGACCCCAGATGGCAGGTAGTATTGACGCTTCCTGTGGATGTGATGCATGTAAGCGAGGAAGAGAGAAACGAGGCATCTTGGCATCAGCTGGTCTACAGCATAGCAGTAACGGGTATTGTTCCAACATGATATTCAACTTTCCAATGCGGCGTAAATGAGCCTTGGGGGCGGTTTGTCGGTGATACTCAGCTTTCCCCAGGTGGCAGAAGTGTCCTTCGAATTGAGAATTATATAGATGGGCGTCTCCTCTTGGGATTAATTCTGGTTTTTCATTCTTATCACTCTCATCCACTTCCTGATCCTCGTCTTTAGCGTTTAAACCCATCATATTCCAAGCCAAACATGCACTTCACTCCCATCCTCCTAGGCCTAGTCGCCTCCGCCTCCGCAATCGACATCGGCTTCCACGTCGGATGGGACTGCTCCGGCGCCGCCTCCGTCGTAAGATTTCCCAAAACGATCTTCCAAGACGCTCCCAAAGGACTTCAGCATTAGACCTCAGGTAATTAGCTGACAAAAAAGTGTAAAGTGCACCGCCATCAACCCCAACATCTGCTGCGTCGCCAGCCTCGCCTCGAGCGCGCGCGTCAGCTGGGTCCCGGTCGAATGGAACATTAACGCCCAGGGCTTCGGCGGCGGTGGCTGCTCGTGGAACAAGTACCTGGCTGAAATCCGGGGGAGGACTGACTACTGTATGGGTCCTAACTCAAGGGACGACTATACAGGGGTATATTACTGGTTTGTCGGCCGCAAGCGTGGGGAGCTAGAGGAGGATAGGAACTGCACGGGGTCGGTCAAGCCTGACACGCTGGTGCTTGCAGATGGGACTACGAAATATAATATTGTTGGCTTGGACGATGCCAAAGTTGAGGAATTAGTGAGTATTCTTTTTTTTTTTTTTTTTTTTTTTAACTTGCCTCAATTTGCTAGCTAGAGCCACTCACTGGCGTACTCGGCGCTGTTCAAGCTCAGCGAAGACGTGAAGGGCAACGTCGCCGCGTGCTACTTCTGCGTCCACCTCTCCACCGTGGGCACGTACCCCATCGCCCCCGGCGCCAACGCCTGGACGCTTAACAACCTCGCCGGCCCTGCCAGGAGGGCGTTGGGCGTCGCCTTCTCGATCGCGATGGGTAATGTTTGGCGGTATCATCGGCAACCTGATCTTCCAGGAGAGGGAGAGGCCCAGGTACCCGTCGGGCTTGGGGGACCTGTCTCGCCTTTGTGCTCTCTGGCATGGCTGCGGCGTTGGCTCTTGAGGTTACGTACTTTTCCGTCAATAAGAGGAGGGCACGTCTGGGCGAGGAGGAAACCAGGGAGAAGTACAGTGAAGATGTGCTCGAGAGTATGGGGGATCGTAGTCCGTTGTTCAGATACTCTCTGTAGTTCTGGTAATTGAATGCCAGAGCATGACATTGCATTACCACTTGTGGCTCCAAGAATTGATAGCTGGCTGCAATTCATACTGTCTCCAGGGTTGAAATTAGTTTAGTTTAGTTTAGTTAATCGGTCTAACTAAAAACTAAAAACTAAAAAAAAAATTAGTTTAGTTAATAGGTTTAACTAAAAAATCATTAAGTTTTTCAAAGTTAAACTTAAAGCCTTTTATAAAATATAAGAAATTTTACCACTTAATTAAAAACCTACTTAATCCATTTAAGTTCCCTAAATAATCCATTATTACTTAATTTATTACTTTGCCCCATTATATATAGTTTTTAAGTTAAACTTATGTAAGTTTTTAAAAAAATATTAACTTAAAACTAAAACTAAAAACTTAATTAAGTTTAACTAAAACTCAAAACTAATTTTACAACCCTGACTGTCTCAAAGATAGTTACAATAGGCCTAAGACCAGCCGACTCAATATCTATAAGCACAGCTCTATACAAACGCCCGCGGCACCATTACTACGTCTCAGCATAAATCTATTATCATCTTCTTCTTGAGTTTTCAAATATCCACAGAGTTTTGAGAGCAATTAAATAACAAAGGTCATAATGCGTCTATTCAGCAAGACTTTGTAACTCAACTTTGGTTTACGAGCCCCCTTGGAAATTATGAATGAGGTATTCTGTTCTTATTTCATGAGATGAGTGGTTCCTACATCGGGTGCAATCGGTAGACCCTTAGCTACACATGTATCATGCTTTGATATGTACAATGCGTTGTAATGCTCTTGTGATGATGTTTCTCTGTTGTGGGGAGTGGCTTATAATTCTACAAGCTAGTATATATTTCACTCGGGCATGCGGTCCCGTTGAAGTTCTCTATGCAAAACCCGGTAATATTACCTCGTCTTTCCTAGGTAATCCAAGGCGAACCTCACGAAGCTTTCTCCATCCGCCTTTGCAGGTACATGACCATGCATTAAGGCTCTTGCCCATTTCCCGGCCATACTTGGAGCGTCAAGCAATCGCCCAGTGGTATCCCAGAGCACCAACACCGGTCCATAACTGAACACGGCCCTAGTGGTGCAAAAGCCCCCCGCCAACCCCCTTCTCCCACCCCCTAATCCCCTCCTTGATGCTCTCCCAATACCTCAGCCTCACCGCCTCCCCGACGGCACCATCAATATCCCCCTCCGAGAACGCCCGCCGCAGGCCCTCGAGACACCGGCCGATCCGCTCCTCGTTCTCGGCCATCGGGCCCTCCAGGTCGGACTCAGACTCGGCCTCGTCGACGGCCTCGCGCGCCTCCAGGACCTCGGCCAGCAGGGCCGGGTCGGCCGCCGCCCCGCCGGCGCCGGCGCTGTGGCTGCCCGCCTCGTCGCCCGCGAGGTCGACGCCGTACCGCTCGGCGAGGATGTACTGCGCGCGCAGGAGCGGGTGCGACAGCGTCTTGTAGGCGGCGTTGATGTGGCTCGACGTCGCCTCGGCCTGCCGGCGGCGCTTCGCTGCTGCGGTGTTGTCTGTGTCGGGTGCGGAGGAGGAGGACGAAGTCGAGGCGGAGTGGAAGTAGTCCGGGTGGCTCGCGGCCTGCAGGCGCAGGAACTCGCGGCGGAGGGCGCGCACGTCGATGTCGAAGGGCCCCTGGGGCGGCGGGCCCTGGGGCAGGGACTCGGGGAAGAGGTCGTAGTATGGCAGGCGCTTTGTGTGGTCCCAGTTCTTGTCGGCCGGCTGGCTTTGGTCTCGTTCTTGTTGGGCTTCCTCGGCGGCTTCGGGTTGGGACTGCGAGGACAGCCACCTGTGCTGTGCGCTGCGGTGCTGCTGCTGCCTCGCCTGCTTGTGCGGTGGGACTCGTGGCGTCGACCTCGTCGTCGAGTACGTCCTCGTGGCTGCCGTGGCCAGCGGCGCGCATGTCCTTTGCTGCGCGCAGCAGCTGGCGCAGAGGCTGCGGCTTTTCGAGGTGAGAGATCTTCGCATGGTTACTTTGCAATGAGGGTCATCTAATGTGTGCGGTGTCCAATCGAGCCGTGCCAGGACTCAGACTCGTCGGGGAGAATAAAGATGCAAGTGAGTAAAGAGAATAACGTGGAGGTGGGATGTGCTGTTGGTCTCTGCTGGACCGCCGAAATATCTCTCTCGGCCTTTCCGGCCTCGGCTCGGCTTGATGACGTCTCGAAATTCCATAGAGCAGGGTTGTGTCAGGGTTGACAAAGGGACCCTCCCCCGTGGAAACCCTTCCCAAGTTGCTCGCATCCAGCATCTAGACTACAGACCATGGCAGAATGCTCATCGTCGACACTTCAGTCTGCTCGTTTAATGGACAATATCTCAGTCCTCAGTCACCAGTGCATTTCGTGTGTTCAGTTTCAGATTGACTTTGAGCATTATTCATTATGACTACCTTGTCCATCTGGTCTCTTCGACTGTGGATTTCTACAAATTACAAGGAAAACCGTCCTCGCATGTTGGGTATCTTTCCGTCCCTCGCCTTCTCTCTGACTGTGCATCAAGACAGCTCGACTCGGCCCCTCCACCGGCCCCGTTCGACGTGCCACCAGCGATCTCCAGAGGCGCTCTTCTTGTCGACCAGTCCCTCGGATTTGTACGAGTTCCACCGGCCTGTACATCCTTCCCTGGCCCTGCCCACGTCCTCGGCTTCTCTCTCTTTCTCCCTCTCCCTTTCCTTCTCTTTCTCCTTGCTGCTCTTCCCTCCGCTGTCTCGTTTGATGAGCCTTCCTCTGGTGGGCACGTTCTCTTGCTGCTGACCCGGGACAACACAACAGGGCGCGATGCCCGTGCCAAACCCACCACCAGCATTGCTGCTAATATCCCCTTTTCGAAGCAGGTCCTCGCCGCCGTCGCCGAGCAGGTCGTCCATAACAGCTAGCCCGCCCCGGGAGTCCGTGCCGCCCTCGTCCGGAACAAGGCAGTACTGTATCCGGCTGCCCGGTTCGCCGATGAAACCAGCCAGCCCCTCGCTCGACACCACCTCTCCGAGCTCGTCCACAACATTGGCCTCGAAGCGCGGGAGCCGCCGCGCGGCTTCTAGCCGGCCCTGCGCCGCCAGCCGTGCCGCGTGCAGGTCGCTGCCATACTCGCGCGTCGGCAGCAGGCGGAGCTCCTTGCCGCTGTCCTTGGTGTCGGATGAAGAACGCGCGCTCGGGTCGTCGATGTTGGCCAGGTTGGTGGTGGATTTGCTGTAGTTGTTGTTGGTGATGGCAGTGGTTGCCTGGCTCACGAGCCCCGCGTTGCGGTACCTGTCGCCGGGGAGGTCTGCCCGCTCCTTGGGCTTGCACAGCCCCTGGAAGAGCCCGTCCGGGTCGTTGGGCACGCGGACGGACCGCAGCTGCGGGAACCCACCGGCCGCGATGCTGCGCGACAGGATGTCATCCGCCCTCGTCGCTGCAATGCCGCTCTCCTGGATGTCCCAGTGCAGCTTCCTCAGCGACCGCGACGCGACGTACGGCATGAACAGGAAGGTGTCGTCGCCCACCGCTGGTGCCATCGCCTGCACAATGTTGAGGGTTGTGAGCTCGTCCAGCTTCGCCAGGATGCGCACTAGCGCGTCCACGCTGTCGATGCCCTGGTGGATTAGCGTCAGCGTCTCGAGCGAGCTGGCCGCGCGGGAGCGGGTCGCGAACGCCACCAGTCCGGCCGTCGTCACTCCGGCGCAGTGCGCAATGCCGAGCTTCTTGAGGGCCCGCGGCAGCCGCAGTAGGGATTCGTCGCTGAAGGAGCTCGCCGGCAGGTGGGACAGGTACAGCGAGTCGATGCCCGGGAGGAGGGCCAGGATTGCTCCGATCGTGGCGCCGTCCGGTGACACGCCTGCGCCGGGCAGGCAGTGGATGGTCAGATGCGTCAGCTCTTTCCAGTTGTCGTGCCGCATCACGAAGCGGTTGGCCTGCGCTGCTGCCAGCTGCTGTTGAAGGTCGGGGGTGCTGTCGTTCGTGGCCGCTGGTGGCGCCGCCCCCCACCTGGATTGCCTCTTCCTGGACTGCGATGTCTTCTTCCCTGAGCGGCCGCTCTCCACCGACGATGGTCCCTCGGGTGTCGCCTCGATGATCCAGGTCATCTCCTTCAGCCTCCGCCTCGTCTCTAGGGCGTGCAGGAGGTGGCTCTCATTGCCATGTCGATAGCTCGCGTAGAAACCGTCCAGCCTCTCCAGATTAGGGCAAGCCATAACCACCGACCCCACGATATCATGGTACTTAGTCGCCTCGATGGAAGCACCGTCCGGGAGCGCAGGCACCTTGAGCGAGCGCACCACGGCCCCGAGGCTCCTGTTGGCCCGGAGCGTGCGCCGCAGCAGCACCAGCCTGGGCGCCTGCAGCCCCTTATTCCTCTTGCCCATCTGCGCCCCGTCCTTCCCGACCAGCTGGATGTCGCTGTACAGCGCCTCCCTCGCCACCGCCAGCAGCCTCCTGTTGCACAGCGCCACCGCGCAGCAGTCCCGCATCCAGCACGTCGCGCAGCTGTTGCCGCCGCTGCTCCTGTCGTCCAGGTGCTGCGCCCGGACGTACTCGAGCACCAGCCTCAGCACCTCGACGGGCAGCTTCTTGAACAGCTCGTCCGGCCCGGGCCTGCGGGGCTGCCGCGCCGCCTGCTTGATCGGCTCCGGCCGCCGCTGCCACATGGGCGCCGAGTTGCGGTACTGCTGGGAGGAAGGGTTGTAGTGCGCGGGCGGGAACGTCTCGAAGGCGTGCGCCTCCTCGATGACGGGCATCCCGCCCCAGCTGTTGGCGCGCATCCGGCCCTGGCTGTCCACGGTGCCGTCGAACGAGTGGAAGCTGCCCGGCCTGGGCGCTGCCATGCCTCCTCCTCCGCCCCCGCCGCCGGACAGGCGCCGCGGCCGCGCGTACATGCCGGGCCGCTGCGGCGTCTGCATCTGCGGCTGCTGCGGCAGGGGGTAGGTCTGGGAGCGCCGGTTCTTGTTGTTGTTGAGGCTGTAGTGGTTAATCTCCGGGGGCATGATGCCGTAGTCCGGGGAGCCGGCGTCGAACTCGGGCCCGAGCGTGAGCTCCTTGGACAGCGGCGACGGGTTCCCGTTGAGGGCGGCGACGTGGGCGGCAAAGGCCTGCGACGACCGCTGGTTGGGGTGGTGCAGCTCCATGCGCGCGCGCAGGGGCTGCTGCTGCTGCTGCTGTGGTGGTGGTTGCTGTTGTTGCTGGTTCGCATTGTTGTTGTTGATGCCCGTGGGCCTCCAGTCCACGCCGCTGCTGTAGGGCCGCCTCGACGACGGCGTGTTGCTGTCGTTGCTCCGGGCGGCCCGCGCCCGCGCCTGCTGCATCTTGTCCTGGCCCTTGTTGCGCAGCAGGTCGTCCCACGAGCCGCTGGCCCGTGGTTTGTGCTGCTGGCCCGCCGCCGCCGGCAGGGGTGGCCGGGCGACGACGTTGGCGGCTGCCATGGTTCGTCGTCGTTTCGGAGAAGCTGAGTCTGTCTGTCTGCCTGCCTGCCTTGCTGGAGGGGATGCAGGTTGCTGGTCTCCGGGGTGGGTAGACTAGAATGTAACGATCGTCTTGTGTCTGCTGCTGGCAGGAGAATGGGAAAACTAAAAATAAAAATATGAGAAATAAGAAATAGTGATTATTGCGCGCTTCTCGAAAGGTTCAGCCTGGGTGTCGACACTCTGTCGTCATCCTCCACATGCGCGTGTCGTCCGGGACATCCGAGCATATAATATCCCCGGTCGAACGAACGTCTGATGTCTTTTCTCTCGGAGATTTGTTGTGCACCTTTCTCAGGTAGCAAGCTAGTAGCGGGCGCCAGCGGCGATGTGTTCCCACCCTGGTGTAAGAAAGAGCGGGTCTCTGGAGAACACAGGGGAAAAAAGCAGGGCTGGCTCTCAAGAAGCTCTCGCTCCTGTCCCCGTGCGGACAAGCGGCGCTGGGTGAGTGAGGCTGAGGGCGGGGTTTTTCGACTCCACGGTCAGCAGCAACTGCGGCAGCGCGGCAAAAAAAAGCTGAAAATATGCTTTCGGGGTCCAGAATATGGCAATTTTTTGTTTGGGGGGTTGGTTGTAGGGGGGGGGCTCAGCCTCGGGTTATTGGGCGGTGGTTTATTAGCCGGTTCATCGACAGGTGTTGTGTCGCGGCCGCACGGGGTTTGCGCGGCGTCAGCTGCAGCCACGATTTCGCTTCCCTGGGGGGCTTGCCCGGGCGGTGGTAAAATGGTGGTTGGCCTGTTTTGTGGTGGTGGCTATGTACTGATTGACTGATCGGTCCTTGTCCCCTGGCAACGCAGACTCGGCCGAGTCCCGAAAGCCCTTGGTTTTTGGTGGTAGGGATATTGAATGCAGCTGGCAAGCCAGGCAGACGGTACGGGCGGACGAACGTACAGGAGGGTTCACAACAAACGAGCGTCTTGGGTCAGGAATGGCGTGCAGGATGAGGCAGGGCCAAAGCGACCGACAGAAGAGTAATGGAAAGGAAATTCACCAGAAGAGAGAAGAGCGAGCGAGAGAGATGAACAGGCCAGGGCGAGAGGAGCCAACCATGAATAAGTCGCCCGGCGCAGAACCGTCGACGCAAGGAGGATGTAGGTGGAGCTTTACGAGCACGCCGGGGGGGGGCTGCTGCTCTGGGGCGGGCACAAGTCGTGTTTTGAATGAGCAGCGGCGAATGGGCACATTCATTTTCATCAACGAGCAGCAGGCAAGTCTCCACACCTGACCGCCGTCCGTGATCGCCGGCGCACGTCTTTCTTGGGGCTATGCCCCATCCGGCGTGGTGTGGGTGTTGGGAACGGATGGTTAATTGTGCCCGGTGACGGGTATCGAGATATGTTGATATACACACGCACAATTTTAAAAACACGCACATGGCTTGCGTTGCCCCGTGTTGCATCAGCATCTACTTCCTACATTGCGATTCTTGTTTGTCGTTCGAATCTCAGACAGCTAGGGCGGCGAGGCAGGGTGCTGCCAGCCTGAGCTTCGGGGGTTCCAGGGCGCCTGACGGGCTTCCCTTGCCTAGACTACTAGTACGGCTTCAGGTTTATTTATGTAGCAGACACCACACTGTTAGATCGGTTCCCGGCAGTTCGGGGAGATTGTTGCTGGCAGTTAGCGCCACGGGGGCAGCTTGGCACCGCTCACTCTGGTCTTTTGGATGATGAAACCGATGTGGGCTTTTTACTTCTTGATTCCTTCGTTTTCCTGATCCGTCGCTCTGCGTCGGTGAATTTGATTGCCGCCAAGTGCCCCAAGTGTCGCAAGTGCGGGAATGGGCCTATGGGACGCAGCGTTGTATGGGACGTCGGCTGGTGTAGCGCTGGTTGCTGGGCAGGGCATGGCAGGCTGGCAGGGCGGAGGATGAAATGGGCTTGGGCTCCACAGACAGCGTGTGTGACGGAGCCGTGCCATGACATGGCCCTGAGGACGGGTCGAATTGAATTGGCTTGAACGGATGGGGCCTACGGCGAGACGCCACGAGCCAGCCCACCCCCAAATCGCGCCAGCCCACAGAGCCCACAACCAGCCCCAGGCAGCCAGCTGATGGCCGATGACTTGGTGACGAGACACAAGCCTAGAGCCGACACAGCAGCGAGAGTGTGGAAATTGGCCCTGCGGGAATCCCACGCTACCCCAGGGGGCCCTGCCAGCTGCTGTGCTGTAGATGACGAGCGGCCGTGCGTATCGAGCCCGGCCTTGTCTGGAAGGAAGTCAGGGCTGTCGAGGGGCGCACTTCAGTCGGCGGGAGAAAAGGCACAGAGGCAGGGCTGGTGCTAGTGATGCTAGTCAGGGGGGGGGGGAGATAATTAGATATCATCTCGATGAGCAGCAGCAGCAGGAGCAGCAAGGCTGTAAAAGATTGCAAAGATTGCAAGACCCGGACCACGGGAGATGATGACTTGATGACTGACCAAGACAGAGGAAAAGGCCCCAAGCTGAGGGGAAAGACTGATGAGCCCTGGGCAGCCAGCCCTGGAAGGCCTGGGTGATTGAATCAGGGAGTGAAGATTGCAATGTTGTACCGGTAGCATATCGATACCGTATCAAGGCGCGGTTTTGCATCTGACACAGCAGCACTCGCTTCGTTGGTTGCCAGGCGCCGTTATCAGCCAGGGCCCTGTTCATGTTCTTGTCCCTGTTCCTGTTCCTATCGCTGGGGGGGGGGTGCCGAGCTATGCTCAAAGGGCGGTCCTGGCTGTCGATCCGAGGGCCTGGGAGCAGAGACTCTGCACCAGTCAGGCCAGCAGCTGCACTCGACTGGAGCAGAAACGCATGCAGGCTGCACGCACATGCACAGCACACCTTGCGCAAGCCGGCCCGTTTGGTTGGCTGGCCGTCCGTGTTTTATGTTTGATGTAGTAGCACCAGTCGTAGCCTATCTCGATCCCTCACCGCGTATACGTATACGTGCAGGGCGTGGGGGGGGGGGGGGGACAGAGAGGGGCCGCACACCTACACTACCCGGACCTTCGCTACCCGGGCATTGATGATTGTGATAGACGCACGTACCCTCATCGTTTTTCCTCCTTTTCCTGCAGGGAGGAGAGAAGGGAAATGAGCGTGGCCAAGTCGCAATGCGCCGGACCACAGTAGTGGCAGAATGGGAACACATAGCACAACTTCGGAAACGTACGATGCACGACACATTTTGGTCCCGCCGAGGAGAGTTGCCGAGACCCTCTTCATCCACCACCACCAAGATTTTTTGTTTCGTTTCGCGCTGCCGCGATGCACGCCTGCCTTGGTATTATCCACCCCGATCCTCTCCAGCTAATCCACCCTGCTGCCTCTCTCTATCTCCTTCTCCGCCTCACCTATCTATCTTTCCCCAGCCTCCCCTCCAGCTCTCGGCCCGTTTCCTCTCAGATGCTGACGCGCAGAAACCCTGTCCGAGAGAACCTTGGAAGGCCCCGCCAGGGGCCGAGTCAACCGAGTGTGGATGCGACCGGGCTCCCTCGTCGCTGGGACGGTCGGCCTGGGTGGGTCATCTGAGGAGGAGGAACACGGTTCTGATCGAGGAAACTCGGAACGTCGAAGCGAACAAACTCATGGGCCGTCACAATGCCATGCTGGAATGCCATGCATGGGTCGCATCGTCTCGGGAGATACTCCGCCATGCCTTCTATCTGCCAAGTGAGGGAACAAGTAGTTCTGGGACAGACTCGTCGCTGTCGTCACTAATTTGAAGTGCCACGCAGCCCGGGCGCGTCGTTGCTGCTCGGAGTTGACCTATGTGCATGTTGGCAGTGATGGGCGTGGTTGTGGTTCAGTCGCCTCTACTCTGCCGATGCCGACCACATGTTCAGAAATTGGCAGCACATCTCCACGACGGCTACTGTCTTCATAGGCCGCCTGAGTACTGCAATGATGGCCGCACTCGGCGTTGTCAGCCTCGGGCCTAATAGCTCCGGGTCTAACTCGCCCAGGATGCCGTACTCTGTCGAAAGATGCGCCTTTTCGCATGGCCTGTAGAGCGAAGACAACCTGGCTGTCGCGTGCATTCCCGCGTGCGCCCCCATTGGGAGCAGCATCTGCTGCTCACGTGCGTAGACGACTGAGTCCTGGTTTCTTGAAGGCTTGCCGGGCTTGGGCATGCCGTTACAACCAGAGCATTCCGTTTTCGAGATCAGTCCGGCCCGACAAACTCGCAATCAATACGCATCCTCGCCCTGCATGCAGCACATGTCTAAAGCGAAGAGCGTATGAGATTATCCGTAGTCCAGACATGAGACATCTTCAGGGACATTGCTAGGTATTATCCACGCCACCTAGCTCGGTTGAAGCGCTCTGGTAAGCATCTTGATGGCGTCACGAATGACTGTTTCACAGTCCTAGTTTTAAACAAGTCAGTCCACAGTACTTTGGAAGAGAGGCCTACAATGCTCGCCCTGGTGACCGCCGAGATGTCGTGGATCCACAAGCTTGTGTCCCCTGCTTGCTGAAAGAAAGTGCCAGATGACAGCCACATAACTTACGCATGGAGCGAGTGTGTTACTCGAATACTGCCTCCAGTTGTTCAGCGTCCAGACCCGGGGCATAACGAAGCAGGAAACGGGGCATGCGGTGCCCCCCGCTCAAACTGGCTTCCAATCCAGCGGCCTTGTGTTCTCGGTTTGATCGTGTCGAGACCTGAAAGATCCGACTGGGAGGCAACGATTTGGGACCGATGGTCACGTACCGAGGCAGAGCCGGTGGGTGTCAGGTGTCAGCACTCTGTCGGATGGAATAGGGTATGCTGGCGATGGCTTTAGCGCTTCGATCCAGCTGTCCTACTCGAGGAGCACCCGAGCACTAGATACACAGGACTGTCTGATTGCTCAGGATATTCCTCAGCAGACAAGCAACGGTGTGTCTGGCTGTTGCCCTCGCACCTGTTTAGGACAAATGTAACTCGACCGTCGGGTTTTGTAGCACGATCGGCAACACCGCCGTGACTGGTGGGAAGAGATACAATACAAAACATTTCCGCACTATATGGGTTTGTCTTCTCAGAGGATTCTGCGGAGGAGGTGGACGCTGTCTTAGATCCGCGTTGGCACTGCTCTGCATTGGGGTCGAGACAGACATCTAAATGGAAGATTTGGGGCGGAGCAGTGCAAGGTCGACTGGAATCACCATCTAGTGTCAGCTCTGCCTCATTCACACACACACTTAGGGCAAGGCGGAACAATTTTTCCGTATGTTCCGGTTGCCAGCGCTGTCCGCTAGTCCTTCGTCATGTCTCGACCCAGTCTAAGCTCGAGAGCAGTTTTTAACTTCGACTCGAATCTTACATGTCTTGCAGGGTTGAGCACGTTGCTGGATCAAGGAAAAGCCTTGCAAAGTACAGTGGTATCGACATTCTGTGCCATCATGCTTCTGCCACAATCAAAGCGCTCCCGCTATGGAGCTGGCCACGAGCTGGCCTTCAGAACAGCTCCAGCATGACCTCTGAGCCGAACATAGACCACATCTAGAAAGCCTATCTCTTTCCTTTCGAGTCAGGCGTCAGCTGCCCTCCTCGTCTTTGTCTTCAAATACTCCTGAAGGGGACCGATGTCCTTCCCAACGCCACCCGGGTGCTACTCTTGCCGCCCTTGCAGCTGACATGACAAGACCCGAAATTCAATGACTCCGCCCGCGATCTTCGTGGTTCCGCGAGGAGGGCATGCCGGAAAGCCCTCCAGGCCCCACTCGTAGTCGAAAATGCCTTCTCCTTGTTCACTAACACACCTGCGCGACGCGCAAAACCCCTTGAACAGGGTCTTTAGAAACGAATGGTGGGAGAGTGGAGAAAGGCTCTCGCCGAAATCCGACGCACAAGCCTCGTATAGTGTGATGCCGTTGCCCTCGAAACAGCGTGAAGGGCCGTCACTTCCAATATCCTCAGTTGTCTCAACACCTAGAACAGGATAAAGTCAGCGAGTCGATCGCCAAAAAGAATTCTCTCCGAGGGAGGATCCGAAACGACTAACCGCGCAAATTGGTGTCTGCCTTGTCTTCCTTGTCCGTAGGGAAGCAATCATCCCTAGAGGTGTATTTCGTGGCTTTGAGGATGTCCTCGACGATTTCCTTGTCTCCGAATCGGTACACGAGGACCTCGTCACCGGGCTCGGCCTTGTCCAGGCCGGGCACGATGAGGAAGACCTGCTCGAGGTTGGGGAAGTAGGTCACCCAGTCTCCCACGCATACCGAACAGTAGTGAGGGGGATGAGCCCTCCACTCAAGGTCGTCGTGGGTTTCGTTCACGGGATCCTTGCAGTCCTCGCAATCGAAGACGTACCCTGCCCGGGTGAGCGGCGGCAGGCCGAGGCCGAGGCGTCGCGCGAGGTCCGCCAGCGGTCCCTGCCTGGACGCGTTGCCGCCCGAGAAGGTATCGTTTGGGTACCAGTCATCGCCGAAGCTGGAGCAGCAGATCAGGTCTCTGTCCGGGTCCACCATCACATGGGGAGTTCCGGCCTCGAGCACCAGTGGCGGCTCCGGTCGGTCGCTGTCGGGAGACTCACGCTCCTCACGGTTTGCCGGCTTGGGCCCTTGGATGCCGTTTATTTTGATGGGGACCTCTATATAATAGGATCAGCTGCGAGGCTCCCCAACTTACTTATGGGCTTGCGGTCACAAGGTCAGGGGCGGGGAGGGCTCTATCTTCTGGGGCTCACGTAACAACGGCGACTTACTGTTTGCGTGAACTTCGACCACAGCTTCCGTACTTACTTGCGCTCCCGAAAGGGGGGAGACGCTATAGACACCCTCATCCGAGTGATACTCAATCTTGTCTCGCTGAATGCAGCCGTTGTACGAGCGGGATGCTTGGAAGAAGTGGACGGCTGGCTTCTTGAGGGGCTCCATGGCCTGGATTCGGTGTGTTCAGTGGCTGTGGTGGCAGAAGAGGAACGGAGGAGAGGATACGACACTTACCTCGCCGTTTTGCTCTTCCGGCCCGAAGAGAGGCATCGAGGGTGTGGGATCCATCTTGTGTGGTGCCTGCTCGAACAATTCGGTGGGCGATTGTGGAAGAAAGACGCTGCAACTTCAAATCCAGTGTAGCAGGCAGGTTTTCACACAGGCTGGAGCCGGCTGACTGGAAAGGCGGAGGGGCAGGACTCGGCCTCGCGCCTTGCTGGCCAAAGCTCAGTCTGGTGGTTTGTTTAGTGGAGCGTCCTTGGAGATATTCGCCAGCCTGACGCGTCCTGTGAATGGTGCTGGTGCTTGGGTACACGCGAGGATCACGGTAGACCAAGCCCACACCAAAGTCAGACAATGCAGGCTGAAAAACCCTGCCTCGCAAAGAATCAAGCTGGCCTGCCTTTACTCCTCAACCCATCAGAATCTGGCCCGCTTGGTTGGCAACTCTGTCAATGACCACACCCGCCTACTACTCGCTCTTTATTTCAGCTACACAGGTGAACCCCCTTCAAGCTCTTTGCAGACATCATGGCAACTCTTTTTGAAGCCTTTGGCTGGATTGCTGCCGAGATTCGGGAGATGGTATGGCGTTCAGCTCTACTCACCCCAGGTGTCCATTTTCTCAAGCCGAATGGCAACCACAATGGCACATACCGGTTTCCTGCCGGAGCAGCCCACCAGTTTGTCCAGGGCCCTGGCGTTTCAGAGGTATCATCTATGTCAGCAGCATGTGAGCATGCAAGATTGAATAGCACCTCGTTTGAGGCAAGGGGTAAGTTAATTACTGTTTCCTCCTCGGTAGGAGCCCATCGCCTATTCCTGTTTGTCTGCCACATTAGCAGCTTCACATTCATTCATGGGCACTCCCATAAGCAGAAAACGCTATGTATAATACTTGAAAGACTACTAAGGGCTGATCGCTAATCTTTGAGCCCTACTCCAGCAGCAGTGGACTGGATGACGCGCGTGCGTGGAATGACACGCATTATTTTGAGCTCCAGCATGATGCTCGCCACTCTGAACTCGAACCTCGCCTCGAACGCTCTGGTCAACGCTCTCAACCGGTCGCACATCATCGTGGACAAGATAAACGATCTTTTCTGTCTCTCCAGCTTTTTCAGCCCATGGTTTCCCGACTACTACTTCTCGGGTGGCACTGCCTTCGATCACTCGGCATTGGCGGTAAGCAGATACTCGTACAGAAGCTCCAGGTGTATGATCTTCAGCCTGACGAGATACGCAGGACATCAGGCTCCTTGCCGTCAGCATGCCAATGTGCAACCGCGGGCCGTGGGACTTCATCTGCAGTGATTGTCACAATGACTTAGCCAACGATCCGGGCTCGTTCTCGGTACAGGTCGAGATCTGCAGACAGTGCATTGCATCCTGGGTTTCCAAGTTTCGGGACATCGAACGGGTATACCTCATTGTTCCAGGAGTACGCCGGGCTCAGATTGGTGACGAGGAGGCTGTGTACCGATGGGGAGAGCCTGCCACGATCCAGGCGGCCATCGATTCGTTGCCTAAGCCCTTCTTGCACACGCAGGTTGCTGACGACGTGGTTCTTCCGGCTACGGGTACAAGGCCAGCCATCACTCTCCAAAGTAAGTATAGACACTGTTCCACAGATTTCGCCTGACAGAGCGGCTAAAGGCATGCCTTCCCCATTCCCAGGCACCGAGACTATTGCGCCATTCGGCCCCGAACGCCCGCGGTGTTTCTACGGCTGTGGGATCACGCTCTTCGAGGTGCCCGCTGCCGAGGTCCCTGACAATGCTGTTGAGATCCTTGAATGCATGGTGAAGGATGCACGCAACTTGCGCCAAGAAGACGTTGAGGAGGGCCACAGCGACTCGCCATACCCACGCAACCCTATCCACTGTGGCGGCGCCGTTGAGTTCAAGTTTTTGTCTTTCTAGGCAACGTTCCAGCGGCTGAGGATCGCGGGCGTCATCGGGGTTGGAGAGGACCTCTATTTGGAATGAAGCACGAACGTTGGAGGTCTTCATCACATGTTGGCGAGTTCCTGCGAGATGGTAGGGGAGAAATCCCCCTATCTTGGACGTAGGTCTTTCGATGACCGCTTGGCGGCCCTGTCAACTACGCCGACGCTCAGCCCGAGGCTCCATTAGGGGCGACTTCAACACAAAATCAACGATGAAAGACTGCGAGCTTCTATTTCTGGGAAACGGAGTTGTGGGGTCAATGGGCTATTCCAGGACATGTCTCGGCCCATCGCTTATGTCCTCAGCAACAACCTGAATTTGGGCAAAGGATTGCGTTTAGCAACCACAGTTACTTTGGGACGCTTGCTAGTTCCAGTAATCGAATGATGACTACCGAATTCAGGTACGAAAGCGTTGAGGCTCGAGTCTTTCGGCAGGGTCCATCTATAGATTTTCAGATGCAATAATGATAGACCAAATGCATTCTGACTACGGAGATGAGCCACTGAGTTGTGTGCTCCTGTCCTACTATGCATCATGTCTCGTAATGTATCGGACTTCGACACAGGAACGAACACTCACGCGCATGAAATGCGGGTTTGGAATGGGGAGGATGACTGTTTGGTTGCAGGTTGCTACCTGCCCCAAGTCCCCTGTTTGGGTTGCGTTCGCGTCAGCTACGGGCCTCTTCAGCACAAAGCGCGAGGCTGCTGTGTGTGGAAAACAAAACGTTACCCCCCCCCTGTCGTTTTGACTCATGCTCCCCCCTCGGCGCTCAAAATCCCAAATTTTAAATCCATCTTTATTCTATTATATCTTTATAACATAATTAAATATAATTATAAAAAATATATATTTAAAGTCCTTATATAATAAAGTATAATATAAGATATTAATAATAATTATACTTATAATATATATTATAATATATTAATAAAATTATTTTATTTAATATATATTATTATATTTATAATATTATTATTTTTATTTTATAAATTATAATTATAATTTTATTATATATAAGTTTTATTTTATTAAATTTTTTTTTAAAATATTAATATAATAAATAAAATATATAAAATAAATAATTTTATTTTTATATATTTAATAAAGTTTAATTTTATTAACGTGGTTTACTAGGTAGTAGCCGATATTAAATAGTGGCCGATTTTTTTAACTTTAACTAACTTTTATTAACCTTAGCACCCACTTAATGCAAAAGAATTAATTAAATTTAGTATTAATTAATGCTAATTGCTTTTAATTACTTATTTTTAATTAATTTTATTAATTTAAAGGGGTTAGCGTGATTGCAATATAATTAAAAGTTATTAAGGTTTATATAGGATAGCTTCTTCTTAATATTAATTGCATCTTAGTTTTTCGCGTTAATCTTGCTTTAATCTACTTATTTAAACCTTTAATGCATTATAAATTAATATTATATTATATATTTTTTATTAAAAAAAATAAAATCCTTTTAGCTATTTAAGCAATTAATAAGTTTAAAAAACCTTATTAAAAACCCTTAAGTATTCCTTAAGTAATATAAATCTTTTATATCTTAAAATAAACTTTATATTACAAGATAAAGTAATAATTATTTTACAAGGAATTATATATTAATAAGCATAAACTTAATTAAATTAAAAAGTAAATGCTTATTTAATATATTATTAAGTAAAATGCTTAAGAGTTCCCCTTATAACTTTTTAAGGTAAAAGATATAGCTAACCTTTTATTAGCATTATATAATATTAAATTTATTAATAAGCATTAAGTTTAATGCTTTATAAACTTATAACTTAGCCTTAAAACTAAATTTAATTATCCCTATAATTATTAAAGGGCTTTTTATAAAGATTTAAAGATTATTAAAAATTAATTTAGGCTGCTTTATAATATAATAACTAAGTATTAAATCCTTAATAATAACCTTTATAACTTTAATAAAACTAGCTTTATAATAAGCATAATTACCTTAATAATAATTATTATATATATTAATAAATATAAAAAAGCTAAATTAATTTAACTTAAAAATTAAAAATAAGCAATAGCTATTAAATGCATTAATATAAGTAAGTTATGGATTTTATTATTTATAATTATTTAAGGCGTTTATTATTTTGCTAGCTAGGTAATAAAGTTAAGTTTTTTAAATAACTAAGTTATTAAGCCTATTCTTAATAAATAAATAAATAATAAAATTAATTTAAAATAAATTTAATATTTTAATAAACATATTAAGCTAAAGAAAGATGTTAATTATTAAATATTAATTATAAATAATTATAAAAGCTATATATTAGCTAAGTTTAATTAATATTATAAGAATAATAAGATTATTATTATTAGCATATTGCTATATTTATTTTACTTATTTTAGCTATTAAATATTGCATTATATTTGCCTTTAAAGCATATATATAGCAATGAAATTAACTTTTTTATTTAAGCCTTTATTAATTATATTACTAAGTTTAAGTTCTTTCTTATATTTAAGACAGCCTATAATAAGACTTTTATAAAGAATAATATTAAGTTTGCATTTAAAGAAGCTGGAATTTTTCCTTAAAATCTTAACTTTATAATTTTTAAGCTTAATATTTACCTATAAATATTAATATAATTCCTTTTTATTTCTTTATAAAAATAAAAGTTTTAAACTTTATTAAATGCTTAATAAATTATTTAATAATTAAGTTTTATTAAAGGTAAGATTTCCGCCTATTAAAAAAGCTTCTTTATTTTAATTATAAATGCTATTAATTAAATGATAAAGAGTATATAGGTAATGATGCATAAGCTTATTATCTTAAAGGATTAGGTTTATACTCTTAAGGAGGCTAATATAATACTTATAAAACATTAAAGGGCTAAAAGAACTTAAATATAACTTAAAGGAGCATTTATTATTAAGAAATTTTAAGCTTTTATTTAAAAAAAATAAAAGGGGAAATGGTTAGGTAGTAAAATAAATAGTGGTGCTAAGGAGTTGATTTGCGGTGAATTAATTAAAAAACGATATAGTAATTATGGCGAAATTAAGCATAATATAAGAACTTATGAAAAAGATAAAGAAAGGTTTAATTAATTAAATTTTAACTATATTATAGCAAATTTAGCTTAATTAGCATTAATTAATATAAATATATTTATTTTCGCGATTTATGGTGAATTATGTTTTTAATAATAAAGTTGGCATTATTTAATGCAAAGTATGTATTTTTTATTAAAAGTTAGCTTATTTAAACCAGCATTATAACCATGCTAACTCCTTTAAATTAATAAAATTAATTAAAAATAAGCAATTAAAAGCAATTAACACCAATTAGTGCTAAATTTAATTAATTCTTTTATATTAAGCGGGTGCTAAGGTTAATGAAAGTTAGTTAAAGTTGAAAAAATCGGCTATTATTTAATATTAGCCACCACTTAATAAACTACGTTATATATTTTATATAATATAATATAATATATATATATATATATATATATATATATAATATAAAAATTATTTAATATATATATATATTTAATTTAATATTAAAATATTTTAAATTATAATATATTATATATTTTATAAAATATATTTAAATAGAAAATATATTTATTATATATATAAAAATATTTATTTATATTCTTTATATAATAAGGATTATAAAAATATATAGGTTTATATTATTAATAATTATATTTATATAGTTATATAAGAAATTGCTTATATTAAGAGGATTTGAGATGTTGGAGCGGAGGGGGGGAGCATGAGTCAAAACGACAGGGGGGGGTAACGTTTTGTTTTCCACACACAGTGGCATGTTCAGCTCCGCTTTGCCCGGTCTTTTTTAGAAAATTCAGGAGCGGGCCACGATCCCCATGGTTCAAGGATGATTGGGTGAATCAGGAATTGGAGATCTTGTACACAAGTAGCCCAAATAGGAGGAAAGGGTCGAGATCAATTAATTTGGCTACCATAAAGTGCATCTAGAGGGTGCCTTTGGCTATTATTGTGCACTCAGGTGATTTGTCGCCAACCTTCAAAGGCCCAAAAAATTCAGCTTGTCAACCCCGCTCTCCACATGCAGTCGACCTAAACACAGAGCCGTGCCTCCAGCCTCGTGCCCGCAGCCGCAGCCTCGAGCATACGCTGTGCATTGGTTTTCTTGAGCCATCGCTTCTGGCTAGTTGCCTCGTTTTTCTCGAGTATGGCTTGCAATTCTGTGTATCTGGTGAATATCCTCCTAGGCATGCCTTTGAGCCAGACGCTGCACTGCACGTCTTCTTTCTGAATCTGGATCCCAACTGGGGTAGAATGGATTATTCTCAAGCGCAATCCCACGAGAGTTGGCTAGAGATCTCATGCTGTCCCGCGACTCTTTTCTGCCGCTGGCCAGCCACCTAGAAGCCCTGAGAGAAGGACAGAAACTTGAACTCGACCATTCCATCACAGACTTTGGGATCCTCTGGGACGGGTGGTGGGCTTGTGCCCGAGGTCAAATATGTCCATCTTACACGCTTTCTCGCGTACGAACGCACCAAGGTGTCCATGAACCGCACAGCCCGGTCGGGGACGTCCGAGGCGGCCACCTCGTACAGGGTGATTCCGTTGCCTTCGAAGCTGCAGGGCCCGCCGTTTCCGAATCCCTCGACGGTGTGGCTGGCTGTGAGAAGTATTTGGGTGTTAGCAATCCTTCCCTGCTGGTGAGGTCGTACTTTACAGCATGGGGATCAGCTAACCTATCACTGGGCCGGCAACGAAACCGGTGTTCACGTGGAAAGGGTACGACCCCACAACCTGGCAGGTAGGGTCTTTCTGTACAGCTTCTGCGAAGGCTCCGTCGACTGTGGCCAGCTCACCGTAGCGGGAGATGTATTGCTGGTCGGTCGTCTGGGCTTTGGGCAGACCTGGGACGATGATGTAGACCTGCTCGAGCTTGATGAGGCGGGCAAACCAGAGTCCAATGCATCTATTGCAGAACTCGATGTTGTCTCCAGGGAACTTCTGAGGCACGACCTGATGGTTTCTGTCGCAGTCTTGACAGTAGTAGTTGTGTGCGGCTAGGTCAAAGCTTGGAAGACCCATGCAGACTCGGTGCATGTTCTGTGGTTGTCAGCTTAGACTCGTAGGCCGGTATTGTGTCGCAGGTATCTTACCTTGAGCTCCTTGTGCCACACAGAGACGCCTCCACAGAATCTCTCTCCGGAAAAGAATGGGTACTGCCCATTGCTCGAGACACAGAAGACGTCGTTGACCATGTCGACCTTGATATGCGGCACTCCTGGCTTGACCGTGTTGATGGGAAACATGGAAGGGTTCAGGGCGATGGACGTCAAATGCTTATTGTAGTTCTTCTTGGCAGCTAGATCAAAGTTAATTGCTCGTGGCTCCAATCAAGCTTTGTATGATTGAGGAACCATGGATAGGACCAAACGCAAGAGGATGCCCCCCGCCACCCATGCCGCTGGGGAAAGAAGACTTACCGACGTTGATCTCCATGAACAACTTGGCAAGCTTGCTAGCTCCTGACTGCGGACTCACTTCCTCCACGCCGGGCTCTCCGTTATTGAAAAACATTCCAGGAAAACCATGCGGCTGATTTACCAAACCGCCGTTGTAGTTCTTGAACGGTTTCAAGAAATGGACTTTCGGGGCGTGTACCGTTTGCACGAGGACGATCAGCTGGAGCTCCACAGGCAGTTTGCGTACGCGCTCTGCAACATCCATGGCGACTGTTGCTTCGTCTGCTTTGCAGCTGCCAGAGGGGAGCAGGAGAAGAGGGTGTCTTGAGTGGTGGTTGGTGGTCCAGCTGCGCAGATGGAGGTTGTGGTGGGAAAGGAAGATTAAGTTCGGAACCCTCAAAACTTACCTGGATTAGGATTGTGGCCCACGATCTATTTTTTTCAAATTGGCCCATGTGTGGGCTCAGTAAACAATGATCCTCGCAATGTACCTAAGTCGCTCTGGCTAGGGCGATACGCGAAGTTGGGGAAAAACTCGAGGCAAGTGAAGCGCAAGGCGCTGGGCAAGGCGCTGGGCAAGGCACAAGCGGGTGCACTGGCCACAAGCTCAGCCCGGTCACTCAGCTTGGGCATCTAACAAGGGTGAAGTGTTTAATCAAGCCAAACGCAACAATCACAGCCTGAAAACAAGTCCGCTACCGCCTCTGGAAACACTCACACTGGCAAGGAACAGTCGCCATGCTGTGCTGGTATACCAGTACTAAACTCAAGCATACCAGGACACATATTTATGCTATCAGTTACCGACCTTGGTGATCCAGTCCCTTTCATCATACTGCATGCTCTCAACTTAGCATTCTCTTGGCGTAGACGCGTCTGTTGATCTGTATTGACCAGTCATGTGCGTTAGGCCACCATCTCTTGCCTCCCGCGGTGCCCCTTCATCGTGCCACCAACACCTGGCTGATGCCTGGCTACATCTATTATCTGTGGGGCCTGTCAGCAATACTGCATATTATGGAAGTATGGCTTGATGTCCTGATCAGACGAAAGGGCACTTGCCTGTATCTTAAGATGGAATCTCTTTGTACTCAATATGCGAGTTCCAAAGGAGTGTCAATGATATACAAAATGTATGAGCCTCCTCCCCATAGTCCTTTCGGTACCACCAGAGGATGAGACTGGTTTACACCATGTATTGGTTTGCACATGTCAACCTTAAACTGATAATGCGGCCCCAAGATGACCTTCAGCATTCTTGTGCTGCTCTTCTCAGGATCAGTACTTTTAGTTCATTTCAAATGCTCCTTCCTGGTAGGCACACTGGCATCGTTGAGAGTCCAAGCCCCCTATATTGATGTTGTATTACAACTGTCGTGGGCAAATGTTCTCAGGATTGGCTGGTAACAACGCTCAGCAGAGTGAGCATCTGCAGTTCAAATCTTGCCTGATACCCTTTTCTCCCGATAATTGATAATATATTCACTTATAATGCACATTCGTAGCACGTTCCATGAAATGAAGCGCTAAAATTTGCAACAGGAATGAGCAAGAGCGCACCCGTCCAAGCATTGCATGATGCTAACCACGTGTATGAGGGCAACAATCCACCCTAAGCCACATTGCAGAAGCCATCAACGTTTACAAAAGAAGGTGGGCAATTGTACTTGGCTTTGGAGAAAAAAGGCCAAAGATGAATATATTCCTCAGATAGACGTTTCAGACATCCCGATTCAAGTATCAAGAGATGCTCCGCAAGCCCTGGGAATGTGTGAGCTCACTTCCCCCCAGACCAGAACCTCATCCCTCCGCTGAAACTCATGAAGTACTTGAACTGTCAGTATCGTTGGACCATTGCTGTGGATTGAAGTCGTTGGGATGTGGCAATGTTGCATCATTATGTATGGTATATTTACTTAGTGGCATTGGGAGACTGGTGTCTGAATGGAATTGTACTAATTGACTACTTTGTCTGTCTGGTCTTGTAATGCGTCTTACTATGCACTATGAGCAAAGGCTGGTCCACAGAGAAGAGTAACTGAGACAGCTTGGCCCCCATGGCCTCTCACTGATGATCTTTACGGCAAGAGGGCACGAGATCAGTAGCATATTTCATAAGGAGTACAATCTACGAATGGTTACACGACATCACCAAGCGGAAGCCACGATTAAGTTGAGTCTAGCGTTATGCATGCGAGATTCTCACTTCCACTTCAGCCCCAAGCCCAACCCCAAGCCCAACCCCACTCTGGGGATATAAAGCCTCGCGTTCAGACTGGTGTGGAAATCTTGATCCGTGGAAGAATTTTCTTCCTCTCTTCTCTAAGTGACTGGCATTCGAATAACGCACCCGCGCGAGACATAGCACAGGTATCAGGCTAGCAAATCACGAAGAATCCTCAAATGGCTGAAGAGCATCCTGATCAAACAGTCCAACACGAAGAGGGCACCAATGAGGAGATATTGAACAGGAATGAGCGGTTGCAGGCAGATAACGAAGGGCAAGGAGACCAAGGAGAAGCCTCATCTAGCTCTCAATACGAGAGATCAAGACCACACGAAGATGAAGCCGACCGTACAAGACCGCCTTGCTCTCCTCAAATCCACCACGCTTCACCAGAAACTTTCAGATGTTGGCATGAAAGTAGTCAAAGCTCCGAAATTGAGGACTTCATCTACGGTAAGTCAGCGTGTCCCACGTTTGGTAGCCCATGAGCTTATGAATTCTTAGAGCCAGGGCAACCATCTGCACTGCAATCGCAGCTTTTCATGCCAGAAGATGCAGACTGCGGGGCTTGGTTCTCCCCATCTAGCCCTAAGTGCCCTGCATCATTCGGTGATCATGGGACAACCGCCACCGCTGGGGCCTTTGGACAACTCGTACAATTCAGCGACTACCTCGGCGCTGGGAATTCCGGCATGTTTTCTGCAGGCCACTGCTATACCACGGAGCCCGACTGGGTTACTCGGAGAGTACGGCAGATTCACTCCTTTGCGTTGGAGTCTTTCGAGAATGCCCAAAGGCATGAATTTACCAATCTCTTCGGGCTGAAGCTGAAATTGGAGCTATCAGACGATGCTCCACCAAGGCTGAATTGGTTGCAGTACCAGTGGCCATGCTACAAATACAAAATAGGATGTTTCAAGGGTATAGAGGATGTCGGGCTGACGATTCAATTTATTGCTCGGAACAGAACTGTGTTTCAACAGTGCATCCTGGAGAACCGGGGGGATACCGACGTTGACCTTGAATTAGCGTTTTGTAAAGGACTGATCATACGGGACCTGGACTACGTGACAGATGATTATGAATTCAACAAGACAACTCCGGACCACCAGAACGCAGGCCCGGGCCCCGGAGGGTTTGGCTGGGTTCATGTGAACCGATTCCGCGAGGGATCGCCGGGCGCTCGAATGGACTCCCAGCATTTAGTTCATGAGCCAAAGTCGAACAGCAGCCATGTAAATTGCAACAAAAAAGGTCAACCAAATTACGGGGTCGCACTGGTCGTTTCCATGGCTGTGGGTGGGGAGATGATCAGGTTCAGCCCGGGACAGTCTCCACACGTCTGGAAGCAAACACTCAAGGCTAACTCGAGCACTCCGGGATCCAAAAGTCAGAAGTTGGAGATAGTCACAGCTTACAAGTTGGTCTTACTCGAGAAGCCTTTATCAGACTGGAAAACGTTCGTTGTCCCCCTAAAGGAGATGAACCCGAGCAGGTTCCTAAGGGAGGCAACAGCGGTCTCGTTATCCCGCACCTCGATAACCAGGATTAACGTCAGAGACGATCCGCCAGTGGACTACAGTCACGATAAGCGGAAATCAGAAACGCCGAAAGACGAGGACAACGAACGCGACGCGGGCATGTTGAATGTCTCACAAGATGTGATCCCCACCGTTGATAGCCAACCACAGACTGAGCCCTCGCCAGCTATGCATCACGAAAAAACGCCAGAAAAGACCTCGCCAATAATGGACCACATTGAGTTTGCGGCTCGGCGGAACCTGGAGCACATCCTTGGCGTCTGCGCGATCCCAGTCAGTGTCCACGTGTCCGAAGAGACCGCCAAGGGAGTAATTTGGCAGAAGCTATGCGACGTGGAACCTATTGCTTTAAGTTGCGGTGACTTGTCTGGTCATAGGATCTGCACAAGGTCCAGTTTGTATGTATTGAGCCTGCGGCATACCTAGATATGCTTCATAACTACGCGGAATGCTGACACAAAGACCACAGTTTCGCGTTTCAATTTTTGGCAGAGGTTGCCAAGCGCCTCAGGCTCGGCCGTCTTCCTTGTCCTGGTACAGATGACACTCACGTCCAGGCCCTTCTTTCTCGAATAAGAGACGTCTGTTTGGGTCATCTCAAGTGGCTGTATGCTGCAGAGAAGACCGACGAGGATGTAGCATTTAGGCCGCGATATTGGGTGAGCGGCGAGGCAGTAACCATATCGGATTCGGATAAGGCTTTGGCGTCACATGAACATGTTCGAAATACGGCGCTCCAAATACTCAAGGCCATGGTATTCGCAAATTCTTTCAATGACGATGAGGATGGCGACTCGTCGCTGGTCGGCGAAATGATCAGTCATTGGGGACAGGGTTGGGTGCGATGGCTCGAAAGATCCGACAGGCGCGAAAGCCTTACGTGGTATCACAAGGAGGACGAAGGGCTCAAGATATTCAGGCTGGATGATCACGTCTGGATCTGGATGGCGTTGAAGGCAATGGAAGACAAGAGATTTGGTGTTTGGGCAACTCTGCATGACAGGGCTCAGCGCAAGGACAGAAGCTCGTCAACGGGTTCGGAAGAATCCCACGCGGACGAGGTATTACGACGCAGCCGGAAGTTTGCCTCTCGGACCGTTCAGCGGGAGATTCTGCGAAAATTCACAATGAAACACGAGATGCTGCGGAAAGAGATGGTCGCCCTCACCAGGTCACCACGGGAGTCACGATTCTTGTTTCACGCCCGCGATACCGCACTCTTCTACGGTCAAGACATGGGATTCTTCCCTAGAGATGAATTATTTCAAGAGGTCTGGAAGAACACTATTGATGTCCAGCGTCTCCATGAAAACAATCAGGAGGCCCGGTGGGACAACGCTCTTCGATACGCCTTGTCATTGATGCTTGGCATCCGAGGCCATCAAATCAACAATAGGAAACCAGGAGATATGGTGCGAAACTCCATTGAAATACTACTTCGGAGTAGCAGTGAGAATGGACTATTTCCTGGAAAGCTTGACATCATGACGAAGGGCCCGCTAGAAGACGTTTTCCACGTGGAGGACGATGCCGACTCCTATTACGACGCTGGCTTCGAGATTCCGTATATTTTTCTCATTCATGCCAAGGCAATCGGGGCTATCATTGATAATACCACAGAGCCGGCGCTGGAGACGGCATTAGGTGATGTGCATTTGAGACATCATCCGACTAGTCAAAATCCCAAATCAACCGAAGCGCTGCCTGCACATCACGACAGCAACTCTCAGGGGCAGGTTCACCAACGAGAAGAAGATGAAGAGCTGCGGAGACTGTTATCAAAACTGTCCGACATTTTATCTGCGCAGCCTTATATTCCAAACTCGGCTTCAGCCTCCGATCGCATAGGAACCAGAGAGCTGGCGGTGGATGGTCGGCATGCTCTCAAGAAATGCATCCCTTTAAGCAACACCATCGACTCTCATAGTATTTTCGAGATCGAAGATGAGTGGCTTTTCAATTATCCGGATTTCTTTGGATCTAAGGAGGACAAGAATATCTCTATAGACACGGCCTTGGACTCCTTGAAAGAATTGGAAGTAACCTGGCTCACAAGCATCAATGTCGCAGAAATGAGGGAGAATTACTCTTCTCACAACAACGAAGACAGTGTGGCAGAGAATCAAAGTGAAGCCTCCAGTGATCACGGTTCGTCCGTTGTCAGCGAAAGTTTGATATCCTTGGGAGCGCCCGGGGACTCCAGACTCAGTGTTATGGATATCCCCAGCCGTAAGCGACTCCAGGGGAAAGGCCTCCGGGGGCCCACGGATGAATTCGATATGCACATAGGCTCTTTTGAATTCATGTGGGAGACCATCAGCAGGCCCAGGACCGCAGCCAAAGCGAAGAAGCGTATTGTCTACTGGATCCGCCGGGGCACGGATCCGGGGCTGGAGGCGGCGCTGCTGTGCTACGCTGCGAGCAAGGGCGACGAGAGGGCGTACATGCTCGAGTTCTTTGAGCGGCACTTCCAACACCAGAACTTCATGTTCGACCACTGCAACCTGGCATACAACACCTGGGAGACCGAGGTCCACCTGAGCTTCTTTGTTCTGGGGGACGCCTCTGGGCTCCTGTCAGGTGACACGGCTCACACCGTCGAGGGGTTTCCCGGGGTTCAAGGGAAGCATATATCCCGCGGCTCTGTAGGATTCCGTTTCCAGGGCGATGCTTTTGATCGGTACTGGACGTTTCATTTTTTTTCCAACTTGGATCTCGAAACGCTGGAGGCCACGAAGGATTACTATGGCCGCGCTATGACAACAAGTGAGATCTTGTTGTTTCAAAGGAAGGACCTTGAACTGCGCTTTTTCTCCGATATGTTGAGGCTCGTCGAAAACAACACGGAACATATTCTTGCAGAGGTCAAGTCCAACCTGGGAATCAAATCAAGTGCGTTCTCGTGGTCGATCCCCAGCATGGACAGATACTCCTCCTGGAGCACGCTATGGGAAGGGTTCGCCCCACTTGTACAGGCCCTTGCCGATGATCTCGCCTCTACCCAGGACATAATCAGTCAATGGGATGCTCGCGAGGGTAGCCGCGGCCAGGAGAGGCCGCGCTGGACCCGCAACGACGAGAGGAAGTATCGCGACGCCATCACGAGGAGCCAGCGCGTACTAAACTGGCGCAAAAGGGGAATACAAAAGCTCCTGGACGACGTCAAATCGCTACAAGAGCTGTGCACCACCCGGCTCGCGAACGCCCGGGAGGAGCTGTCGTTCCGGAGAAACCAGAACATCGCCTCCTTCACGTACGTTACCATCGTCTTCCTCCCGCTCGGCTTCGCGGCCAGCGTATTCAGCATGAATGGCTACCCGGCGGCCGGCTGGGTGGCCAGCATGGTCGTGATCGCCGTCGTCACCCTGGCCATCACGGTCATCGCGCTCGCGAACGCGAAGCTACTCCTGGCGGTGGCCGAGCAGTTCTCCAAAGACGCCCTGAGGCTTACCGGGGACGTGTTCCAGTCCAGTCTGATAGGCCAGCACAAGCGTCAGCAGGACGAGCGAGCGCAGGCTTCACCGGTGCCCAATAAGCCCGCACATGGTGACCAAAATGGTGGCGACCCTCTGCACAGTCATGCAATACGCCATGTGCTATTTTGGATGGCTTACCTCCTCATCGAGCTACCAGCCAGAAGAGTGGCGCTCGCCTGCCGAACCCTTCCTGCGTCTTTGATACAGAGTCTAGGTGTGCTACGTCCTGATGCCACACCAACTGCTTCAGTCGGCTCCACCGGCGGATCCTCTTGTCCGTCAGCTTCAGTCGGCTCGACCGACGGATCCTCTTGGCCATCAGCTTTAGTCGGCTCGACCGGCGGATCCTCTGGGACACGAGCCGTGGCCGTTGGCAGGAAAATCATTCGGATCGCAGGAGGCATATTGATTCTACCCCTGCTGCTCATCTCTTGGACTATACAGCTCTTGTTTTACAACGTTCTTGACATCCTGACCTTCCTCGGTCGGTTGACGAGGAAGACATTCTATGCTCTGGTGATACCCAGCGATGCCAATGGGGCGGCGACTGACAGAAAGATGGTGACATGGTTGATAGAGCCGCCGTCGTCACTACGACCGGTGCGGAAATACATGAGCCGAGATGAGAAGAGCGAGAAGCCAACTCCGCAAGCAGATACACCAGTGGCCGCCGACAGGAGCGATCCTGACCTACTCGGGGAGGTGTGAAGGATAGATGTTTTCTGGAAAGTATGGGGACCTGAACACCGTCTATTTGTTCATTGCGCACGCGCTCTTGAGTTGGCGAATCTGTGGTATAGTGAATAATGGCATTCACTGGTCCTTTGAGCCACTGTCTACTTCGTGGTTTGTTCAGAGCCTACACAGCAGCCATTCTAACCTTTTGTCTCTCTTAGATACTGGAACTATTGTCAAGTCTGATGAGATGAAGATATACGGCATTTTTTATCGGCTATTTCATGGAATTTCATTTTTAAGTACTTATGCTTCTGCTTTATCACCATAATTGCCGTTGTCGAAGTGGCTTATCCCGCTGTAGAGAAATCTCTGGGTTGGCTCATAATAGTAATTGTTGCGGACAAGACCCTGCAAGCCAGTCCTAACTGTTCTTTGGGGACCGAGGTACAGGCATTTGAAGTTCTCGCCGCAGGCATATGATTTTACTGGGCCATGCTATGTTTCTTACATATCTGTCGGTCTCGTAAGTAGTCTCGCCAGTTCTAAAGGCGGAACCAAGACCCCGTCCTACTATACACCACACACTTCTGCCGATCTTACCTGTCGTCTGAAACTGGGCCCACGGCCGAGATCCCCCAAAGGGTGTATCTCACGTCACGATCAGACTGTGCCAGTCATATGGCCACTCGTAGCCGGCAGATTGCCAAGTCCGGCGAGACCTGGGGCGAAAGCTCGGACTGAACACGAGTAGCAAGACCCGGCCGGGGCTCGGAGCCTGTGCCGTTTTGAAACTGGCGGCCGGCGCGAGCGAAAACATCACAAATGCATGAGTGGATGACAGCTGAGGCGGCACGCCTAGCTACTGGACCACCAGAGCTCGGGACGACCTCGCTCGAACCAAGCAGGAGGGCAGAAGCCGTTAGGGCTGTGGGTGGCGGCTCTGCTAAATCGTCTCGTGTAATCCTCCGTTTCGTTAATCAACGGGTGCGGCATGCCCGGTGGCTTGAACGAATCATCACTAGCAATAAGCTAAGTACGACGCAGGCACACTCATTGTCGACGCTAAGCAGATGCTTCTCTGAGTGAGTGATTTCATCGTCCCATCATGACTATTGCTTTCCGCGAGCCACAACTCCCAGTTCGGGAGCCGCAGCCGAGAGAGTTGAGGCTCCTCTGTCCGAGCAACAAAGGAATTGTAGACGTCAGAGTTTCGTTTCCCGACCATTGAGTTTGCTTCACCACTCGGCCGAATGAGCCTGTCGACACGGGAAAAGTATCAGCACCGTGAGCCACGATTGTTAGATCGTCGATTTCGCAACGGCATGTAAGGCAAGTCAATAAACCATAATCCCAAGCCTGGGCGTGATATATTTCGTGCATACTGGTAGTCCAGATCAGGCCAAATCGTCAAGCCAAGTTGAGTACATAGTAAAGAGGGAAGCTCACATGCTTTCCCCAAGCCCGCCTTCTCCAACACACGTGCCAAATTTTCACAAGCTGCCTCGGAGGTTCAGCCCCTCGCCAGGCTGGCCGTGGCCCAATAGAGTTTCATAACGAGTTCTTGTTCCAGGGCCAAGCACGGGCAAATTCGATAAAAGCTTTTGCGAGGGTGGAGAGAAATCCCCCGCCCATCCCTGCGGTGCGGGGAAGACGGGGACATTTCAGGCCCTGGGGCGACTGGGGGAGGACTGGGGACACTAGGGGACACTATGCGATTCTGCATGGGATCGGCCAGTAATTATTCTCGAAGCGGCACCTGTGCCCGTTCTCCACGGGGTAGCTGGGCCCTAATGCGGCCGATGACAGGCACCCTAAAATGATGCTTGTTGCGACCTGCACAAGGCCGGCCCTGGTCCAGCACTGGCAAAGCAGATCACGCGAGTCGACTCTGTACGAGGTGGCAGGCCGCGGAGCCGAAGCGTGAGGGAGTGACTTATGAGGGAGGAGGAGGAGGAGATGATGTGCAGGTAACAAGCAGCAGCAAGAAAGCCGAGAGGAGGCAGGAGGCGCAAGCGCGCACACATGGGAAAGCTGAGACGAACGGCAGGGAAGCCGGCATGAATTTGCCTCTGGGATATGACCTCAATCAGCTGATGTTGTGACCACCGAGAGAGGGGCATCGCCCTGAAAATGAAGGGGAGAGAGGGAGAGAGAGGCAGAGTGGGAGGAAAGAGAAAGGCGATCAGACTGCCGGGTGACATTTCATCTCAACTCTAACCTGTTGATATCATCAGCCCTGCAGTGCACGGCGCGGTACATGCGGCATGCGGGCACATTTACAGCTTCACATTCATGTGTATTTCACGCTCGTTTGTTTATCGTATCCTGAGGGATATATCTATCCACAAAAGAAGGCAGGAGAAAAGCAGCTGACCCTCGGCCGTCAGTCCGCCGGGGCCCTCATTCCATCATACCGTAGCATCCACCCTCCCGGCCTTTTTTCTGCCGTGTCACACGGGTCACACCTCGTCACCGTCACGTCCCGACAATAAGGTGCGGTGCACAGTTGTGGCTGTTGTGGGCACTCGGTGATTGGGAGTTTTGCGCAGCTTTTTGCAAATGCCTTCGAGCGGCCTCCCTGTCGTATCTCTTGTCGTGGCTCTTTCCGGGCCTTGTCATACGTCGATCCCGCCCTTCTCACTGGACAAGCTGTCGAGTGCCACAAATTGGTTTTCTCCCTCGCCTACCGTAAACGGCATGGTCTGGAATTCATGGCCACCATTCTCGTCGAGAAGCAGGACGTCCCCGGGAAGTCAATCAGTCGCTCGGTCGGGCCAGCGCTGCATTCTTCTTTGCTTTGCCTTGCCAATGCCTGAAGTCAATTCCTGCTGGGGGCATGTAGCGCCGACATGGGACACCCATACCGCCGGAGTATTAGACCGATCAGTAACATAAATGTAACCATCCCCGGCCACCTGCTCCCACTCCGGGCCCAGCCCTTGGATAGCGTACCGTCCCCCCGCGGGAATCAATGACTTGACCTACGCTGAACAAGTGCCATCGATAATAAAAAAGAGAGACAGGACGAGACGAGTACGGCAAAGGGGCGTACCCCGATGCAAATTACAAAAAAAAAAAGGTTGCCGCCTCAATCTATCTCTTGGGTCCCCACCCGCCATTCGGGCAATTCTCCGCCTCGGGACGCCCCAAGACTGCTCTCGTCCAAGGATTCGCCTACCTACTTGATACCCTGTGATGCCCCGAGGGGAAATTGGAAGCCTGCCGTTGCGACTCCTCGACTCTCTTATAAGCCCCAGCCCGACGCCCAGCAGCAGGAGGGACACCCGTAGCCCTGATGCTCTTATGAGGGAACAGTCCTCATCGCCTGCAAATTATATACAGCGTCCAGACCCACACTCACCAAGACACTCGATACGTCCGCAGCCGTCTTATACATCAGTCTTTCAGAACCTCGGAAACGGACCGTCACGACACGATATTTTGCAGGGCCCGTTGATAGAAGGATTTCCTCATCACAACGCCACGCCCAAGGACATTGGGACAGGGAGACGCAGGAACAGGAACACTCTCACGAAGCATACAGCCGCGGTCGAACGACGGGACTCATCACGCCAGCAGAAGCAGCAGCAGCAGCAGCCGCCGAGGCCAATTGTAGGTCTCCAGAGGCAGCCCACAGGAGGACTCTTCGTCGAGGCGCCGTCCCCGTCGCCCCCTCCACACCAGGGCCGCGACTCGCACTCGGAAGGGCTAGACTCGCTCGTCCAGTCGCTGCCGCCAGCAACAGACCCGGCCGACCTGCCGCCGCTCAGCGCCGGGGTGCCGCCTCGGGGGATATCCAGCAAGAGCAGGGGCCACTACGTCGTCGCCGAGAAGGAGGTCAAGGCGAAAAGCAAGAAGTGGACAAGGAGGGACTCATCCGCCGGAAACCAGAGCGAGGACAGGAACCAGATCCTGCCGGCCGTCACCATGTCGGACAAGGGAGACCGGGTTTATGAGCACGCCGAGAAGAGCGGGGCGCTCACGAGGCGCCAGAAGGTGAGGAGGCATTGTGCCAAGTGGTGGTGGGCGCACCTGATAGTACTTCTTGCCATCACGGCGCTGGTGGTATGCTTGATGTAAGTGCTCATCTCGTCTGATTTTTGGCCTCGCTGAGCGGCTCGGACGTTCCGACGGAGTGGGTGGGAACAGAGCAGAAAAACCCGCCCATGAAGCCCGATGGGATTGGAGGAGGCCCAGTTGGACAGACGCTGACCCCTTGACCCAGAATCTTCGTCGCCGTCCCCAGGATCGCCCAGCAGCGCGTCGACGGCGCCGACCTGACCATCCAGGGCATCATCCTCTCGCAGGCGCAGTCCGAGAACTTCACCATGTCCATCAACAGCACGCTGCGGGCCGACGACAGCATCCACGCCGTCATCGACCCCTTCGAGGGCGTCATGTTCCTCGAGGACTGGGAGCCGCAGACGCCCTTCGCGCGGCTGCAGTTCCCGCAGACGACGTCGGCGTCGCAGTCGGCCGTCAACCTGACGCAGTTCGTCGACATCCTCGACATGAACGCCTTCACCGTCTTCAACACCTGGGTCCTCATCAACGAGACCCTGCGCGTCAGCGTCGAGGGCGACACCCACCTCAAGGTCAACGGCATCTCGCGCAAGTACCCCGTCCACTTCAAGAAGGTCGTCGAGCTCAAGGGCCTCAACAACTTCAACGGCACCACCGTGCCCGAGTCGCGCGTCCAGCTGACACCGGACTCGAACGGCGACAACTTCTTCGGGACCGTGGCCATCCCAAATGTCTCAGTACTCACCTTTGACATCGTACGTTCCCTCCCACCTCCAACCATACCTACAGAAAATAGGAAGGGAAAAAAAGGGACGCGAAGGCTAACATCTGAACGCAGGGCAACACGACCTTCATCAACTACCTCCAAGGCCAGGACATCGGCCGCGTCTTCGTCGACAACATGGTCGTGAGGCCGGGCATCAACAACTTCACCATGCACGCCAACATCTCGCAGACGCCCATCCTGCAGGTGATCCAGCAGCGGCCCTTCTGCGAGGACGGCGTCCTGCCCATGCAGCTGCGCGGGGAGAACGTCGTCAACAACGGCCAGCTGCTCACCTACTACCGCGACTCGCTCGGCTCCACCAACCAGAGCGTCGACATCGACGTCGGCGCCGACCTGACCGAGCTGGGGCTCACCATCACCTGCTCCAACACGAGGAGGGCCGAGCTGCCGTTTATCTCGTGAGCGGGAGTGTGAGTTCAGCGAGTGGGACGAGGTTGGGTGCCTCTTAGCCGCGGAAAGAGAGGGGGTTTTAAAATGTGCTGTTCGGCACACGTCGCCTGACAGACATCGAGCTGTGCTCAGCGAATTGATTTTGCGTCGTTGGATCTGTGATGGAACTGGGTGGCTAAAGATATGACAAGATCGAGGGCGGCGGCAAATCGCCCTTTGATGACATGACAGGTTTTGAAAACCGTCTCGAAACGCTTCTCGCTGCATATATATTTTTTCTTTTTGGTGCCGCCACGCCACCGAGCGTAGGCTAGTGCACACATACCTGACGATACCTCAATTGAAGACTTGTTCAGTGTAAATTGAAGAGGTCTCCCAGTACCCGTGGAAATTGCTGACTTCTTTGTTGGCATCGATGTGCAACATGACAGCTTGGATCTCCTTGCGCCCACTCTGGACCATCTCCAGGGGTGAGGGCTCCCATCCTGCTCCTGAATTGTCATTTGAGCAGACTCATAGACTCTGTCTCAACGTGGACTTGTAGCCCCAGATATTGCTCATCTTCAGATTCTCTGGGGATGTCGCTCCAGTGTCTCGGTTCCGTAGCTCACTGACGACGTCGTTAGGGTTGATCCTCGGCGCCCATTAATACCAACATATTCTTCCATAATGCCTCAACAAGGCACTATTCCACCACCTTGATAATGTCTTCACGGCATGAGATGCGCCTTAGTTCGGACACTGTGCCGTGCTAACAGTTGGAAGCCGACCTTCCAGACTCCAGTGCTCTCCACTCGTCTGCGGGTATTCAAGAACCACGCGCCAGTCGCTTGAGTGCGCCCCTTATTCAGGCCACACACACACACACCACGTCCTAAGGATCCGCCGCCGGAACAAACTGCACCGCCTCCCCCTGAGCCCTCGCCCGCTCCTTGGACACCTTCTCCTGCGCCCGGCGCAGCTGGCCGCGATACGCCCAGGCAGGGAAGCCGGCAGGGTCCCAGAGGTCGGCGGGCAGCGTGGTGGCGTACTGGCCGGCCCCCGCACCGGAGTCCCTGTCGAACTTGGTGTCGATGCCGATGAAGCCCAGCAGCTTGTCGGTCTGCTCCGGGTTCCGGAAGGCGTGCGAGTCGGCGATGCGGGCGTTGAAGTGCACGCCCTTGGTGCGCTTGAGCTCGAGGAACTTGTCGAACTTCGAGGTGAGGGCTGCGTGCCTTGCGTCTGATGGCGGGGAGCCTGGGGGTGGTGATGGGGGGATGTCCATATCTGGGACTGTGGGGAGGGTGAGCTGGTGCAGCAGGGCACGGTTGGCTGAGTATGGCGATAATGGCGGTCGGGCTTGGTCTCCTTGGACATCCTCTTCCAGGTCCTCATCCATCTGCTCCGGGTAGGCTTCTGCTTGATCTTCTGGGGGTAGACTTGGGCCCATGGTGGCTGAGCCTGATGGCAATACTGGTTCTAGTTGTGGTGCTGGGACAGGCTGCTCTGCTTTGGGTTGTGACGGTTGTGGCGGTGGTGAGACTTGAGCCTCCTTCTCCGCCACGTTTTCCTCCTGTGACGGTTTTATTGTTGGATCGTTTGAAACTTCTTTTGTTTCCTACATCGTAGTCAGTCCAATTCTACAAGAAAAGGGGGTGAAGCACTCTTGCAAGCAGTGCATGTCCATACCAGAACTTCGGGTGACTGAACCTCATCCTCCTCCTCGTCACTGCTGCCGTAGCCCACCAGTGGTGCCATAATCACTGTACGTGGTATTCCAGGCTTATTTTAAATCAATCCAGCATAATTTTGGAAGGGAGGATTCAAAAGTACAGCGGAGTCGAAATTCCGGTGGTGAGAAAGGGCATGGTCAAGTTGTCGAATTCAGGCTCAGGAGCAAATACCCAAGAGTACGTACCAGGCTGGGATTAGATAAGCGGCCGAATTGGAGTGGGCCCCTTGCATCCAGCTCCCCATTGGCCAGGGAGCGGCAGGCTGCTGGGCTGGGGGCCTGCTACGTGTGGGAGGCAGCACCTGAACGCGACAGCTCCCCCAGTGCTGGAGGCTGAATGAAGCTCCCGAGCGTCCAGTGTCAACGTCCAGCCAGGTCCATCTCTCTGGCTCCATCTCCAATTCAACCACCACACCCTCTCACCACCACGATCCCGATCTGCTCTGCTCTGCCGCTGCTCAATCTCTCCGACCAGGTAAGTGCAGGCCTTAGTTTTGAACATCTCAACCGCAGCTCAATCCCCCAGATAGACCAAAGTCAGCTCCACTACAAGCTATCTAGTACCAACTGACGTCGTTCCTCCAAACAGACAAGCAGACCATCACCAACCACCCTCACTCCCACTTCCACGAAACTCTCCAGCCGAGCCTTCATCTCCGACCCATACAACCTCTCAGTCTCCCTCTTCTCTCTCTCTCTCCTCTACCACACAGACACCATGGATCACCGCCCACAAGCCTGGGGCCGCCCCCGCGACGACGTCTACGGCGCCTACGACCACAGCTACCTCAACAACTCGGCCCCCAAGACCCACACGCAGTCGCCCGCCGTGACGGGGACCTCGGTGCTGGGCCTCAAGTTCAAGGACGGCGTCGTGCTGGCCGCCGACAACCTCGCGTCGTACGGCTCGCTGGCGCGCTTCAGCGACATCAAGCGGCTGCGGCCCTTCGCCGGCACCTCGGTCGTCGGCTTCTCGGGCGACGTCAGCGACATGCAGTTCCTGGACCGGCACCTGGGCGAGCTGGAGATCGACGAGGCCTACGGCGGCAGCAACGCCACCACGGCGGGCGACGCCGCCCCGGGCGCCGACCCTGCCACCGACGAGGGCCACCCGCTCTCGGGCCTGTCGGCCGAGAACCTGCACAAGTACCTCGCCAAGCTCTTCTACCACCGCCGCAACAAGTTCGACCCCCTGTGGAACCAGGTCCTCGTCGCGGGCTTCAGCAGCGCCACCGGCAAGCCCTTCCTGGCCGCCGCCGACCTGCGCGGCACGGTGTTCTCGAGCCCCTCGCTCGCCACGGGCTTCGGCTCCATGCTCGCCCAGCCCATCATGCGCAAGCACGCCGCCACCGAGGAGGACGCCGCCAAGCTCACCCGCGAGCAGGCCGTCCAGATCATCCGCGACTGCATGAAGGTCCTGTACTACCGCGACGCCCGCTCCTGGGACGGCTACTCGCTCGCCGTCGTCACGCGCGACGGCGTCGACGTCAGCTACGACGAGAAGCTCGAGGACCAGAGCTGGGCCTTTGCCGACAGGATCAAGGGGTACGGCACGCAGGATGTGTAGATGTGGTCGATGCGGTCGGGAGGATTGTTGGTGGTGCTGGTTGATGGTATTGCTACGGGAGGGCAAACGGGCGATAAAGGGCTGCCGTGTATGTCTAGACTTATCCGAGGCGAAATGAATACATCCTCGGGTTGATGAGAGATCCAATGAATCAAAATGGCAACCACGAGACTGATTGGACATGTACGTGTCAATAACTGGCCAGCCAACCATGCCGGTCTGGCTCGGCCTGGCAAAGCAGGCCACGAATGTTCAAAACCGTGCACTACCCAGAGTCAGTCAATGCGCCCTGCTTTCACATACTAGGCCGGGTATTTAGCCACGCTGCCTCATTCGACATTGCCACCACAGTGAGCCAGTCCAGTCGGAAACCCAGAGGATGAGCTACTTGGACGCGCGGCACGGACGGGAAGACTAGAACCCCATCATCAGCGTGTGCAGTTTAGACATGCGTATTAGCAGACAAACCATGTTCGCAAGATTGTGTCGCGTTCCGGCCCTTGTATGACATGGTGAAGCCTGCTCAATTTGTGGGCACTCTTGAAAGAGTCTGGGTCTGTCTACTAAACTATCACGGATTCCGCTCGCCCTTCATTACTCAAGAAGAATGGCCATCCAGCAGAACGCACGCCGCAGCAGGCATCCTGGGCTGGCTTTGTTGTCATGCCCTATTGCCTTTTTTACTTTTGCTCTCCGTGTTTCCATCTGGTACTTAGCCTTACATGGTTGAATGCTTCCTTTCCTTTGATAATCCTCCACCACTGACAAAAACAAGCACGAACTCCGAATCACATGCCCGCCCATCTTCAGAGACCGATCAGGTATGCAAAAGCCCATCCCACAGAAACATCCAACGCATGCAAAAAGAGCCCGGGACCGAGCGGCTACTCCGGTACAGATGAATAGTAACAGAGATCCGCTTACTCGACAGTCACCGACTTGGCCAGGTTACGGGGGAAGTCAACGTTGAGACCCTCCATGACCGCCAACCAGTAGGCAATCAGCTGCAGAGGAATGACGTTGAGGAGACCCTGCAGGACGTCGACTGTCTTGGGGATCTCGATCGTCTGGGCCTGGCTGCTGCTGAATTCGCTATCGCCGTTGTTGCAGATAACAATAGGCTTGCCACCACGTGAGACAACTATTTGATTTCAGTTAGTACAGGAGTGATGTCTTGGAAGGGACATGTAACGAGCGGGGGATTCCTTTTACGTACCTTGCTGGTAGGCGTTCAAGCTCTTCTTGAAGATGTTGTCGCGCGTGAGGATCATGATGATGGGCAGGTTCTCGTCGACCAGGGCCAGCACTCCGTGCTTCAGCTCACCCGACATGACGGCCTCGCAATGGAGATAACTAATCTCCTTAATCTTGAGGGCGCCCTCGAGGGCTGTGCTGAACTGGGAGCCACGGCCAAGCAGGAGCAAGGACTTCTGATCCTTGAAGACCTTGCCGCAGAGCTCCTTGATGGTAGCATCCTGCTTCAGCACCTCGGAGATCTGCTCCGAGATCTTGCCGAGACCCTCCATAATCTCGACTCGCCGCTGCGCCTTGCTGGCGCGGTCCTCGCTGAGCGAGAGGGCGAACATGACCATGGCGATGAACTGGGAGGTGTAGGCCTTGGTGGAGGCGACACCGATCTCAGGGCCGGCGTTGACGTGCACACCGCAGTGGGTCAGCAGACTGATAGAGCTGCCGACCACGTTTACGATACCGACAGTCAACGCGCCGCGCTCCAGGCAGTATCGCAGGGCCATCAGAGAGTCGGCCGTCTCACCTGACTGTGAGACGAAGATGCATGTGTCGTCACGGAAGACAGGAGCCTCCCTATCCAGGAAATCGGACGCCAGCTCGACCGAGATGGGGATCTCTGCCAGCTCCTCAAACACACCACGGACGGCCATGCAGCTGTGGTACGAGGTACCGCAGGCGATGAAGATGATACGTCGGCAGCGGCGGATAGTGCTTATGTATGAGCGCAGACCACCGAGCGTAACAGTCTTGTTCTCGACGTCCAGACGACCACGCATGGTGTTGACGACAGACTCGGGCTGCTCGAAGATCTCCTTCTGCATGAAGTGGTCGAACTTGCCCTTCATGATCTCCTGCAGCTCGAGCTCCAGGGTCTGGATGGTGCGCACGTTGCTGCTGCCATCGGCCTTCTTCAGGCGGTGGATGTTGAGGGAGCCCTCGTGGATGTGGGCAATGTCGTCATCCTCCAGGTACATAACCTTTTTGGTGTGCTCGACAATGGCCGAGGGGTCGGAGGAGAGGAAGAACTCGGCGGGCATGGGCATGCCGTCATCGGTCATGAAGGCCCGAGACTGCGAGCGGTGAAGCAGGGACTTGTCGGCGGCGCCGAGCAGGGTGGGAGCCAGGAGGCCATCGGAGGACTTGGAGCTCTTCTTCATGGCGGCATTCTGCGAGGCGGTCTCGGCCGGGAGGGCGGCGTGCTCGTCGGCGTACTCGACATCGACGAAGTCGACCTTCATGCGGCGCTGCGTCTTGACGCCGATCACGAGAGGGGAACCCTTGCGGGCGGCCACGACCTCGTGGGGGTAGTGGATGGACTTGATGAGCAGACCGTAGGCACCCTCGAGCTCCGAGATGACGGCCTTGGCCAGGTCAACGAAGCCCAGGTTAGGGTGCTTCTCGTAGATGTACTTTGCGAGCTTGGCGATGCACTCGGTGTCGGTCTCGGTCTCGAACTTGTGGCCCTTGGCCTGGAGGAGAGTCTTAAGCTCCTTGTAGTTTGTGATGATACCATTGTGGACGACGGAGAACTCCCAGGTGGGGTCAGACCTATGAGCGGTGCCGTTGGTCAGCTTTGCTTCACTTCTCGATTTCTTTGCAGGTGCTCCGGATTCCTAGGAACCCTGTGGCTACTGACCTGTGAGGGTGGCAGTTCAGGCGGGACGGAGGGCCGTGGGTTGCCCATCGAGTGTGGGCAATGCCGGCGTGTGAGTCGAAGATCTTTGTGGGGTCTGGCTTCTCCTGGTCAACGAGCTCCCTCAGCTTGGCGACCTTGCCGACCTCCTTGAAGGCGTAGACCTCGTTCTTCTTGTCGCCATCGACGGCCAGGCCAGCCGAGTCGTATCCTCGGTACTCGAGACGGGAGAGACCTGCAGAAGGGCGGGTTCGAGTCAGTCCTGGGCTGCGCAATTGCTACTGGTATTGATGCTGATGCTGGTGCTGCCGTGCGCGCGCAAACAGGTGTGAATGGCTTCCTCGCCCCGTCAAATCAGGGGGTAGTGTAACGCGGCGCGGGCTGCAGGGCAGGGGGGACAGCTGTTGGCCGGCGCGGGCTGGCGCTGGTTCCCGGTTGTTGGGCCAGAGAGCGGAGGCTGAGCGAGCTGGTCGCTAGCCTCGCTCACATGCCAGCCTAGCCAACAAGCGCCACCCAACTCCCGCAGCTAGCTGACTGGGGCGGGATTTGGAGAGGGCCACATACCATTGATGAGTGTGTCAACAATGAACTTCCTGTCCTTCTCCACCAGGTAGTTGACGTAGCCGAAGATGCCACTGTCGGGGAAAAGACACGGTCAGCAATTGATCACGAACGGCTCTTCCCATGCCTCAAAGGGGGCGCGTGGCCTCTGCAGGACAAGCTCCGCCATCCGATCCCAGAGCTCTGGCAAGCTTCGCCCGGTCCCTTGAACTGCCACCAGCGTCCGTTTGGCTCCCCAAACGGTCACCGGTTGGACAGTCGAGGTCGGGTCTGTCCAACAGCCAAAACTGGGACCAGAGCGCCGGGTGGACAGGGTGTCTGTACTCCTCCTCTTCCTCCAATCTGCCTCTGCTTTCTTGTGCTCTCTGAGCTTGATCTAGATTCATTGTTGTACTGTACATACCACATCTTGTCAAATTGATCAAACAAGTGTTCTGTCTGTCTTCGTAGTATATCGAAGCTGGTGGGTAGGCCGGCTGCGGGGTGTGCACAACGCTGCTTGAGCAGAGTCGCCGAGTCGAGATGGGTATCAAAGGCTAGAAAGAGAGAGGGACAGCAAGTTGTGGGAAGGACGAGCAGGAAGAAGATGGGAGAGGAGGAGAGAAGACAGAATAAAGGCCAGCTGGATGGGAAAGGGTGTTTAGCTCAGGGGGGATGGGATTGTTCTTTAATGGGGCTGAGAATTGGGGCCTTGCTTTTGGGACCTGGCCAGCAGTGACAACAAGCAGCAGCCTCTCCTTCACCCAGTCAGTCGGTCACTCCCAGCCAGACAGTCAATTCCAAGTGTCAATGTGCCCGCACGTGGATTGTCTGGAGGTCCTTCCCCCCAGCTGCCCAGTGAGATGGACAGGGATGGATGTCTGTGTGTATTTGGGGGGGGGGAAGCTGCACAGCTCCAGCCTCCTGCCCACTCCTTGCCGACCCCTCCCCTCCCCTGCCCTTCTGTCTGCGGGCCCTCACACTCCTTCCTACTGGACTGGCTGGCTCTCAAAGCAGAGAGACACGGGCCCAGGCTCAGGTTGCTCCGGGTTGTATCCTCCAGTCCTCCAGAGGTGAGTGGGAAGGTGGGAACATGGCTGGTTGGAGGGGACCCCTGCTGCGGATGACGCTGCCTTCCAGGGCTCCTTCCACCTTTCCAACACAACAGCTTGTCAGGCTTGTGCGGTTAACTCAGACTAGGGAAACCACCCCTGCCCGGCAACTGCTGCGTTGTCTACTCGTAACAGCCAGCAGAGCAGTAAGCAGCCATCATCAAAGCAGGCACGTCTCAATCCCATCCCATGTCATCTTTTCTTGTCCCTCATCTCCTGCCTGTCCCCAATCCGTCTCATCATCAGCTTCCTGTAGATGAACATTCCAGCCGGTCCAACATCTGGTCCGCTACCTCTGGAATTCTCCTGTCTCTGCTGCTGATAACCTTTCCTTTGTTCCCACGGTGATCAGAGCTGTCACAAGAAGCTAGATTCCCTGACAGGAGGGGCCCAAGCGACGACACCAGCCCAGCTCCAGGTAGAAACAGTGGCCAGGCACCCAGGCACGGGCCGACATCAGACGAGTAGACCCGTGGGGGTTGGTCTGTCTAGGATGAATTCGGAATATGGATGATCTGAGCCTCGAAGCTTACTTGCCCCATCTGAACTGGCAGCACTGGCCGGGCTGATCTGAGGGCCTGTCATCCTCCAATCCTCTTTTTCAACAGAAAGACCAACATTCTGTTGGCTCATGGTCTATCCGGTGCTGTCTCACAGGTTTGGCCATGACTGGGCCGGCTCTGTGTCCTCACTTTGCGACATCTACACCGAAAGATAACGGAAACAGCTGCAGTGTACGTGCACCACCGGTTGGTATCCAAACATTGATGCAGTTCGTTGCCTTACCGCCTCTTTGGACCCGTGTCGGCTCCGACTCGTACATTTGTGGGCCTCAGCCTCGCCCCAGCAACCGTTCCTCGTGTCAACACCATAGCTTCTGGCTTCGTGGTCGACACGCCCTCTGCTGAAAGAGCAACGGCTGTTACATCGATGTTGTCTAGGGCGGCTGCCCGGAACATACTGCCCCTGGCGCCTTAGCCGACTTCGTATGTGGCCCCTTGATCGACTACGTATCATATGCAAACCCCAGCCGATTTGGACAATGACGACACGCCCGTCCAACAACAACCAAGGCTCAAACAAAGCCAGCAACGGCAATCCGCATGCTGGGCGTCAAAACTCCCGACCAGACAACCAGAGCCTGCAGCCTGTCAGCCAATCGCTCCAGACGGGCAGAGAGGCCATACCGACGCACCAATCTCGATGCAACCCTCCAGCAGGTCTGCTCAGATGAAGGACAATGCAGGTCCGGGCCAGCCACTAGTTCTGGCCATCCCTGCTCAGGTTGACAGTCCCGTCTGATGGCGCCTCACAGCCTCAAGAAAAAGAGCAGGATTAAAAAGGGGCTGAACTGCTGAGATGGTGGGGTGAACAAGCTGCAACCCGGGCCTGGCTGGTCGATCCTCGGCTAAGAATAGCCCCTGGAGCTCCCCACGTTTCCCTAGTCGCTGGGCTGGGCACATGTCTTTACGAGATTGTCTGCATGTCTCAGCCGAATGCAGATGAGAAGAGAGAAGAAAACTCTTCTATCCGCGGGCTGTGCTGATCGAGCTAGCCCGTCGCCTGCTTCCGGACAGCCGATCAGCCCAGGCATAGCACGGCCTGCCTCTCGTCTATCTGGCTCCATGATCTATCTGGTCGGCCCTTGCCTGCCCAAGATGGCCCCGAGATCTGCGGATCAGGAACATGCAGCTCGGAATACCGGGGGCGCAATCCAGCAACCCCAGGGGTCTGTACGGGTAAGTCTACACCCAAGGAGCACCGTCAATCACCCCTGCCAAGGGACCGCCCAGTCAAGCTTTCGCTCGTATTTTTGCCGTTGCCTCTCGGGAGGCCTTCCATCCCGTTGGGTTTGCCGCCGACGAACTATCGCCTGTGATATTTTGGACGCGGGTTGAATAGCCTCATTGTGTACGAGGCTTCGGGAATTGCAGATGGTCTGGACACTTCTTTGAAGCTGTGTGCCCTCATGGAAGCTTTCCTTCTCCAATCCAACACGACCGCGACGCGACCCTGTAGTAAACACATCACAAGCTTTGGAAGTCCACAAGCTATGCACACCTACATCCGTTCCATCGCACTGCCAGCGCGATGTATGACGAAGTATTAGAGTTGTATTTGCATCTTTCCGTCTAGGTATACACATGCCCCGAGGCTTCGGGCGTCTTCACATCATCCAGTTCGGTACATGCAGCGTCACTGGATGTCGAAATTCCAGTTGCCAGATGTTATACCGCGTGAAACCATCGGCCTTGCTTCCACCATGACGTTCTCTCCATCATTAATTGAAACGGACATCACAAGCAGTGACCGACTTCTTTTATGTACTCGTCGACCTACATGAGTACCCAGCGGCGGAGCCCTTAGCTTGCTTGCTGGAGCTTCTTGAACCATGGAGAAGTACTACTGTGTCTGCAACATTTGCTGTGGTTGAACTTGGGGAGAAGAGACATTTGTGAGCCTTTGCACCTGTCGCAATTCTGAACAACTGAAGTTCGATGGGGGCTCAAGGAATTGCCAGACTCGGTCAAATTCAACCAACTTCTAGCCGTGAGTGGGACGACGTCTGCAGGATCCATGGCCCCGCATGCAGCGGACATGATCATCGAGCTCTGAATACACCCAACATTCGAACTTCTCACCGAGCCGACCTTCGCATTCTGCCACCAAACAACTGATTTGTCTCAACTGGCTTGTTGTGTGGGAGCAGAAGCTACACTGCTGCCGGGTCACCGATTCTCCGCCTTCAATATCTCCTCTCGGACGAGGTGCGTTTTTTCCATATCTGCGCATGGCATCCGTCGTGTCCTGTCCTCCACACGAGGCGGCGGCGGCGGAAGGGGCGCCGGTTTAACACATCGACATTCCTGATGATTGGCGAGGGGATATCGATAAACCACGTGAGGAATGGTGCCCGACCTGCCTCTGGGATGGGGTTTGGGAGAATTTGCTCGCCAGGTCCGAGGCCAGAACTAAACGCTTCGGACATATCTTCGCCAAATCCATGCTCTGCTCGTCCGCGTCCGAGGGTCATATATGCTGCGCTGTCCTATTAGGCGTCTTGCAGAAGGTGGGCGGTGGCAAGTATGATTGTTTCACCGTCGAATGGCGTCCCGCCAGAGGAGCATTGGTGGCATTCGAGTTTGAGCAAGAAAAGCCTGAGCCGACAATTAGAGACAAGTACTATAGTCGCTGGAAACTGCTCACGGTCGGTTCCGCGCCAGCACCACCAGGCATGTTTGGATGCGGACCTGATGAGCTCCCGTCACTAGAGACCGGTTCGGAAACCTCTGTGGCTTGGGCAAAAGACCGCGTCAATGAGTGTTGTCTCAATCATTCATACTGTCGTTCGCACCAGATGTCGAATGCACCTGGCTCTTACATCCCTTCCAGGCTGCTGTACATTCCACCCGATCCCGTCGGAGGGATCGTCTTGCGACTCAAGGAGAGCGTGCCTTCAGGTGCCAAGTACGCTGCCCTAAGTCATTGCTGGGGCAGTCGGGACAGGTGGCCTCGTTGTCTCACCACGAATGCGAACTACGAGTCACACCTTAGCCATATCCCATGGCATACCCCTCCCCAGACATTTCGTGACACTGCAGTCTTTGCCAGGAAACTCGGGCTGGAATACATATGGATCGATTCGATGTGTATCATTCAAGGTGATCAAAAAGACTGGTCAAAGGAATCTACGTACTCCGTGTACTCCAACGCGTACACCACCTTTGCCGCTGTCGTTGCGCATGACAGCCACGACGGCCTCTTTTCTCGGTGAGCTCCCGGCTCGCTTGTTCCCTTGCTTACCCTGGGCTTCCGGGGAAAGCGATATCGCGTTCAAGCGTACAGTATACCGGGTGAACGTCAAGAATTTGAAAGGCAGGTTGACGCGAATTCTGTCAATCCCAATCCCTCTTACCCGCTCTTGAACAGAGCTTGGGCTTTTCAGGAACGACTCATGCCGCCCAGAGTGCTGTTTTTCGGTTTAGAGGAATTGCTATGGGAATGCCCGACAGGCCGTTCGTGCGAGAAAAGACTCATACTCGCCGCCTTCATGGCACGAGACAGACGACGATGGCATTACAAGGTGGGAAACGTTTATGCACAGGTACAGCACCATCACGGACAAAGGTGAAAAGATGGCATCACCTTGGTTCGACGTCGTGAAACCTTACAACGATATGGAAGTCTCAGAACCGACCGACCGGCCACCCGCCATTGCTGCCATCGCTCAGCATTTTGCGCAACGCAACACGGACGACGAATATATCTGCGGCCTGTGGAAGAGCCTCATGCCGCTGGGCCTGCTCGCTAGATTCAGCGTGGATCAAAACCTCATAGGTCCACATATCGACTATGGTCCTTCCACCATGGTTCAGTCAGATTATATTGCACCCTCTTGGGCTTGGGCATCCGTCAAAGGGAAGGTCCACGGAAACTCTGGTGTCGCCATGTCGACCTTCGCTGAATCAGTCAGTGTGAACCTACGTTATATTGACAACGACCCAATTTGGGCGCGTCGCCCCCGGATCATCCATCACGCTAAGGGCACCGGTTCTTGACTGCGTCTGGGGGGTGAAATATCTACCAGGTGGAACTCTGGAATTTTGGCAGAGCCTTTCTTTCCCGAGTCTGGAGGGCATCATATCCTTGCGCTTCCCCAGGGAATGTGCTCCTCTTGGAAAGGAGGGCACCGCATCTATGCGCTTCGAAAGGGAATATGCCACCTACAGTGGACTGGGGCGACGGGACGCGATCGAAGTATGTTCGTTGCTTATCGGGACCCATAGCGCGCCCCGAAGAAAATGAGGATGGGAAGCGTTGCTTTTGCGCAGGATTAGCGATGGTGGGCATTACTTCCGCGTGGCCAGAGTGAGCGAGTTCAGATTGGTTGGCGTCCCTGTTTCGGGACTCAAGCAAGCCCTGGAAGAAGCTCCTGTAGGGGAATGTGTCATTGAGTAGCAAGCATCTATATGCATGAAGTCTGGCGCGATGTGGTCTGGGTCGCGCTACAGCCATTTCTCCTATCAACGTGTTTGGCTATTCCATCAGTTTTGGATTTCCCTCTGAGCATTCATACCCGCTCCTATCTTGTTACGGAAGCCATTTTTTGAAGTACGCAGCGAAAGTGTGACTGGACAGGACAGGCTACACGTATCCTCAAGATCAGAAGCTATACTTAGTAGCGCCAGTCATCGAGCTTCTAGGCATCTGAGCGTAATTTCCCGTCCGTCCCTAGATATTATGGCCGGACTGGTGCTCGGCTCATATTCCAATAGGTACATCGCTGTTCACAGCGAGCCAGCAGGTGTGGCTCGGAAGAAGGTCAGTGAAGAAGAGCTGTGACCGAGTCCTTTAGTACAACAGAACTCCCTTGATTATGAACACATGGTAGACATAAAGACACGAAAGGGGTCGCCATTTTCCTCATTGAAACTGGCAGAAGTCATTGGTCATATCAGCCGTGGTTCCATTGGACTGCACGCACTTATCGCGTATAGGGTGAATAGGATTCGATAATTGCCGGGCTCCATTAAAGAATTTGCCACCTGCTTCACATGTCACTGATAGGGCACTTCGGTACCCTTACGAAAGAAGAACATCTTTTCTCGTCCCATGGTCGATGGCTAGTGGCGCAAAATAGGAGAGGACAAAGCTGAATTGGTAGGGAGGATCTAATGTTGTAGCGAGAGATCATAGCCTCGTGGCATAGAAGAGCCCCTAAGCGAGCTCAAGAATACTCTTGAAACAGTCTGGAATGAAAATACCAAAGCAGCTGGCAACAAGAACATGCCGTGCGCAATAAATAATGAATGAGTCCTTTTAATGTCACGTTGGCCCATGTTCAGTGATCCAGACACAAAATAAAGGCTCATGTTTCCAAAATCCAATCGCGTTTTGCGAGACTGACTGAATCCCAGCAGATATTTATTTCCGCCCCCTCTTCAGAAACCCCCAACCACTGAAGAATGGTTGATCCAGCCCAGCCGGACGAGGACAATCGGCCGCCGATGCAAGTTTCACTCCGGCAGCAACAAATACAATGAACGTTGCCGACCTAAAAAGGCGACATAGGGGGAAAAAGTGTGTTTAGATGTCTTCGTTTCGAAAGAGGTCGCACGGCCGACCAGACTGCCATTAAGCCATGAGGTGGCCCTCTAAGGTCTTCTCAGAAGCCTCTTGAGTAAAGGAGTGTGGGCCAGACTACTTCAGCCAGACACAGATCCAAATCGATGCTAGACGGAGAGCTTGGGCGGTTTTTGGATCGAATTTAAGGGAAGGGGACGTCATGGCATCTTCAAACATGGCAGCTGGTCAAATCGGAACATACAGCTCTGTTTTGACACAAGCGTACCCCAGCATCAATTTCATCACCTTGTGCCATTTTGGGTCTATGTTATTCATAAATGTACAGCTCCATCACCTTTATCATCTGGTGATTTATAATTGGGATTTCCCGGGTGGTTACAGTCGGGAGGGTGGCAGTGTCCACCCGCCATCCGCTTCTTGAACAACCATATGTGAGCCACCCCCCTCCCCCAAAACCAAAAATCACCACCACCACCACCATACCTCCTCAGCACTGCCAGACTACAAATTAAAGCTTTTGATACTCAAGTTTACTGAGGCTGTTCACAGGCCATATGATAATATCCATATAAATCTGAGAGTCCTTCTCAACCATTCCAGGCCTGATTGTCATTACGGTGGAGATGGGACATCCCCCCTCCCAAATGGTCAAGACGGCAAGTCGGCCACCGTGAATCGATATCCGAGAATGGACGCTTCCAAAATACGAATCCGGAGATCCAGTTCGATGCTAAACAGATATGCGAGAATGAGAGCCCCCAGAATACAAGTCTGGAGCGCGGACAAGGGAACGGAACTACGAGATAAGGGGCACCGAAGCTACGAAGCTTGAATGGCAGCTCTTCAAATCAATGACTGATTATATCTGCCGGCCGATCATGTCGTCTACATTTCCCATTCCTGCCATGGCTATCAAAATCGGAGTGCTGCTCATTCTCCAAATCAACGACTCATTTGTGAGGCCAAAGAGACGTCGGTTTCAGTGATTGAATTGTGTACCTGGGTACATGCTCCGGCCGAGTCCTTGTGTCAAGCAAAGGGACGTCACCCGCCAGACAACCTTGTACCTGTGTATCTCCTGTCCGCATAGCTGGGCTCCTTCCCAAATCACGACACCACACACGCGTTATTGCCTCGCACAACGCTGGCTGGATATGTCGTCTTTTACAAAACTAGCGTTGACTGACTGCACGATGGTGCTGCCCCTTCCCATGGTAGCTGCAGCAGCTCAGCCACTCTCGCCGTACCAGTTGGCGAAGGCCAGTGCTTTCAAGACCTTCAGTGCTCGAAGCCGACAGTGTCGGCCACGCATACGCGGGAACCAAAATCGCACACTCAAAATGAGCCTGCTATCTTCTCCGGGTCATGACACCAACAGGGTACCTTGGCGCAAGTGTCCAGAGCAAAGACGGAAGGAGCCATGCGTGCCTGCCTCTGGGTGACGCACCGGCTGACGTGCGTGCCGATCGAGGTGGCTACCTTCCAAGGTTCCTTCCTTGATGAACAGACAGAGGAAGGAGCACTGCATCTGCCTGAAGCCCAGTCACTGCGCAGACTGGTTTGACTGATACCAGCTTCTTCTCTCTCAGTTCCTGTCGCCTCCACCATCTTTCACACACTTCATCTCATGACACCGGGCTTCCCCACGCCGCTGCGCCAGTGACAACCGAGTCCCTCACTTTCAAACCCCTATTCAATCAAACTCTCGAAGTCTACGCCGTGGCATCGGCCTGCCTGACCCCGTCGCCTCTGTCCCGGCGTGGTCATCGTCGGACGTCGTCCAAGCAGATTTTGCAGCTACTCCAGGCATCGTGCGCCAGCGGAGAAATCCCAGCAGCAGGACCCCTTCCACCCCATCGAATGCAGGGCTCGTCAGTGTTGACTTCACTTCGTCGAACCTCGGGCGCTCCTGTCATTGCACCGATCAAAGGGATCGATCTTGACGGCTGCTTCCGCGGCCAATCGTCCTCGACGTCGTTGAGATTGTGCCATCCTTCAAGTGAGTGCCCAAGTTCAAGTCTGTTGTTGCCTCTTTCCTCATTGGCGCCAACAGAAACGCTGTCTGACCCCGGGGCATAGTCAAGGGCGTGACCACCGTGAGGTACCATTCCGAGTGGCAATCGGCTGCCTCATTTTCAGCTTCGTCGAGCAAATCAATCACTCATTCTCATTGTAAGCTATCCCCCGTCTTCATCAAGGCCGTCGTCCAAGACATGTCATTCATTTTCATCGTCTGGACCACGGTGTATCATCCTGAAAGTCATCCGGATCAAGTAGGTGCACCAAGTCAGAGACGGTCACCCACCATCCTATGCTTTGACAGGAGTGTGGTCTCATCTCTGACAGGAAGGAAGTACGGTCTATTTCCGAGGAGAGCCTTTCCCCTGGCACTCGAAACACTCACTCTCATCCTCATCCCTACGTCCTAGGCCGTGGATCAACGCAACCGGGTCTAGAGAGCCTTTGTCTTTGGCTGGCAGTCGGGGGCCACGATTTCAGCTTCCCTTTCGGCAACCTTCGTCTAGGGAATCAGTTACTCATTTTCACTGAAACACACACACTGACGACTCAGACGTCGTCCAAACCGGGCCACTCAAGTAGGTAACCCAAGTCCATGTTCCGTTCCTTGAATCATGTGCCCAAACGGAAACGTCTAACTCGGGCCAATTAGGGACGTGACCGCCGTGAGAGTCGGCCATCACTTCCGAGAGAGTCCTCGCCGTGGCAATTGGGTGCCTCAATTACAACCCCCCTGGTTGTAACCAGCACCAAACATCTCATTGTGGCGCTTGAGCCGTCTGAACCCATCGTCCCCGTCTCTGACGAAACCATGTCGGACATCGTCCAAAAAGGTCAGCGGCTCAGCATCGTGTGCCTGTGCCGCAGCCGCAACGATACCACTCAGGCTGGGGACGCCCCCCTTTTCTTTTCTCTTCGCGCCGTGGTCATCACCTTCATCCAGAGGAAGTCGCCACCATGGCTGCCAGTCTCGATATCGACTCCTCCGACTTCGAAGATGTCGTGGAAGAGCACGATCGAAGCCTCTTCGCATCGAATCCCAACATCGGAAAGCGGGTCTCGGCCCTTATTGTTGCAAACCAAGCCGTGGATCGACCCCTGAGCAAGAAAAACGCTCGCGAACTCACCTATGCCCATGGCGCCCCCAAGACTAGAGACGTCCAGCACAGTGTCATGGCGATCTGGGACACGTTCTGCACCACTATTAACCACGAGTAAGCTTCTATTTCTCTGGATATTCCCGAGTGGCATCTGTCGAACTAGTGACGTGCTCTGTTTATTCTGTACGTCGTCAGAGACTGACCGATATTTGATGCACATTGTCCAACTCAGTGCCCTTCCGGTGAACAGATCTTCCGCTTCATTGATACCAGGGTCCGGAGGTCGATCTCGGTCATCTCGGGCAAAACAGTCCCCTCTCTTTCGTTCATCCGCAAAGTTTGGCGCATTCTCATCGACCTGCTGACATTTCGACACGAGGACCTGCCGCAGCACTACACTCCCTATCACGAGAAAAGGATCAACGTTCACCTCAGTCAGCTGGTCAGTCAGAAACTCCTTGTCCGCGGCAGATGACAGAAGAAACAGTGGTTCGGCTTCAAGGTGATCCAGCAAATGGCACAGACGTGGCTCGAACGAGCCCTCAACGAGGGTTGCCTTTCATGGGACCGCACTTTGCTGAAGCTCCTTGGCATCCTGCTTCAGGCCAGCTGCTCGTCTAGGTCGGGTGACGTTGCCCGCTCGTCCTTGTACGAGGGTTTTGAGTGTCTATGTTACAAACACCTGGAGCTGTCAATCAAGGACCGCAAGAAGCCATTGGACAGCGTCCAAAACCTGACCCTCAAGGTTACACAGGAGTTCATGAAAAACTACAAGTAAGTTCCATGCCGTGGAATGGGCAAACCCAGAGGCACCGGTCCTCTGCCAGATAGCCCGTGGCACGTCGACCATCGCTTACGACAAACCCGCTCACCAGAGCCAGGTGCGGAACGCCGTCCAAGAGATAGCTCTAGCCGCAGGCATCCTTGACAAAGTGACCAGCATCGACATCCACAGAGGAGCGCTGCGTGATGCTGCGTACTTGAGGCAGCCCGTCTACGGATTTGCAGACCGTGCCGTGGCACTCGTCGCCAACCACACCCTGGATTCGCTCGATATCGGCGTTATTCAGGGCTATGTCGGGCCCTTGCAGTAGTCAATTTGGAACATGAGGGCCGAAGAGCAGTTCGAGGATCGCCTGGCTCCTCGTTTCGCCTCCACGCCTTTCACCAAGTCTTCGAATTTCTCGTCCCATGAGATCGATGCTTAGATGGACGAGCATGGCATGGACAAGGCTGACACGGATCAGCGCATGAAGGCGGGCAAGTCGTTGAAGCGCGCAGCCACTGACGCCTGGAAAGAGGAGCAGAACAACGCCAGAGAAGCCCCGGCCAAAGCAGCCCCAGCGAAGAAAGTCACCGCCTCGGCGAAACGGAAAGCCCAGCCTCTAGGTCAGTGAAGTGAAAGTCAGGGGAATGCCGATGCCGGACGCGTAGCTGTGTCCCGTCCCCGTGAGGGTAAAAGGTCCCACGCAACCAGTGACTCGTTGACTGCGGCACCCGTTCCAGCCAAACCTACGCCCAAGGGAGACCTCAGCAACGCCGATCCACGACTGCTGGCCTGGGATGACGTGGAATCTGCAAATGTAGACGAGCATGAGCTCGACTATGTTTGCGACTTGATCGATGGCCGTGCGACAGGGAAATCAAATGAGGGTCAGGCGGCCAAGGATTCAGGCCTTTTGGACGACGACCAAGACGAAGCGAATGACGAAGAGGTCGAGCAAGTGCTGGCAGATGAATTGCAGCCAGTTTCTGCCGACCAGACAACACCCACGCGCCTGACTGGCAATGCCCTCGTCACCAAGTGTGCGACTATCAATGTGTACAAGCTGAAAAGATCTTTCGACTCCTCCGACCCAGACGTTGTGTCAATGTATGTCCCAACCGGGAACAGCAGAGACCCTCCCGAGCCATTCCTGTATTTCTGCAGCAAATGTGGCTACTCCAACCGATGGGTGCATGTCGTAGAAATGCACGAAGCTGCCTGCACCGTGGATCCGGATGCTACGGCAAACGAGGAACGCTACCACTGCCACTATGAGGGATGCTCAAAGTCGTACCCGAAGGAAACGACGTTGAAGGCCCACATCCACAGCGCTCATCAGTTCGTCCCCAAGCCCTGTGTTCAGTGCCCGGACAAGCCCGACGTGATTTTCAACACGCAGTACGAGTTGACGAATGACCGTACCAAATTCCACAACGACCTGGACAACCCGACAATGTGCCTGTACCAGGACGAATGTGGAAAGCAGGAGGCCTACAACGACAAAAAAGCTTTCAAGTTGCACCTGTGCTTCTTTATGCACCTAACCCACTGAACAGCACTGCAACGATCACGAGGGACGCTGTAAACTATATAATATAAGTATATAGGTTGCTTAATTGCTAATTATGCTTAAAGGGCAGTGCCTCTAATATTTTAAGCTATAATGCTGCTTATGTAAGCAGCTATCTACCCGCTATTTATAGATTTATATTATCCCCTTCCCTAAATAAACTATCCTTAGTTTTATTATATAAATTATATCCTTTAATAAGGAAGAGTAGGATATATGCTTAATATTTAGTTTATGCCCTTATTAAATAATTATTCCTTCCTATTATTATAATAAATAGCAAGATAACGTAATAATAATGCACTTTTACTTATCTTAATAGTTTGCCTTTTAATTTAACTGCTTTTGCAAAAATTTACTAAAAAAACGGCAACCTTTAAAAGATAGCTCTTTAAATAAGAGAATTTTAGGTTTAACTCTTAATTTAGCTAATTTCCTTTTTTATTTTTCTTTTTAATTAATTAAGTAAAAAAGACGCAAATTGCTTAAAAACAAGGTATTTAGTTAAATTAATAAAATATTAACAAGCAGCTAATAATAATTAGCAAGCCGCTGCTTTTTATTCTTAGTTAAGTTATATTAATTAAGCAATTTAATTATAATTACGCTAAAGCATTATTTTATTAATATATTATAAGCTTTTAATAAGGTAATTATCCATAATATATGCTAAGAAAAGGTTTATGCCATTATATATATTCTTAAATATAATACCGTTAAGGCTGTAAAAAGTATAGGTATTGCTAATATAATAAATAATAATAGCCTAGGAATTATTATAATAAAGCTTATGCTTATAAGCATATTAACGTACTTATAAAACCTAATTACTAAAAGTAAATATATATAATAATGCCTTGCTTTCTTAAAGAAATGCCTAAATTTAATTATAAAAGGCTTTTAGCCTTATAACATAATTCTATACTAATAAGGCCTTATATTCCTTAATTAATTACTTTGCAAAGTTATTATTTTCTTACTTTATAAGTTTTTATATATAGGCAATATAAGGTTTACGCCTTAAAAGTAATAATATATTAAGGAAAAGGAAATAAGGGCTATACTTGCTTAACTTTAAAATTTAATTATATAGCATAACTGCTTGCTATATTAAAGCCTAAATATCTTAATTTAAGTTAGCTAACTATTCTTATAAGATTATATGCTTTAAGTCTTTATTAGCCTTTTTAACTTTATTATTGCCTCTTAGCTTAATTAATATAACTAAATATAGCTTTAATTTATATTAATAATATTAAGCTAAGGCAGCCTTATTAGCAAAGTAATTAATATTATTAAAAATTTATTTATTAAATATACTAAAAATATTAATAATCTTATTTAGCAATAGGAAAGTATTCTTAAATCATTAATTTAATATAACCTTTGCCTTAACTTATTTAATAATATATTTAATAGCTATTAAAATTAATACGCTATTAATTAATATAAAGTTAATAACATATCTTATTAATAAAGCTAATAGCATAATAAAGTTAAGGTTAAGCAATATTAAGTTAAGTATCTTTATTAGCTAATACTATGCATATTTAATAATAACTTACTAAATAGCGAAAGTAATCTTAAGGTATTAATACTCCTTTAATACCTTTTAAAGGGTATTGCTAATTATTAAATAACTATATGCTAAGTATAGCTTCTTTATAACTATAAGCAGGTTATTATACTTTAAAATTAATAAAAAGAGTATTGCCTTTAAAGCAATATTAATATTATAAAAAGGATTATTAAGTTATTATTTATATATATAAATCTTATATAATTATCTTTAAATAATTATAAAGTACTTTTTTACTTATTTTAGGTTAATAGCAAGGGGGAGATTAATTTCTTTTTAAAGGTATTTAAAAATTACTTATAAATTTATTTAATTAAGCTTATAAGGGTGCTAAATTTACTTAAGCAAATCCCTCCCCTTTTTTCGCTTAAAAATAAGCAAAGTAAATTTAAAGATTATATCTTTAGGTAGCTTAAAAAGGTAATTAATAAAAATATTGGTCTTATTAATATAATATATAATATAAATGCTATAATATTTAATAGCATTAAAAAAATGCATAATCCTTAGCAATTAATTAGCCTTTATATTAAGGGTTTTAAGGGATTTATAATTTATAAGGATAATAATCTTTATATCCTGAATTTAATAAAATTAATATTAAAGTATTAATAATATGCTAAGAAGTTCTTGCTTTTAAGTAAAGTATTAAGTTTATATATTTATTAACTTCTTTAAGAAGTATAAAACTAAGTGCAAAATAAACTTAATTTTATATAAATATAGCTGGAAAAAGGTAGCGCTTATAAAGCTTTAGCTAGTATTTATCTTTAATATAAAAGGAAGTCGCTAATTAAAAGTTTTAATAATTAAAAGAGTAGTAATAGCATTATAAATATCTTGCCATTACCGCTATGCCGTTTTTAATAGAGTAATTAGCTAACCTTTAAAACTATTAATATAATTAATTAAAGCGTTGATCTTCTTAAAGTATGCTTATATTAAGTTTTAAAAATACTTAGCGGCATTAATAAAGCCTTAAACTTTTATAATTATAATTAGCATAGGCTAATTATAAATAGCCATAATCTTTATTAAATTTATTATAATGCCTTCTTTTAAGATAAGAAAGCCTAGAAATATACCCTTATAAATAAAAAAGAAGGTTTTTTAAGTATTAAAAATAAGACTATAGCGATATAATTATTAAAAGATTATAAGCAGATATTTATGTAATTATAGTATAAAATCTGCCTATATAGCAATATTATTTAAAAGGCTATATATAATATTTTAAAGGTTTTAAAAGACTTTTTTAATAAAAGCTTGAAAAATGGCTAAAGCGTTATATAAGCTAAACGACATTATTAACTATTTATATAAGCTAAAGAGGGTAATAAATGCCGTTTTCTTAACGTTTATATAGTAAATGCTAATATATTAAAAATTATTCTTTAAGTTAATAAAAATATAATATTTATAACCCACTATATACTAAATTTAATTCATTATATTAAGCATAAAATATGCATGCTTTTTAATATGCTTATTAAGCTTTTAATAATTATAATAAAAACGTTAAATTATTTATTATAGTTTAAGTGTATTTTAGCTTAGGGGAATAGGTTTCTTTAGGATTAAATATAAGGTTAATGCTAAGAGGCTCTTGCTCTTCTTAATTAATATTCCTTTATATGCCTTAATAAAGTTATAAATAGCTTATTTCTATATTGGATTAAATCACTAAAGGGGCTAATACAATAATAGGTTATTGCTAATATTAATATAATACTTAGTTTTTGCCAAAAGGTTTACTTAATGCTTTTTTAAGTTAAATAGTTTGGGAAACTTAGCATAATATTCTTTAAGGTAGCGTTAAACTTAAGGGTTATTTATAGGAGTATTTAAATGCTATTTAAGGGCAGGAGGCTAAGTATTTATAGTTAGAAAGGCCGTTTCCTTTACTAAGTACGTTAAGTATTAATAAATAAATAAGATTAGTTTTAATTAATAAGGAAATGTAAATAAGCAAATAATATTTTGTAAAGTATAATAAATTATTTATTAATAAAAGATTATCTTCTTAAGCGTTAGCTTTGCTAAGAAGGTATTATTAGGAATAACTTTATAAGAAATAGTAAATTAACTTATAAGGCTAATTTTTATAATAAAATGGGTTATTATAAGAATTTCTTTAATAATGCAAAGGCTCCTGCTTTTAACGTTTCCTATATAAATAAAGCAAGAAGAATTATATAAGGCAAGCTATATTGCTAAAGATTTAAAATAATAATAAGCAGCGAAACCATAATTAAAGAAGGTATTAAACTTATAATTATTAAAAAGGCTAGCCTAAAAAACATTATAAGGGATATTAATACCCTTATAAGCTAGTTTATTATAAATAAATAGCGATTAATTATTAATATTTATTTTTATAAAGTAAGTACTTTAGCTATTTTAGTTCTTATAATTTAATTTATTAAAAATGCCATTAAGCAGCTTATTAATATTATTATTATTATTAAATTAAGCAGCTAAATTATAATGCTCCTTATCTTTATTATTTAAATCTTAATTAATAATATAAATATAAGTATTTTTATAGCTAAATAAAGGCTAAGAACGGAGCTTCTTATTATATTAAAAGGAAATTATATTATATAGGCAGGAAGCTAAGTTAATGCGCTTATTATCTTTATATAAAGTACCCTTAAGTATAATAGGGCGGCTATTATTAAGTGTTATAAAGGCCTTAAATTAATTAGGCTTAAAATAGCAATCTTTTGCTTAATAGCCTTGCTTGCCATAATTAAAGTATATATTATCTTTCTTATTAACTACATTAATATAAGCAGGGTTGCCATCTTGCTATTTAATTATATAAACTATACGCTTATTAATTTAAGGATTAGAAATAATAGTTTATATAATTATAACGTTAATAAGTTTAATTTAAGCTATTTTAAGCTTATTAGCTATAGCTAGGCTAACTTATAAATTATAAAAAAAAGTTAAATTGCTATGTAGCTAAATAATTATTTATAAGTTAGCATAAATGCTTTACTTTATTATCTTATTAATATATATCTTAGCTTGCTAAATAACTTCTTTAATTATTATAAGGATAATTATTATTTAAACCTTATTAAGAATTTTAATAAAAATGCTAGATTAATTAATAAAACTCTTATTTAATAGTATTAATTAAATTAAAAAAATATTTTATTAAATTTTTAATAGCTTATAATAAGTATTATAAACTCTTTAAACAAAGTTAATATATAACTTATTTTTAAAAGAAAGCAAAGTAAAAAATATTATTATTATTAAGTAAAAGGCATTATACTTATTAAAAATTTAAATAATAGCTTTAATAAGGAATAATTAAATTAATTAATTATTTATAATTTATTAAGTAATATTAAAAAAGTTGTTAAAAAGTTTCGTAATTACTTTAAATAATCATATTTTATAAGGTATTATTATTACTTATAATAGAATTTATATCTTCTTTAACTTATTAAGGATTATAATATTAATTATATTAAGGCAAAATTTCTTTAAAATAAAAACTTTTCTTTTTATAAAAGCTTTTAAGTAAAAATATTTATTAAGCAGGATAATTATTAAAAAAACTTTCTTAAGTTAAAAATTAATTAAAATATAAAAATAATTTATTTAAATATTATTAGCAAAGTAAAGATTAAGTTTATTATTATTATAATAATTTATAAGCTTAAAAGTAAAGATAATATTATTATTATAAAAATATAAGTTTAAGGATCTTATGCTCTTATTTTATCTTTAAGAATATAATTAACTTTTAATAATAAAGGTAAAAATACTTTAAAGCTAAGTATAAAAGATATTATTATATTAATTTACCTTATTATTAATAATCTTTAATTATTTTTAAAAATTCTTTAGCTATTTATTAAACTTATTATTAATAACTTTAAGGTTATTTATAAAAGCAGTAAAAGCAATTTATATATCATTTTACTTTATAATAACTTTCTTTATAAATTAATTAATATAATTATATATAAAAGTAATTATAATGCCATAATTACTTATATAAATAACCGTGATATTAAAAGAAGGAAAAGAAATTATATTAAAGCAAAGTAAAAATAATAGCAATTAAAGAAAAAAAAAATTAATAAAAACAATGCTAAACTAATAAATCTCTTATTATTAATACTTATTTAATAATTATTTACCTTATAGCTTATTTATTAATTGCTAATAAAAAGTATTATAATGTTTATTATTATAACTTTTAATTAACTTTATAAATATTTATTTATAAATAATAACTTTAGCATAAATGTTATTATTATATAAATTAATTAATAAAATTGCTTTTTAAAAGTAAATCGCTAATAAGAAATAAGGTTAGTAATGGTAGTTTAATGGGTTTTGATTGCTTAAAAGGTTATTACCTTTAAGAAAAGCTATTAATTAATAATGCAAAGGTTTATAATTATAATTTTTATTAAATAAATGCTTTAATAAGGTTTTTTTAATAAAAATAATTATTTTTATACTTCTTTATATACCTAACTTATTAAATAGCATTATAATAATTATAAGGGATGCTATAAATTATATAGTATAGGTGTATAGGTTGCTTAGTTGTTAATTACGCTTAAAGGGCAGTGCCTCTAGTGTTTTGAGCTGCAACGCTGCTTATGTAAGCAGCTGCCTGCCCGCTATCTACGGATCCACACACCTGAGGAGTGTACACAAGAAAACACTAAAAGAGATTGAGGCAATCATACCACGCAAGAAGGCAGTTCGCGCCAAGACAGAATTCCGCTGCCCGATGCCAACGTGCAAGGTGGGCGGCGTCTTCACCGCGGGGACACTTCGCAACATCTCCTCAGTGGTCACAGTTTCACAGCCAGCGAAGCCGACGTTCAGGTACCCCTGGGAAAAATTGAGCGGAAGAAGGCCTCACAAAGAAGCAGGTGGAGGTCTACAGCGACGAAGATGAAGATGAGGATGATGATTGCCTGAGCGGGGACAGTGATGCCAGTTACGGAAAGCCTAGACGCCTTTCCACAAAGCGTCGCCGTACGAAATAGTCACTGCTTTGAACGTCGTCCAAAATCAGCGGTTGGTTTTGAGGTGAATATGTTTGGGCTCCGGCACATTCGCTAGTCGTCTCACCATTCTACCGAGGTTTTGCTCCTGTAGCCTCGTGTCATTTTTGGTGTGCCAGATCAAGGGGCTCCTAGGGTCGGGGCTTGAAGTATTGCTGGGGCGATGTCGAGAATAAGGAACACGGCAGGTGTGGCTCGCTAGACAAATGTTGATGTAGTTCAGAAATGAAGTGCCTCAGAAATCAACGAGTGAACTGTTATGGCCACCCTCAATAAACACTTGCTCACTGTCGGATCGCAGACTTTGCACTTCAATATGAAAATGAGTGTGATGGTATGTGGGACGTGTCGTGATTCTCTAGCAATGCTCAGTACTTGGCTAGCTAGAAACAACCCGTCCAAATTGGGGGAGGAGCTCCCACGTGCCCCATCTCTATCAACACCATCCTTTCCATGGTTTCGATGCAGGTATAATCATGTCCCCAACCTCAAAATTAGAGCTTATTGTACTCCAATTTACCCTCTTTTTTTTTTGCGGCGTTAGCTGGTGTACCAAAAGCAGTAGAATAGAGGAAGATGACTGACCCAGCTTCTTGGACTCCGCGACCTTTCGAACGGCCTTGTTGAAGTCGTCCTGGTTCACGGCGTCTCGGTAGTCCTTGATCGCAAACAGACCTCTGGAACAGTGTTAGCCCTCACTCTTCATAGCAACGGGAAACGAAGAGTGTTCAAGGAATCTGGTACTTACGCCTCTGTAACCACGTTCCGCAGATCAGCACCGTTCAGCCCGTCGCTCATCTTGACCACGCTCTCAAAGTCAATTTCTCCCTCTGTGACCACGCTGCTGGCATGGATCTTCAAGACCTCGAGCCTGCCGGCCTCGTTGGGCAGGGGAATCTCGATCTTGCGGTCCAGACGTCCGGCACGCAGCAGCGCGGGGTCGAGTGTGTCGGGCCGGTTCGTCGCCATGATGATCTTTGTCTTGCCCAGGTAGTCGAAACCATCGAGCTGGTTCAGCAGCTCCATGAGCGTTCTCTGGATCTCTCGGTCTGCTGATGTGCCCTCTGAGAAACGACGTCCTCCGATGGCGTCGATCTCGTCCATGAAGATGATGCAGGGTTCGTGTTCCTTGGCGTACCCGAACATTTCGCGGATCAGTCGGGCGGATTCACCGATGTACTTGTCGACGATGGCGGAGGAGACAACTGTAGATCAGACATAGCCTTTGTTAGCTTCCAGTACGGGAACCAATATTGTCCGAGGTCTGACGACCGAGCGCACCTTTCAGGAAATTTGTCTCCAAGCTGCTCGCCACAGCCCTCGCAAGCAGCGTCTTCCCTGTTCCTGGTGGGCCGTACAGCAGCACGCCCTTCGGTGGCTTGATGCCGACACGCAGGAACAGTTCTGGATTCTTGAGGGGCAGCTCGATGACCTCACGCAGCTCTCTGATCTGGTCGTTGAGACCGCCGATACCCGCGAAGCTGACCTGGCCGGGGTCCTCGAGGGACATGTTGTAGACTAGGGGGTCGACTTCTCGGGGGAGCATGCGCATGATTGTGAGGGTTGTCATGTCGAGCGCGACACGGGTTCCTTGCTTCATCTTTGCCTTGTCGACCTTGGAACGGCAGCCGACAACGTATCGAGGGCCGGAGGAGGCCTTGACGATGACTAAATTGGGGGAGGCAAGGTCAGTTGGTGCTCGTTATCATAGGTGAGAGTGGGACGTGGTGGGATGTGGGCGGGCATACATCTCTCATCGTCGAGCTGCTTCAGAACCTCGCCGATGATCTGGCCGACGCTTTGTAATGCCTTGATGTTCTCCTCTGTGTTGTTGAACTCCTTCTCCAGATCCTTGATCTCCAGGCGCAGGTTCTTCAGCTTGACCTCCCAGTTCCGCGACTCGAGCAGCGAGTCGGTGTACTTGGTGATGGCGTCGGCCCTCTCTGGATCAGACATGTTGGGCAGGGCGTTTCGAGGAGGTGTAGGATAAGGGCGTTAGGCAGGCGTCCCTGATGGAGTTATCGTTGTCGCCGTGGTCGAAATCGAAGAGATACTGGGTCAAGGTCGGAGAGCGGAACAGCGAGATGGCGGTTGTGGACGTGGTGGTGGTGATGATGAGTTGATGGAGTCGTCAAGGCAGTTGGTTGCGTGCAGGCGGTTTGCCGCGTTGCAGAGCGACGGAGCTTACCCAAGCTTCTGTTGCCTTGCGTCAGGCTGAGGGTACCTGGGTACTTACGGATAGAGCCGATTGGCGAGCGACGGAGAGACAGGGGAGGTAGACTCTGGCAAGTTAGCAAGTCGCTCGGAGGACGGGCTCAGCAGCTCCGGTACCGCTGAGTCATCATCCAGCTCGCCCTGTCCTCCTCACCCTTTGCAGGCTCACGGACAGAAAGTGGTGGTACTGCATAGCGGCGACGATTCCGACTCCGCGATGCCCGCTTTCTCATGCCTCAGACTTTGTCCGACAGCCACGACATGATGATCGTATAAAGCCTGCCTCGTGTTCCAGGAGCCTCCCGCTGCATTAACTCCCAATTTACTTTCTAAACCAGCAGCATCTTACGTGTTCAGGCAAGCCAGTCCTCCAGAATGTGCCAATGCCTTGGCCCCCAACGCCGACGCAACTGGCCTGACCACCAGCCATCCGTATTTCTACCATGAGTCCCACCCTTTCCGACACCACCTGGACCGAGGCCTGGGCCCTCCAACCCTGGATCCGGACATGGACTGCACCCTGGCACCGAGACTCGACATCAAGTGCTGTCACTTTCCAGCCCACTGAGCCCGAGCCTAAGGCCAGGCCAGGCCGGGGCTGAGCCAGAGTTTTATTGAGCCACGGGAGCTCGAAATGCACGACTCCGAGCACACCAGTGGCTACTCCCGCCATCTGTGAAAACGGGCGTCTGATTCGGATCCGAGAAGCCAAGTTTAGTCAACCGCCCGCTCTAGGGCCGGAAGCTGAAATCCAACACTCTGGTACACAGAGCCACTCGTCGACATGTCACTTGAGCTTAAATCGAGCCAAGGCCAGTCTCTGTGCAAGGCGTCCTTTGGGTAGGCGCTGTGCTGCTGTCGATCAACTGCGAAAACGGGAATGGGCTGGCAAGTGAGGCTCACCCGTTGATCATCGCCCTGTTCGACCTCATCCCTCGATGTCGTCCCCGTGGCCTGGCCAGACCTGAGCGAGAAGCAATAGCCAACACGCATCGAGCAAGACTTCTGGTGCTGCGCGCTTACGGGTCCTCGGCCGTCCCGTTCCGCCTACCGAGTGAGCATCAGGCTGCACCAACTCTGCACGTGTTCACAAGCTCGCCGACTTTTATCTCTTGGACTGTGATGCGCATCCTGCCGCTCTCGACTTCCGACGGCTGTTTCCCCCCAGGGCCGTGCATTCGGATCTTGTTGGGCTCTGTCGCCATTGGACTGACCTGCTCGAGTGCCACAAGCCATCCACTGCTGTGGTAGCTCCAGAATCTGGCCTGGGGGCTCGTCATCGTTTGGCGCGACCCCCCTATCCCTATCTTCCCTTTTCATGAGTCTTCCTCGGCCAGTGCGCAATAATACTCCGACCCGCGTGCAGCAGCCTTATGACGTAGGTCCACACAGAAAGCAAGGAATTCAGGGATCACCTCCTCCGTCGCGCTGCACCCTCCACGCATGCCTACGTCGTCTGGAATACGGAATTTCAATTTACCCCTGTCTCTTGATGACCTCTTCCGCCTGTGCTACTCCTTTCCTGTCTGGACAATTGACTCTTATCTCGTGCATCATAAGGCATTGACCTGAGCTATGTGATCCGACTCCCGCTCCAACACACAACGCTCTGTACCGCCATCACTGGCTTCCTCAATTCCCACAGCGCTCGCAAATCGCGCATAAACTACGGGCCTCGACTAGACAACGCGATCCCGGCCTGCGACAGGCCGCACCCTTCTCTGCCTGGCCACAAGCTTACCGTCCAGCGGCCGGCTCGAGCCGTGAATCGTGCCTTGTCGATCTCGCGCCCAATCATTCTTACTCGCAGTACTTATCACCGGCGGCAGCGCGGATGTCTCACTCGCGCTCGATCAGCCCATCAGATATCTCGCGAATCTCAAGCAGCTGACCACTCAAGATACCCCGGGGATTGGTCCGGTGAGTGGCTGACGAGCCAGGTATGGAGGGGGAATCTCAAGCCGGGTCTGGCTCACGACCTCCAAGTCCCCAGGCCACGGGGACCAGTGGCGCATTGTCACGAACGCAGCGAGGAGCCATTGCCGCGCAAGCCTGCGATACCTGTCGGTCAAGGAAGCAAAAATGTGACGAACAGAGGCCCAAGTGTGGCACATGCGTCAAGTTCAAGTTGGACTGCCGCTACCGAGAGCCCCAGCCAACGAAAAAGGACAAAACTCTCGTTGAGATTCTGGAGCGCATCAAGTCCCTTGAGGGTAAGATAGACAACTTGACTGCCCAAGGCCTGGCAGCCAACTTTCAATCCTCGATTTCTGGCGATGCGTTTGTGCAGACACCAGCGCCCATGGGAAGCGTCCGTGGGAGCGTCGCAAGCGTCAGCAGCAGCAGCGCCTTTGTCCCTGCGCCGCCCTCAGACGCCATGCTGTCGTCCGGGAATGGCGCGAACTACAATTATGTCTCTTCAGTGCGCGCAATGCTTGGCTGGCCTGCCGTCCAGGAGTTACTCAAGGTTGTCCTCCCAAGTGTGCCGGGCCATGACCAAGGTTCCTTGATCGAGCAAGACGGCATTCCCATCCAGCAGAGAGTGGGACCGTCGTTACCACTGGCCACGAGCGGGCCAAGACGCGGTCGAGCTGCGTCGAATCTTGAGTCCCCATCTGTGGCCGGTTCTCCGTCTTCCACTCAGGTATTGAATAGCTTGACCTGGGACTCAGTTCAGGTCCTCACCAAAGCTTTCTTCGATACCTTCAACCTACTGCATCCTATTGTTGACCGCCAGGCATTCATATCCAAAACTCTGCCAGCAATGTTGACAAATGGTCTCGTCTTTGACGACAGTATCCAGTCAACATTGACATATCTCATCTTTGCTTTAGGCGAGGTTGCCATTGACGCCTACTCGCATCCCGGAGGCACAAAAGGACGCACCGCAGCACAGCATCCTGGTCTGGTGTTCTTCAACGAGGCACGGAGACGGATGGGCTTCAGTCTGACTGAGTGTAGCTTGGAAAATGTCCAAGTATTTGCTCTTGCAGGGTAAACTCCCTCCGGTTTCCGTAGAGCGAGCTGGACTCTCTCTAATTTTGAATAGGATCTACTATGAGACGTGCTCTCGACATATGGTGAGGGACCCGCTTTCCTCTGATATCCGTGGAGCGGTATATTGACGATGAGTAGGACTTTTGGCGAATGACAACTTCTGCTTCGTCAGCCTGTCTAGCTTTGATCTCAAGGTATGTCCCCCATTATGGTCGGGGCTGGGATAGCAGTCGTGATGGCTTACTGAGAGAACAGCAATCCCGGGGAACTCACGTCGACGCGCGGGGACATCATCAGGAGAGCGTTTTGGCACTGCTCGATAATGGAGACGTCAGTCCCTCTCACCCATCTAATTGCGCTCAATCGACTCACATTATGTAGCTGCTTCAACCTGGAGTTAGGAATGCCATTGAGTGGATTGGACAAGTACGAGACCTTGGTTCGAGTGCCAGACTTTGGAGGCCCAGTCTCGCAAGAGGACTATACCAGCCACTTCCAAGAGCACTTTGCATCACAAATCGTGCTGCGTCGACTCTCGGCGGACTTCAACAATGTCCTTAGCAGTGGTAAGAACGTCAAGCACTTTCTCTCGTCTTATGCCGGGAATACTTCGTTCTTTGATGGGGCTGACCTCCGTAGTATCGAGCTCGCCAGCGTCCTCCGTCTCGTCGTCCGCGTCCCCTGCGCCGGCCATCCCCGGCGCTATCAAGCCACTTGTCATGCAACTCGATCAATGGCGAGAGTTGCTGCCCCTGCACCTTCGCTGGGTTGAACGAGACCATGGGGCCTTTCTGCCATCCAGCCATGATGTGTACGGCACCCCAGTGTATCAAACGCCCACTCCCGTGACGGCGCCGTCGCCAGCTCTTCCCACTGCGACACCGCCTGTCACATCTGTTACGTCTGTCACATTTACACCCAACCTCAACAGCCACCCGGTGGCTTACCCCTACGCCATGGACACTCAGGTCGCTCTGCTCCGCACGCGCTACTATACCACGAGACTCCTACTCTACAGGCCGTTCCTGTACAAGGCGCTTCACCACCCGGACCAGATGAACAATGAGGATGCGGAAGGGGTTGCAAACTGCCTCAATACGTGCCTCATGTGGCCAATCACCATGTCCCCGGCCTGCACGCGGAAGCTGCTCATCCCGTGCCTGTTCTTCTGGACGCAGAACATCCTCGGGGCGCTTGTCATCTTGCACCTGAGCGAGAAAGTGCCCATCCTCGCGCGGATCAGGGCCAGCGGCATCTGCGGGCCGAGCTTCGAGGCCAACGCACGCGAGACGGTCAGGCTGGGCGTGGAATGGATTGACGACCTGAGGGAGGTGGACTCAGAGGCTGAGTGGGCCTGGGGCGTCGCCAAGGGACTTTTCGGCCTGGATAATTGAAGGCGGTGGAGACACTCGTCCAGCCTTGGTGTCAAGCAAGTGCATTTAGGGTGCCAAGTCAGACCTGAAATTCTGATTCTTCGTCCGCGACGCGGCTGTGCCTGTGGAGGTGATCGCGCTGCCAGGCTACAAGACCCGCGTACATGAACGCGTGGATACATGTGATGCCGACGTCAGCCATGCACGCAATCGCGGTGGACCTACGGTTTGGATGTCGCTGCTGCCCGCGAACAATCATCCCGCCGGCCCAAGTACATCTACTTCGCAGGTCACGAACGCTAGTTGGAAGGGGTAGGAGGCAGAGTATCCCTTGGAGGAACAGAAGGGAGGGCCAGGAATCGAGGACAAAAGGGTGGCCGTCGACACCACCGCCGTTGGCGCCCTCATCAATGGCTTACTCCTTGCTATGCTGCCCGCAGTTTTCCTTACAGGACCTTCCTGCGTTCAAACCTAGCAGCAGGCAGTTCCTTCCCCCTTGGTGGTTAAAGTGCGACGGGCGGAGGACTCGTGAGATCTTATCACGACATCTATGCTTTCCTCTCTAGCATTTCATAGAGCGACGATACCATAATCACTTCAAAGCGAGCGACAATTTAAATCTTCTTTTCACAAACTCAGACCATGCCTTGAGGAGCATCGAGTTGACTACACCAGTAACAAGTACCCTGCCAGCTCTGACCCGCCCAATGTCTTGGGAGAATCACGCCCTGGTTTCCCTGCGTTCGATTTTGGGACCGCCACCCTCTACCGCGTCCTCCAAAGCAGGACACACGCGACGAAGACACAGTTGCAGGCAGCGCACAAGCAATAGCCGTGCTGTTCGCATGGAATTACCCAGAATCCCCCCCTTCCCCTCCCTGATAACGGAAAAAGGGCACGTAGCCCCGAGGGAAAATACCCTGGGGCCGCGTTTGCCTCGCTCGCTGCCCCCAACACAGATTGCAACTGCCCGTCACATCGCGCGCGCGCCGCCCACAAGACGGCCGTTGGGGCTGACGACTGAAGCCCACCGGCTGGCGCACCGGGGTGATAGGTACCCTAGCGCGGGCAGTGGGGCGGGTTGAAGCCCACACGGACCCCACATGCTTGCCTACCGCACGCGCGGTGGTGGTTGAGGCACACTGCCAGATTCGTCATTCTGGGTGTGTGTGTGTGTGTGTGTGTGCGTGCCCGCCAGCGGGATTGGGGGGGGGGGGAAAGAGAGAAGGGCCGAAGAAGGCAGGTGGGTGCAAGTCAGTGCACGTGGGTGACAAGAAGCCACTGCATCATCGGTTGTGGACGGCTGGGTGTCGGGCCGGGCGTGCACGTCCGCCCTGTCACGGCTTATTTAAATTTGTTTATGTGTTTTTCTTTTTTCCTAAACCAGGCAAGAGAGGGGGAGATGGACAGAGATAGAAAAGAAAAAAAAAAAAAAAACCTCACAAGTGCTACGAGACGGCGACCACGTAACGTTGTGTGTGCGCGGCCACGTCGATGCCGCGTGGTACATCTCCGACAAGAAAGTTCGGCATCAGCCCGGGGATGAAGTTGAATCCCGAACGGGGCGCCGGTCACTGGAGGAATAAGTTTTTCTTTTTTTTTTTTCCCCTTTTTTGCTTTTTTCTTTCTTGATTGTAGCAGTTCCGACCGAGGGACGTCATTTAAGGTTTTGCGGGATGCGGCGGTCTAGACCAAGATCTGCCTCTGTGACATGATCTGATGAGCGCAGGCCGATACCCCGGTACGTACCCTAAGATAGTAGCATGTCCCCCTACTATGTACGTGCCGAGTTGCACTCGGCGGTCGGCATCGGCATCATGTTCGTCTCGCATCTCACTGCTGGGCGCCGTGATCTCAGGGGCGGGGCCGGGAGCGCGTGGTAGGGTGGGTGGCTAGGTCGGTAGCCAGGTAGGTTGGCTGGCGCGGCTGGCGAGTGGCTGGTGCGGCGCGGGAGAGGACTTTTAAGTAGAGTGTCACTGTGACAGTCGCGGTTGCGACTATATGTCTTTACATAGGATTATATACCGGACGATTCATTTACCAGATGGGGAAATTGGAAGCGTGAGCAAGTGACGTCGGAGACAGGAGGCACCCGGGCTGGGTTTTTTCCTTTTTTGGCTCATTAATTCTTGTCCATTAATTGTAGGGGGGGGGGGGCACTTGAGGATTCTGGATATGACTACGCGTGGCTCGCCGGGATGTCATGTGCAACTCCAGGGGCTAGTACCTTAAGCCGCCAAGCCGCCATGGCTATGACTGCTCAGGGCAATGTTAGCGATTGCGAGGAACACAGGAAGGGAACCCTATCCTGCAGCGGTCTGCGTCGCAGCCACTAATGAGGAGCTATGGGGACGGGCCTGGTCTAGTGCGGCCTATGGCAGTGTTGACAGCGCTTCCGGGGAGCCTAATAAGAAGAAACACACCACATAACGCACCAGGAGATACCCAGTTCGGCACGTGAACATCCCACGCCCGCGTCAGGCCGGTCGGTCAGTCGGCGGTTCGCTTGATCGCCGACGTCGACGGCGGCAGGGAAAGGAAAGAGGGGGGGACGTGTGTCTAATACAGAGCCCGGCAGCAGCAGAAAACAACAATGCACACACACAAGATCCCTTCTACCGTTCCTCCCGCCCTTCCAGCACTCCCGTTTGGATTCATCCCGTCCCTTCAGGTGGCCGTCGGCGCGGGGACTTCGTTGCCGCCTTCAACCACCACTGGGACGCACACATGGGCGTGCCTCGGGATCCAACGTGCCCAGCGTCAAAGCAACGGGCCAATGTGCCGGTTTAGGACGACCGGTGAGGAATTGGGGACAACGCTCCCTCGCCCTTTTCGTGTCTGGCGCGCTTCGGGGACAAGGAGGGGCAGCAGGAGGGGTGGAGGCCTGAGTGCCCCCCCGCCCCCCGCGTGGTGGTTTTGGTGGTCGTGGTTGTTATAATGACCACATTAAGAGGAGGTCCCTGGGTTGGAAGTGCGGGTGGAGTGGGTGATGATGGGATGACACGGGATGTGTCACTGCGTTACTGTTGCGTAGTAAAATCAAGTACGGTAGTAGGCCGGGAGGGCGCACGGCAGCGATGGGAAACCGTGGTACCTCGCGGCCGATCGCTGCAGGCTCGGGCTCGTATTGCGACTTTGCGCTTTGACGTGGCCCACGGAAGCATGGCTCCTGGCTCTGGCTGGCTCGGCTGGCTGTCAGGGCTTTTTTCGGAATGATGGGCGAGGGAGGGGAGGGAGCAGATCCGGTGCAGGTCCTGTCCGAGGAAAAAACCGTTGTCTACCAGTCTATGCGAGCAAACTACTGTGGTCTGGTTCTGCTAGGGGCAGCAAGCCGTACCGTGGTAAGGCCGGACGTGGGCAGCCAAGGGGGCGAACTACTGTACGCCGCGGTGCAGTAGCTGCATACAACGGTTTCCCTTTGGCCCTTTGGGCTGGTGGCCCCCCCCCCCCCTTGACAGCTGTCAGAATGACGGGCAGGCCAAGATTTCTGACGCTGTGTTGTACATACACGGTAGCATCAGTCTGTTGCTGGTGGGTGTGGGCGTGGGTGGATGGATGGGGGCTCCAAGCCGGGCTGAGACTGGGTTCCTCAAAACTCCAGTCTGGATGTCACTCTGCGTATTCGCGCCATTCAGGTGGAGCAGCAACATTCTCGGCGAGTGTGTCGTGCGTTGCGTGAGACGGTCCCAAACGTTGGTTGGCTCGGCTACCGCCTGTCAGTTACCATGAGATCCGCTTGGAATTCCTATTGTGTCAACATCCAAGCGGGCTGTGTCTGTGTGTGTGTGAGTGGCATCTCATCCAAAACCGCGTCAAAACCAGCCCTGCTGGAGACGGGCCACCACGAGATGAGAGGACCCCGGGAGGGGGTGGGCATGAGAGGGTCTGCCCGTGGGCTTGACACGTGGGGTTTTGCTGGCGATCCGGGATGTGAAACATTCTCGGCCTCCCGGGGTCTGGTTGGGATTTTCGGTTGCTGGGAGGAGTGTCCCGAGCGGGAGGTTTCTTTTGGCATCGATCATTTCATTCACACTGTTCGCACATGCTATGTACTGTGTACAGGGCTTCCTGAAAAGCATTGTCATGTCGCTACAAACTCCACAAGGAATGCAACAGTATCCAACCAATCACAACTTATAGTTTATACTTTTTTTCATTAAACCGACACTGTTACAGCGAATTCGGGATGTAATGCTACAATTTAGCTACTTTTTTTTCTTTATTTAGTTAAAAAGTTAGTACTATTATTGTTAATACGCACAGCTAAGACGAGAGGGAGAGTCAAGGGACCCTTCGCCACGGCCACGGAGGTCACGAGATAACCTTCTTTTTCAGGAAGCCCTGTAGAGTGCTCTCTGCGTGTACGTGGATGTGCACTGGGCTGGTGGTGATCTGCGCAATCGGTTGGGCTGGGCGTGGAGATGATGATAAATGCAAGGACTGGGCAGCAACAAGCCCGCTTGTAACTTGATCTATTCTAGTTTCCACGTCTGTGGTCTGCGGTTTGTGGTCCGTGGTCTGTGGCGCGTGCAGTCCAACCGTGCGAAGTCGTCCCCGTGCTGCCAATCACAAACCAAGAATCTCCATCCTCTCCTGTTGGGAGCATGTTTCACAACTGGTCCTCGTCTATGTTGAAATCATTACGTGCAGAGGGAGGGGGCCCTTCCCTGGGCATGTTATTGTGCCCCCGTGGGTGGAAATCGAACCCCCTTGGACTTAATGCATCTCCCATCTGCCAGATCATGCACCTTTGACAGCTGCAAAACCGGAGATCTTAATGCCCTTCGCAGATCCCCCAATCGGAGGCAGCATACGGCCCTGCCTCCCTGGCGGCAGTCAACAGGGGTAAGGCCGCCTTCTTATTTATTTTACTTTGCTGTCGTGAAAAAATCGTCGCGTGGTCCTGTTTTCTTCTCACATCCCTTTGTTTTTTGTTATTCACAGGAAATGGCCGGGATGAATCTAATGGCCGAACAATGAGAAAGCAAAAAACCCACAAGCTCAACTGTCAAGGCGGACGGTCCTAGCCTCCAGGGCTCAGACACGTCCGTCCCTAGACTACATTCCGCCACAGCGCCACAGTGCTTCGGAGAGGGCCGAGTGCACGATGCTTGCCGGGCGCAGTGTGTGTCCGCCCGTACGTGCCCCGTCCCCCGGGTCCTGGGCTCTACTTTTCCCCAACGCCTTCACAGCGGCGCCGCATTGTTGCGTCGTCCTACGTGATAGTTCGCGGACGAGGCGACGGCCGTGGGCCGCCACGACGCTGCAGCCTTCCGGGAAATTGTTCAGCCTGGCTGGCATGTATCACTTTTTTTGGCTGTGACAATGTCTCGGGTACAGTAACACTCGGTCGCACAAACTTGTGATGGTCACGCCCCGAGGTTCCCGAGGCCCACCGCCTGTCAATGTAGCCGCCCGAGACATGCATGCCGGAGAAAAAAAAAAAGAAAAAAGCAAAGAGAAAAAAAAAGCACATTGCCCTCACGCCGGTCCTCTCAGGATTCGTAAGCGTTGCGTCCGGTCTAACCTTGTGCAAAGCATGCAGTGTGCATGGGTAGGTGGGCGCACTGCGGCTGAGGGCCTCGCCTTGCGCTGAGGCACGCCCCTCAGCTTGGCTGAAGCCTATATTCGAGTCGTCGCCGTCACCAACTCTTCTTCCTCCCCCCCCCCCGGCAGGGTCTCAGGCTGCTTGGCCTGGAACCGGGCTGAGGCTGGACGGCCCTGCGAATACGGAGTAGGATCCCCTCAGGCGACCCCTATTATTCTCCGAGGGTGGCCGCCGCAGGTGTGGGCTGGGCTGGCCCACGCGGCTCCAAAGGCTTATCCCGTCGCGTCATGCGTCTGTGTCGTGCGTGGTGGTATGGATGGCGGCCACCAACAACCTAGGTCGCCCGTCCCATGGACAACTGCTACAATTACCCTTTTATTATGTGCTGATGCAGACATCAGACGAGGACACCCCAACGCTCGAACCATATGATGGTCAAGTAAATCAAGGGGGTGTATGGGTATCAATCAACACGCGCTCCTTTCCGGACGCGGTAATAACGGCGCCGCTGGCGGTTGGGTCGTCCAGCCACAACCGCCTTGATATCAGACTGTGGGACACTAGGAACCTGCTAGCACGGCGCCAGCGATGAGGGAAGCCCTGGGAGAACATCCAGACTTTTTCTTTTTTCGAAGCCGGTTCGTGACAGGAGGCCAGGAAGCGGCCCTAAGTGTGGGGCCCTTGTCTCCTGGCGCAGGGCCGGCCAGGGAGATTGGGGCCCAGTTGACGGGCTGGGGATATGCCGGGAGGAAGAGACACAGACGAGAGACCGGGAGCGAGCTTTCGGTGTGTTTTCTGTAAATGCGATAGTGCGGAGTAAAGTCTGCAGCACGTCCACGTCCCTACATGCATAGCAACGAGGAAGGACGAGACGACACACGCTCGTTAACACAGCAATCAAGACTTCGGCTCCGACCAAAGGTCATACCCACTCGGATTCGACCGAGCAGCAAGGGGGGGGGTTTGATCAGATGCGGACGTGGGCGTGTGTTTTGAAACGAAGCCCACACGTCGACGGTGAACCTTGCTGGCTGAAGACTCCAATGCATTGCGTTGGATGTGCTCTGCATTGCCATAATAAGAACAGTGTGTGTGTGTGTCCCGTGGCCCGCGCTTTGTCCTCCGGCGTCACCTTCGGGGGCGCTGGGCTCGCCGCGGTAACGGTCTGATGTTGAGATCTATAGATCGGGCCGTGGTATCCGAGAGGAGATGGTGTGCCACTGAAGAGCGAGGCGCGACGATGAATACTACACTGTCCTTCACTAGTACATCTCGATCGCGTATGTATTCGTCCACGCAGGAATCGCGCTATTGGGCTGCTCTCATTCTTCGAGCCGGGCGGGACGTCCTGGATACATCCGGCCCGGTGCCGTTAGTTCTGGGAAGTGAAGCCTCGAAGACCAGACTTGAGACCCACAAACCCTGTCCGTCGAAGGTCACCCGTGGCCTACTTCCAGGGAGCAGACTGCTTGTGCCTGAGATGCCCAAGGATATACCCTCACGCCCTAGCTTCCCCAGCTAAGCTCAGATGAGGTGGCACTGAGACAGCTCCCTACGGCGCTCCTCGCCATGTAACTTTTGCCTAATGCTAACCCGACCTGCGCCATCCAAGGGATCCGGTTGGCCGTCAGGCGTCAGCTATCCGGCCAGAAAAGACGTGGGCCAACAAAAACGACGGCCAGAAGGCTAAATAGTCTTTGAGTGTCCTCGGGGGGGCTGAGGGGGCCATCCGAGCCTAGTTGTGCCCTAGCGAGGGTGACGCGCATGTGCCGAAGGATTCCAGCTATGACTCCGGCATGCCGATCGAAAAGTATAATCGTCAATCCTCCGCTTGGTTGAGCGTGTTGGCGTCATATCGCCCGCCCCCTCCAGAGAGAAACTCAAGCCCTTCCCGAGCTGGGCCCATGCCCCCCCCCCCCCAACCAACTCATGAGGGTGCTCACAGCCGGGCACCCATTGGATCAGGCGCGAAGCAAATTCACACCGCCCCCTTTTTTTTGTGTGTCCCTTTTGACTTCCCGCGTAGACTTTTTTGACGCGTCTCATCATGCACTCAGCTTCATCTCGCGCGGCCTCGGTAGCCTGAGGTTTGTCCAAGGTCATAGCGATGGATGAATGTGTAGGTTGGCACCGAGCACCGAAAGGCACTCACTTGCCTCTGCGTCCCTTTCCTCCCCCCTCGCAATGGAACAGGGTCGGAAGATCATTCCGACCTGTCACCTTGTCGGATGTGGGGGCTTGTGACGCTGGAAGTCAGGGGAGTTGATGCCGGGTGACAGGGTGGTAGGGGCCGGCTGCGCAGCGTTGGATTACTGTGCATAGATACATTGTACTTCCTCTGCCCCGGGCGGCCCTTCCACGGAGATGGATCCTCTGGTCGGGACTCAGTGCGTAAAGGTAGTTAGTCAGTCAGTAGGTTCTCCAGGCGCCGCAGATTTGCCGAGCCGCGTCGAGCCGAGCTTGACGTCGTGGGCTCTTCTTTTATGCGCCGACGGCGAACGGTGGCTGTTGTTGGTCTTGTCGCAGGGTGAGGGGAATGCCAGGCTAGAGCTAGAGCTGTGGGAAATGAGGGACTTCTAGAAGGTTTCCGGACTGTTCCGACGACCTTGGTTGCTCTGGTGTCTGAGCCCGGCGGGACGCTGTCGCAGCCCAGCGGTCAAAGCTGAACGGCAGAGCCCGCCGTCCAAGATAGGTGAGCTTCTCCCGCAGCAGGAGCTTCTCCTGTCCGTACCTATGCACGTTCCTTTGGGACTGGTGGAGGAGGCCATCATGGGCTGGCCATCCTGGACTGGGGGGCGTTTTGATAATACGGTCCGCGGCTGCCACCCGCTGTAGCGCACCAAAGTCCTCCCAGCAGGCCATACGTCAACGTAATGGAATGGCCGAGAGACTGACATGTTCGTTGATGGCGTGTGTGCTGTGCGTATGTGCGTACGTGCGGGCGTGCCATAGAAATGCATTCTCTGGTAGCGCCCGTTGTATTGAGCAGTTCATCCCGACCCACGTCTCGGAGCCCGACGCAACGTAGAACCCCTCGCTGTGGGTTACTCGATCCGCGGACAAGACTGACGTGCAGATCACCCATGAGTGCCATAGATGAAAAAAAATAAAATAAAAAGTCTCCGCCAGACAGGCGTACTGCATCATCGCAGGTTACACCATCCCGAGGCAGGTAGGTGAGATGATGCACACGGCAGCTGAGCATCTGTCTCGCTGCGATGTAGTCTAATGTGTGGTACATGCAGGCCTGACCTGTCGGCCGCTGCTTGGTGGGTTCCGCGGCGCAGTACCGTGGTAGCAGCCGGACGATAGCCTGCCCTGCCTGCATGAACGAGTTGCGGGCCTGGCCTTTGCTCTCTGCAGCTGGCCCGATTTGAGCCTAGGGCCGGCCTTGACATTCCACTACACTCAGTAAACGGGACCACTGTAATATGAGCACCCCGGGCTTGGCCCCGGGGGGCTGGCTGGGCATGGGTGGTGCCCCATCATTTGCTCCTCCCTTCGCAGGCTTGCGAACGGGCCTCCGCCGCCCTCAGTGACCTGGCGCGACTTAGTCGCTGGCTGTCATATATCACCTGCCTGGGACACGCCCGCCCGAAGTTCCCCTTCATGACATATCAGCTGGGCCAAAACAGGACCCTCGCAGGCCTTCGAAACCGGCGCGACCAGCCTGCAAGAGTCGTGGCCACGAGATATGGCCCGGCTCGTCAGGAGCACGTCAGCAGAGCCGCAACCCCGTCCGGGCAGGGGTGTGGTTGGGTGATCGTCGCCCTGCCGCCCCTCTTTGCTGCCTCGCGCGCCTGCAGGACGGCGGTTGTTTCTGCCAAGCAGGGTAAACTCGGCTAAACCAGAGCGATATGTGTGCATGCATATCGGCATGGGTGGCCGAGACCTTGGAGGCGGCCCTCAGATGCGGCTCAACAGATGCAAAACATGCAAGGCATGGGCTCTCTTTTCCTGGACCCCGCGACTGACCACGAATTTGGGGTGAGGATTGTATAAATATCCATCTGAATATGTAGCCCGCCTAGTGCGTAGAGTTGGCGGTTGGTTCCGGGACCAAGTCCCGTTCTGGACTGGCCGGGCCTGTTGCCGAGGGCGCCGTAAGGCTCAACAGGGGACATGTGCGCGAGGGAAAGGTCGAGTCTGAGACTGACGGCATGCCATGTGTGTGCCAAGTTAGTACAAGCCTAGTAGGGAGGGGAAAGCGCACGATGGGAGGAGTGAAACAAGTGCGTTGGGAGGGGCCCAGAGTGGGTGGTGGGTTGCTGGTCGGACGTGTCAAAACGCCGTCGGGCTCAAGAATCCCAAACCAATCAATGCCATGAAGCACATTTTGAGGTCGGGCGTCTGAGCCTTGAAGGAGCGACAAGACGTTCAGGCCCAGGTCGTGTCGACTATGGGGGGCCGTCCGTGCGACTCAGGGGGTAGGGCAGGGTCGTAGGGCGCTTGGGTACTTGGGAGGCGCGAGCCGGGAGGTACTGGTGACTTGGCTGTCTTGCAGCCAGTCGAACGGCCTCTATCGTGTGTGCTGTACGTGCTGTACGTGCTGTATATTGACCACTGACTGTGCACTTGTAATCTGTTACAGTTCGCACTCCATGAGTAGAATACCGTGTCTTCGTTCTGCACATTGTAGGTAGATCTATATATCCAAGTAACGGTTTCTATGCCAAACGGGTGAGGCGTCACTGGTCTCGTGCCCGACCCGTATCCTCTTTTGTGGATGTCGATAGACACGCAAACAGCATCATTCGCGGTGGCGGAAGTGTACTATTTTTGAACGGGTTCTAGTTCAGTCTATACCAGATAGAGTTCGTCCTGAGAGGCCCAGCGATGGCTATTCTACGGGGGCGTGGGGAGCGATTCGCATGTCATCTTGGGTGGCACCTGGGAAGGCTCGGTCGACAACGGACCCAGGTCCGTTGTTGTTTTGTCTATAACAAGACATGTGCAACTGGCCTCGGTGAGGTCCGAATACGCATCATTTCCCAGCAGGACTGCTGGTGGTGTTTTGCGTGTTTCCACCGCGACGGCCTCTGCCCCATCTCGGTGAGCGAGGTGCAAGGTGCGAGAAGGTTGTCGCGGCTGGGTTTGGCTGGTCATGTACCCGGTACAAGAGGCAAAGTATACGATGTCCACCCCACCACCGTTGGACCGGCTCGTTCGCTCGAGCCTCCACTAGCTACTCGCAATGTCGGGCAGTGTCATCGACATCTTGCTCCTCTCCTTTCATCAACTGGGTGGTCCACCCCACTCACCTCCCACGGGCTTTGCTTGTATGTGCGCGTGTATCGATCGGTGTCTGTACCGATGCATGCACAGCCGTGTCCGGTACTTGATCATCCCCACGGAAATACAGTACCGTAGTCAGCCACAAAAAAGAGAAACCCAGTCGGCCAGGACGCGCCGTGGCTTCTCCCAGAATGGGCACGCGGGCGGGAGTGCTTGCGAGAAGGATCACCGACGACGCCCAAAGCCCACACACCTGAGCACCCTCCCCTCCATCCCTTGACCTGACCCCAGCCGGTGATCAACCCCCGTTCGAACATTCGAACATGCCGCAGCTTTGCTGTCAGTGCTGTCAAAGCTCGCACCGTCAGGCCCGGCAGTGGGTCGATGACCGTCCGTTTTTCCCGCTCCACCCTTTCCTGTCGTGGGCACTTCCGATAGCACGAGGGACAAACGTCACGACAGCCCCAAGGATATGACGGCCTTCCAAAAAGGAAAACAGAAATATTGGAAGGCAATATGCAGGCATCCCCCTCACCCTGCGCCCATCACCCATCACTCATCGCCCAGGACCAGGGAGCTGGGCGCTCCGGACCAGTGTCCCCGCGCACAGTCCTCATGACACTTTTGACAATCTTGTCGTTGCCCTCCCCTCCTCGCAAATCCGAGGGTGCTGCCCTGCCACTTTTTGGGGCCCGTTGCCCTGTCGCATCTTGCCTGTAGATTCAAGGTGGCCGAGGGCTCCTTGTCAACACCCGTTCGCGCGGCTCTCGGACATGGACAAGCTGCCCATGCCCACTGTAACTTTGCAATAACGCTCTTGCTGCTCAGTCCTCCCCGGCGGTTTCTTATCCTCCTCCTCCTCCCCCCTCCCCCCTTCCGCCCTCCCGCCGTGTGGCTCCTCGTGCTGCCCTTCCCGTACATGCTCCACGCCGTCACAGCTTCCTCTGCCCTTTTTCTCTGGGTACAATTTCCCCCATGTCACATCCTTCATACCGGACTAGGGCCCGTCTCGTCTTGGATATATCGGGACCATGCCATCAGGCATGGAACTGGCTCTACTAGTGTGAGTCGCAACGACTTCCGTGAACCGGGTGCCGCGATGCCGCCTACCACCTGCTCCTGGTAGACTGCCAACCTCATCGCCGCGCCATCCGCGCTTGAACATCGCAAATTGCAGCAGTCCCTTCTCCTTCATGCTGCCCAACGGGGCTGGACACCACCAGCAAGCATCGGCGCGCACGAGCGCGTGTCTTTCGGGCCAGCCTCTTGTCATCAAACACCCTTTCCGTCCGGGAAAAGCCTATTATTGTTGTTGTCCTGGTGGCTTTCTAAAAGACCCCGGGATCTGCGAGCCGGGCTGGGCCTGGGTCAAGCTTGAGCTTTCCCCTCCACTCCACCACCTCCCCCCCCCCTGCTGCGCGCCGTTCATCACCCCGGGAGATATATGTCGAGATCCATATAGACCGGGGAACATCGCTGTTGTACTTTTTTGTCTTCGTCCCATCAATCATCCAGCACCCCTACCGCGGCACCGCCCTATTTTATCCAGACGCCTCTGTGTCACAATACACACACACGCCCTCCTCACCTGGGGGGATCCACCCCAGTGTGGGCAGATACCAACCTCGTCCCGTCTTTGCCATTGTTTATAAGCCGTGGCTTGACCACACCTGCCTCACCTCTTCCGCTACATAAATCTTTCCCAACCGCGCCGTGGGTACGCACAGCCAGCCAGATATCACCAGCAACATTTAACACAGGACTGCCCTCCTCCTGCTCTCTCTGTCTCTTACTCTCTCACACACACGCGCACACATTGCCAACGCTTCTCCTCACACCCCGCCTACCTAGGCAGAGACAGTCCTTACTATCACTACGACAACTTCCCCCAACCACCAACATCCACACATCCACACACCCTCACCCACCCCAGGATGTGTGACTTCACCAAGAACTACTACATCTACTCGTCGTGCCTGGACCCCGGCGCACACTTCTTCCGCACATCAGTCGACGGCAACAGGAAACTGGCCTGCCCCAAGGGTCCTCACGAGAGGTATATCGTCCAGCCGGGCACGTGCCCCCTGTGCTCCGGATGAGAGAGGGGACGGACCACCAAGCACCGAATACCTCACGCACTGTTCACACATGAAGACTGCAGGCGGCGGGCCTCAACCGGCGACGACAGAAGTCCGGGAGGGAGGAAACCATGGCATGATGGGCGCCCGACACTCCGCCGTGGCTGCTGAGCGGGGAGGGAAGGCCCTCGCCTGGTCCGCCGAGGTCACCTGGTCCGACGACAGAACCGGCGGCGGGGGGCCGTCCACCGCGGAACGGTCTCCCAGCACCAGGGACGAGGAATGGTGCACGGGTTCTCTGGGTTCGGCCTCGGGGGCTGGCGCAGGGGGTGACGTTGTCCTGTCGTGGTCGTGGACATCTTCCTGGCGCTGACGCCGGGGGGGGGGGGGGGGACTCGGTGTGGAAAACGACTACGGATCACACCGCAAGGGCTAAAACGAGGCCTGCACTCGGGGCAACGGAACCTGCCGGTTCCTGCCCATCTCCTTCTTTCGGCTTCTACACCACGAATCGGGTCTCTCAGCCTCACGCCGCCACCGACATCACGGGTCGTGTCTCAGCCACCGGCAACTGGACTCGTAATAGTTTCGGCCAACCTGAACTCCTCAGATCCTCCCGCGGTGGCTTTTCTGTGTCTCGTCTTTTTCCTTTTACTTTTTTTTTCTTCTAGGCTTTCTTCTTTGGGTCATGTATTTACGGCATGGCGTTCTGGGGGGGTTTACAAAAAAGGGACTTTGGGGGTCAACTAAAAAAACATCTCTTTTTGTATAGCGGCTTGGGATCATTGGAGCTTTCATTAAGCGGGCGCGCAACATCTTTTTCTTTCAGTTTCATATTCTGTTCCACATTTAGATAGTGATCAAGAGGGTATATCCAAAAGGGCAACCAATGGTTTCTACTCATGGCGCTGTGCGACTTTGCCGCCTTGTTTGCTTTTCTCATTCCGCACGAGTAGAGAAATGTATCGGATGGAAAGAGAGGCCCATGGGTGGAGCAGAATAAGGCTAGTTTGAGAAACTAATGCATAGGTGAAAGTGCCGAAGATTTGACAGAGGTCCAAACATGAGCACACATCCGTTCAAGATGCGCAGTGACAGGCGAACCAGACTAGTATCACGTATTGAGACGACTCCTTCACTCGGTTTGTTCCGTTTTCAGTCTCTTCTGCACATTCATGCAACCTGCTTCAAAAAGCTGTGCAACCTAGTCGAGGACCGTATATCAGGCTGAAACCCGGCGATCCAACGGCACTCAGAGGCTACAACGCACCGATTTGAAAAAAAAAAAAAAAAAAAAAAAAAAAAAAAAAAACCATCATTCTGCCCAGGAAGAACCATTCTCCACCCGGCAACGATAACATCAGATTGTCCTCGGGTGCGCATCCGTGCGTACATGGCACCATACCTGCCGTATTTCCGACGACGCGGTAAACATGTAACGCAGGCACGGACGCGGCCACGAGGGCGGTGATGACTCGTGGCCGGGCAACGGCGGTCGCGGTCGGCCTCGCGGTTTACCACCATGCCGCCCTCCTTGCTTGGCCGTGTCATGTACGTTGTCCTACACGTGCGGAATACCAGGCCGGGGGGGGGGGGGGAGGGTGGTTAGGCAGTTGGGCAGTTGGGGGGAGTGGGTCGACGGCCGCCCGCGTGCCCGCCGCATTGACAGGACAAAAAAGGGCTCCGCAAAGAGCAGAGCCGGCGGCCGGTGAGCAGGGAAAAGTGTTTCCAGGTTGGCGGTGCCGGGGGTTCCGAGAGATTAACAAGATAAAACGCAGGTCCAGCCTCCCCCCCCCCTCCCCGGGCGTATTGACGGTGAGCGGTGGGAGGGCTCGAGTCAGAGCCTGCCCCCTCCCCCCCCCGGGTTTATTCTTAGAATAAGGCTGCGACGGAACAAAAAAGTTTTTTCCCCTGTGGCTCCGTCTGGTCTTCGGCGTGCCTTACCGTTGACGGGGAAGTTGGGGCTGGCTGTCCTTGGTGAGCCCTCCCCCAAAGTCGCTCAGACCTCGGCAGCCCGTTGGTAATCTCGAGACGGAGCTTTCCGAAGTATGGGTTTCCACAGTTGCTGCTTCTCTGATGGGGATACCTTGGTTGCCTTTCTGGGATGTTCCTACCTCAGATTCGCCTCGCTGGGGTTGGATGGGGCATTATCTTCCCCCTCGCGGTGACAGGAGGTGAAGCACCAATTGTGCATGCGTCGTGTTGTAGTATTGTGCACAAGTACACATTGGTACGCATTCTGTCCCACTCTGAGGAGCCATTTTGTTCATGGCTCACCTAAAAGCTACTAGTATGGTCCCGGTCGTCGAAGCGGCAACTGTTGCCAGTCAAGACTGGAAAGGTAAGCGTTGCTCTCTCACAGCACTCGGTACACTGCCGAGTTTCTTGATCCGCGCCCAGATGGGCCCAGATGACGCACGATAATACCAAGATGTGTGCCGCGCGCGGTGCAGTCGGATGGTTTGGCCAGCCCGATGCCACATATGCATGTCACGTCGGAGACATGCAGGTCACAGGCAGAAAGTGGTTCCGAAAACGACAACCAAATACCGGACGGAGCGAGGCTGCGTGGCTATTGTCAATTCTGGACTGTCATCGCCCTGCCTTTATGAAAGATTTTGCTGGAGGCTGTTGAGGTGACAGTGTTGAAATTGCGCAAGTGTATCGAGATCCTGGTGAGTAAAATTTGAATAGTAATATTCAGACTTGTGATATACTCAGGCATTACTAATAATGATGAGCGCAACAGAAACAATGATTAGCGCCGGCCTGATGCTTATCGTTACAGTGACTTCAGGCTGCTCCTGCAACATGGTAAACACATTTCCATGTAGTAGTCTAGTTGCTTTTTTCAAATCCTAAACACTTTTCCGCATAGCGACCAAGTTTCGGAACTTCTTACATGCAGGGAGACACACGCCCCATGAGACGAGTTCCAGACTCCTGCACAAATGAAAGTAATCCAAGAATGCAAACCTACAGCTATCGGACGCAATAGTAATGACGCCAACACCATATCAGCTAGCTGGTACAACCCGGGGCCGCCCACCTCCCGGTGCGGCGCATCACGGCTGCCGAGTGAAAACGGCATGGTATAGGCGCCTGTCGTCACGCACCCTCCTCGGGCGTGAGTTTTTAACTCATAATCGCAAGCTCCGTTGACGTGTCTTGGTACTTTAATCACGATACACCGCCACGGGCGATGCAACGAACAGGCAGGCCGCCGTGCAACAGCAACAGCGGTAACCATGGGACCCACGACCACGAACACCACCACCACCACCACCATCACTGACAGGTCAATCCGTTCTCGCCAGGCTCGAAGCCGGCCCCAGATGCATGCGCCCTCGCACTCGCGTCCAGACCTCCATGGGCGCGAGAAGTTTTTCGTAATCGCAACCTCGAACAAAACCAAAGTCCGGCTGGCCGACGCGACATCGCGCCGGCAGTGAACTGCGTCGACGGCGGCCTGGACGACTCGGCGTGGCTGAGGGGACCTGATCTATCTATGCTTGGACCACATCGAGGTGACATTATGTACATCGTGGGGTAAGTCAAACTTTCCCGCCCAAACCGTGGGCGGCGCTAGTCGGTGATTCGGCCGTCCATGAGGCTCCGCACAAGGGACACCTCGCCGTGGTTGCTCACCTAGGTAGTGCCCGGCTGAAGAGACGGCCATGAGGTGAGAGTGACAGCTCACGTTGGTGGGTCTCATCGCAACGATGGGTGCTGACTGTTGATGGTTCCCTCAGGCAGGCTACGTCTGCTTGGCTCCCGATGACAGGGCTGGCATGTGTAGCCTGCCAGTTTGGTGGCCTGATATTGCGACATCATACATGTCTAGTCAGGCTGGGAGCCCTGCAGGTTCGTCACCGTAGGCACGGCCCGCAGCCAGGCAGACCAAGTCTTGGTAACGTTGAATGACAGGTGGCCTGCCTTGGGCGGCACGCTGAGGTCCAGACTGCTACGCTCCGTGGCCCCCACCCGACACCTGTCGTGAATAAGCAAAGCGCAGAGGATTGGCAGGTGGTTCGATGGATGGCCGGACGTGGGATTGGGCAGCATTTCGCGTCGGCATGTGCCAAAGGACTCGCGAATCTGGTCCCACGTGCAGATTGTCAGACCGAAGGCAACCGTTGCGCGCCAAGGAAAACCCGCATCTATACGGTGCATGCATGATACCCGGCTCTTCTTTCCTCGTCATGGTGTGCGTACTGTAGCACATTTTCCCAGTGATTACTGTACATGCAGCCAAGTGCTGACCGGTAGCGAGTTCGGCGTGCATATGCAACATCAGAATCAAGCGTATCACTGATCTGCAGCTCCCGACGGCACGTAAGCACCCTAGCTTCAGCCTCTCAGAACGCGCCAAGGCATGTGTCCTGGTAGTTGGCTGGTGATACGTGTGCCCGCACTCCGGCATGTGTTTGCAAACATGTTGCCCGTCTTCCTTTTCCGAGGAAAGAACCCGCGCGTTCCGTCTGAAGTGCACAGACAAGGGCCACGTGATAGGCGCCAATGATTCCTGATAAGATCCACCTACCACGTTCCACGTCGCTGAAAATACCACGTATAGCTAGCGGTTCGCAGAGTTGATGGCAGGGGTGACGCATTGCGATTTTCGGTGACGAGGCAGGGGGGATCCCACAAAACCAGGCACCTACCTCCTCCGGACACGGAAATCCGGCTCTCCTAGCGGTAGCAGTCGATGTGCGGTAGGCTTGTTCCCGGGTGCGCCTCCGTACTGTGGAACTGGGCCGAACTTGGGTGGAGCTTTTCTGCGGATATCCGTGAATCCTTCGGAGTTCTGGTGCGATGGATATAACCAGCGTACACGGGCGAGTTTTGAAGTTGCACCCACCAACGAGTGGGGTTGTTGACACCGCGGCCTGGCTGCTGCGACGCTGTCAGCACCCATCTGCCTAGCCTGTCCCCGCGCATGTATTTCATTCGATGACAATCATCTGCCAATTTGGCAGCGCGTGAGATATGACGGGACAAGGCGCTTGGGTGCGTTAGCTGGTGGGACGGGCCAGTCGATTGACAGCTCCCACGGGGTTTGATGCCGTGGATATGAGTAAGAACCCGGCTTGCTTGAATCCGTGCCATCGTGACGTTCCATGAGTGAGTCGACTCGGCGGAGCGGGGAATGAAGCACAAGAGACAATTAATACCAAGTGCCCGTAGAGCCGAAGAATGTCCAAACCAGAGTGAAATCTCATCGTGACCTTCCCTTCTTGCTGAAGCAGCAGCATTTTGTCCTTGAAGCACTGGTGTCTTTTGAACACAGAATCGCCAGGATGACGCTGACGTCGCGTCTCTATACTCCGTGGCACAGTTCCAACCTGACTACGCTCCCCTACACGCCCATTCTCCCTGAATCCTTTGGCGGTCCCATTGCCACCCTCACCACCACTTTCATTCTCGTGTTGCTCGCCGCCGTCGTCTCAGCAAATCCCAAGACCTCCAAGACAAACGGAAAGCCCATCCCCCTCCTTAACCCCAAGCGTTGGTTCGAGCTGTCCACAGCCCGCGCCCGCCGCGAATATGACACGAACAGCTGGAACATGACGCTCAGGGGGATGGAGAAGTTCCGCGGCGAGCCCTTCCGCCTGCTGACGACGGAGCTCGAGGGCACCGAGGTTGTGGTCCTGCCGCCGCGGTACGCGGAGGAGCTCAAGAGCGACGAGCGTCTCAACTTCCCGGCGCTCAAGTCCATGGGCATGCACGGCACTCTTCCGGGCTTCCAGACCATTGGGACGCTGGCCCAGGACAACCGGATCATCCAGATGGTGACACAGCAGGACCTGACGCGGTCGCTACCGCGCCTGACTGCGGCGCTGTCGTCCGAGTGCGCGGCGGCGCTCGAGGACGCGATCGGCGGCGGGAGTAAATGGAAGGAAGTCATGGTACGGAGCGGTCTTAGCCTACCCGCGGTCGCACGCCTGAGCACCCTGGTCTTCATGGGGCCCGAGTCGTGCTACGACCGTGAGTGGATCGAGATTGTCATCGGGTTCACTGTAAACATTATGCTGGCGAACATTGCGCTCCAAGCCTACCCGCGCTGGCTGCGGCCCCTGGCGAACCACGTTGTACCGCAATGCCGGCTCTTGCGGGCCCAGGAGCGCCGGGCGCGGGAGATGATCGACGACAAGCTCGCGGCGCGGCGGGCTTTCAAAGAAAAAGAGGAAAACCTGGGCAGCGGCAGCGAGGCCCAGCCCAGCCACGCGCTGGACTGGTTCCAGAGCCAGCATCAGAGGCTGGGAGGCGAGTACAACCCAACGCTGACGCAGCTGATGCTTTCGTTCGCGGCGATCCACACGACGGCCGACCTGCTGACGCAGGTGATTCTGGACCTGGCGGTGCACCGGGACCTGATGGAGCCGCTGAGGAGGGAGATCGTGGAGGCTCTGGACGGGAAACCGATCGATAAGGCGGCGATGCAGAAGATGAAGCTTCTGGACAGTGTGATGAAGGAGAGTCAGAGGATGAAGCCCATGCAGATCGGTGAGTAGATCGCTGACTGGTTTTTTCATTTTTGGGAACTGCAAACCGGTCTGATCCCTGGTTGTGACCTTTCGGGTAGGCCGCAGAGAAGATGTCGAGAAGGAGCTGACCCTGCTTGTCTTTAGCGTTCATGGAGCGAATTGTCCTTGAGGATGTCACACTTTCGGGAAACATCGAGCTCAAACGCGGCACAGCAACCATGATCATGCCGAGGTTACGAGATCCCACGCTGTATGAGAAGCCCGACGAGTATGACGGGTACCGGTTCTACCAGCTGCGGCAAAAAGCTGGCAGGGAGAAGGTAAGTGCATGCTCTCAGCCCATGATGAAAACAATGCCTAAACCAAATTCCCTTGGCGCCGTGTTGATCCTGTGCGAGACCGATGGACTAACCAAGCACAACCCGCAGGCTGGCCAGCTCGTCGCGGCCACGGCAGACTTCCCGGCCTTCGGATACGGCCATCATGCTTGTCCCGGACGCTTCTTCGCCGCGCACGAGGTCATGATAGTGATGTGTCACCTGTTGCTCAAGTACGACTGGAAGGTTGCTGACGGGGCTGAGGAGCCGAGATGGCGGGCGCACGGGAACGGGCTCGAGTGTGATGGGCTGGCCAAGATTGCCATCCGCAGACGAGATACGGGAGAGGAGGTATCGCTGTGAGAGCTTGGGCTGTTGAAGATGCATCGTCCCCGATCCAGTCTTTCGCTGAGGCTCAGCCCCCTGTTTTGGCCGGTGTTGAGCATGACCAGTCGGAGGTCGTCACATCAGGAGTCGTCCCACACGAAAAGCAGCGCGTCTGAGCATTGCATTCATAGCTACAAGCGTTCATAGCTTCTAATTGGCGTTCTTGGGTAATAAAATTCGAAATGGTGTCCAGTTGGAATTGTATGTCTTTGTGTGAAATTGGAGTGAAGCATAGGAGGAGAGGTCATGGACGAGCAATGAGATCTGCATCCATATCCCACCGGCACCTAGGTGCTTCCTTATCTTATCAGATCCCATTACAGCTCCCCCATTGACCTCCCCGCTGCTGGGCTACATTTACTCCCCACGTACACAACAGACACATTGATGTATGAAAAGGTCGCTGGGGGAACAGGCGCGAAGCTTCTTTTTTCCATCTTCTGTTTCGAGAGAGCGTGAGAGAGTATTGCTCTGTTTCTGATCTCATCTGCAAGCAGGCAGCCCGCTGTGGCGCCGAGCTCCACTGCAGCTGCAGCTCTGCCTGCCCACTTCGGCTCTCCACCCCAGCGTTGCCTACGTCAGTCAAACGGCCCACACCAACAACACCACGACACAACACACCGCGACACGACAAGCCACGCCACTATGGCCTCACAGCAGATCCCCGAGGAGGCTGTGGCCATCCAGAGTGCCCTCTCCCAGGCACAGTCGGCGTCTGACTTCAACCAGACGGCGGACCAGATCTTCGCCTCGTCGCTGGGCATCGTGCACACGCGCACCCTGCTCAACTCGCTCATCGCCTCGCTCCGCCAGCGCGCCGACCACGACCTGTGGATCGAGGTTGGAACCCACCTGCTCGACACCCTGACCTCGTCGCCGACCTCGTCGTCCTCCTTCATCGAGCAGACCGCCACCCTGCGCGACCTGATCGCCGAGGCCCACGAGGCCAACGAGGACTTCCGCGACGCCGCCCTGGTGCTGGCCGAGATCCCGCTCGAGACGTCGCAGCGCCGCGTCAGCGACGAGGACAAGGCCCACGTGTGGATCCGCATCGTGCGCAACCACCTCGAGGTCGACGACCCCACCGCCGCCGAGGCCTACCTCAACAAGCTCAAGAACGTCATCTTCGCCATCGCCGACCCGGCCCTGCAGCTGCACTTCAAGCTCAGCCAGGCCCGCATCAACGACGCCAAGCGCCAGTTCCTCGCCGCCAGCCAGGCCTACCACGACATCTCCTTCAGCAGCGCCATCGCCGACGAGGAGCGCCTGCACACCCTCGCCATGGCCATCAAGTGCGCCATCCTCGCCCCCGCGGGTCCCCAGCGGTCGCGCGCCCTCGGGAGGCTGTACAAGGACGAGCGCGCCCCCTCGCTCGACGAGTTCGCCATCCTCGAGAAGATGTTCCTCGACCGCCTCGTCGCCCCCGCCGAGGTCGACGCCTTCGCCAAGGGCCTGCAGCCCCACCAGCTGGCCACCACCGCCGACGGCAGCACCGTGCTGGCCCGCGCCATGGTCGAGCACAACCTGCTGGCCGCCTCGCGCCTCTACGTCAACATCGACCTCGACGCCCTCGGCGTGCTGCTGGGGCTCGACGGCGAGAGGGCCGAGGACACCACCGCCCGCATGATCGAGCAGGGCCGCCTGGGCGGGCACATCGACCAGATCGACCGCTGCGTCTGGTTCGACGGCGCCCGCACCATCGCACAGTGGGACAGCCACGTGCTCGGCGTCGCCGAGGACGTCGAGAGCGTCGTCGGCCACATGCAGAAGGAGTTCCCCGACTTTGTGTCCCAGAACCTGGTGGTGTAGCGTGCTGCTTTTGAAACTAGTTCTGAGGTGCGTGTACAGGGGGATTGGAAAGACGAGGTGCTTGACGCTCTCGCCGACGTCCTCAAATCCTTGAGGTTTGAGACGGGGTCTTGGAACTTGACCATGCGCACCAACGGAGGTCAGAGCACTTTGGGGGAGAACGGTGCAGAGGAGGAAGATCGAGAGGAAGTCAGCGCAGAGACGACCAAGTCGGAGCAGGAGGCGTCAGGGGGACACAGCCCACCGAAGAGCATCCCGAAAAAGAGAAAAAGGCCACAGTAGATGGTATCAGGAAGAAATACCACTAGAGATTGGCGCATACATCTACTACCACCAGCCTCAGAGTCGTGAGCTGCGGCGAGAGTCTGTTGGCAAGAGAGTAGCTGGCCAAATGGCGAGACCGCCAGGTGTCTGCAAAAATAACAGTATTCACGAGAGCACGACATTCCAACGAAAATAGACAAATTCAATAATACCCAAGAACGCTAGCACACAGAAAGGGTGCCTGTGTGACCCTCTATCCAACGCCGTGCTGTGACGAACCAAGTGTGTGTGTATCCATCCCGACCATCCCAGGTAGTCGCTATATAAAACATTAAGATCCAATCAAGAGAGGTAACAGTGATACCCTGGCTCTCTACTCCAGGTCCTTCCTCCTGACGACGTAGTACCCGTGCTCTAGCCTGTGCTCGTCGCCGTCCTCCTCCTCGAAGACCTTGTCGTCGTCCTTGAACAGCTTCTTCCGCCTCGCGCCGGTTCCGTTCGCCTGCTGGGGCTGCAGCCGCCCGGGCGGCATGATGATCTCGACGAGGCGGGCGGCGATCTTCTCGCCCATCAGGTCGTAGCCCGCGGGCGTCATGTGGATGTGGTCGTCCCAGTAGGTCTTGCGCTCCTCCGGGGCCAGGGACCAGAACGGGATCGCGGTGTTGAGGTCGAACGTGAAGCTGGTGTCGCAAAAGTGTCAGTGTCGGGGGTTTCAATCAGGAGGGGCTGCTTGGGGGTGTGGGGAAAGGGGGATAGAAATCCAAGATAACAACGTACAAGTTCTCCTGCCGGTGGCTCAATATCAACTCGTTCAGCTCGTCCCGCCTCGCCTTGATCCTCTGCCCGATCTTGCCCTTGGCGCCCGCCTCGGGCACCGTGCACGCGAGGACCCGGCCCCCCTTGCTGAGCGCGACGTCCCACACGTCCCGCAGCGCCTTGTAGATGTCCTCGGCGGTGAACTGGAACGCGAGGTCGTTGGTGCCGCCCAGGACCACGGTCCAGTCGTAGGGGGTCCCTCCCCCTTTCGTCAGGAACTTGGGCTCGATGCGCCGCAGGAAGCGCGACCCGGCCGTGCACACGAGGTCCCCCGGCAGGCCGTCCGTGTGCGCGTCGATGTTGAGCGAGGGGAACGAGGCCGACAGGACGGATGTGAGGCGCTGCGAGTACGGGTGCGCTACGGCCCCCAGCTGTGCGTAGCCCGACGTCAGGGAGTCGCCGAAGCAGAGGATGCGGAGGGAGCGCTTTGGTTTCTGGGGCGAGGCGCGGGTGGGGGAAGCGAGGTCGGCCTGTGGCTTGGTTTTTGTGTCTGGGGAGAGCGAGGGGCTCGGGAGCCCGTTCGTCGTCGTCGCCGTCGTCGCCATCGTGGCGGATCGCTTGCGGTTGCGCCCCGGTACTAAGCCACGTGCGAGGAGTGCAAGGCTGGCGAGAGGGTTGGGCAACTTCAGGTTGGGCAAAAGTTCCGGGAGTGATTTAGTTCTGGGCGGAATTCCTAGTCAGAAGCGCGGTAACGACGAGAGGTAGTGCGTTGTGATTGTATAGAGCGGAGCCGAATGATGAGTATGTCACAAGGCCAGGCAGCATGCAGCATGTTGGTTACGGTCGGCCATTTATGGAGACGGTGACGGATCGGCGGATGACGCCTGCGGCCTTAGGGGCGCGGGGACGGTGGGGGGGCCGATAAAGAGATCGATAAGGAGCTCAAAGCTTGGCACGAGCGTCTAGGTATTTAGTCCCGTTTCGGTACCTAGGTACTTTGTGTACTTTGTTTCCCAGAGTGTTCTTGTGCTCATTCTTCTTTCTCTTCTATCCAACTATCTGGCCTATTGTGGTATTCAAGTCATTATAATCACATGCATAACTATCCATTGTTAGCCACCCGTATTTACTGTTAGAAACGCTTGTCCATGTGACTAATTGACAAGGACTCATTGTTGTCACGTGGACAAGACTACTCCGGCAGGACTTCTTCTCTTCTGAGTGACTGTTCACAGGGTCGCCGTGTTTGCCCCTTATTGCAAGCCAGCCTTGGGCATATCCAGGCCCCAGAACTACTAAGATATGGCATAATATGCATTCCCTAGTAGAGAACCCCGTTTGAGGTGAAATGCTCGAGCGACCGCATTACACACTGCTACGGGCACCAATAGCCCCGAGGGCAAACGGGCCCCGGGGCCCTTGTGTAACGCTCTATTTGCCATAAAAGTAGCCTAGGGAGACCTTTTCTTAGGAAATCTAATAGAAGCATTCTCTCCCCTTTACAATTCGCATCACACACACAGTCTTGTTCCATAACATGTGTTGTAACTTCCTTGTGATGGCCTATAGTAAGACATTTTGGCTATACATATTTTCAGTAGTGCACAAATTTAGAAGGAACTGCTCTTTGGCTGTTCGGACACGCCATAAGGGTTTAAAATACGTAGGCTTGGTTTTGAAGAATACCCATACTCGCCAAAATCGACAGAGATCCCCTCATTTTGCTGGATCCTTGATTGTTTTTGAGTATACACTTTCCTTGCAATTAAGCCCCTGAATCTCATCCTCCTGATAACGCTCAGTACTGATGGGGTTGTCTCAATCACAAGTTGATGTGGAAGCTACATGATCTCCGAAGCTATACTAAGTACTGGCATTTGATGTTTGAGACACAATTTCCCAATTTAGAAACAGAACTCCCTCTCTCCACATGAACATTAGGCCCGAACTCTATACATACACGTGACCTACGACGAGAAACTAGTACTAATATATATCGGCCCCTTACATACAAAGCAAATCCCTTCCAAGTCAACATCATCCTGTGCGCCGAACCCCTCCATCTTGCGCTGGACCAGCCGGCCATCACGGAATTTCTCACCGCGAGCCGGGGCCCCAGTGCCTTCCGCCTCATAGGGGAGCCAGCCGCCAAAGTCCCGCTCCTCATCCACGTAGAAGCCCACCGCCGGGCAAGGGTACGGCATGGTGTGGCCGGCGTCGACGCCGTGGTGGTCCCGGTGCGGCACCTCCGCCGACGGCCGGAGTTGCACACGGTCGCCGTACCCGCCGTAGCTGCCCATGAGCACTATCCCGCGCGCGTCCACGCCGGCGGTGGCGCTCGTGCCGTCGCTGGCGGCGGGTGGAGGGGGCAGGTAGTGCACCTGGCGGCCGGTGGCGGAGAGAGGCAGCATCACCGGCAGCCGGGGCGTGCACGCGGCGGGGTCGGCGGGCTCTTGTGGTGACGGGCTGGATCGGGAGAGGCGGATGCGGATTACGTTGAGGCGGTGGCCACTGAGGCTGAGGTATACGTGCTTCGGTGCCCAGCTGAAGGTGATGGGGAGATTGTCAAGAGACAGGGCTGCGTATCTTCCGAGTCCCACGATGGCCCTGTGGATCAGTCGCGGGGGGCTGCGCGTCGTTTTGGAACCGGACAGCCGATGGGTGGTGACGAATGCTGAGAGGACCAGTTCTTGGCTGCGCAGGTTGGGACCTGTGGCCCTTACAGTGGCTGACTGGTCCGAATTGCTTGCGAGGAGGCTGTTGCTGCCGGGCTCCTGGCCGGAACGGTTTGACTTTGGCTTGTGTTTCTCGACAATACGTGCTTCGATGCTGGCGATATGCAGGTATCTCCCACATGCTGAGAAATGGCTCTGCATTGTGATATGTCGACCTAGAAATGTGTTGATTAGCACCTACAATTCGAACAGGTGGTTGCTAGAGAAGTCCAGGGATAGCACTCACTGTCCTGGGTGTTGGGAACCGCGCCGCGGATGAAGTAAGTGTTAGCCATGTAATCGGCAAAGAGAACATCACCGCCTCCGAGGGGCCATGCTACCAGCGACTTGGAGGGGTGCAGAGCTGGTGGTGAGCTGTAGAGCATGACGGGTAAGTCCTGCTGGAAGTGGAACAGGCGAACTGGATCGCCTGACCGTATGTCGTATACGCTCAGAGAGACATGAATCATATCTTTGCGTTCCGACAGACGCGGCATGCGTCTTTCACGTGTCCGCGTCGTCTCCTCTACTTCCCATCTAAATGCAGAATCGCTTTCGATGACCCCGCTCGCAAATGTCCCTTTCCGCTTCTGGTCACTTGCTTTCCGGTCGGTCTTTGGGTACCCGTCCTCATCATAGCTACTGGAACTGTCGTAGGAGCCGTCACTCGAGTCCTCACTTGCAGTGTCTGGAGACGCAACATCTTCGCCCGAGGAGGATTCATCGCGCTCACCCGTTCCATCGTCTGAACTTTCCTCGGCCGAATCGAATTCTGTGGAACCTTCGCTGCATGTCTCTTCTGCTGCGTTGACGTCTTCGCGCTCAGATAATGAAGCATCAGAATCTGTGCTGCTGCAGTCCCCATGACTTTCGATAATTGCCCCTTTATCCCCATGGCGGTGTTGCGAGGGTCGCTGCGGGGCTGCCTTGGACTTGTACTTGCTCCTTCTGGCTGACACAACGATACGACCTCTCGTTCGAAAATCAAAGCTGATGCTTTCCAGATCGTGCTGGCGTTGTTTCTCATGCAGGAGTAGAGGTTTTGAATCTCCCTGGTTTGGGATAGCGAAATCGTCAAGCAAGATGTATGACTTCTTCAGGTCATCTTTGAGAGTGACGGCCATGCTCGCTGCTGGACCAAATGCGCCGCTCAAGTTAGCGGCAGAAATATTGCTGGTCGATATCAGGCTTGGTATAGCGGCCTCCCTCAGATCCCACGTTTCAATGCGGAAGGACAGGGGCAATGGGTCGTGATCGCTCGCAAAAGAGGCTCGAAGGTGTCTACGTTGCCTATTCATCATCATGTGTTACTAATGGAAACATAGAATGGGCATTATCCCGTTAGCCTGGGAGAACGTACCCTGGAACTGTGGAAATGACCAAGAATTGGTCGCCCGCAGTAGATAGCCTCTCTGTCAGGACACGCGGGCTTGACTCTAGACAGTCGAACGGCTCCTGGCTCAACATGAAACTTGGGTACTTCTCCTTCATGTCGGCCAGGAAGCTCGATGGTCCCATCATGCCAGAAAGACATCGCTCAACCTCGCCAGGGAAGTAGTCCTGGTCGGAAGGCGAGGTTGCCCGTGTAAGCAAGTAGCCCCATTCATTGACGAAATGTCGATATTGTCCGCGATAGGAGCTGTATCCCTCAATGACTCTGTTCTTCTCTCTAAAGAGCCAGGAGGGGAAAGACTGCCGATGGAGGTGATGATAGCCCTCCCGCTGCATCATCTCCATAACCTCATCTTCATCAATTCCGAATGGGAGCTGCTCAAATTGGTCATCAACACTGAGGCTCTGGACCTGTAGTAGGGTCTGGAAATTACTGGAGCTGACTAAAGTAGTCACTGCCTTCCTATGGTCGTCAGTGGCGTCAATATCCCCCAGGTGCTTCGTCCAGAATTTTGCAAAGTACAACAATAGACCGTCTATGTCTGGCGGCAAGCCTTCATTTATTGACAGCAGTTTGTTAAATCTCGGCTGAGACAAGTATTGTAGACACAGGTGCCCAAATTTCCGTGGCGAAATAAGGTGCTCACAAGATTCTGGACCACCACATCTGCTACGCTCAGAGCAGAGGATGTGAGGGTTTGAGGCCAGAAACCTTTGGATTGTTGAGTGACGAAGTCTACAGAGGGGATCCTCCGGCTTATTTGGGTCGTGTTGCATCTCAATAAGCGGCGGAAACAGCTGCTGCAGATGAGTGGGTCGGCGCAAGGGATTAGGTCCGTAAGAGGGATCTGAAAGAGCCAAGGTCATGGCATCTTGCAGTTCTGAGAGGCGAAGAGGACGACGTGCAAATGCCACCAAGGAGAACAACAAACTTTTTTCATATTGTTTTTCAGTCAGCATTGGAAATTTCAAATGCTATTCTCAGAATTCCAAGCAGATGCTCGGTGAAAAGCTTACCTGACGTATTTATGCTTGGCTTTCTGATATCGAAAGAATATGCGTTCGTACTTGTCTGTGAAAGCATCCGGAATTTCTGAGTCGAGGAAAGAAATCAAGTCATCCGGGCTGATGGTATCATCCAATAGATCCATCACCAATTTGGCATAGAGAAAGTTGCCCTTGGCCCTCGTTTGAAGCGTGTCGAGTACCCATGCGACCACTGATTAAAGTCTTGTTAGTAACAACTACCCATGTATTGACCGGAAATATGCCGATTTCCACATTTGATTTACTGACAGGGTTTTCCACGAATCTCATGGTCAATGAGCCCGAAATTGGTATCCATCGTCTTCGGAACCTCTCGAGCAAGGTGTTCACGAACGTCGGATTCAGCCTGGTCATCTAGGTTTATGACAGTGCACTCTGATAGGCACCTGGAGATGCCCGTATTGTCTTGTGAACTGACCCACAATCTCAGGCATACTTCGTCTTCAAGGCCGCGGAATAGATCCAAAGCCACATTCAGAAGATCCTGCCCAGTGAAAGAACCCTGGGTCTCATTCAGACCATCTAGAAGGAGATAGATCTTGCGACGCGGGGAGGGTGAGCCCTGACCCTGTTGTGGTACTGTACTTCCTTCTTGGGGCGGATTCTTCAAAAGAATTTGGACAACTTGGGCAAGTGTCTTCGTGTTCTTCGCTTCGACTTCAACGAAATTCCAGACGCGATTAGCAACGGATGGATCTTCTTTCCACATGATGCGCAACAGCTGGTCGATCAGGAGTGACGCCATCCGTAGCTTGCTTTCATTCGCTGCATTTTTGGGCTGAGGCGATGTTGAAAACTGATAGTCGAAGCTGTAGAAATAGTAAAGACACACATCCTGCGTTTTGGCCACAGTTTCGATCGCCTTGGAGCATACATGTGATTTCCCGGCACCTGGAGAGCCTTTCAGCCAGATGCCAGCCACTCTGTCTGAAGATGGCGGACTGTTTATCCAATGGGCGAAATCGACGTGCGAGTCGAGCCACTCGCAACTTTCAGGGTAACGCGAACGACCATGGTCCTGGTGGCGCTGGCTGTTCATGTCATTGTCGGCCTGCACACCGAGCCATGCCCTGACCATGGCATACGAACTGCCTGGGAGTGCCCAATGCTAGTTAGTACAGCTTTATGGCTGATAAATTGACATCATGAGCCAAGTCATATCAGTTCACTGAGGATTTCTCATCCCACCAGTTTGTGGACCTTGGATATAGCACTCACCGTTCTGTGCCTCCTCCTGGCCTATCTTGATCGTTTCAACATCCTTTCCAATCTCGTGGAGATATCTTCCCACGCCGAGCATAAGTGCTCTAGTAACATTTCAAGGTTAAAAATCGCTCCTGTGGGAATATTTGGGAAGAAGGGCGCGTGGCTGGGTGGTCCAGCAAGCCGTCGTGTGTAACTCACTGTTGGTCCGCCATGACCGCCAACTTGAAGAGCTTGCTGCTTTCTTCAACAGCAGTTATAACACTCTTGAAACTTTTGTCAAACTTTGCGCCCTTCCACATCTTGTCGAGTGTGCTCGTGCCCTGCATGAAGGCCTTGATTGACTGTAAAGCTTGTTGGCAGCGTTCCATGACAGGTCCCAGATGAACCAGTGTTTGTAAATGTCGGTCATCCTCTTCATGAAGCTCCATGTATGTTTGAAGGTTGGTCAGAATGCCGAGAGCTTCATACAGTGTCGTGGTGATGAGGGCCGGCTCCGCGGCTCCGAATTTGGAGGGCCCGACGTGTTTCCCTGCCAGCTTCAGGCATGATTTGACGGCCCCGATCAGGCTCAAGGTACCAACCGTTAGACTGAAGGGATCCATGGCTTTGATCAAAGGTGAGTATTTGCTGTATGATCATTCACAAAGACATGTTGAGGCGATAGGGTTGGAACTGGAGTGGGAAGGCCTTGAGCAAGTGGGGATCCTGCTCTGACCCTGATATGTGTGCAGTCAGCTGTCCTACGCGATGAGGTCTGCAGTTGAGGTCCGAACCAGTCAGAAACCAAGACCGACCTTATCGACTGCCTGCACAAGTGTGCCCGTGTGCCCGTGTGGCACCCGTGGCTGCGAAATGTCTGCCTAAAAAACAAAAACGCCTAACCTAAACGACGTGGTCAGTATTGGACCTACATGCACGATCGCCTCGACTCTGCTAGTCTTTTTACACCGCTCCACTGGCAGCCTTATTTCACCGACAGGATCCTCCGGAGGGTTACACGGTTAGGTCCCAGTAAGCAAAGTTCCGTGTCACCTGGCATGCGGTCTCCAGTAAAATGTCGAGTCTGCTTGCCAAGGTGGCCTGCTGAATTCCGGAGGGTGCCGACATGTACGCGCATTGGCAACACAAAGTTCCGAAAATATTAGTTCTGTGTCTACATAAGCCATCGGGAGTTCCTCATTACCGAACCGATTCCTCAGCGACGTTTCCACTTGCCGACACTCTGTGTCACACAAAGCGCACGCAATGGCACCAGAAATCCCAGCGGTCAAAGTGATAGCCTTAGGAACTGAGGGCGACAAGGAAATAACCGACGTTGATGGCGCAAAACCGAGAAGAAATCCTCTCCTCCGATACGACGAAATGTTTGTCCGCAACCTGACCATGCAAATTGAGAGAGGACTGCGACTAATACCATGTGAAGATATGATTTGTATGTGTTCGCGCAATCAGGCAGGCTACGGAATGGTAGTCTAATGTCACCTCTAGTCAAACAAGCCAGACACGTCTTGTGAAATCGGGGAAGTCAAACCTCGAGGCCAAGTTGGGTCGAAAGGCAACCGTGGTTGTGCTTAGATTGATCGACGGCAAGGGCTTCCACACCGCGACGAATGTCGAGATAAAATCTAGTCGCCTTGCCAAGGTGCTGCAAGAGTTCGACCCCGACGTCGAAGGAGTGTCTCTCATGGCAGTACCCTTAAAAGTGAGTATGCAGATGCATTGTCATTATCGCAGCGATACACCCCTAGACTTTTATAAATATGGTTTTAACAAGATGGGATTGATACTTAGGCACCAGCTGAGTTTTTCTACCACAACTGGTCCAGCCTCCAGCAGAGGCTGGAAGCGGAAGAGAAGGCAAATACTCCTGATAATGCTCTGATCGACGACCTCAAGGTATTGCTCAGATTCATAGTTGAGGACTACGAGTCGCTGAATCAGAGCGTCCAATCGTTATTATCGGCCGGAGAGATCACGTGGGAGCTGTTGTGGGCTCTGTTCCCACCCAACGTGCTCGTCTACCACTATCATGAGTTCACCGGGCAGCATCAGATTTTGCGCTTCCGCAGAATGGATATAGAAAAGGGACTACCATCCGAGCCACCAAAATGGATATTCAGCTGCGATATTATCGCCGATGATGGGGAGAAGTTCGGCGTGGCCAAAGAGCCCATTGAAATGGCAATCCCCGAGTTCAAAGGCGCCTGGTCCATCGAAGACATGTTGCTGTTTCCACTCGACCGGCACAAGGATGCCGAGAGGCTGCGGTGCGAGGCCATCGAACGCGGGAAGCGCTACGTGGCTATCAAGAAGGCACGTCTGATCCAGACGAGTGGTTTTGCCATGTTTGAGAATAGGCGCCAAAACTACTACCGCCCCTACTTGTATAAGTTCGCCACGCATGGGCGAGCCATAGTGGATGCCTCGGCCTTCCGACATTTCAATCCCAATGTCTCATTCATCCCCAGGGTGCACCGGAGCCTATCCCGGGAGGGACTCACGGATGAGCAGCTTATGATCTGCCACCCTGTAGCCCTGGGCTTCAGCTTTGGTGATAAGCAATGGGGTGAGAATTTGGCTGGAACAATCCGCATCTGGCCATGATGAAATTTGCTGACGTAATGATACAGGTGGTCTACCTATGGGGCATCTGATGGACTTTGAGTGGAATATTGAGGCCTTCGACAAGTTGGTCATGGACGACCAGGTGAAAACCCTGGTCCGCTCGCTGGTCCAGCAGCACTCCTCAGATCACAGAGACAGTTTCGACGACATCATCTCAGGAAAGGGCAAAGGCCTGATTGGCATGTTCAGCGGCCCACCAGGCTGCGGCAAGACACTCACGGCCGAGGCAGTGGCTGAGATAACCAACCGGCCGCTGTATAGCGTGTCCGCAGGCGAACTTGGCGTGGACCCAAGGAGCGTGGATGAGAATCTGACCAAGATCCTGGAGCTGTCCCACCGGTGGAACGCCGTGCTGCTGCTGGACGAGGCCGATGTCTTTCTGCAGCAGCGCGATATGTATGATGTCAACCGCAATGCTCTCGTCAGCATCTTTCTGCGCCAGCTCGAGTACTTCCAGGGCATTCTTATCCTGACGACAAACCGCATCGCCCACTGCGACCCGGCCTTCGCCAGCCGCATCCACATCTCGCTGGACTATCCCGAGCTCTCGGCCGGTGCGCGCAAGACGGTGTGGGAGAACTTCCTGGGTAAGGCCAAAGGTGCCGAAGGGGAGGTTATCGTGGATCTGTCGGACACGGAGATCCAAGATCTAGCAAAAATCGAACTCAATGGCAGGCAGGTAAGTCTTATCGTGAAAACCACTACGCGTTTTCAATTTACTCACCACATGTATCAGATCAAGAACGTTGTTGGCAGCGCCCGTGCTCTTGCGAGGGAAACGCAGCAAAAGATCACCTTCTCCGGGATCAACGTTGTTCTCGGGGTTCTTCGTGCTGTGCCCACGAGTTCAGAAGTCGAGACTTTAATTTAATGCAATCATTTGCAGGGGACATTCTCATCATCGAAGGACCGTGCCGCTGAATTGATGACAGCCTGCTTAGGCTTCCTGCATATGACCCCGCAATTTCTTGAAGTCAATAGCGCAGACGGCGTCAGGATTATAAAATCATCATGGAACATGCAGGACCATTCGTGTGATGTGCCATAAACATCAAAGCTAGGAATACACCTTAATATGGTCTCGGTCGTCTTATGACTGACGCTCATCCAAGCATTGATGGGGCTCAATTAGTCTACTAGTACTGAATACCATATAGAGCTGTGTTCTCATAAAATTCTAGTGTGGATGTATCCTATGTCTCAAGACACCTGTGGGATACTTATGTCCATAGACTACATGCTCCACTGCGTAGGGAAATAGCGGGTCAGCTGTTGTGTCCACTTATCGGGCAGTCGCTTGTCATGTGCGCACCCGATTTTCATCGTGGCACGGTAGTATCTGATTCGGACCCACACCACCTAATTGGGGCCCCTAGGCTCCTTCGAGAGGGGGCTGATGTTTCTCGAAAGGCCTTGTTTCCAACCTAAAACGCACTCAATCTCAAACTCTACCCTAATAAAAGTATCATAGCAGAATGTAATCCTGCCATTTGAGCTCAAGGAGTATATTCAGCCGCTGCACTCCTCCTATCGGGATTTGAAACTTCTCCGCAAGCAGCCATGTCCTCCAACCTCAAGGGATCATTAGGAGCGCCCCATGTCAGTCCGTGCCCCGAGCCTCTGCGTCTGCCAGTGGATGGAGCAGCGGAGCTACCACTATCAGATTTTGTTTGCGAAGTGTGCAACAGTGTCGACTGGGTCCGTGTTGCGAATTTGAAAGACATCTATCGAGGTCAGAGGTACCCCTGGCGCGTGGTGATGCCGTCGCTCAATTCGACTTCAGCCGAGCTCAGCGCGTCGCCCTGCAAGGTCTGCCGGATATTGTCCGCCGTCAAACCTGCGACTTACGACGGCCACCGATGTGTGCTCTACGCCTACACAGACTGGCATGGATACACGCAACTGCGCGTGATTTCTCAACAAGTCCACGGTCTGGAGACGCGGAGCCTACACATGTACTCAGACCAAGAGGTATTTCCCTGTCTTACCGTCATAGGATCGAGTGATGACCAAGACTTGAAGAGTATGGAGATTCAGCCGAACCGTATCGATACAAAGTGTTACGAAGACTTAAAGGGTGTAATGAAGAATTGCGCGCAAAGCCATGGTCAGACTTGCAGACCCATGTCCAAGTCTTCCATGATACCAGGATTCAGGGTGGTCGAAGTATCATCCAGGAGGGTCATCGAAGCCTCGGACCAGTGTGAATATCTCGCCTTGTCTTACGTTTGGGGTAATCGTGAGCATTCAGATGATCTGAGAGCCGCTCCTCCCGTGATCAAAGACACGTTTTCAGTTGCTGAGAACTTGGGGCTGAAATACGTGTGGATTGACAAATATGCAAGTACAAATGCAAACCATGGCACAATATAAAGTACCGAGGGACTAATACACTATTAAGTGCATTACTAGCGAGGGTCAAGAAAAGCAGGAGATGTTTAGCCGAATGGGCGAAATTTACTCCAATGCTTACTGTACGGTTATTGCAGCTGCGGGCGAGGACGCCCAATCAGGACTGCCCGGTGTCTCGAGGGCTCGTCGACAACAACGAGAAGTCAACGTCAAAGGTGTCACTTTGATCGAGCTGCCCTACAGTAAGGACCACGGCTCGGCGTTGTTAAGCTCGAGCAAGTGGGCGACGAGGGGCTGGACTTATCAGGAAGGATACTTATCAACGAGGCGTCTCATATTCACCGAGTATCGTCTTCTGTACCTGTGCAATAAAGACTTTGCCCCTGAACCGTTCAAGAAGCAAGAATCGACCACTGGGGTAGCCATGTGGTCCAAGGAACACTGGGCTAGAAAACACTCATTTGCGCGCTTCGTCCCCCACACCGCTTTCAGTGGCCACCGGGCGAGTGCTGCAAACCTCCGAGAACAGATCCAGGAGTACACTAGGAGAGATCTAAGCCACTCAGAAGATTCACTGAATGCCTTTCTCGGTGTTCTGGACTACAACTCCAGGACCGCGAGACCCATGGCCCATCTTTGGGGATTGCCATTGTACGAGGACCAGGCCACGGCACCGCAGCCAAGAGACGTTTTATTCGAGCTCTTCTGGTGGCACGAAGCACCAAGCACCCGGAGGCACAGGTTTCCAAGTTGGAGCTGGGTAGGCTGGGCCGGGCCTGTGAGGTTCCGCACGAGAAACAAGGTTCGGATGTTCCCCGAAGGACTACGCCTGCCGCCACCGAGCCACCCGGGAGGCACCAACATCTCTGTCGTGGGCAACGGAGATCAGACGCTATATGAACACGCCGACGCCCTCCTGAAAAAGACCGAGGCCCGCGATCTTCTACGATCCCAGCTAGGCCCACGGAGGCTGCTTGTGTCTTGCCACGTCCTGCCCCTGCGGGTGCAGCGCTTTCACCTCTCCCAGGATCGAATCAACGATGAGTATATGATGGCGACCCAGCACCCTTCGAGTGCAATTATCAACACGTGGAGCCGCAGACCTAACCACCCAAGTGGTGGTCACGTTGCAGTTGTGCAGGTCTGCAGTGGGATACACATGTGCATACAGCCCCGGCTGGACCAGGAGGTCCGCCAATGGGACGACTGCTTCGCTCTGCACTTTGGTACTGCTCAGAGCACCTCCCCCGGTCTGTTCACCCGTGATCGTAACCTTCTGGTTGTGAAGCGCATACGCGGTGAAGTCTATAAGCGTATAGGGCTGATACACTGGCATTTCCTCGACTTTGACCAGCCGATATTCTTCATAGACGAGGAGGCCGAATTCATGGAGGAGGTTATTTTGCCGGCCGAGGATGAATTATTCTGTACCGTAGCGGGGAAGAAGACCATCTGTCTAGCCTAGGAGGTCTTTAGGGCGTTGGCTGCACTGCACATTACATCCTCCTCGTTCGCGATGGCATCGAATGTACCTACTTTGACCGGACACTCGAACCGCACACAAATTCACTCCAGACCACATGGTAAATACAGAAGCATAAGTAGAATGCCTGAAATTGGATGCCCTCCCGCTTGCAGTCATGCAAGAATACCGACTCTGCTGTCTGACAAGTGAAAAAACGACGATGCACGTGATGAGTGCTGCACCTGCTTAGATGCCCAAGAGATGAAAATGTGATTGGAGATTTACGCCGACCGCCCCAAACCCGCCCCCGCCCCCCCTCGTGTCCCGCGTCCCGTGTTGTCCAAGTATCATAGCCCACAAAATCCGCTCACTCCTCGACCGGGGCCGACTTCCTCTCCGTCAGCTTCACCTTGAGCGGGCCCTTCTCCCAGACGATGATGACCTTGCTCTTGTCGACCCAGTCCTCCTGGCCCGGAAGAAGCTCATAGTCGAAGCGGAAGAGGAACCGCGCGATGGCGACGCGCAGCTCCGAGTAGGCCAGGTTCTTGCCCAGGCAGTCCCTGATGCCGAAGCTGAAGGGGTCTGTTTTTGCAGCGGGTTAGTGTCTGAACAGAGACTGTGGAGGATCAGAGAAACAGGATGGAGTGCTGCTCACGGAATGCCGCCTTGTTGTCGTTGGCAAAGGCCGGGTTGTATAGCTTGTGCGTCGTTGGGAGCCACCGCTCCGGGCGCATGGTGTCTGGGTCGTGGAAGTTGTTGGGGTTGCGGTTGGTTGCGTACTGGAAGATTGTGGTGAGGGTCTGTCATGGTGGAAGCGCACGGTTAGCAACTGGAGCCTTTGGCAACAGAAAAGGACATGACGCCATTCAGCGTGAGTGAGGAGGGACTTTGCAACTTACTCCCTTGGGAATATGCTCCCCCTCGAGCTCGGCACCAGGGCTGATACGGGGGGGCGTCTGGGCAGCAGGAGGGTACATCCTGAGCGTCTCCTCGATGCAAGCCATGAGGTACGGAAGGCGGGTGGTGGACTTCATGTCGATCTCGGACTCGCTCTTGAAGGCGCTGCGGACCTCATCGGTCACCGTGTCGTACACGTTGCGGTACTTCTTCAGCCCGACGTGGAAGGCAAAGCCCGCCATGGTGGTGGCGTTCGTCTCGCTGCCGGCCGTCACGATAAAGGGCGCGTTCAAGAGGATGTCGAGGTCATCAAACCCGGGCTGCCCGTCGCGCGTCTTCTGGAGCATGTAGGTGATGAAGTCCCTGCGGCCGCCGGGGCTCTCGCCCAGCGCCTTGCGGGACATGGCTTTCTCGTTGGCGAGGCGGCGGTTGTCCGACTCCATCTGCAGGTTCTTGGCCGAGGTGCCAAAGTACTTGAAGAAGGGCCGCATGAGGGGGTAGGCGTTGGTGATGCGCAGCAGCCCGGCGCCCAGCAAGGCCTTGAAGATGCCCAGCACCCAGGGGTGGTACTCGCCGCCGTCGAGGTTGTGGAAGCTGTCGGCGAAGGTGAGTTCGCCGATGATGTCGAAGGTGAGGAAGTTGAACCAGGGGACGATGTCGAAGGCCTCGCCCACCGCGGCCTTCTTGGCGAACTGGGACAGCAGGAGGTCGATGTACTTCTGCACCACGGGCTCCTGCTCGTACATGCTGTCGGTGCTGAAGGCGTGGTTGAGCTGGCGCCGCAGCCGCTTGTGGTTCTCGTGGTCGCCGCCGACCAGGCTTTTCGTGTCGCCCGCGAAGTAGAATCCGGGCTGCTTGGGCCACTCGGCCTTTCCCGGGCGGTGCTGGAAGATCTGTGGCCAGCCGATGGAACCGTCGACGGCGAGGTGGTCCGGTGCGATACGCACGATGGGCCCATATTTCTGGTGCAGGTCTCGGCTCTCACGCACGAAGGTTCCGGCCACGTTGATACCCCATTCGTGCGGCAGGTTTGTTGCTGCGTAGAGCTTGGGTCCAGGGTATTTGGCCAGGGGGTGGAGGGTCAGGCGGTAGACGACGACGGCAATGCGCCAGAGGACGAAAAGCTGGAGTTGGGCATGGTGGTCAGCTGTAATATTACCAGTGGCGGCAATATGTGATGATGAGTTGGGTGTGGCTTACAGCGCCCGCCCCCACAGCTAGAGCTGCGATGTTGTGGATTGGTACGGTCCCATTCCCGACGTCGTCGGGCAGGACCTTGCTGAGTGACGGTGCCATTTTTAGCCGTCAAAAGTGAGACGTTCAAGTTCGTCACGGGTCAGCACGTTTTCCATATGAGTAAGAATGAAGATGAATCCACGCGGATGAGTGGCGGTGATTTTGGACTGCTGGCCATGTCCTTTATATTCAATGTCACAAGCCCACCACTCCGACAAGTTCCCCCGTTACTTTGTAACCAAGACTGAAAAGCCTCCGCCCCCGATTGACGTCGTCCCTCACTCATTGCCCCCAGGGAGTGAGCCTGTCTGGGAGTGCCCGGCATCTTGAGCGGCCCCGAACATATGAGTGGGCCGTCTCTGGTCTCGATCTTTTCTGCACGACATCGAATCCACAACAAAGCACCTATCTCATTCCCTCACTCATCTCACGGTGTCGGCCAACAGCGGCCGCCCTGGTAGTAATTCATTCACACTTCTAGCTCCCGCTCTGCGGCAAGGCCGGAACCTTGAGGGGATTAGACTTGACTGGTCTGGCGGAGGAGGTGGTATCGGGTAATCTTTGAGTTTCATTGGCATGTGCTGCAGTACAACTCAACACACTCCGGTGTGCGTTGCTGGGGGAGTAGCTATGATCCCCCATTGTCGGCAGCTTGGAGTTTGTTTTTTAGTGCCACTCCACTACTGATCTCGACAGATCGGAGCAGCCAAGATAGCGGAGGGCACATCGTGTCTCTGCCTATCCTCCCCATGCACACGCTCGAGGGCGCAAGGCATTGGTTAGTCCCCTCATCTTCCAAGCATTCTATCGGCAAGCCTTTCCCGCGAGACAGACCTGGCAGGGTCTTCGTATCCGTGGCGAGAAGGTGTCTCATCATCACTCATGTCTCTTTTCATCAGTCGGGCTGCGGTGTGATGTAACACATCGTCAAAAAGTCGCCAACGAGCGGTCATGATGGAGGAATCATTGCGCCCGACCGCCCGAGCTTCTTCGTCGCGAAACCCCTGACGCGGGAACGAAACGACGCTTCCCGCCTGTGGTGTAGCGCAACGGGTGTGGCGTTGGGAAGCTCCCCGGTTGCCACACAAGCATGGTTTGTCGTTCGAGGTAGGGCATTACGGCTGTTTACTCGCCGGCGACGAGCCAAGGCCCGGATATTTGTGGGACGGCCCGCACGGCCCCGATTCGGGGCCGGACGAGGGGCTGGCGCATGGGTGGGCTCGTTCGGCGCCTGCGCCCACGATCCGTCGTCATTCGCCTTTGTTTGCCATGCTTTTTGTGGGCTGTTTTGGTCGGCGGAGGGCTGAGGGCGGTCCCATCAACGCCAGCTCCCTGATTAGCGAATCTTGACGTGGGCAAGGTCTTTGCATGTCCATAAAAAATCAGGACTGAATCGTCAGACCTCCTGTTCGCTTGGCCTTAGGACGAACTGTGCCAAACCCTGTCAACTGACACAATTGAAGCGTACAATGTTTCTAGAAGTAGAGCTCGGGACAGCTCAAGGAGCGAGATCGAGTCAGTCGGTCGGTCATTTGCTTCCTCCCTGACGGCCGATATAGACCCAAGCTGCATATGCCGTTGGGCAATATCAGCTCGAGTCTCAGAGTCGCATCGATATTTCATGCAAGATGGGGTAGGTTTCTGACGCATTAGGGCGGCAGATAAAATGGGGTCACTCAAGCGATCAAAAGGCACAATGACGACTTGGCACATATGGGCGCACAAACAGACGAGACCAGCTGAAACCCGTCCGAAGACCTCGCGATCCCCAGAAAAAATGGCCCCTCGACTTTGTTCCCGTCCTCGTTCCCTCGGCCGTCCGCCCTCTCCCCAGGCGCACCCTTCAGAGCTTGCTCCGTGCACTGGTGGCTTGGAAAGACTGTATTGTGCGAGGTGACATTTTGACGATTCTGCACCCAAGACTCACATGTTAATCCACCACAATTTGCACTTGCACTAGTCTATGCTGCCCAGGCTGTCGGACAACAACGCAGGTGCGCGGCACAGCTATGTGGGCCTAGCTCACCCGGTGCATCTTGCTGACCACCATCTCGAATATGGTTTTGAGCTTGCAACAGGGGATAGGTCACAGACAAGTGCTAAGAGAAGTGAGATCCCCGGATGGAAATCTTCTTCTTACCCCAAGTCCTTACCATTGCTCTCTCACAACTCTTCCCCCGTATAGGACATATCATGTTTCCTATCGTGTTGTTGTGCTACAAGTGCTCTCGCGTACTGTAGTCATAAAAATAATAATCAACTGAGGCCTACTTCCTCAATTGAGCTGACATGTAATCTAAGACATCATCCTTGATCCGCCTCACCTGCATGCTCCATCCAATGCACTGTTGCTTTTCACTTGTCGCCGAGCAATCCTCCTGCATCGTTGCCAACAACACATGTCGATGGATTTGAAGGCTCGGATCCGACGACGACGTGATCACTGTCGCGCAAGTGATGCCACATTTATGGCACGAAATGGTTCCGGGTTGACAAGAGCAAGGGATGGCCGCCTCCCCGACCTCCAAGTTCCTGAACTTGCTGGCTGTGACGAAGAACCGCCGCGAATTGCAAGATGACATCCGAGTGGGCTGCTTTCTATATATGGACGGATGGCCCAGGTGCCAGCTCCCGTCTTGCGTCTTACAGCTTACGGATGGTGCCCCTACCAATTTTGGAGTGCACGTGTTTTGGTTGTTACGCAGGCAAGTAAGAGAGATTGAGTCGCTCGGCGCCTCGACAAACCTTTTCGGCAAGATGATGAAGAACGGGCTTCTGTGTCTCAATAATGAAGTCGTCCAGGGCAACTGTCACTGGAACCGACCAACACACCGGGTACTCGCACCTCGCTCAGCACAACCTTCGTTTTTACTGCCACCGTAACTGATATTTTGGATCAGAACAAAGTTGGCGGCCGCGGCTTCCCGGAGGGCACAATTTTCCTCACCAAGAATACCCATCTTGCGGGAGATAAGACTGACTGTGACATGGGACATTCATAACCAGTTGCTGCGAGACGCTAGAGACCCAAGCATAGGCGAGTCAAGTCCTATCATTGGATAGCCTTGTGGGAGACTCCTGGAACACTCTGACTCCCTGAGAGGAGGCTTGTCCCAATCAACGCAGTGCCGCTTTCATCTTTGATGTAGGTGCTTTTCGGGTGCAGGCAATATTCCCCCCGGCATCCTTTCCTAGTCCACAGCATCAAAAGGGTCCTGGAATTAATCGAAAATAACCCATACTTCTACGTATCCCCGGACAAAGTAACTTATTCGGGAGCTGCGGAGAAGCGAGCCCCCTTGCTATGCGCCGGTTGCAACAGGCCCTGCAGCAAATTGGAATCCGTCTAGGTGATGGAGAAAATATGGTGTGGCCTTGTATCTATTTTGGAGGCGTGAATATGCAGGCTCGTGCTCGTCGCCAATCAGCGCCGGATACTGTGACACCGGTCTGTGGCGAAGCCCTATGACAGATCATCGGTAAGCTGTGATGGCCCCCAAAGGATTTCAGTCAACCTGCAAGATGGATTGTTGTTGAGGATATTATACGCCAGGCCTTGGCGCTTGCATTCGTGGATGGAGATCCTAGTTTCGATGCTCCTCTATTAGACGTCAATTATCAAGGGCCCAACTAAGTGGAGAAGATCGTGTTCCTTGGTTACACAAGCCTCGGATCGACAACACTTTAAATAGAATCAACGACTAGAGTAGCCCAGTATTCGCATTTGAACACGTAGGCATTGCGGCGGCTGCTTGCTGCATCTGAGAGGATGTTAAATTCACACCATTTGCAATGCCGCCAACGGCGTTTAAAACTAAAATGTCACCGAGTGGTTTCTTGTGAATTCTGAAGAGAGTGTGGATTTCCATTCAGAGCTCCACATCTGTAGCAACCAATTCCAAATATCTAGGGGGACGTCTACGATCCACAACTTTTGTTCAAGAAGCCGGAAAATGTGACACCACCATGTATTGTCTTGGAACGCATTCTATAATGGACCCGCTGTCTATTGCAGCCAGCGCAATTGCTCTTGGACAGTGCGCGAGGGCAGTCCGAATTGGTATCGAGGTAATTCTGTCCCTTCGTAATGCGTCAGACGACTTTTTATCGTTGCTGAATGAACTTTTTCTCCCAGACGCTTTCCTGGAACGGTCGCGTCGAGCATTAGCTCAAGGAAACGACAATTTCGACAACTCCCAGGATTGTGGAACTCTGAGGCTGCTGGTGGAAGAGGTCGAGAACATTGTCAGAGACTTGGACGATCTTGCCAAAAGTCCAATGCATGGCAGCAACAACACCAGTCAGCATTATGGCTATGAAATCTCCAAGAGACAGTGGTTCCGGTCAAAAGACATCATTACAAAGCTCCGGGAAAGACCTCGACAGTTACGCCAGGATCTGGGCGTATGGTTCGCTATGAGCAGCGCTTCCTATGGGTGAGTCTTTTAGCCAACTTTCATACGTCGACGCTAAGTATGCTTCGGGCAGACAACACCAGGCTCAGCTGCTGATGGAGCTGCGGGATGTCACGCTTTCAGGCCTGACTGGAAAACCGCAAGAGAATTTCGACATCGAAGCCAGAACTGGAAGACTGGCCAAGAATGAGCTGTGCGTGCAGCCTCATCTGAAGCGTCGTCGCTTGGGTCAGACAGACAATTGTATGGTACGGGCATTTCAGCGCCTGTCAGCCCATGATCGCACGTATCTTCCAGAGTAAAAGAACCCTCCGTCAAGCTATATCTCAAATACCTCGGTTGAGAGTGAAATTACCTCCCTCAACCTGGCACTATTTCATCACTGCCCCTCGTCCTGCCAGTGCCAATGCCACATCGAACATCGTCTTCACACCCCGGCGTGGCTTCGACCTATGCTGGGGCAAATCCTGCTCCAGTACAATTTCAACCTCCTGATGCGTCGCCCGAATTGCGATCGGCCAGTTTGCGTATCCCGAGACAGCAACTCGATTTGCTTCCAATTCTGCTCTCAAAACGGCCTCGTTTGATTGTTCATGAATTTCTATCCCACCCACGCTTTAAAAATGGGCATGGAAATTTTAAAAAATTACTCTTGTTCCCTTCAAGTTGCAGATGATATTTTCTCAGGCACGTCCATTCAAGGCTGGCAGCTGTGGGCAGGTCTGTCAGGTATGGTGCGCGGTAACGCTGACTTTCCAAAAACCCCTTTTTGCCTATAACTACACCTTAAGATTAAGTACGCTGCAAGAGTCAGCGTATGCCTACCCAGCTTCCACAGTACGCCCACCTAGCTTTTAGCGTTAGCCCACCCAGTACTTCCTTTTCTTAGTATTATATTAATAAAATTAGGTACTTTTCTAAATTTACCCCGCATATAAAAAGCTAGGGTAGCTATTTTTTAATTTAAGCAATACTTTAAAAATATAAGCAGCCCCTAAAGCGCCTAAAGCGCCTAAAGCGCTTAGAGCCCCCAGAGTGCCCAAAGCCCCCAAAGCCCCCAAAAGGCCGTAAGGGCGCAAAGAGCCATAAGGGCGCAGAGGGCCGTAGAGGCCGCAAAGGGCTGCAAAGGGCGCAAAGGGCCGCAAAGAGCGCAGAGGGCGCAAAGGGCGCAAAGGGCGCAAAGGGCGCAAAGGGCGCTAAAGGGCGCAAAAAGCGCCAAAGGGCGTAGAGGGCGGCAGAGAATGCAAAGGGCGCAGAGGGCGTAAAGGGCGCAAAGGGGGTAGGGGGCGTAGAGGGCGGTAGAGGGCTTAAAGGGCGCAAAGGGCGCTAAAGGGCAAAAGTAATTTTTAAGTTATAAATAAAGAAATAGCTATAAAACCCCTTTAAGATAGCTATAGCTATACTTTATTAATAACCTTATAATATTAATATTTTATAATGCATATAATTAATTTCCTTATATTAAGTAAGTTAATATTAAAAGTTAAGTAAGCGTATTATAAAAGCTAAGTAAGCATATGCTAACTTATATTACAATACTTTAGCTATTTTTAACTTAATAACCTTTTTTAATATAATTTATTATAAAAATTGCTTTTAAATATAAATTCTTTATATAATAATTAAAAAATTTTAAATAATAATTTTATTAAATATTAATTTTTCTTTTTTTAAAAATTTTTTTTTTTCTTAAGGTATATTTATAGATTTCAAGGAAGCTTAGGAATATTAAAAATAGAAAAGAAAAGCAGGGATTTTAAAGAAATTAGCAAAAATACTTTATATGCTAACCTTTTAAAGCTTAAAGAAAAAATGGAATTATAAGAATTTTAAGCTAATCAAAACATCCCACCCCTTCCATAGGGTTAATTTATTAATAGAAAATAAGCTAACAAGGGGTTTTTGGAAAGTCGGCCCTGTCGCGCACCATATCAGGCCCGTGCACAACCCTGCAAGTGCCCCCTTGTCGATAAGCCCCTGCTGCTGTGCCTCACAGCTGCAGCCTAGAGGGCCCCTCCAGAGACCTTCCTTCTTTCCTTTGTTTTCTTCTTTAGGCCAGCCTACTCTATAAATCCACACAATTTGGTGCACATTTTGAGCCTTCGTACCGTGAAGCCCAAGTGACCTCTCACGTCCAAATGAAAGCTCATTGGTTATTTCCGTGCAATTGATCGCTGCGTATGATCCCAGCCTTCCGTTGGACAGGAACTGGCATTCCATGACAATAACACCTACTCCTTCACCCTCCTGATTAGTCGTCAGCTGAAAGTCGAGATGTCTCATCCACCTTCTAAGTGGCATCGGCTTGCAAACACGGTCAAACACCCCCGTGCGATAATGTCGCGCAGGCTTGACGGATGCTCGGTTTGCAGGCGCGAGGTCAGCGGTACCAGAGAGATGCTCAGGACGCGCACACTCGAGGAATGGGCAGAAGCGGCCAAGACCTGCTTCTTTTGTGGGCTTGTTGTTGCTCTGCTGCAGGATGCAAAGGAAAAGCACGGGATTGACCCTTCTGATGGCGGTCGGTATAAAGTCTGTTTCATGCCTGATGACAACATCATGCTTGGGAGGTATTATCTCGCGGGTGACACCGTCGGCTGGGTGACCGATAAGAAGATCAAGGCCCGAATCACCTTCTATAACCCCATGAGTAAGTTTGGCTCATTCATATTGCCTGCATCTCATGATCACTGATTTGATTGGCAGATTCTAAGTCCCCATGGGATGGGATTCCTTTTGATCAAGATATCTCCTCTAATTCTGGGTCAAAGGAGTGTTTTTCTTTGCTTAAACACTGGATGACAACATGTCAGGATTCACATGCTCAGTGTTCAAACAAGGATGACGGTACTCTGCCGACCAGAGTGCTTGATGTCACTGGCAGTGCAATAAAACTCGTCGTCTCAGACACTTCGCGGCAGGGAAAGTATGTTGCGCTGAGCCATTGCTGGGGAGCATCGCAGCCTCTGAAGACCCTGAAAGAGAACATTACATCGCATCAACAAGGGATTGATCCGCGCGCTCTGCCGCAAACCTTTCAAGATGCCATTACAGTAACACGGTATCTGGAGATTCAGTACCTTTGGATCGACTCGCTCTGTATCATTCAAGATGACAGCCTTGACTGGGAGCGCGAGGCTGCAAAAATGGTCGACGTCTACGGCTTGGCACATCTCGTCTTGGCCGCATCATCTGCAGCCGGCGGCAGCGAAGGCTTCCTCGGCCGTCGTGCCGATCACTGGGAAGGCAGCCTCAAGGTGCCTTGCCCAAGCTCTCATTGGATGGCTCCCATTCGTTACCGAGAAGTGGTGAATCATGCGATGCCGAACTCAACAAGCAGAACCCAGGGGCCTCTCGAGACACGGGGATGGACTTTCCAAGAGAGAGCCATGGCCAAGCGCTTCGTATCCTTTGGAAAGCGTGAGCTCTTTTGGAATTGCAGCGCCTTGTGGGACTGCGAATGCGACTGGACACACGTCCGCCGGGGAAATCCCAACGACGACTTCTACGACATGCAGAAACATGGAGTTGTCTTGTTTCCGAGGATCAGTCAGCTCTCGGAAGAAGACTTGTACCACGAGTGGAGGTTTGCAATCGTCTATCCTTATTCCAGCCGCGATCTCACCTTCTCGAAAGACAGACTGTTTGCGCTGTCCGCCATAACCACAACATTCCATGAGAGGCTAGATGATCAGTTCCTCGCCGGGTTGTGGAGGAAACAGCTGCATCGCGACCTGTGTTGGTACAGACATGAACTGCTTTGTGAGGGCTTCGAGACCAACAGCTATACTGGGCCTTCCTGGAGCTGGGTCTCTCTCAATCCCGGCGTAACCGTAACATGGAACATGCTAATCAAGGGCCTTCGGTTGGCTTCGACCTGCCGTATCATTGAGGCCGATTGCACACCGTCATCGGACATTAGTCCGTTTGGTTCCGTGTCCGCTGGCCATATCACGCTAGAAGGGTTGTTTGTGTCGGCCACAGCCACACTTCAGCCAACACAGGCCAGGCTGCTTGATGAAAACAACTGCTTTTACCAATTGAAGGAGTGGCCCAATGACGTATTTCATGCTGATATGTTCCTGGGAATTTCAGAAGTTGAGTGGGAAGGCAGTCTTGTGCAGACCGCCACACGTCAGGTTTCTATGAATCGGGCCGTTGAGACCGAGTCAGTGGACTTTCCAGTCTGGTGTCTTGTACTGTATACGTTCAAGTCTGGTCATTTAAGTAATGCTGACGTCCTTGTTCTCGGGCGATCGGTGTCTCAACCTGGAAAATTTGAAAGGGTTGGATACCTGGGTCTGGACTTGGGCTACACGTCAGCTGAAGAGTTCTTTGCCGACTGGTCCATAGAAAGGGTAACTATCGTGTGATTGAGCACAGCATTATAAGAGCGAACACCTGGTCTTTAGCATCTAACCTGTTAGTGAAAGTATTTCAATGGGCATAATCAGCCCAAAACGACGTGGTTGGCTCTCGGAATTCCGGTCAGCTTATCTAAATCAATGAGCTGAGGCAGTTTTGGTGTTGTTTTGCAGATGCAATTGATGCAGCTTCTATTACTCCTGATAATCCACATGAATTTTTCTTTACATGTGTTTTTAGTGGTGAAGAAACGGGAATTATATATCGTAGATGTAGTCTGGTCGGAACAAGGGTGGTGTTTGCATCGGGGCCGGAAAGGCGGATGGAGTTGTGATCTACGTCAGGCAGTTCAGACACAAAACGAGCTCAACAACGGAGCACCTAATTCGGTCTGAATGGACTCCTTCCAATTTGCCCCCGAGGAAGACCTCGGACCCAGGCCTATCTACATATTAGCTTCGCAAGAATCTTCTCATCAAGCTCGTAGTGCGGCGACCTCCGACGGGTTTCACCATCGAAAGCTCTACTATAGCCTTCATCCCCCGTCAAGCCCGCACCACCCCTTATGCAATCAGCAAATAGTGCCTAGCCTGTTCTTATTCATCCTAATCCCATGGCTCCGGCTGTTGTCTTAAAGAGGTCACCGCGCATTATGAGAACTGCACCTCGCTCTTTTCCCGTGTGTCCCCACGGTGCCTCTTCCGCAGGTCACCGGCGCACATGATCCTCGAGTGGAGCTACCAAAACGAGGAAAGAGGACACACATTGCATGCGTGTGCCGCCGACACACTACGGCGGAACATGCCTCCCAGCATCGCTCCTGTGCAACGAAGGCTAGACTACCTGGGTAGATATAAGAGTGATCTCCACCGAAGGATGGGAGGCGTTTTCCAAGTTCCTGGGTAAACCGGTCATCGATGAGCCCGTCCTTTTGCGCGCTTATGCGGCTGACAGATGGTGTGGCAGGTGGCCTGGCCAGCGGTCAGCAGTCGAGAAGAGATGCGTCACGAACGCATCTCAGAGTGTGACGATTTCTTAGCTCAAGCGCAGCGGGACCTTGGGCTCTGGTAGCGACACCGCTAGGCTCTGGGTCGGAAGCAGGCTGGTGGAACTTGTCTCTGGTCGAGAAAGTCTCCAGGCTATCTATTCTTCCGACCTGAAAGTCACCCCATGAGATTGACACGTGCCCCGTTAGCCTCCAGAATGTCACGTTGACGTGGCCGACGGTGCTGGGGCCGACAGCACCAAAAGGCAGGGTTGGTAAGCAGTTCCAGAATCCACTGAGCAGTCACTGATTCCGTAGAAAATCTTACGGTTTTGTTCCATGAACGGTGGGAGGCACGATAGAAGTTTCCCGAGAGTCTCAATCTCTCTGGCTGAGAACCCCAAAGCGCACCCGACGCGCCTGCTGCTTGCCGTCCGCTGAGGAAAGAGATTGCGATGCGTCACGAGCGACCGCATTGGGTTCAGTCGCAGGCTGCGATTGACTCACCAAGAGCCCAGTTTCGTCATACAGTTTCTGATTTCGACCTAATTGATAATCCTGAAGACTCTTACACTGTTTCGGAAAGTAAGATAAGCTAAGGGCTTGGCCAAGCAATGTGGTTGGTAAAATTACTTCTTCTGCCAAATTGATTGGCTGCCTTGCCCCCTTACGTTTTCTGCGTCGGTCGCTTACTGTAGACCCACGCAGAGATAGTTTTCCGGTACAAGACAAAATTTTGAATCCCTTTGAAGTGTTCTCACGAAGAGGTATCACACTCACTAACCAATTCCGAAAGTGCACTGCAAGGCTCTACAGCATGGGCCGGCAGATTTGCCACTCTTTGCGGGTTTCAACAAGTAGGAGTTCACCGCAAGTAACGTGGAAGACCGAGGGAAGCAGAGTTTCCTGTCCGTGGATCGCGAATATATAAGTCTGGGTTCAGCCTTCGCATTCCTGCTTTCATTAAGTCAAGCGATAGGCTTCTCGAACTTCGAACTCATGCTGCACACTGATCCAAAATTATCAGGCAAACTTTACAAATTTCTGAATAGCTTCTTGATAAATACCCTGCTCACCCCTAAACTATCACTATGAAGCTCGCGGGATTTCTTCTGTCCTTGACTACTACTGTGACCCAGGTGATTATTGAGATCCCCGTCCCCAAATCAATGGCACCGGGAATAGAGACACCAGGCTAACCTCAATATCATCTTGAATCCACCAGGTCCAAAGTCTCGAGGCGCCTCTAGAAGGCTACGAAGTAGCCGAGTTCGGATGGGAAGTCCAGTCCAGCCCCGAAGGACCTCTGCACCATATCAACGGTACGATCCAAGACGTCGTCGAGTACCTCAAAGAGGTCAACCCTGCGTACGAAGTGCCGGAAGTGCCGGTCGCAGAGCTGGACAGCCGCCAGAGCTTGGTCGAGCCACGTCAGCTAAAAGTTGGCTGCTACGGCTGGGCCCTCGCGAACGCCAACGACATTCAACATGGCATCAATTACCTCAAGCGCGTTGCTGGGAAGCCATCGAACGGGCCTGGCCCGGGGGCCTGCGGCAGAGTCAGCTGCTCGTACGACGCAGCCATCTGGTGGTGCAACGACGTGAGTACACCCTGCCCTTGCCCACGGAGAAAGACCAAGCACACGGGCTCACGGTTGTGATAACCCATAGAACCGAGTCACCTACACCCTTCCCAGCTTCAAGAACATCGCCGATGGCGCCCAAAACGTCAAGAATAAGTGCACAAGCAACGGCAGAACCTCTGGCCAGGGGTTCTTCGATGGAAATTGGAATGTGATTGTCCGGAAGGACAAGTGTTAAGTGCGTGAGGACACTAATCGAGCAGTCCGCCTCCACATAGTTGAGGCATGTAGGAAGTTGAAGGCTGATGTTGGAGAATGGGTTTAGCTAAACCCAGCTTGAAGTACCACCGTTCATCGGGAGAGGGCAAATATTTCGAATGCCTTAGTTCATCACAGGGCATTCTCCACTTGAAATCCAACAATTCAAGTGCCAGCTTATACACTCAATTCAAACCTGAAGCACTCCCATTGAGATCGTGTGGAACCCAAAGCAAACTCTTTCATCGAGGGGTGGAGGGGAGTGGAGGCATTCCTCGTGGCTTTGTGGCTCTTATAGACAGCTAGAGCTCCCAACTCTATATGTGGTTTCGAAAGACAGCTGCTCGAGTATAAGCATTTTTGACGAAAAGAGAGTGAGGATGAAACGGATGTTAAAAATTTCTCACAGTCCTCCGATGATATAGAGCGTCGCACGGGCAGACCATGTGAATAAGACCGCTTGCATTTGGTCTCGTTCAATTCGAGGTTCGAATACGCTGCGCAAAATGTTAAGAATAAATGACAGCATCTGACCCCTGTGACCTTCATTTTACATTCCGGCCCATGATGTCTATATCCGGTCGCTGCCGGACAGAATTACCCGGTCTATCTCCCCTTCTGTCTCCCACAGAGACCGCAGCCACATTCAAACCCCCAAGTCGCCATCAACGCTTCCTGCCTCGCCTTGTAGCTGCCCTTCTCGTCAATGTAGCTGTGCAGGATCTCCTCCCCGGCAGAGATGGCCCGCTTGGCGCGGACGAGCATCATGTCCCCGATGAACTCCTTCTCCGTGTTCGGCACGCACGAGTGATTTATCCGCGCGGCGCGGACCCAGAGCCCCGTACTCATACCCATCCCACCAACCTCAGTGTCGGGTTTCCCAGCGTTTCGAGGGGGCGGGCCGAGCCCGAAGGCGTTCCGGGAGACGATGTCGTGGACGCGGAAGACGTCGACCACCGGGCTGCCGTCTTCTGAGTGTACCTCCTCATGATCAAGAACATCTTCACTTCCTCGATAGTCCCCGTAGAGCTCCATCACCCGCCCGATATACGACGGCGTCCCGCGGAGCTTCTGCACCACCGCCTTGACCAGCCCAACGGGTGAAACCCTGATCCGGCCATCGCGCACATCGTACGTGACCGCCGTCGCGGACGCCTGGCCGTCCCCCCACGCCACGCAGAAAGCCTTCTCGCACAGCACCAGGCCACCACGTGGTATGTCACACGTCGCAAACAAGCCGCGACCTCGGCCGGGGCTATCTCCCACGCCAGTTCTGCCCACAAAACTCGCCGCGTCGACCTCGCGGAGTCGGGAGAGGGCGGCGGAAGCTCTCATCTTGGGCCAGTCGTAGACTCCAGTGTCTCGCTCGCCGATGCGCTGGTACGTCGTCCGGACCGCGGCGTCGCCCACCTCGGGCGTGAGCTGTTGCCGCCTCGAGAAAAATCCCCTTGCTTCATCGTAGCCGCCTAGATTGTATGCTGCACAACCCGCCCGGTAGTAGGCTTTGCTGTTCAAGGCTGAGGATTCCGGGTCTGATGCGGATGGATCCCCGGTGAGAGAGGATAGGGCGTCTCTCTTCGCGGCATCGAGGTGGTTGAGGAGGAGGTCGGTGTGGGCGCGGTTGCGGTGGAGGTCGCGGGTGAGTGCCTCCATCTGGACGCCATTGGGGTCGGATGAGCCCTTTGCCTGACGCTGGGCGAGTTGTGACAAGCCGCGGGTGTAATGTGTGCAGGCGAGGGCGGGATCCCGCGCCGCGAGTGCGGTGTTTCCTCGCTCCTTGCAGCGCCGTGCTTCTCGGACCGCTGTTTCTGCACTCTCAAGCCCGTTCTTGAGCATCTGGCCAGGGGACTCGTCCTCGTTATCCAGCCACTCCAGATCGGAAAGGTGATCCACCCTGATCGTCGCCTCCCCTTGCTCAGTAACCGTGAAGTACGGCTCCCTCACCACAAACGTCTTTCCTCCCGAGCACTCGAGCACATCTTTGCCGTACTGATGTGTATGCAAACACACCTCCAACCTCTCCACGCCCCCCTCACCGCCCACGCCCTGCACCAAAGCCCACGACCGCGCCGCGAGCTGCACGACCGCGCTCACCCCCCTGCCCCGGACCCCAGCCGCCCTCTTCAGCACCAGCTTGCGGCCGCGGTGATGCGTCCCCACGCGCAACTCCGCGAGCGCCATGGGAGCTAGGTCCGAAGTTGGGGTGGTACAAGGTGGGTAGGGCTGGCCGACCGTGAGGACGGGGAGGGACTCGCCCCGGCCCTGGCTGCGGGAGGAGACGGCCATGTCCGCCACCAGCGAGGCGGCCGTCGCCTCGCGTATCGAGGATGCGGCATCGCGAGGCTGGCGGGGCGTGCCCCTGAGCTGGGAGGCCTGTTGGAGAGTGGTTGTGGCGGTGGTGCGGATGCGGTTGATTTCTTCAGGGGTGAAGAACACGGTGCTTGCGTTGTTCAGACGTATGGTCATCCTGAAATCTGGATGAGACGGTTGGAGTTGACGTTTATAAGGCTATCACCTCTATACGACTATTGTGTCTGTGCTGAGTGATAACTTCTCGTGGTAAATGTTATCCGCGACAAACGGCTTGCTTGGACGATCGCTGGTAAGCAGAGAAGGAGGTCGGTCTCACCACGCTGCACATGGGCGATCGAGCTCCCACTTTATCAGTTGAACTATGGATTCTTCTTTGAAAAAGAAATTGCGCAAGTAGATAAATCCGAGGTGCATTTTGCTATTGGGCGAGATATGTGCTGTGGCATTGACAATAAGCAGTATCCCTGACCCGCCCGTTCATCCTCTCTCCGTCTCTGTCAGCATGATTGTGTGGGCGGCTGGTCAGCAATTTCCATTTCCAGCACGCCGATAGAAGTCACACCGACGGACACTACTTTAGTCTCACGGAGCCAGCGTGATATCCCGGCGAGACTGTAGCGGTTAAATAGTCTGTGGCACCCAGTGTCAAATAATAGCGTTGGATGCTTAGTCTATTAGGCTAGCTAACGTCTATTCAACGGGAGGGAAGGCCCCTATTTATAGTTATTATCCTCCATACAGTGGCAAACATATGGGGAAAAGGATATCCCGTATTAATAATAGCCTAAATATTTAGAATATTTTAATAGCCCCCCTTAAACTAATTCCCTTTTATTTATTTTATTTTATATATAAAGGATTTAGTTTATAAAAAAGGAATATTTAATTATATAATAAGAAAACCTTATAAAAAGGGAAAAACTTACTTATTAAGTGTTTATATATTTAGGCAAAAAACTTAAAAATTTACTATTACTTAAACTTACACTTATAGCTAATAAGGTATTATATATTAAATTATAGTTTTATATAGGATTTACTAGTTATTTTATAATAGCTACGATATATCACGGCCATTTTATATATTAAAGTTATATATTATTTTATTTATATTATATATATTATAAAAATATATTTTCTATATAAAATTAAATATATATAAATGCAATATAGGTATATTATGTTTATATATATATATGGTATATATATAGGCTGTATAAGTAATGCTTATTTTTTAAGGAAAACCTTTATTATTTTAATTATTTCTTTTAAGGGAAAACCTTTAATATTTAGGGTAATATTATATATATATATAATTAAGTCCGCTTTATTTATTTATATATTTTATAAATAAAGGAAAAAATCTTAACTTTAGTTATTAAAAAGTAAATACCTTAATTTATTTTGCATACATTATAATATAAGTAGAAAATCTCTTTATTCTTTAGTTTAATATTTTTATATTATTTTTCTATTAAACTATACTTTTCTTTAAACTCTTTATAGTATAGTTTATTTATTAGTTTTATAAGCCAATTTGCTAAATTTTACTTAAAATTTATATATTTTAATATTACTTTATTATTTTTTATTACTTTTCTTATATAATAATATATAATATTTATATATTTAGTTTTTTTATAAAATAAGGTATTTTTAGCTAATTTCTTAACCCTATTATTATTTATATATATAATAAAGAGCTTAAGATTAAAGCTAATATTTAAATTATTATTAAAATATTTAAGTAAATTATATAAATATTTAACTTCTTTTATAGCTTCTCTTAAAGTCATATATTCTGCTTTTATAAAGGAAAGTATTAATATTTTTTATAGCTAAGAATTTTAGCTTATAGGATTTATTTTATTATTATTATTATTATTATTATTAATATTATATAAGCTAAATATATAATTAAAGGTACTTTTTTTAATAAATATATCATTACCTTAGTTTAAATTTATATAACCTATTAATTATAAATTATTTCCAAAGTAATTATATACTTTAAATATATATAGAAATTTATATATATATCCTTATATTTTATTTAATTCTTTTATATACTTTAATCCTAGGTTTACCATATATCTAGCTAACTTATTTATAAAATAAGTTAAATTTAGCCTTGTTTTTAAGCTAGTATATAATATAAACCCTATTTATTACTAATATAATTTTATAGTATTTTTATTAGCTTAATTAATATATTTTTTTAATTTTTTATTAAAAGTATATGGTTTAAATTAAGGAATTATTTCCTTTTTCTTAACCTTTTCTTTTATATTAAATCTTTTTAATATTTTATCCATATATCTATTTTAATTTATAATTATTTATTTATCTTCTTTATTTATATATATATTGCTTTTAAAGAAATTTATTAAATCTCCTTAAAAATTTAATTTTATATTTTTATATAATTTATTAATTATTAAATTTATATCATTATTATTAAGTTTTATAACAATAATATTGTTTATATAATATATAAATATAATTTATTTATTAAGGTATATAAATACCCCTTCGTTATATAGGTAAATAATAAATCCTAGCTTAATTAATATATTTTTTAAGTATTTATATCAAAGCATAAGTAATTATTTTAGCCTATATAAAGCTTTATTTAATTTTACAACTTTATTTTTATATTTTAGTTTATTATATATATACATAAGTAATTTTATATATATTTTAAAATTAATATTAAAGTATAAAAACGCGTTTTTAACGTTATAATTATATATATAATATTCTTTATTTATTATTATTATTAATAATATAATATAAATCTTAAGGCGGCAAACTATAGAAAAAGTTTTTAAATAATTTATGCTTAATTTTTAGTTATATCTCTAAATAACCTATTTAAATTTAAATTTAATATTATTCTTATTATTTACTACTTAATTAAGCTTTATAATAGCTAGGTTATTTATAAATTTCTTTTTATATACCCATTTCCCCCTTAAAGCCATATAGCTAGGTAATAAATTCATTATTATATAAGTATTTTATTCTTATAACTTATATATTTTATTTAGTATAAATTTAACTTATAAGGGTTTTTTTAAGTTATTTAATACTTCTTTTAAAGAAGAAGGTTTATTAATATTAATTGCAATTAAGCAGTATTTTAATAAATTTTCTTAAGTATTTAATATAAATATTTAATTATTTAATAATATATCTTATATAGTATATATATAGTTTTTTGGATTCCCTTAAACTATTATTTCGTTTAAAATAAAAAGGGAATTTTCTTCCCTTTATTTTTATAATTCTAAAAATATATATATATTATTATTATTATTATTATTATTATTATTATTATTATTATTATTATTATTATTATTATTATTATTATTATTATTATTATTATTATTATTATTATTATTATTATTTATTATTATATTACCCTTTTAATATTTAAATATCCTAAATTAATATATATTTAATTTTAAAATTATATTTAATAATATACCCTTTTTATTTTTAAGTTTTAATTTAATTTTATAATTATTATTTTAAAAATATATAATAAATCCCTATAATTTTAAGTTATTTATATAGGGCGTTTTTTATTTATTACCTTATAAGGGGACTTATACCTTAGGCTTTTATAGGGTATAATATTATATAAATATATAGGCAGATTTACTATATATAAAAGGCTTTTAACTTTATTTATTATGGTTAGATTTAATCTTTTTATTAAGCCATTTAATTATTTTATATATAGGGGCGTTATATAATAAGTTATAGAGTATTTATTTAATAAGATTTTAAATCTTTTATTTATATATTCACCTTTATTATTAGTAAAGAATTCTTTTATTTTTTTATTATATTTATTTTTTGCCTTATTTTTATAATTATTAAAAGCTTTTAATGCTTTATCTTTATTTTTAAATAAAGAAATTTTTAAATATTAAGTTTTTTTATTAAGGAATAATATATAATATTTATATTTATTATATATAAATTTTAAGAAACCGCTTATATTATTATATACTTTTTTAAGTATATTATATTCTTAGTTATTTAGGCTAATCTTATTTATTTTAATTATATACTTAGCTTTTAAGCATACTTTATAATTACTTATATATTCTTAAATAGGTTTATTTATTAATATATTTATTTTATATTTTTAAAGAAATATTTTTAAAGCTTAAATATTTATATAACCTAGTTTATAATGCTATTTATATATTTCTTCTTTATTTTTATTATTTATATTTAAATTTTATTAAGTTATATATATTTTTTAAAAGGTATATTTAAGCTTATTTATTTATTTTATTATATTAATTCTTATAAAATATAAGCTGTCTTTTTAATATCTTTAAGTTATTAGCTTATTTATTTTTTAAAAGTATAATTTAATAATATTTCCTTTTAATTTTAATTTAATTTTATTATTTATATACTTATAACTAAGTATATTTAAACTTAAAGAAGATATATAATATATATTAAAGAATTTCTTTATAATATTTATTTTTAGAAACTTAATTATTAAGTCCCCTATTTTATTTATAAATATAATACTTGCATTACCTCATTTTATAGTTTTATTAATTATATATATAATATTAAAGAAATAAATATTTTAAAAACTTATTATATTTATAGCAATATTTATAGTTATTTTTATAAAATCTATATATTATTAATTTCTTATAAATTTATTATTAGCTGCTATAATTATTATATATATATATAAGGTATATAAGGGGTTATTTACCTTAATTTTTATTAAGTTATTAAAAGAAAGTTATAAGAAATTTCATAAATTCTTATTATATTTAGTATTTTCCATTAAATTATTTATAGCTATATAGGTTATAGGTTTTTCCTAAGCGCCTTTTAAAGCCATAGGAAACTTTATGCTAGCTAATAAAGCTAAAAGTTGCTCTTATATTTTCTCCCGTTTTTTTTAGCTTATATTCTTCCTTAAAAAAGTAGTTTTTTCCTTTTCTTTTCTTTATTTATTTATTTTTTAATTAGCAAATGCCTTATTTAAATAAAGAAAATAGTAATTTTCTTAAGTATAACCCTTTATTTTATAATTAAGATATATAATAATCTTTTTCTTATTTTTCTTACCCTTTATATATAAAGCTTTTTTAAATAATTTAAAGGACTTTTCTTTACTTTTATTTAATAGGCTAGAAAAGAAAGATTTAATTATATAAGCATTTAAATCTTTTTTAAAACTTTAAGTTATATTTTAAATAAAGCTAATATATTTATTATTTAAGCTATAAAAAATTTAGTTAATTATAATTTATTTAAAAAGAATTATATTATTAGCCTTTAAATCCTTTAAAAAAAGCTTTAGCTTATTAATATATTCTTTTATAATCTTAAAATTATTAAAATTAATATTAAAGAATTCTTTATAAAGTAAATATTAACTTATAAACTTAAAGAATTTATAATAAAATTTAAGTATATTTTATATTTCTTAAGCATTATTTATATCTTTTATAAATATAATAAGCCCTTATTTATATATAAGTTTAATATTAATATAGGCTTTCTTATTTTAAGCTAAAAATAAGCCTTAAAAAAGATTCTTAAGATTATTCTTAATAACGTTTTCTTTTTTAAGCTAAGTTTAAATTTTAATGCTTTAATATATATAGTTTTTTATTTTATTAAGAAATAAAACATTATACTTATTAAGGGATATTATTTTAAGGTAAATAAATAAAATATTTATTAAAATAATTAAGAGAATAAAAAGAAAGATATAATAAGTTTTAAATAAGTTTAATAAATTAAAGAATAAAAATATAAGTTTTAAAATAATATAATTATAAAGAGAAAAAGAAGGGCTTTTAAATAATATATTTTTAAGGTATTATGGATTAAAGATAGCTAAGATATAGTTAAATGTTTTTAAGGGAGTTTTAAAAATTATTATAATTTTATTAAAATTTACGTTTTTAGTATTAATTTAATATAATTTTTAAAATTTAAAAAAATGCTTTTATTATTCTTAATAAGGGCTTTTAAATAATATATAAATTATATAAATAGGTTAAGTATTAATAAAGAAATAGTTAAATATTTAGGTAAATAAGGTATAGTTTTTATATATAGGCTTTAGGTTAAAAAATAAGGTTAATTTATAATGTTAAATAAGGTGATTTAATTAATTAAGAGCTTATTAATTAATTTAATTAAGTAATTAATTAAAAGGTATATCTTTAAATATGGAGCTTATTTTATTTAAAAGGTTTGAAAAATAGTGGCGATTAGGGGTGTTATATAATATATGTTTTCTATATTAAGTTAGCTGTTTTCTATATTAAGTTAGCATTATTGCTTTAAGTAAGCTTTGAGCCTTATAATTTATTAAATAATAGCGTTAAATGCTTAGTTTATTAGGCTAGCTAATGTTTATTTAACGGGAGGGAAGGCCCTTATTTATAGTTATTATCCTTTATACAGTGGTAAACGTATGGGGAAAAGGATATCCCGTATTAATAATAGCCTAGATATCTAGAATATTCCAACACCCAGCTCCTTCAGGATTTGAATCACAGGCTGGCTAAGCTTTTTAGCAATTGGAGGGACTGTTTCCACGACATGTTCTCTCCTAGCCGCTCATGGATCTTGTTCATTCAAGTATTATATTAGTAAGCTGGTTGATGATCACCTGTTTTTCTCACTACTATATCCTCCTTCCTTGATATTTAGCTTTGTACATTTCAATAAGAGCTCAAGTTTGAGGCATGCCTCAATGTTTAAGTCATCAAAAGACTTTAATCATACAAGTCCCATGACTACAGTTTTCCCTTGTCCTTGAACTTTATATTACAGACAGCATGACAGGATCAAAGCTGCGCCAGGAACAAGTTTGCAGCATTTCCTGCATCCGGAGGCGGAGAACGAGCATCCTGCATCCGGAGGCGGAGAACGAGCAGCCTCCATCTCGAGAAGCCGATGCCTGATCCAGTTGTACACCTCAGGAGCACAGTCCCAACTGCATTGCTCATGACCTCGATATTGCCCAGGTGCCGGGTGTCAGGCACACCAGCAGATTCCGGCCTTGCACAAAATCCGTCTATCATCTCGGGTCACGCAGCCGTAGCCCAGGGCATTACGACATGCGTCGCCACGTGGGTAGTCCCTGGGCTTGTTATGCATGGGCTCTCTCCCGGGGGCCAAGTCGACCCACACGTCGTCCATAACGCACAGTAGGCTCGCTATCGTCGGTAAGCGTCTCGAGCTCACCGAGAGGACTGCGATGTCTCGTCTTCCATGTTGAGATGAGCATAATTTTCCACGAGGTTCTTCAGAACGTATTCCTCCACGTCCTCGTCTTTCCTGACGATGCTGACCGGCCAGTGGCTCCGCACTGTCTGCGTCATGGCCTGCCTCCCAGCCACCATGTCGTCGTCGTCATCGCCGAGGTCCACCATCTCCTTCAGCAGGGCGACTTCTTGGGGCCGCATCCGTCCCCGGACGACGCGGTACAGCGCCTCCGCCAGGTAGTGGTTCCGGCGCTGGTTGTACAGCCCCTTGACAACCAGGACGAGGGTGGACCGTAGGTCTCGGAGCTTAGGCTCGGGTATTTGGTCGCTAATGGCGTCAATGCACTTGAAGCCAGCGAGAACGAGCGGTATGACGATAAAAAGATCCATGGCGTCGAATCCGTGCCGGAGGTAATACAGTCGGACGAGGGTTTGGAGACCTTTGCTGGAATCACTGATAATCTGCTGCAGGGACTCTTGTTGATTCTGGTTCTTTCTCAAGTCGAGCAACGGTTCATAAATGGATAGTATGAGATTGTGGTAGTACATGCTGTCAGGGTGATGCTTGTTAGCAGAATTTGGACGATATCCCATGGGCACCGAGCCCCTTCGTTCATATTTTGCCCGGATTCATGCACGGGAAGTATGGGTGGGAGGATGCTCACTGAAGTTGCAAGTGTCCAGGAAGGACGATCGTCTTTGGCTGGAGTGGTCCTGGCAAGCCCTCGTACCAGCTTCTCAACCGCGAGTAAAGTCCGCTGGCTTGTTCAAGCGTCATTTTCGAGCCTTTTGTGTACGCGATATGACAGGCTTCATTCATGATAACCCGGAATTGAGACCTCGCCTTGAACATGTGACCAAAGTACGACGGTGACAGGTTTTGATTTCCCGGATAATTGACCCATATCTCACCATACCATTCTGCATTTTCCGATGGATCTGGCAGGGGCTGATCGGGAGGCTTCCTGAGCAAAGGTGGGAACATAAAGGAGAAGCCGACAAGGCTAAGGCATTCAGCTGCTGATCAAGCTCTCAGATTGGGGTGCTTACGTTTCCCAGTTGTACAATGCCCACGCGGCGTACGCCCTGCCGTTCCGCATTCTTTCGCTTTGCTCAAATTGATCTATGGTGCCGTCGAAGAGCTGAAGTTCATGAGCCAGGGCAAGGCCATGGATTCGATATGCCTGGCCAATCTCGTCCAAGCCACAGAGGTTGTGGATAACACTGAAGATGATGCCAGCTTGTATCGTAGTGATGCGTGGCTTGGGAGCCTCGAGTTCCCAGAGTCGTTTGGCCTCGGCAAGGAAACGATACATGAGCGTTTGCGGATTCCAGTACTCGGCGCGGTTCTTAAATCGGTGGTAGCAGGCCTAAGTAGTACTGGATTAGACGGACGGTCACTTTGAGAAATGTGGGAATACTGTACGCAAGAATACGCCAGAGTGACGTTGACGAGTAGCGATGAGCAGAAGTCGTCTCGTTGTGCAATCATGTCCTCTAGGAGGTAGTCTTTCTGGAATGCCGCGGTGAAGTGGTATTCGCAGCGGAAAAACACGCCGAGGAGATCTCGCATGAGCACGTCGTCGTCGCAGACGGTGGTCCACAACGATGGTCGCGCGTTAGAAAGCCGAGGCTCAATGACTTGTGCCGCGTGGAATGGCTTTAGGTAGAGGCTCCGGTATTCAACGGATCTCCAACCGCGTGCTCGGCTCGTGCTGGTGTTTTCTGAAGATTTTGGCTGCTGAGTTGGGGAGTAGAGTGATGCGGCCTCGTAGACCAACGAGTCTAGGTAAGGGTTGTCTATGATCACGTCTTGGGGCATTTCCGATCTGTATGGGAATTCGTATCGAAATTGGGTCTCGGGAGAAACAGCCAGCTGAAGTAGGAGGTCCCCCGCCTTGACTTGGTTGAGAATCGCCTTGACGCCAGACCCGGATCGCAGCCTGTGCAGGACGTACTGGGCCTCCTGGTCTGGCAGGTTCCTGAGAAGCTCAATCAACTCCTCATGAGCTTCTGATCGATGTTTCAGATCCCGGTAACCTCGCCTGAGGGCTTGTGAGGACATCTCCCCTGGTTGGAGTGTGTACTCGCAGCCAATGTGCCGCAGGACACAGCGGCGACATGCCGGTCTCTCGCCAGAGCACTGCCAGCAGATTCAGTCACAGTACGTACACAGGCCTCGGGTTCCTCTGTGAGGATATGTTGAGTACCTTTGCCTTCTTTTCGCGACATGGGCGGCAAGCTACCGTCACGTTGGCTGGCCTTGGCCGAGGCCCCGTCGGCTTGGGCGGCGGGCGACTGGCTGGTGCGGGCAGCAGAGGGCGCATGCGCCTGGCCTGACTGCCTGCAGCCTGCTCAGACATGGTGCCCCATCCGTCAGCATCCCCTTTTGGTCTTCAATATGATAGCGCGAGAGGAACGGGTTGCTTGAGGAGGGCAGGAATCGGCTTGCGCGGTTAGGAACCTCAAAGTTTGTGGTTCGTGTACTGTAACTGCAACGTCAGTTGCCGGCCACTACCTAGGTACGTAGGTAGGCACGGAGTACCTTGGCAGGGTAGCTCCTGCTCCCATGCACCTGGCGGCAAGCTGCTGTGGCTGAGCAGCCATCTCTGATTGGCTCAGATCCCAGCATACACCTCGCACCCCATTCGCCACGGAGTGACTCCCGAGGCGGGCTCGGGCAGGTTCAGTTTCCTGTGTGCCAAGAGCGATCACGCCTGTAACTTGGTCCGCGCTGCCGCTTTCGAGATTGGCTACATCTACTACGGCACGTTACCAGCCTCTCAGATCTGGCACGGTATACCTTTAACAACTGCTGATAGCAGTCATGCAATCATATATACTATATGTTAGTGGGTCGGTCCCTGGGAGTAAATATTTGCGAATTATTTGCACAGCACAGTTTCAGATCGCTTCTGTACCCAGGTCACGGTAGTGTGACCTCAACGCTGAGAGTCGTTTGAAGTGATCGAGAAACCTCGCTTCAATTTACATGGTGTTTACGGAGGTATATTTAGCAAGAAGGACCGCCACATAACACGCCCAATCGTCACCTCAAAGAACCAACTGGTGACCTGAAGGGAGCTGATGCTCGAGTCGATGGATCGATTTTGGAACCAGGTGGGAAGTACTGATGACGGCCATACTAAGTTACAACCTCACGATATACGCCGTTTCTGAAGAAAGGCACCATACCACCAACCACACAGAAATGGACGGTTGTGCATTCCTATTATGCTCAGATGGGCGGCCTTGTATTATCTGGCAAGGAGCATGGGACTGGCACCGTCACCGCATCCCATTTGACTGAGCGGTATGGGAGGTATGAGTGGAATGTTGGGCATCCCTTGATGCACCTCGTCCTGGGAAAAGACGACATTCAAGACAAGAGTAAGGCGGACTGGCTCCTAAAAAGCCTTGCTATTTTACAGGTTACATGGATTATCGTCAATGTGATCGTCCGCCATACCACAGGCCTTCCTATATCGCAGATTGAGATTGCCACTGTGGCCTTTGCAATCGTCGCAGTGTTGATATGTCTAGCCAACTGGTGGAAACCCAAGGACATCTCCCGACCGACCATGTTGCAGTTCTGTGGCTGCGGTAAACGATCCGGTCATTTGCGAGCTAGGACGCAATCTTTCACCCAGCGGATCCTGCCGCCAAGCGAGGCCATCGACAAGGCGGAGAAGGGTGTGCCACGCCATATCAATAGGGTAGCTAACGATGTTCTCTGGATGGAAGGCGATATACGCCTGCTGTTCTACCTGATGGCCGGGTCGTCATTTATTTTTGGCGCCTTGCACTGTCTTGCTTGGAACTTCGAATCCCCCACACAGGTCGAGCTTATCTGCTGGCGAGTCGCGAGCCCAGTGTCAGCCATTCTGCCCATAGTGGCTTTGGCCATCAGCACGATCCTAGGCCATTTAGCGGCTTCTAAATCCTCACAACGCAACATCCCAACCAAAGATTTGCGCAGAGCTCAACCTGGTTCTTCTGGATAAACAGAGAAACATTTTGTTGAGGCCTGATGTTACATATCGGACTCGGAAAGCAGTCCTTGTTTTCCCGAGGACGCCAAAACTGTTGAGTGACTGGGACGAAATCAGTAAGTATGGTAAGACTCCAGAGAATCGGAACGATCGCGCCCACATGATTCAATCGGCTGTATCTCTGTCAGATATTGGTCCCTCGATAAGAGGTCAAGTGACACATTCTTGGAAGGACATGGCCGAAAAGGCTAGAACTAGTAAGAACATACCACAGAGACTCGAGAGGGCTCGAAATTTGGCGCGACTACGAAAACTTTGCCAAGAGCGAGGACCTTGATTGGATTCCTGCTGTTTCCGCGGGCAGCGGCGCTGTGGCTACATGTCTCTATCAAATACTGGACGTGGTTGAGAAGGTCTCGACACGGGTAGCCAAGTTCAAGAAGTGGGCCGAGCGAGTATCAAGTCTTGTTTCCATCACCTGTTTCATCCTTTACACTGCAGCGCGCCTCATCATCCTTGTCCTTTGCTTCACTTATCTACGGGCCGCTCCAGCGAGGCTCTATCAAGACAACGTGTGGACTCGGTTTCTGCCTAAAATCTCACGATTGCTGGTATACGTTGCTAGGAAAGCATCCGAGCATCAGGAAGAGATGCTCTTGCGAATCTGGAGACAGAGGAACTGGGTCGGGCTTCAGGACTGTTGGATGAGGCAGAGTCGCACTTGAACGCATGTACCGAAAGAGACATGTGTGTGGAGGCATACGAATGGAATTGAAAGGCATATGATGCTCGGGTGGAGGATTCTGGACCGGAGAGTGGCTGTAATCTTATCAAAATCACTGTTCAAACACGACGTGTGGGCCAGCAGGAGACAACTTCATATCGAATGTCATCTTATATAATATTTGCGGATTGTACTCTGTGGTTGCACTTATAGCCCGGCTGTCCAGATTAACCCACTGTGTAGACGCGCCATGAATGAGAAACAGCAGGCAGGTTGTCCGCATAGGCGACCGTTGAATAACCTCGGTTTCAGAATAGTGCTCGACACGCCTTTAGTAGCCAAAGCAGACAAACATAACTCCAAAGCCCTTCAAGGGCGAGCCAAGGGGAGTTGACGAGGCTGACATTACACCGCAACAGTGGAGAGAATGACAGGAGATGAGAAGCTTGAGATCGAATAAGAAAACAGTGCGTGTATCAGAACTACTAATGCAAACGCGGTAGATACCAATATTGGAATGAGTTATTAACAGCTGACCCTGTTAAGCATATGCGCGCGCTCCAAGGCCCAGCCCTGTCTGACACAGATCTGAAAATCGTCCCCCAATCTCCTGCCCGGCCTCCTGTCTCGGGGATGCAAGCAAAGGACGGCTGAGGCGGGCACGGCAGTCGGTGCACTTAACCTTTTCGTGCAGTGAATACCACCAGATTTACGTAGATCGAAGCGCCGCCGGGTTCCTCGGCGAAGCCGCAGTGTTGGCAAGTACGACCCTCGCACTTAGAAGGCTACTTTAGTTATCCCCTCCAGGGCACATAGCCTCTCAGAACTTAGATAGAACAATACCAATATATAATTGCTTCCCATATAATTATTATATATATAAGAAACCTATTAATACTAATTAATAATTATAGGCATTATAAATTAATAAGGTAAAAGAAGTAACCTTATAAGGATTTCCCTAACTTAAAAATTATATCCTCCTTATTAGTAAGTATTATATAGCAATAATTACTTCTTTAAGCCTCCTTGCATTATTAAACTTCTTAAATAAATATTATAAAAATTAAATAAATTAAATAATATTTTCTATAATATTTATATAAATATTTATTATTATTTAAGAAATATGCATTAATTATATATAAGATTTTATTAAAATAAACTTATCTTTAACTCTTCTTTAAAACTTAATAAAACTTAATAAAAACTTTATTTTATTAATAAATAAAGCTTATAATTATTATAATTATTAAAGCTAATATAATGCTATATTATAAGTAAATATAAATTATGTTTTTAATTAATATAAAAGAACTTAATAATAAAAAAAAGCCTTAAATTTTAAGGCTTAAAGGAATTAATAATGTTTTTCTTTTAATAATTATAACTTACTTATTATTAAATTATTATTATTAACTTATTCTTAAATATTATTTATTTTATTAATATTTCTTTATTTTATTAATTTTATTTATTATAATATTTATTATAAAAACTTATAAGTATAATTAATAATGCTAAGAAGTTATAAATTTTTATTAAAAAGTATATAATTAATAAAATATTTATTTAAACTTTAATTAACTTAGCTTATTATAAATATATTAATTTAAAATTATAATTTATAATCTTTATATAAAAAACATTAATAAAATACTTAATTACTTATTTAATAAATACTTTAATAAATTATATATAATAAAATCTTTATAATAATAATTTTTTTATTATTTATTATAAAAATTATATAATATAAATATAAGTAATATTTAAAGTATTGCTAAATCTTTATTAATAATACTTAAAAGTTTTTCTTTAAATGCAAGGTATTTATATAAAATATACTAATTAACTTATAATATTATAATTAATTACTATAGCTTAAACTAAGAAAAAATTAAAATAAATTAATAATAAGCTTTATAATGCCTTATTAATCTTAAAATTAAGTATAAATATATATTATATATAGCTTTAAAAATAATAATTATAAGCATAATCCTTATAAAAATTATAAGTAGGCTTTAAATAATAATAATTATTAAAAGGATAATTCTTAAAATAACTTTTATTATTATTATTAACTTTAAATATATAATTATAAAACTTAAATTTAATAATATAATTTATTAAAAATTAATATAATTAACAAAGCTTATTATTATTAATAAAAAAATAAAAATAAAGTTTATATTAAAGATATATATTATATTTAACATAATCTTAAGCTATCTTAAAAATATCTTTATTAAATAAAAAGTATAATTTATATAAAACTTTTTCTTTATAATATATTTTTAATAAATACTTAAATTTAATAAAGTTAATATTATTTATAAAAATTTTTAATAACTTTTATAAGTATATTAAGAATTTATATAATTTATTAAATAATAAAATAAAGATATTTTTTAATATTTATTATTATATTAAAATTTAGTTAAGTTAATTTTATATAATTTTTCCTTAAATACTTAAAAACTAAGTTAAAGCTTATTATCTTTATTTTATAAATTAAATTAATATATTTATAATAATATACCTTAAAATTAAAATATATTTTAATATAAATCTTAATTATTAATATTATTATATAAATTAAATAATAATAATATTTATAAAAATAAAAGTATAAAACTTAAATAAAAATTTATATAAGGTTTTATATTTAATGCTTAATAAGTTATAACTTTATTAATAAGTATTAAATTAAAATTATATTAAAAGAAATAACTTAAAAATAATAATAATTAAAGCTTATAAAGAAGTTTTTAAGCTAAAAATAACTTTTTTTAACTTAGCTTAAGTATATAAAGAGTTATTTTTAAATTTAAGATTTATAATAAAAATATAACTTAATTATATAATTATAATTTATATTATAAATAAAGTTTTAAATTAATATTATATTAATTATAAATATAATAGCTAAAAGCTAAAGAAAAAATAATAATTATAATTTTAAATATTTTAAAGAAATTAAATATTTAATTAATTAAATTTAAGTTATTTAAGCTTTAAATAACTAAGATTTTATAGTATTAATTATAAAGCTTAAAGTAATAATATTTATAAAAAAAGAGGAGAATAACTTTAAAAGAAAAGATATTATATTTATAAAAAGAAAGAATATTAATTAATTAAATATTTAATTAATAAATAATATTTAATAAGAAAAAGTTACTTAATATAATATAAATATAAAAGTTATAATAATACCTTTAATACTTTTTTAAGTAAGTTTAAGAAATATAAGATAAATAATAAAAATAAATTTTATAAATATAAAGATAAATAAAATTAAAATAATAATTATAATAATAATGCTTATATTATAAAAGTAAGACTTAATAAAGAAATTTATTATATAAATATTAATTTTTTAATTAATAAAATATTAATATATTAAATTATTAAAGATAATATTTTTTAAATAAAAATAATTATTATAGCTAGTTAATTTATCTTAAAGAATAAATATAATTAAACTTATTTTTAAGGAATGTAATAAAATATAAAACCATTATTAATATTTATAGCTAAATATAAGTAATTCCTTGCATTATAATAAGAAAAGTTAAAGTATTAAATTAATATAATTATTATAAAAAAAGCTAAAGTTAAATTTAATGTTATGGGCTGGCCCTAAAGGGGCTGCAGGCTGGCTAGCGCCTTCTTCCATAAGCTGCAAAAGCAGCAATTAATTAAGCCAAAAGGTATGTAATAATCCAAGCTCCCTTGGATTACCTAGCCACATTATATAAGGCTTGGGCTTCCAGCCTAAGCTCATTACATAGCCCCTTCCTTCAAGGCTCCCTCTTTATATAGTGGTATAACTACCCTTAAGGCTTACTTGCAATATCGCCTTTTTAAGCTAGGGATCTTCTTTATAAAAGGGGTGCCTGTATTTACTTGCGGCAAATATAACTTAAACCCATAACCTTAAAGCTTAAATTATTTATTATAGGCTGGCCTTAAAGGGGCTATAGGCTGGTTAATGCCTTCTTTTATAAGCTATAAAAATAATAATTAATTAAGCTAAAAGGTATATAATAATTTAAGCTCCCTTGGATTACCTAGCCATACTATATAAGGCTTGGGCTTCCAGCCCAAGCTCATTACATTTAATAATAAAATAACTATTAATTTACTTAATATTGTTAGTAGGTGTAGGGAATTACGTGAGAAATGGTATTGCGCTAAATTCCGGCTAGCTATAAAAAGCTAGCTTTTATGCTTATTCTAAACATTCTTTTAAGAAATTAATTTTTTTCTTTTTTATATA